TATAAGTCTATTTATCATGAGTTAAGGCTAAAAATATATTATTTACTAATTATTAACTCATGATAATGAAGATTATCAACTACCCAATGAATAAAGTGAGGGGTATTTGATAATTATAAATAGTAGTTGTATCTATATATTAATATATTATATATAGATGTTAATTAATGAGTAAATAATACTATTGTACATATGTTACTAACTCATTATGATCTTTATAATATTTTATCATTTAAGTTCTAATGTATATTATGTTAGTTATTTTATTTATATTATGAGACTAACCTCACTTAACTTTTATAAAGTCAAGTGATGATTCTCTCATATTTTTTTGATAATTATTTGATTGCAAAGACTTAGGTGAGTTCTTAATATGAGGAAGCCCAAACCTTTAACCCAATGAAAAGCCCAAGTCTTATGAAGAGGGCCAACTTAATATATTTTATGGGCCCAAGAAAGGACGTCACTTTGGCCTAGCCAATTTGAACTTAAAAGGGCTATCAAGAGAGAAAAGGTCTAAGTTATTGATAAGTCTTCATTATCATAAGTTAATAATTAGTAAATAATATAGTTTTAGTCTTAGCTCATAATAAATAGACTTATATTTGTGTTAAATTATGAAAAGTAGTTTTCAATCAATTAACATGAATTTTTAGCTAATTATATGAATTTTTATGAATTTGTATGATTGTTATAGTCTTATTTTTTTGATAAATAAAGAAAAATAAATAAAAATAAAAATATAGCAAAAGAGGGGATGTGTCGGTAAGCCAAGTCCACAAGGGGGTCAGAAGCGTAGTTAGGGAGAGCTGTGAGTAGGGGCTCGAGCAATTAGGGCTGATGGAGGCACGTGTGTGCCACTCCCTTTCCACGTCACATGGTGGCTAGCTAGTTGTAGGGTAAGGAATGATCGTACACATAGTAAAAAAGGACTAATTACTTGTAAATATGATATTACTATATAATGCTTCAACGATGTATCGAAATCTTAACGTTCAGAAGGATTGTTGTATAGTGTCTATAGTCTCAAAAGCTCTCCTTTGGCAAAGATAACGTGGACAATCTCTAGATCTTGTGAAGTCTAGAAATCAATAAAATGAGTCGTCAAATTATCTATAGTGACTATCACTCAGTAAAGTAAAAAAATAGTGACTTTGCGGCTCTATGATGATTATCACCTAACATAGATGAACTGAATGGAGGTGGGACACATTTTAGAGAGCTTCATCTTTAGTTCTATATAGTAAGAGGAAGCTCTTCATCACATCTAGTATGATCTCATGAGGTGGTGAATCATCTCCTAATAGATTGTTCTCTTCGTAACAATGGCTTGTTTGTTAATCAATTAGAGATAATTTACTCAATAAATTCGTGATCCTTTATATCCATAATTATTTAGTAATTTTAGTAATGATACTTTACGAATCACATTGATAAAAATTTTATTGATGATTGAGCAATTCTAATGACTTAATTCTTTACCAATAATTTACAAGAAAATCATGATTTAATCAGAGATATATATGAGTTTTGACTCTAGTAGAATTCAAATCTACGTCAATTGCATATCTGTATAAAAAAAAAGTGAAATAAGTACTTAAATACTTTTATAAATTGACGTCACCATGATATCTCATTGTTCTAAATAAGGGGTATTTTAGGTATTAAAACTATCAAAAATATTTTGAGAAAGGCGTGACTATCAATTTAGTCCCACATTAGTTATATGTTGAATGTTGAGACAAATATATAGTAATATGATATTTGAGAATCAATGAGTTCCTTTCTCATGTGTGCACAACCACTCTTTGTCCCATGTTCGACTAATTAACCGTGATGTAAAAGGAGAGTGACTCACATGTGCTCTCTATCAGTCCATTCTTAATTGTTCGAGCCCCTACTTGTAGCTTCGCCTAACTATGCTTTCAATCTACTTGTAAGCTTGATTGGCTAGCGAGTCCCTCTCTTTTTCTATCTTTTATTTTATTTTATTTTATTTATCTCAAAAATAAGATTATAAAAATTATATAAAATCACATAAAATTAAATAATTAGTCAAAAAATCAAATTAACCAACTAAAAACCACTTTTCATAATTAAACATAAATATAGTCTATTTATCATGAGTTTAGGCTAAAAATATAATTGATTAATTATTAACTCATGATAATAAAGATTTATCAAGTAACTTTGATTTATATTTAGCTTAAACGATGAACTACTTTCAATGTTGAACTAACCATTCTCATGAGTTTCAAGGCAACTATCCAAAGCGCGATGTAATCTAGCGATAATTGATGAGCCACATCATCAGATTAGTCAGATCATGCAGCTGATGAACTACCATGATCCTAGAAGTCTCAAGTGATCTATCAACAATTTGCGAATCTGATGTCGTACAATACACATTAAATCAAGCCTTCACACTGATGTTTTCAACTATCCACGTGATAGATTAAATTTTGGCAATGATTTATTTCCTACTTTCAGTATTTACTTACCTACTTCTATCATTTATTTATAATTTACAACAAGTTACTTCTATTTCATGTATATTTTGATTGAAATAAATATAATTAATTCAAAACTTAATGAATGATCTTCATTCTTCTTCTAAATCCTCTAAAACTTATCTAAGATTAAGTTAAAATTATTTTTTAACTTGTCTTCTATTAATTTTTACATCTAAATCTCAGTGTATTTATATTCTCAACATTTTGTAAATAAATTTTTTTTTTTTTATTTTTGAATGCAAAATCAACAAGATTAAAGACTACTTAATGATCATTGACTTGTTAGAATAATGTGGAGACATGCATGATTAATCTCATGTCATGTGTGTGAATTCTAGAGCATATATTTGTCCAAGAATAATAGTTACTATGAAAATGGGTTGACTATATTTCTTTATTTATTTATTAATTATCATCTTATTTCTCTCTCTCCCTCTCTCGTGAAATGATTTCTTTTCTCTTTGTCTCTCGTAAGATCTCTCTTTTTCTCTTGATTGATCTCTTTCTCTTTTTCTCTCTTGATTAATTTCTCTCTCTCTTTTTCTCTTTCTCATGAGACTTTTCTCTCTCAATTGCCCTTATATGAGATTTTCTCTTCTTTCTTTCTTTCTCTTTTCCTATTTTGTTTCTCTACTTCACCTCTTTTATTCTTCTCACTTCATCCTTCTATTTTATTATTTTCACTAAATATTGACAAAATATTAAAATCACTTTATATATAAACGAAATTAGTTTTTATGACAAATTAATTAATCTCCTTGTGTTTCACTTGAGACTTACTTCTATACTAATATTTTATTAAATCTTAATTATAAACATTATTAAATAATATGTATTTACCACAACAACAAATACACATCAATAGGTTAATGTCATGTTTGAAGTTATGATGCTAGTTGATGGTAGGATATCACTAACTAGATGAGGGTACATGCACAATATATATATGTGTGGAGATATGTTGTGCAAGGTAAGGGGAATTCAAGGTTAACATACCAAATTGTTGTTGGCTATGCCCATTTGAGAACTTTTGCCGCCAAGCCTATAGAGAATGCCTCAACCACTTAACTAAAGCGATGGTTAAGTGATTTTGTCTTGTATGTCATGCTATCTAAACATCCCATCAAGAATGAGGGGGCATTAACCATAGAGGTACAAAATGAGGTGACACTTCACTATGAACTTAGGAGTCTCATATGCCCCTATAGGCCGGCACACTTCATTCCTAGTTCAGGAGGGAGAGAACCCTGATGATAGTGGGGAGAGCCGCCACAAACGAAGATCACCTACATCGCCGGAGTAGGAACGCGACGGCGGTGACGCAGTCCCACGGCTACCTTTTACTGACGAGGACAAGCGAACGACACAATCAGGACGCCTGTTGAAGTCAGACAAGAGATCGTCCGCCTCCGAGTCACGCCGGTGGCGACTCGGTTTCCGGACAACGGCTTTGTGAATCCGCCGTGACCTTGTAGTGGGCCGATGTTGAATCGGACGGGCCCAGTCAGAAAGCCCGTCTTTCCGGCCCACGGCGGCCAATCCCTGTCCAGCGGTCCGCGTTGTCCTGGACGTGTCTGATCGGTCATTCGTACCGTGAAGGCAAGAGAGGTACGGAAGTCAACAGCCTCTGTCCCCGACGCCGGGGCACGGAGCCGCCGTCGACCTCTCTCACGTCACCATGGCGAATGGTGGAGAAAGGCGGCCGGTGAAATGGGGGTCCCACAGAAGTAATCTGTACGAATCTCAGAGAAAAATAGTGGACGGGATGACGCCGGCGGCGGCGGTGGTGGAGGGAGGGAAGGAGGGAGGAAGAAAGTCCCTGTACCACTTGTACTTGGGACGGTACCACCTCCGACCTCCTTCCATTCCCCAGTTGTGACCTTCCCCGAATACGACCTCCCCTCCCGTCGCGATCGGGGGAGGCCTGCCAGGTGCCGCTCGTCGTTCCCATTTTCTCTGGCCTCCGGCGAGAGGATCGAAGAAGGGAAGCTCGTCGACTCGGGGGCAGTTTCGACATCTCGCTGGCTCCGGTGTGGATTAGCTGACAACTGGGGGAGGCGATTGTCCGCCCGGGAGAAGCCTCTTTCCTTCCTCACCTCGCCCGTCGTCGTCCCCTTCTTCTGCCTCCGATCGTCCTGGTTCTTGCGCTCCTCTTTCGCGAGGGAGCATTCCATCTCGGAGACCTGATCCTCGCGGCTCTTTGGCTTTAGTCGTCCCATTATTCGCTGGCTCCCTCGTCCCTCGGTGATTTAAGGCGGGAGGCAACCATGCAACCCGAAAGCGGCCGGTCGTCGCGGTTCTTGCGTACTACCAGTGTCAAGACCTTCCGCCCCTTGCTCCATCACTTCCTCCCCTTCTGCTTCTTCCTCTTTGTTCCCACCTGAGTCTGTCGGAATGACAGGCCATTCAATCGTTTTCCCTATCACAGATCGAAGAGGGGGACATCCTTCCGTCTCTCCATCTCCCAGCTCCCAAATCTACAGACAGATGAGACACTATCCACCGGGCCGCTCGATATTGACCGCTCTTCCCGCAGATATCCTAGTTCGTATCCTTGATCGGCTCCCGGATCCATCGGATCGCAAGGCTTGGCGTCTCGTCTGCCGGGAGTTCCTGCGTGTCGATTACCTGCAAAGGCGGTCCCTCAGGTTGCTTCGCCATGGATCCCTTCCTGCTATCCTCAGGAGGTACGGCTCCCTCGAGCGCCTGGATCTTTCTGCCTGCCCGCGAATCGATGATAGCGCCATCCGGGCCGCCTTCTACGGGATCCGCCTCCATGCTCTCAGGAGCGTCAACCTGAGCCGAAGAAGCGCGCTGCGGTGCTTCGGCCTGGGGTTTATGGTGAACGCCTGCCCCGCGCTTGAGACGGTGGATCTGAGTTACTGCTCTGGAGTGGGTGATCGGGAAATGGCTGCTCTGGCTAGGGCGCCGCTGCTGCGGGAGTTGAACGTCACCAAATGCCTCGGCGTGACGGACGTCGGCTTGGCTCGGGTAGCTGTGGGATGCTCCGAGCTAGAACGGCTTGACCTCAAGTGGTGCCTGGAGATTTCCGATATTGGGATCGACCTCCTGGTCAAGAAGTGCAGGGCCCTCAAGGACCTTGACATCTCCTACCTCAAAGTCAGTCTCGCTCCACTCTCTCTCTCTGGATTACTTCCCTGTTTTTGCTTACTCCGGTACTTCCCTAACAACGTTCTGCCTCTAACATTCGATTTGTATGGTTCTTTTCCTGATGGACTGCCAGGTGACTAACGCATCCCTCCAGTCAATCTCTTCCCTAGAGAAACTGGAGGTGCTGTCCATGGTGGCCTGCTCGCTTATAGATGATACTGGCTTGTCTTACCTTGAAAATGGCAACAACTGTCTCCGGGTAATCATCCCTGTCTCGCCCCTGTCATTAATTAGCTGTTTAGATGTCTTTCAGCCAGAAGATCATGCCAGATTTTACAGATTTTGTGATGAACGTCTGTTTCTGTTGAAAGAAGTCTACGGTTCTGATTTTTCGATCTGCAACCGTTAATCTCACATGCACGCAATTCTATTGCGGAAAACCATTTCCATGCCGTGAATTGTTCCATCTCTGAAAGTAATATCCCACCAGCTTTCATGTGAGTTTTCTCACCCATCCTTCTACCTTCAATACTGAAAGTAGGTGTTGACTCCGGGATGATCAAACACAGACGAGGGAAAGAAGAAGGCCCTACCAATAGGAGCATACTGGTCCTCGTTTCTCCCATCTTATCTTGCCCATCCTGCAGGTGCACGAAGAGCTTTAGATCATCTTCTTTTTCATCCTCTGTGCCCCTCCACGGCTGCAACTATTGTGCCCCTCTTGCTGAGCTTCGGAGAGTCATCTTCCTCTGTTTGGACGCTTCTGTTGGGCTTCTCCTGTCAGTCCTTCCTAACCCTCTGCCTGGTGTCAAGTCCCCGATTAGATTCACATGTATCCATTATTAAAATTCAAATTGATGAGAATGGTAAGTCCTCCAAATCCCACAGCTCACCAAACTCTCTGAAATTTATAACTTGCAGAGCAACCCAACTTTTGTGAAACCCAAATTAAGACATTGCTAGAATCACAGAAACACGATGTTAAGTCTGCTTCTGTTGACTCTGTTAATCATAGATTCTTTTATTCATACTAAAACGACTCGCAACTTTTTGCATGTTTTCATGCAGAGCATTAACTTCTCAAGATGTGATTCTGTGAGTTCCGTGGGGTTTAGCTCAATAATCAAAGCCCACAGTCATCTCAAGAAGATCTACGTTGGCCACTGTTTTCCTGTAAGACCTCAGCTTTAGCAGCATCATTAATTTTACGTGAATGATGGTTTATATGAAGCAGCAGATCGATGATAATGATTTGATGTGAACAGGAGGTCGCTCCGCTTTTCTTGAGGAAACTCAAGGACTTGGAGAATAGCCTGGAGAGCATTAGGCTCGATGGCTTTCACCTTTCGAGCTCAGTCCTTAGAACAATTGGTATCCACTGCACGAATTTGTTGGAGATTGGTCTGGGAAAATGTGACGGGATCACTGACGAAGGAATCTCGGAGCTCTCATCCAGCTGCCCGCGTCTCAGAACCGTTGACTTGACTTGCTGTCGCCTGATCACCGACAGTTCCCTTATTGCTATAGCAAACTCTTGCAAGAAGCTCCAGTGCCTCAGGTTGGAATCATGCCCCGGAATCACAGAAAAGGGCCTTGGGCGGATTGGGGATTCTTGTTCCCATCTCGCTGAGATTGATCTAACGGACTGCGGGATCGATGATGAGGGTAAGACCCTGGAGTTCTTGAAACAACTAAATTGTGAGATTTATCATGTTATATCTTGTTTAAACCTTTGTGGATATCGCAGCTCTGAAGTGTCTCTCCAAATGTTGTAACCTGATTGAACTAAAGCTCGGCCTCTGCCCGAGAATCACCAACGAAGGGCTCGTCTACATTGGGTCCAACTGCAAGGACCTCCAAGTACTTGATCTCTACCGGTGAGGTCTTTGTGTGAGCATTGTGTGTGCTCACTGCAGCACCCAGATCTTTCTCTCTCTACAGCATCATCAGAATGTTATTTTCTTATTTAAACCACAGGTGCACCGGAGTTGGAGACGATGGTCTGGCCGCCATAGGCGGCGGATGCAGGAAGCTGAGGAAGATAAACATCTGCTACTGCACCCAGATCACCGACCGCGGATTGGAGCATCTGTGTGGTTTGGACCTGCTCACGGACCTCGAAATGAGGGAGGTGGTCCGTGTCACAGGCGCGGGGGTCACCGCCGTCGCCGTCGGATGCAGGAGCCTCGTGGAGCTGGACATGAAAAAGTGCCGCTCGGTGGACGACGTGGGCTTCTTGGCCCTTGCTCGGCACTCGGAAAACCTAAGACAGGTCTCTCATCGCTCCATTTCTTCTCTCCCCACCGGTCGTACAGTACCATCGTGCCCATTTCTCCCTCACCATCTTCTCCTGTTCTTCTTTTTATTGGTTGCTGCAGATCAATATATCATCCTGCCCGATTTCCGACGCGGGGCTCTACATGCTGATGGGAAGCCTGAGTAGCCTGCAGGTCGCGAAGCTGGAGCATCTCCCCGGGGTGTCGGTGGGGGGGTACGAGCTCGCCCTGCGGGCGGCGTGGGAGCGACTGCAGAAGCTGAAGCTTCCCACCTGGCTAAGCCCCCTGCTCTCCCGGGAGGTCCTGCAGATGCTGCAAGCCAGAGGCTGCTGGGTCAGGTGGGTCCCGAAGCCCCCCCCTTTGGACTGAAAAACTTCGAGGGAAGATCCTCTCCATGGGTTCTATGCGATTTAATCCTGAAACTGAAGGTGGGTCAACGGGTTCGAGCTTAATTCTGAAAGTCCAGTTCACTATTTCCGGGTTGAGCTTAGAATTCACTTCAGTTCGGAAGTAAAGTAGGCAACGCTTGTTATACATCTGACTTTGGTCATTCGAATCAAAATTTCTCTCTCTCTCTCTCTCTCTCTCTCTCTCTCTCTCTCTCTCTCTCTCTCTCTCTCTCTCTCTCTCTCTCTCTCTCTAAATGAAAGGTCAAGCAACTCTCCTACATACGAATAACAGATGTGACTTCAAATTCGAGAGTAACAGAGATGGGTTTGGCCGCGACGAACAAACGACGGCTTTCCGATCGATGATCCAACCTCGTCATATGCTTCGACATATTCTTACCCGAGTGCATCATATGACGTGGGGAAAATCGAACAAAAGACGACAGATTTTATATCCAACTGCACCACAGATTTCTACCATCCAGTTGCTCCAGTAGTGGCAACCAAGTGATTCTCAGAGGAAAGTGAGAACGCCCTGGAAGGCTTGAGAGCGAAGGAACTGAGGTAAGAGAACAGTAGATGCCCCATCTGGAATGTCACCAAGAACATGCCGACAGGAACGGCCAGAAAACAACAGCAGCTTTTCGAGAACGGAGAAAAAGAAGTCGAGAATTCTCGCACTGAGAAAAAAATGAACTTTCTCGAAGCTATCTATTTTATCATTAAACGAAACGGGCACAGAAAATGGAAATAATTAAAGCTTATTAGACATCAGCAATCTATCGTGATCGTGAAAGAGTGGGCTGCGTCATGGAATCTCCGACCTTGTTTGCATGATTCGTTCCCTGCAGTCAGCTCCAAACTCATTTTGATCACCGAGAAACAGCGGTCACCATTCTCATATGATAACGGACAGTGATTGGGAGCACCCAACATGGGCCATATACTTGGCAGTATTTCATACAGGTGGGAAATAAAATAAGAACAATGTGTTTATTCTCTGAATATGCATCTTTTTCCATTCCCAAATGGTTTAATGTCTCATTTCAATGATTAATCATAGTCTAGAAGAAACACACTCTCCAAATTACGACCAATTCCGACAGTGATCTTGTAGCTGGTGGATGCATCGTGAGGAGCGCACAGGGTCAAGCAAGAGTGGAAGACCGGAATCAAGATGACCGCACAATTTCATTTGGATAAGTTATAAAGGTGTGCCTCTTCATGCGGATAAAGAACGTAGTTAAGAAGCACAAAACATCAGAAATTTCCTCTGAGAAAACTGGTACTAACAAAAGCCTGCATTCATGGAAAGAAGAGACGAAATGAAAAAAGACCATTTGTGACGTTCTTAGAACGAAAAAAATTGTGAGGCGACCCACAAAAGAAATAAAAGAGCGTTGAGAATCTAATTAGGAGGGAACACAATTGAATTATTGAAGAAGGTACGGGAAGCTACTGGAACATATGCATAGAAATTGAGAATGAGAGAAGTAGCACAATGAGATTTTTGATAAAATTCGGAAAGAAGTCGTGATACAATGGTGTAAGAGCACACATGAAGACACCCCGAATGGCTAAAGGCTTTATCATTAGAGCCCATGGACCCAGGTACATATATTTTTATTCCAAATGATATAATACATAAAAAGACACCAAAAAAAATGAATATGGGAGTGGGAATATCAAATAAGAGTCTCTTAGCCAGCCATTTGCGTCAATCGATGAACGGTGCTCCTTGCAACCCTGTTTGTTGGGTCGATCTTCAAAACTGCCCTCAAATCCTCGGCCCCAAGCTTATACTTCTCAATGCTTTCGTACAAAAGAGCACGCTGCACCAACGCAGCAACGTTCCTGCTGTCGTGTTCCAGTATCTGCATGGCAACAATTGTGAGTTTGATTACAACGACCATCGAGGGGCGATATTCAAGTGTTGCACCCTTGTTTCGGTTAAAAATCTCACCTTTGAGCAGTCCGCAATGGCCTTCTTGTACTCGCCGACTTCCTTGTAGCAAGAAGCTCTACATGTCAGAACCTCCATGATCGCAGAGGTGTCCCCAGATTTGTCTAAAAGCAAAACAGCCCACGACAGCCACTTAATGCCATCAGCAAACTGCCCCTGTTTGTAGCTTTCTGACCCTTTGCTCTTCGCTATTGAAGATGAAACGCCCGCAGGAGGCGGCGGGAGTCCTTCCAGCTCCGTCGTAGTACCTCCTGAATCGTGACCCCCAAACTCAGCGCCAAGATCCCAATCATTCGTCTCCAATGGCTGGCTTCCAGCTCCTTCCGCGGAAGCTGCTGCTGCTGCAGTCCCGGACGAACCTATTGAGGAGAAGAGCGCATCTAATGGATCAGCGTCAACCTTGGGCTGCTGCGGGGAGTTCTTTGACGGTAAATCCTGAAAGGAAGGCATCCCAAAACCATCCAATGTAGCATCCATTCCGGCCGTTTTCTGAGGATTTGCATCTTGAAATCCCCCGAAAGAGAAATTCCCCGCATCGGTCTTCTTGGAAGCGAAACTAGAACCGACTGCCGGTGAAGGGCTCGGCGAGGGCTTCGATCCAAAATCTACCAAAGATCCAAAAGGGTCCTGTTTTGCACTCGGCGCCGCTCCAGATGACTTCATTGGTCGGGCACCCCAAGAATTCCCAATCGTGCTGCCAACGTTACTTCCAGTTTTGGGGTAATAGCTGCCCATATTATCCGCTGATCCACGACTGTTGGAATTTCCCGAATTATAAGCGCCAGCTGTAGTAGTCTTGGGTAGGGAATCAGACATGCTTCCCATGGAATAGGAATTCTTCGGGGCGGTAGCCTTCAACGGGACCTTGCTGCTGTTCCCACCTTTGGTCTGGCCAAGAGCAGATCCGACCAGATCTCCGAACAGGCTAGGGTCCGATCCAGGAATCCCGCGTCCTCCGCCAGAGGAAGCGGTAGAGGTCCAGCTCTTACCGAAGATATCACCCACCATGGATGAAGGGTTGGACAGGCCAGATCTGGGTCCGGCTGCCGCAGCGGTAGCAACGGCGGCCGGGGATGGCTGATGGGTCCATGCGGGCTTGTTCGGGGCCCCTGTTACAGAATAGGAAGACAGGGGGCGTTGCGAATGCGAGGAGGAGAACGAGGGGGAATTCGTGGCCGCCGACGGGTTCTTCTGGTCTCTGAGGGGGCGGGAGGCACCTCGATTAGAGAAGCCACCGCCGAGCCCGAAGTCGAACTCGTAGTTCTTGAGCGATCCCGGCGACGCCGAGGACGACGACGCCCCACCGCTCTGCGATTTACCGCCAGAGGAATACATCGTGCCACCGACAGGACCAGAGAGGAATCAAGGGCGTGGAAATTGCTTGCTCCGCAAAGTCTCCGCCGCCGAGGTTGGGGAGACGATCCACCTAGCCCTCTCTCTCTCTGTCTCTCTCTGTCTCTCTCTCTCTCTCTCTCTCTCTCTCTGCGTCCCCTCCGCCGGTCTGGAACATTTCGCAATTGGACGGTCCGATTTCAATGATAAGGGGACACCTTGGCCCGGATGGCTGAGGATCAATGTGGCGACATCGGAGGCTCAGATGAAAGGCTGGTAGGTCGAGATCGTTCAAGGAGTTGTCTTGCCCAGGTAACGACACCGCAGCTCGGCTAGCCTCGGCGACCACCTCTGAGAAAAGGTGTGCGGTGAGACCCCCGGAATTTAAGATAATAAATATTTATCATTTAGGTTTAAATATTTTCATTGCCGGTATATTAAAATAACATCCAAAATTCTACCATTGAATATTAAAATCGAATTTAAATAGTTTAATGTAAAATAATAAATGATAACGTATTCAATAATACGGGAATATTGATCAATCTTACCCATTATAACCCCCGATTTACGCTTTCACATTTCATGAATCCAGACCAGCCATTGGGAGCAACTTCCTTCTGGAAATCTCGGCCCGTTAAAGTGTTTACCAGGCCCAGTGGATTTTTTTGGGCCACTTTGGTCAACGGCAGGTGGTCGCCTTCTCCGCGTGTTCCTCCCCGGAGGTTCAACCTGTTCATGCAGCAGGGCGGAGCTGTTCCTGCTCTGTTGCGTTATTCTTCGCCGATGAGGTTCAAGCGAGAGAAGTGGGCGTTTTCATGGCCGTCCAGCTCAAATCCTCTCAGTCAGTTCTACCACAATCTTTTCCTACAATCTCGTCATTCAATGCATCTCAAGCTTTTCCCGTGAGTTTCAGACGTCGAGCTTCCGGCTGGAGCGGCGGAGCCGGCGCCGTCTCGGCTGCGATGTGTCCGATCGGCGCTGAGCAGGATAAGTCGGCGGCCACGTCGCAATTCTGTGGATTAGGGCATGTCGCCCGTCCCACCTCGTTGCCATCGACGGTCGTCGGCACGTCCGCTCTGCTCGGCAAACCAGGAGGAGACACGAGGAACTCCTTCTGCCGTCAGTCCCCGCCGCGCAGCCCGCAGAGGGGGAGATTGGACGCGCCGGTGGAAGATGATAAGGACGGCGAACTGATTTGACCCTCGTAATTTTTTCGTCTCGTCACGCACGCCGCAGCCTTCTGCTGACAATCACGGCGATTGGGACAAGAAACTACGGAGGGGAGGACCGAGCTGTGACAAAAGTGTTGTTCACTGCTCGCAGATGCAGAGCACTGGGCCTTGCGGCATGGCGTGAAAATATCCTCGGCGCCACTTGCCGAAGCTCTGACCGAGAATATATAGAGGGCGGTTCCCCTCGGGAAAGTGGAAGCGGCAGCTCGATTCCGTCCAGAGGGAGAGAGAGAGAGACAGACAGAGACAGACAGAGACAGACAGAGACAGACAGAGACAGAAAGAGAGAGGGAGGAGGAGGTCAGGAAACCATGGCGCCCAAGTTTGGGCGGGTGCCCAGCATCAGGGAGAGGGTGGAGGACACCCTCTCCGACCACCGCAACGAGCTCGTCGCCCTCCTCTCCAGGTCCTCGTCTCTCCTCTTCTTCCCATTCGTCCACCGGCGGCGAAAGTCTGGAGCAATTACTGACTTCGTGATCTGCTTCTTTGCCCTGAGGCAGGTACATGGGGCAGGGAAAGGGCATCCTGCAGCCGCACCACCTGCTCGACGAGCTCTCCAACGTGATCGCCGAGGACCATGGTCGCAAGCTCGAGGACGGCCCCTTCTTCGAGGTCCTCAAAACCGCCCAGGTCTGGCCTTCCGTACTCCCCCTACCACCATCTGTAGACCATTTCATCCTGTAGTTTTCTAACGGAGCTCTCTCCTCCCCCTCTGCATGCAACTCCCTCTTCTGGTTCAGGAGGCCATAGTTCTTCCTCCATTCGTGGCCATCGCCGTCCGCCCCCGCCCCGGGGTCTGGGAGTACGTCAGGGTCAACGTGTACGAGCTGAGCGTAGAGCAGTTGAGCGTCTCCGAGTACCTTCGCTTCAAAGAGGAACTCGTCAATGGCCAGTGAGTCCAATTTTGCCCCCTTCCCTCCCCTGATCCGTCCTCGTTCTGCTCCTCGAGCAAGAAATCCGCACCAGAGAATCATATTCTTCCCCCCTCCCGTTCGACAGCTTCAACGACCTTTACGTGCTTGAGCTGGACTTCGAGCCGTTCAATGCGTCGTTCCCCAGGCCCAGCCGGTCGTCCTCCATCGGGAACGGGGTGCAGTTTCTCAACCGCCACCTCTCGTCGATCATGTTCCGCAACAAGGACTGCTTGGAGCCTCTACTCGATTTCCTCCGAGCGCACAAGTACAAGGGTCATGTGAGTTCCCTTCGGACTCCCATCCTTCCGTCCAGGGCTCTTGCCGCCATTAATTTCCCCATTCGGGAATATCCTCAATCCACGCTCAGAACCCTTCTTCGTTCGATCCCGTTGATGTGTATTACCTGTTCATTTGGCAAACAGATACCAATCGAATTCCTGTTTCCGTGCTCGATCGAACATATATTTTCCAGGTATTGATGGTGAACGACAGGATACAGAGCTTGTCCAGGCTTCAGGCTTCTCTGGTGAAAGCAGAGGAATACTTGACCAAGGTCCAACCAGAGACGCCGTTCTTTGAATTTGCGTACAGGTAAGAACACGGCGTTCCTGGAATCGCTCTTGGTCTCTGGTTACTGTTCATGAACAAAGATGAGCCTATCCAGCATCTCCAGATCTCTCAGGCTATCCTAAATCTCTACGTAGATTCCAAGAGCTGGGATTGGAGAAAGGATGGGGTGACACAGCCGAACGATCGTTGCAGATGATACATCTCCTTCTGGACATTCTTCAGGCTCCCGATCCCGCCACTCTGGAGACCTTCTTGGGTAGGATCCCCATGGTGTTTAATGTCGTCGTCGTTTCCCCCCACGGGTACTTCGGCCAGGCCAATGTTCTTGGGTTGCCCGACACAGGCGGCCAGGTACACCACCATCACCAAAATCTCTGTCAAATTGCTATTATGATGATGATGATGAGTCTAGGGTTATTCTGCCTGGTAGATTGTGTATATATTGGATCAAGTTCGAGCACTGGAGAACGAAATGATCGTGAGGATTCAACGCCAAGGGCTGAATGTGGATCCGAGGATCCTCGTGGTACGGCCGAGCCCACAACCCTTCGACCTTGCCCCTCCCCCCGTTTGACCTGCCACGCCGCGTCGTGACCCATATTTTCGTCCATTTATGGAAGGTGACGAGATTGATACCCGACGCGAAGGGGACGACCTGCAACCAGCGGCTGGAGAGGATCACCGGAACGCAGCACACTCACATCCTGAGAGTTCCTTTCAGAGCGGACAAGGGGATTCTCCGCAAATGGATCTCCCGGTTCGACGTGTGGCCCTTTCTCGAGACCTTCGCGGAGGTAATTTGGTGGCACGATCAAGTTCCCAACCAGTCCATCACATTCCATCTCATGCGTACGTGATGGCGTGTTCCTCCTGCGGCTGTAAATCGCTGGAACTCGGAAGCAGAAATGCAGATTTTTTTCTTTAAAGAAAGATATTTAAAGGCGCTGGGTTATTTCTCACTTACTGTCTGATGATGTTATTTCCCCTGTCAGGATGCATCGAGTGAGATTGCCGCGGAGCTTCAGGGCATTCCGGACCTGATCATCGGAAACTACAGCGATGGGAACCTCGTTGCATCCTTGTTAGCCTATAAGCTGGGAATCACGCAGGCATGGATCATCCTTCTGCTTCCATTGATTTATTTATTTAGTTATTTATTTATGCGTTTACCTAATTTTTGTGCTTCTTGCAGTGCAACATCGCCCATGCATTGGAGAAGACCAAATACCCTGAATCGGACATATATTGGAAAAATTACGACGAAAAGTACCATTTTTCGTGCCAATTCACGGCCGATCTGATCGCCATGAACAATGCTGACTTCATCATCACCAGCACCTACCAAGAGATTGCGGGAAGGTGGGCCTCTTTCCCCGCTAAGGCATTTAATCGAATAGTTCTGCGATTTCTCGGCAAGGGAAGTGACTCGACGGGCCTTCTTTTTTCTGTTTTCTTGAATCGAATTTTCAGCAAGAACACCGTCGGACAGTACGAGAGTCACGCCGCCTTCACTCTTCCTGGCCTCTATCGGGTCGTCCACGGCGTCGACGTGTTTGACCCAAAGTTCAACATCGTCTCTCCGGGAGCTGATATGTCCATCTATTTTCCGTATTCGGAGAGAGATAAGAGACTGACCTCCCTTCATGGATCAATCGAAGAGCTTCTGTTCGGTTCGGAGCAGAGCGACGAGCACATGTGGGTGTTCTCGAGCATGCACCGTGAGGATCGATAATCCAGGAGAGTTGACTTCTTCTTCTTTTTCTTGATTCTTCCTCTCTCTCTCTCTCTCTCTCTCTCTCTCTCTCCAGAGGTCGGCTGGATGATCGGTCGAAGCCCATCATCTTCTCCATGGCGAGGCTCGATCAGGTGAAGAATATCACAGGGCTGGTGGAGTGGTTCGGCCAGAGCCCCGAGCTGAGGCAGCTAGCCAACCTCGCCGTCGTCGCCGGCTACAACGATGTGAGGAAATCGAACGACAGAGAAGAGGTCAAGGAGATCGAGAAGATGCACGAGCTCATGAAGACGTACCACCTGGACGGCCAGTTCCGCTGGATTTCTGCCCAGATGAACAGAGCCCGCAACGGCGAGCTCTACCGCTACATTGCCGACACCGGCGGCATCTTCGTTCAGGTGCGCTGGCCTTCATCCTCTTTCCCTTAACCGGCTAATTGGTCTTTCAGACTGATCTCTCTCTCTCTCTCTCTCTCTCTCTCTCTCTCTCTCTCTCTCTCTCTCTCTCTCTAGCCGGCTTTCTACGAAGCGTTCGGGCTGACAGTGATCGAGGCGATGACATGCGGGCTTCCAACCTTCGCAACCTGCCATGGCGGACCAGCAGAGATCATCGAGCACGGGATCTCGGGGTTCCATATCGACCCATACCACCCTAACCAGGCCTCCAAGCTCATGACTGACTTCTTCGAGCGATGCCAGAGAGAGCCCTTGTACTGGACTCAGATCTCCGATGCAGGGCTGCGGAGGATCCACGAGAGGTGCCTCCTTCCTCCTCTCCCCGAAGTCAACTCCTAGCTGTCTCTTCGTCCAGAATGAGGAAATCTTCGAGCTCGCCTGCAGGTACACGTGGAAGATATATTCCGAGAGGCTGATGACTCTGGCCGGGGTCTACGGCTTCTGGAAGTACGTCTCGAAGCTCGAGAGGCGAGAAACCCGGCGGTACCTAGAGATGTTCTACATCCTCAAGTTCCGCGACCTGGTAAGCTGCTCATCTCCGATCTTTGCGTTAATTTTCAGTTGCATTGACTTCCTCCCATCGTCAGGTGAAATCCGTTCCCCTGGAGACAGATGACTAAAAGCTGTGGATCCTCGCTGCCGTCGCCCCCAGTTCATCTGTTTGCAGCAGATTACTGCTGCCTGTGATCAATAATAAAAATATTAATATTAATAATGAGGGCCGTTCATAGTTTTTCGCTCTGAAAAAAATTGTTTTTGGTAATAACATTACTACGTTGTTCATAATTCTGGCCTGGGCCTCGTCTGAACGTGGTCGGGACTTTCTAGACGATCGCATCCCGTGTTAGCATAGTTCCTGGTACGCGAGGAATCATATGGCGACACGTGGCGACTTGAAGGATCATCAAATCCGTTACGAATGAACCAGCAATTGTCTATATCAATTCCTCCAGCGCGTGTTCCCCAGTGGCGCTATTCTGCTGCTGCTTGGGGGATGGCGCGGCAGACGAGCGATCTACAGGGGCGGGTTCAGGCGGCGCACCAGTTCGATGAAGGTGCTCTTCTGAGATACGTCCGAGCAAACGTCGAGGGTTTCCCCTCCAAACTCCTTAAATTCACCGTCGCCCAGGTACGTGAACGCCAGCCCCCGCTGATGCGGAGTTCGTGCCTCTCATTCCCTGCGCCCCATCCCACGCTCGTCCTGCTTCTGTCGACGAGATGCTGAGTTCTTATTTCTTCTTCCACTCGACTTCTTCCCCACCCACCCACCTCCGCCCACCGTTTTTTTTCCGTTTTGCAGTTTGGGCATGGGCAGTCCAATCCGACATTCTTACTGGAGGCCGTGGGGGAAGGGCGATCGGGTACGTTGGTTAACCGGTACGTGCTAAGGAAGAAGCCCCCCGGTGAGATATTGCAATCGGCTCACGCTATTGAAAGGGAATTCCAAGTAAGAATTGGGAACCCATCGGAAGGAATGTTTCGTTAAAGCAATCAGATGCAATCACTGTGCCCCCTTCCCTCTCCCCGCCCCCTCTCTGCCTTCTCAATCGAAGGAACGGCTTTCGTATTACTTCTATTTTTTCTGCCTTCAAAACCAATGTAGAACCTAATTTTGAGGGAAGCTTGATAAATATTTTCTGACATATTTGGTACATAATAAACAGTGTTTATGTATGAATTGTACAGACTTGATGTTGAAGCATAGTCGTTGCTATTTTACGAATAAGATGGTTTCTTTATCCGACACTCACCAGAAGGTGTGGCAGGACCTGTTTTTATCCCAAATAGGCATGATATACGAAGCAATAGTTGTCTTTTCAGAGTCTCAGGGAGCAAAAATTGGATTGCATGATCTTCTTTTGATAGGCTACTTAATCTAAATATTTACGATATTAGCTCTACACTGGCTCCTAAATCTTCAGGTGCTGAAGGCCTTAGGTGCGCATACCGATGTTCCTGTTCCCAAAGTTTTCTGCCTATGCCCAGATCCTAGCATCATCGGGACACCATTTTATATCATGGAGTACTTGGAAGGGCGTATTTTTTTGGACAGCAGCCTTCCTGTAAGATCTCATATAAGCTCATAGTGCTTTATTTACATTTTTAGACCTACCTTTCCTTATACTTTAATAACCGTCAGTAGGATTGCTGGTCACGTGGAATGTAGTCTGTGCTTCAATTATTTTGTGCATGCAGGGGCTGGCTCCAGAAACGAGGAGAGCAGTTTATGAAGCGACCGCCAAGACTTTGGCAGCTCTGCACAGGGTCAATGTAGACTCGATTGGGCTAGGCAAACTTGGTCGTCGGGAAAACTACTGCAAGAGACAAGTATCATATTCCACCAAGCTTTCAATCTTGACAAAAGATAAATCTTATTTTTTTAGATAAGTTACAGTTATTGCTGCTAAGAGAAACCCTTGATAGACATTATTATAAATTTTGTACTGTCAATGACCATTATGCGACCTACTATTTTTCTTTTTAGTCTCATCCTCTTAAGTATATGGCTGCATGACATCTCCTTTAACGAGAAACATTGGAGAGATCTCGCTACTTTGGTCTACTGATCATAAAGAAATGTGCATACACATCTCTGAACAGATTTTGATAAAGTTCGGTGGTGCCTGATTACTCACTTTTAAGCAGGCATGTATTTTTGCAGGGTCCACCTTATTGTGCAAAGGAGTAGAAAAGAGGCAATAATTTTTTGATATTTATATCCATATTTTCTTTTTATCCGGACCTTTGATCAGCTGCTTCATTTTTTTCCAATAGATTACGATAAGTCATTCTTCAATGAGCGCGAATTCTTGTAAATTATTGAGAAAAAAGTAATTTTTTTGTTCTAGGTGGAAAGATGGGAGCGGCAGTATCTTCTTTCGACTGGTGAAGAAAAGCCAGTGAGAAATCCTAGAATGCAAGATCTGGCAGGATGGCTGAAGCAACATATTCCTCTTGAAGATTATTCTGCATCTGCAGGAACTGGTCTTGTACATGGTGACTTTCGGATTGATAATCTAGTTTTCCACCCTACAGAGGTTTGAATCTTTAGGAAATCCTCTTTTGGGCCATGGGTTAGATAGGGAGGATTAAGATATTTTATAAAAATAGCGGCAATTGTAGTTTTCTGACCTCTGTTCTCGTTTCAATTCAACTATTTCTTTCCCGATCTGTGTGTACAAGTAACAGTTTGTCCAACTTAAAAAAGAAACTTCTTTTCTGTGTGGATGATTTTCGCTAAACTGCCTCATTAGAAAGTTCAGTAGGGTTGTTAATCTGATTGAACATTCACAGATTCTCTTACTTTATCATTTTCCTGCATAAGACATGTTACTGTTACTCATTTCACTGTAATTTCCTTGACGTAGTACGAAGTCATTGGCGTTATCGATTGGGAATTGTCTACACTCGGGAATCAAATGTGTGATGTTGCGTACAGCACCTTGGTACGCACCAAAATATTTTATGCATTGATATTTTTTTCTTTTACCTTCTCTTTTGCATCTTTTGGGGTATACTGCAGACCTATTTTCTTTTATTGTCAGTTATGTCTGACTGGTTAGCAGTAAGTTCTCTCTGGTTTTTACGAGTAGTTCAGTTCTGTCTCTGCATACCTAAGTAGTTCAGTTGCGGCAATTTTTCTTTAGATGTTTAAACATTTTTTAATGCCCTATGATATGCACAATATGCAAAAATATGTATCTTAGGACAAGTTGGAGGAGATATTAAGACAACTAGGAAAGATTTTACATTTTATGTGTTAAAGTTTTAAAAGGCAAATACAGCAAGTTCCCAGACCGTGCTGTCAACACATCGGCCTGATAATAAAGCTCAATTAATTAATGATCTAAAGCACAAGCTCGTGCGGCCAGAAGCAGGAGACTACATCCGATGTAAGCCTATGTTTTATGGTTTGAACAAGCTTCTATATCATCATCATCATCTTCAGCAGTGACGAATCCTGGATCATCGTATAACTACCATCCCAACATTACTACACAAACACAATAGACCTAAAACACAAGTAAACACAAAGACACAGATATTTGCAGAAGTTCAGCATTCATAACCAGCTTTCTATCTTTGGCTCACCCCTCCAACCCCTACCAAAAAAAAGGAACAAAGAGAAAACACCTAGAAACTTTCAAAGGCCCAACTATCTGTGCCAAAATATTCACCCTTCAATGACGAGAATGGTTCGTTTTTCTAAAAATTTATTTGCGAAAATGTATTTAGAAGAACCTCTGACACAACTAAGTTTATTTGTCATCTCTTTCAGCATTCCACTTTGGCATTTTTTCATTGACATAATCTTAGTGCATGTGCATTCCGCATCCCTCCCTCCCTCCCTCCCTCCCTCTCAAAAAAAGATACACAAAAAAAGGCTCATGACATACATAATCCCATGTTTAATCTACTTGGCTAGTCTTGTTTCCCATAAGATAGCTTCCCATAGTCTTCTTTACCCATGCAAAGAGTTATCGATTTTTTTGAAATGGAAGTCAAGGATGGCCTGGTTTGTTAGGACAAAGATATTGATATTTTAGTGATGGAAACAGAAAATAAATCTGAACTATTTTCTTGGCAGCACTTCATAATGGATATCACACTAAGTGCAGAATCCCGTGGTGGGCTTCAGACTGAAGGAATTCCTCTACAAGCGGAGTATCTCGCTGACTATTGCAAAGCAGCTGTAAGTATTAATTGGGGCTTTTTTACATGTATAATTATTTGGCTTATGTATGATTTTTTCTTGTTTTAATTATGTTGCTCATAAGCGTCAAGGTTACTCACTTCCTTTCTATAACGTTTAGGGGAGGCCCTGGCCGATGGAAAACTGGAAGTTTTATATTGCCTTCTCTTTGTTCCGTATTGCAGCAATATATGCTGGAGTATATCACAGATGGACTATGGTATTTCTCTTCAGCATGGCTTGCCACCATGACTACTTTAATTTCGGAGACATAAGTGGAATTGCTTTACATTTTGTAGGGTAATGCTTCAGGGGGTGAACGTGCTCAACATACTGGAAAACAAGCCAACAGATTTATTGATATAGCCTTGGAATTTATCCGTCTGGCACATGTTCTTCCCGATCAACCTCCATCAGGTGGCTTTCGATTTTTTTCATTTGACAATCACATTATCCGGCAATGTTCACCATGTCAATGACTGCGACTTTGTTTCCGCACTTGAACCTTGAGCTTGTTTGCATGTATTTAATTTTCATTAGAAATAATACAATGCATACTCCCTTTAAATGAATTTCCCTCAGACTTAAATCCGGAGTTGCACTTCTCATTTGGGTATGTCTCGCTGTATTCTTAAACATGTCCATTGACTTTGCTAACTAATATATTAGCCGAATTGTTAGTCAAAGTTACCACCTGCATTGTTCAAATGGTTAAGCTGCTAAATATATATGATTTCTCCCATGTGAAGCTTTTGGATAAGGGTAGAAGTCGTTGAACGATTCGTATACTCTATGCTCCTTGCACGATAAAAAATGAAATCAGTAATGATGCTGTCGACTAAATAACTTGTTTAGAATCAAAGCTAATTTTAAAGCGTGCTTTTAGGTCTTATGCTTGATGGAACTCTTGTGAATGTATTGGGTCTAGGTATTACGTGTATAATGGAATACCCACTTTTTCCCTTCATCACACTTCACTTTCTTACGTCCTTTGGATCAAAGGCCCTACACGTATTTGCCCAAATTCCCCTTCGTAGAAGAATCAGGAACATCGATTTTTTTGTGAGAATTTGGACATCTCATATAGATACTTATTTTTCAGCATTGGCCAATTCTAACCCAGAACCGTGTGACTTTTCTGAGATTAATTGATAAACAGCTGATTTTGATGGGTTTGCCTCCGTATTTGAAGCGAATCGAATTTGAATCAGTCAATCCTAGCTGATTACCTTTTTAGTCGAATTGCTACCTAATTCAGATGATTTGGCCGACGACAAATATTTAGTAGAATCAAGGATGACAGCAGTCTCTTGGACCATCTAATCTGATTTTTGAACTCCTTTTTACTGATATATTTTATCAAAATAGATAAATATGACTTCCAATTTTATTCCTCTCTATTTTTCTTTAAAATTATAACTCGGTGTATAAAAATTCTGGTTATTATCCAGCATTTTAGTGCCTAAATACTTGAAATCAAACTTGTATTTATTTATTAAAATTCGATTCGTCGATCAATTTCCTGTTCGGTTTGCAGTTCACGTAAATAATGACCATCTCATCGACAGCAGCAGGAGCAACATACATCATAGTTGGCATTAGAATGTCACCATTATCTATCACTATGAACTTATCCAAACGTTATGGAGTCAAAATCGACATGGTGATTTTCACCATACATGATTATAATGTATGTTATTCGATGTGACTATGCATGTTTATAATGTATGTTATTTCCACTACGCAGTTTCTGGAAGGCTTCAAAATCATTTTCATGAAGAGAGCAGAAGTCAATCTTCATCCAAAGGAAGTGGAAATTTTGTTCCCACCCAAAAGGTTTTGGAACTACGAGATAAATTGCTTTTGTTTATGGAAAAGCATATATATCCTATGGAAAGTGAATTCTACCAACTAGCACAATCGAATAGACGATGGACGATTCATCCAGAAGAGGAAAGATTGAAGGAACTGGCAAAAAAAGAAGGGCTTTGGAATTTATGGATCCCTGTATGCACTTATCAATATCGACTCTATATTATTTAAGTTGCATTTATCACCTCCCTGTACCTAACCCATCAGATTTTTGTTGTAAGGACTCGTAACTGACTATTTGATGCACAGTTAGACAGCGCTGTCAGAGCAAGAAAACTTCTTCTCGATAATACACTGAAAACTGCTGCTAGGAACGAGCGTTTATTGGGTGCCGGGCTTTCAAATCTGGAGTATGGATACATTTGCGAGATTATGGGTCGTTCTGTCTGGGCTCCTCAAATTTTCAATTGTGGTCCACCTGACACGGGGAATATGGAGGTAAGGAGTCATTTTGAGAAGATATGCACGCAGCTTTTGTTTTCGTTTCTATTGAGCACTTACTGCCATTCTCATGTCGATGCTCATTCCATGGTATGCCTCTACCTGTCTCAGGCCATAGACTGCGTTTTACAGGTCTGGTCTGGCTTGTCATATCTTCCTATACAATGATCTGGACACATTCCAACCTATATTCTCGGTCTGATACTTATTCTGTGATGTTTCCTGTGCCTCATTATGCTTACTCCAAATTGTTGTTTATTTTCACTTACATTTCATCTTCGTTCGCCGAATCTTGGCCGAGTGTTTTTAAAACTAAAAAAGTTCTCTCGTTCATATTTAATTTTTCTGATGGTTCTTATGGTGGAACTTTCATAAAAAATTCAAAAGTTATCAAACGACCTACCACTGTCTTGTGCCCTCTACTCGAGCAAATATTTCACAAGTGAAACGAGCGTCTTCACGGTCTAGCTTCTAATCTTCTTGCGTGTTAGGTACTGCTGAGGTATGGAAACAAGGAGCAGCAGAAAGAATGGCTCGTCCCATTGCTAGAAGGAAACATTCGATCTGGATTTGCAATGACCGAGCCTCGTGTTGCATCCTCAGATGCAACCAACATCGAATGTTCAATTAGACGGTAGGTCTTCTTTGCAAGCACATGTAACCTTCTTGTTCCTACCGTTTGATCGCTTCACTTACTTGAATCTAAGCATTATGGATGGGGATGTTATTTCACTTGCTTACTTAGTCCATGCCGTATCTTATGTCCCATGAAGGATCAATAATGAGAACTGATAAAAGATCCCAAATTTGTCAAATTTTCTGTGGCTGGTTTATCAGGGATTAGTGAAAGCTTGTTCCCACCTCACACAACATGAGAACTTGTTTGATCTTTTTCCTGGCGGGTTAATAATATGATCCCACTAGAAATGACTGCATCTGCTTTTCTGCCCAACAACAGAGAAGGGAATTTCTACGTCATCAATGGCACCAAGTGGTGGACCAGTGGGGCCATGGACCCTAGGTGCCGACTTCTCATAGTGATGGTGAGTTTCATCACATTCCCATTTTGATTGTTTTTCTCCACCCCATCTCTTTATTTTGCTTAATTTAGTACTATGTTTATTTCAAAAAACCCACTGAGATGGAGAGTCTACACAGGGAAAAACAGATTTCAATGCCCCTAGGCACAAGCAGCAGTCGATGATTCTGGTAGATGCCGAGGCCCCGGGTGTTCTCATAAGGAGGCCACTCTTGGTGTTTGGCTTCGATGACGCCCCTCATGGGCATGCAGAGATATCCTTCGATAATGTGAGGGTGCCAGTGGAGAACATCCTCCTTGGAGAGGGCCGTGGGTTTGAGATCGCTCAGGTGAGGGTCAAAGTTGCCCCTTTTATTGAACCATTGGTCCGAAGGGATCTGTGTAATCTCTGGATATTATTATTTTCTGGTATATTTCCCGCATCTGTGTGATTTATGCTTGACGTAGGCGACATCTTGGTGAAGCCCACTCATTTGGTTCCATGCTTGGGATCATCTAGGAGTTCAGGGTGGCTCACTTCTCTCCTCTCTCTCTCGCAGGGGCGGCTAGGTCCGGGGAGGTTGCACCACTGCATGAGACTGGTTGGAGCTGCAGAGCGCGGCATGCAGCTGATGGTACAGAGGGCTCTGGGGAGGAGAGTATTTGGGAAGACGATCGCAGAGCAGGGTTCATTTTTGTCCGACCTCGCCAAGGTGATATTTACTTGCGTCTTTCATTCTATCCTTCCTCCCCTACTTTGCTGACCAAACCGGGGTGCCCTATACAGTGCCGCGTGGAGCTGGAGGCGACAAGGCTTCTGGTTCTCGAAGCGGCGGATCAACTCGACAGGCTTGGGAACAAGAAGGCTCGCGGAACAATCGCCATGGCGAAGGTGAACCGTGAGGATCCCCTAACTTCTGAAACTGGGCCTGCGATATCTTCTGCCTGACGGTTGACTTCCTGCTTTGCCGTCGCAGGTGTCGGCTCCCAACATGGCACTGAGGGTACTGGACATGGCGATGCAAGTCCACGGGGCCGCCGGCTTGTCGTCTGATACTGTTCTGTCCCACCTCTGGGCTACCGCTCGGTCCCTGAGGATCGCCGACGGCCCCGACGAGGTCCATCTGGGCACCATAGCCAAGCTGGAGCTCCAGAGAGCGAAGCTATGAAGGAGACTCATCCTCCAGGAGCAGGCTTGATGATGATGGGTCGGTAGTTGGAATGAAGAAATCGTTTGACCTGCAGTTCGTGATACAAAGTTTAATCTCCAGAGTGCGTTGGTGGAACAATAAAGTACATATTCAGTTGATCAAATATTAAAGCGTCGCCTTTTTCGTCTGGGTTGCCTGATCGATCCCGCCGGCGTGCCTCCTGGGAGAAGGCCGAGGATGAGAACACATGGGCACGCCGTAGGCGTGGTATATATATGTATCCCACGCGTTGTCCGGCTTTGCCAGCCCGAAAGAGGGTTTGGCGAGGTCTCGGTCATGGAGAAAGCGCGTGGAGGAGAAGACGAAGGCAGATGGAAAACCCTAATGAGAAACCGACGAGGCGGATGCGCCGGATAAAGGCGGAACCCACAGTTTCACGATGAGACGGGAATCGTCGCAGAGAATCTCTGATAAGATTCTTGGCCTATTTTCGCTCTCTGCACCAACGACAGCCTTCTCCTCGCTGCGCCGCCAGAGTCAACCTCCCGTCACCATCCGCAGTGCCGGATGGGGAGAGCCCTGCCCTTTTCTTACGTCGACACGATGCATCGGGGAGAAGAGTCGTCGCATCCGGGAATTTCTTCCAACCAGTCCCGTCAGTCTCTAGCATAACAGAGATCAAGTTCCTCCGAAAACTCAATAACAAGTGACAACGCACTCTAAGTTAAAAAGGAAGTGCCCGCCGCCGGCGGCCCGCCCCACACACCGTCGTGCCTTTCCGTTCTTCGGCCGCACGGCGGGGGGGGGAGCACCCGCACACTTTAAACTAAAAAACCCAACAAGATGAGAAACCTGATCCTTGCGGGAGTGAGCGCGGTGACTGTTGGTCTCAGAGCTGGCCGGAGGAGTGAGCCAGGTACGCGAGGGCTCCGACGAGGGGGGCATTGATGTAGGTGGCCGGCTCGGATTGCTCGTAGTCGGAGCGCTGGTCGGGAAACCGGTCCTTAACGTCCGGCCCGCCGACGACGGCGCCGACGAGTACGTTCGGGTTCGGCGTGCCGGAGTTCATCAGGCTGAACCCGGCGGAGCAGGGGATCTTAGCCGGATGAGCCGCCACCGATGGCAGGGACGATCCCCGATGATGGATCCTCTCCGGATACCTGCTCCCGTAGCCCACCATGTAGGACATCTTCAGGGGGTTATCGCCGAGGATGTAGTCCACCTGCCGCTTGGCGATGCGGCGGAGCGTCTTGGGTGTCACGGTGGCGGCGCCACAGGAGACTACCTTGCCGGAGTAGGTGAGGTACTTGGCGTACGTCAGGAGGAGGAAGGAGGTGGAGGTCACGTACTGCATGTTGCTGTCGCTCATCTTGAACAGCAAGCCCCCTGGATCCAAAAAAAAGAAAAAAGAAAAACATCAGATAATATAAACAATGGCAAAGAACATCAATCAATCAGAGAAAGAGAGGGAAAGACCTGGCGTGTATTGAGTCTGGGAGAAGGGTGTGCCGGGTACAAGAGAACAGATGAAGGTATCGGCATGGCCCTTGTATTCGTAGAGAGACTTCACATTCTGGACGAGGAAGGCCTGCCACAGAGATCGAAGAGGATGATCATCGGAAACAGAAGAAGAGGAAGAAGAAGCAGAGACATGAAGACGGAGGTAAAAGGAGGACCTTGGATAGGAGAATCCTCGCCCCAACATGCTTGTTGTCCCAGCCAAAGATGCTGTCGGACTCATCAGCACCGAGGGTCTGACCATTGACCTGGATGTAGCTGAGGTACGCCGGGTCCCGGGTGGCCCTATGCAGCCATGCCGCTCCCCACAGCAGCTCATCCTTCGTTGAGCGAGTCCCCAGAGACAAAGTTTCAAGGAATGCGGCTCAGAAGGTCGACAACAATCGGAAAAACAGGCCAGGTTCATCAATCTAGAGAGAGACCGAGGATACCTGATAGCCGGAGTACGAGCAGTAGAAGGGGCACACAGCAGACTTCAGCCCGTTGCTGTAGGGGCCTCTGTACTTGTCCGCGAACTCGAATACCTGTAAGATTCCATCGCATTAGCAGCCGGCGTCCGCAGAAATGAAAGGAAGAGCTTTTGGCCGGTGCGAGAAGGTGGATTATCGTACGCTGATGGCCCTCCTGCGGAGAAGCTTGGAGTAGGCCGGGTCGGTTTTTTGGAACACCAGGGAAGCAGCGGCTAGAGCGGCGGCGGTCTCCGCGGCAACGTCCGAGCCTGGGTTGCTGGGGTCGACCTTGAAGACGGTCCTCGGCGTGTCCATGTCCTCCGGCCTCTCCCAACACGCGTGATCTTTGTTGGCATCCCCAACCTGCAGAACTAAAACAGAAGAAGCTCAGTCCCTTCGCATCACCTCCATACCATCTCCATCGTTCGCCATTTCCTCCACCCTCATTGTACCCAACCACTCTCTGGGGGAAAGAGTGAGAAACGAGGGATACAGAACCAGGAAGAAACCCAGCAAGAACACGAACACGGACCAGGATTGGCATGAAAAACTACCGAGGAAACCCCGCCATAGACGATCATTTGCATGGTAAAACAAACAAAAACAACAGAGTTATGGAGATTAGTTATCAATGGATGATGATGCCCACCTGGACGTAGACCGTGTTGGGGTGGGCGGTGGCTTTGAGAAGGTAGTCGGAGGCCCAGCGGATGGCTTCCCTTGCATTCTGCAGCTCCCCCTTCATCACCCCGCCGAACTCGACCACGCTCCACGCCAGCATGGTGGTGGTGAACGCCATGGGGAACCCGAACTTCACGTTGTCCCCCGCGTCGTAGTATCCACCGACAAGGTCCACCTGCATTGTCCCAGATGAGCCTCCGACGCCGTTCAAAACGCGAGGGGGAAGGAGAGTTCGGCAGCTCTTACGTGCATGGAGGAGCCGTCGGAGAGGCCGGAGTCCCTCCTCCACTTGAGCCTCTGGCTCGGGGGCAGCCGGCCCGACCTTTGCCCTTCGAAGAAGATGATGGACTTGGTGAGGGCATCTCGGTAGTTGTGGGTCGCCGCCATATGGTGCCTTGGGTGGACTGGAAGGGCCACGGCGCCGACCAGAAACAAGAAGAAGATGAGAGAGACCGGCGAGGGGAGAAAAAGTGCCATCTTGTTCTTCACAGAGCTCCGACTGGACGAACACCCACTGGGAGGAAGAACACTTCCGAGGAGGCATTTATAAAACCCAGACCTCCGCAAACCCAGGTCGCTCTGTTCCTGCTCTTCTTGTCTTCATTCTGCGAGCATTCCTCTCTCTCTCTAGAGAGAAAGACAACACAGGCGATTGATGCATTTTTTAAACGCCACACGAGTCGGGAGCTTTAAAGGCGACAATGCCCCTACACTTTCTCCTTCCACGCTGGAACGTCCCCGTGCTCCACCGTTGGCTCGCTACTCCGGCGACGGCCCCCCCATTCATTGCATTCCCCGACGAGCATTTACTGGCGTATGTTTTCTTCCTCTCAGTTAGGTTTCCGCCGCAACGGTCAACACCGGGGACTGTAGCGTCACGGGCTCTCCCCTGTCTGCCCCGCCAGTGCATCTCTATCGAGGTCCGAAGCCCGATGACAGGGGGCCCCGCGCACCCCTGTTCGTCGGATCGGTGTGCCTAAACGAATGGCCGAGATGCCCCCAAAGGACGGCCCTGTTCCCCAAAACCGGGCTTAAACGAAAGTCGGGCCCGGGCCCAGCATGCGGAGATGGACGAGGTGGGCCGGACTGGGAGCAGCTCCGAGCTTAACAATCAATTAATCGACCACAAAACTACGAAATGCTTATTAATCCCAAATACTTCTGATCTGATTGGCTGACGACCCGCGTCAATAATTTCGTCCATATAAATAATTTTATCTTTTATAAAATAAATATTTGAATGTCGCTCTTCGATGACTTCCCAAAATTGGTCAGCAATCAGTACGTCATCCATCTCTCTCTCTCTCTCTCTCTCTCTCTCTCTCTCTCTCTCTCTCTCCCTCCTCTCTGAAGAGAAAGAAACAGCGCAACCTTTTTCCCCTATAAGAAGGCAACAGCAGAAGCCGGGGGCAGTAATCAGCGGCCCAAAATACCAACCGTAAGCGCGCCGCGGCGTGGGTCCCGCCGCGTAACCGGGAAAAGCCCTCCGAGATGTCATGATTACTGGGCCTGGGTCAGGCCCCCATTTGCCCTCCCACATGTGGCTATCTGCAGAAATACCCCCACGTACTTATTTAATTTACATAAACACCCCCTGCTAGTCCGTTGGGAGCCTCGAAAGCGCCTGCGGCTGCAGAGGCGTGGCCTAGTAACGATCGCCGCCTCCCGACCGGCTTGACCTGACAGGAGGGATCCGTGGGACCCACGATGTCGGAACGTTCGATGACCGTTACGTAGCCGTTAAAAGATCCCGAAAAACGGCAGCATAGGGTAACGGTCTCGCGTGGCCCTGCGTCCCTAAGTTGTCCGGTAATCGAGACCCCGGCCCATTAAAAACGGGGACAGACCATATGAGCCCACAATCCCCCTGGACGAGAGAGAGAGAGAGAGATTATCGATGAGCTACGGTGGGGATCATTTTATTGAAGGGAGGGAGCACGGTGGATGCAGGGGGATGATCGGGTCGATCAGAGGCCAAGGATGAAGGGGATGCCGGTGGGACCCAGCCACTGATCTCCCTGGATGAAGGATCGGACGGTGAACTGGTTCGCCTCCGTGGAGCTCTTGATGACCCGGTAACCCGGCCAGGTGACTCGCCGGGTCGTGTTTGACCCGGGGCCGCGGTTGCGGTACTCCCCGTAGTAGAGGGTGCTCAGGGCGAAGTTCCCCGACCACGGCAACCAGCCAGCGGGGTCGATGATGTTCTCCATGAAAGAGTTTATGTAGACGGTGCGGGAGTACTGGCGCCAAGGCCGGCCCAGGTAGCTCTTGAAGGAGGACTTCACGGGGATGAGGTCGGCGGCGGCGGCGACCTTGCAGCCCTGGATGGAGATGCCGGTGTTCTCGTTGGGGTCTTGTCTCCCCTGGGCGGTGAAGATGTTCTTCTGATTAGGGTTCGGCTTGCGGGCGTAGAGGCTGCAGTTCTGCAGAACCACAGCGGCGTCGCCGAAGATGAAGTCAATGGTGCCGTAGATATCGCATTGGCGGTAGAACTGCCGGAGGGAGTGGACGTAGAGGGTGTCCTGGTAACCAACGAAGCTGCACCGGTAGAAGGCCGAGAGGTCGGAGCCGCTCCGCAGGGCCACGGCCTGCTCCTTGCTCGGCCCCGCCGCGTTCTCGAACGTCATGTCCCGCGCGATGAACCTTTTCCCGACCACCGCTGCCGCCACGGAGAGCAGGAATCAGCCGGCGAGCCGGAACAGAGAAACAGTAATCTAATCCTATTTACTTATTACGGGCGGGCCAGGTCATTCATGGTGGTGGCCAGTGTATGATCCTCGTTCTTATCCTCGATCAGATCAAAGTACGTTATTTTCCCCTCGATCTCCGGTTGCGGGTGGGTGTCAACCCGGCTGACTAGTCAGTCAGTCGTATTTAAGAAGCCAACTTGCTCATCACTTCAACGCGTCGATGAGTGACTGAGTGACTTCAGTGGCTGAGATGAAGCTTTTATGACGATGAGATACAGAGAGAGAGAGGAGAGAGAGCGAGTAGACTCACCGACAGTGGCGGACCTGAACGTAGTCCACCCATCCACGACGTTTCGGCTGGCCTTCACCACCGTCTTCCCCATCCCGTCACCGATGAACATCAGGTTCGTCTTCTTGCTGTCCACGTCCACGTTCTCGAAGTAGCCTCCGGCCTTTATGTAGATCACGAACCTGGTATTGCTGTTGCTGGGCGCCGCCGCTACCGCTGCGCTGATCGTGGTGAAGTTCCCGCTACCGTCCTTGGCAACTGTTAGGTTCGGCTTAATCCCGCTGACCGGGGCCTGGAGCAGACCCCGGTCCTTCCTCGTCAGCCATGACGGGAAGCTGTCACGATTGACCTTCCCATAGCCCGCGAAGGGCTCATCCAGGGTAGAGACTGCACCGTTGCTGCTGATCTTACCGACCAGGGCGAGGGCATTGCTGACCAAGCGTGATAAGTGCCCGATCCTGCTCTCGATGGTAGAACGGAAGGGGGAGCTCTTGCCGGACGAGTCGTTGATGAAGCCGTCTAAGCAGGTGTACTGGTTGGCGATGGAGGCGCTGAGCAAGGTTCGTAGGTCGTCGACACGTCGACTCGCGTTCCCAGTGGAAGAGAGTCCGGAGACGGTATCGCGGAGGAAGACGGCAGTCTGATCGAGGAGCTCCAGACAGTCGTTCAAGGCAATTCTCTGTGGGCCGCTGAGGGCGGCCGTCCTCTGTCGGAGAATCCCGGAGCAGTTGGAGGAAGATGAGTAAACTTCGCCGATCGTGAGGCTGACGGCGGCACTGATGATCTGGGGAAGATTCTTCGAGGTGAGGCCGCGGATGCCGTTGAGGGTGGAGACGCAGAGGGACGGGTAGAGGGTGCCATCGCAGTGCAGACGTGCCGCCTGGAGGTGGGTTTCAGCCTCGCCGGCATGTGCAGAACTGATCAACAACGACAGCAACAGGAAGAGAGATGAGCAACGGAGAAATGCATCAGTTTTCCCCTTTGGACGAGGCATTTTCCCCGGGGTAAGTTAGCGAAGAAGGGAGCAGAGGAGAAAGAGAGAAGGGAGGGAAGAGAGGATCTGGAGGCTAGTTCTAACCCAATCGCAGAGAGGGAGCATCTATCTATCCGTATATATTAGCAGACAGAGAGAGCGAGAGAGAGAGAGAGAGAGAGAGAAGGGGGGGGGGGGGCACTCACGTGACCAGCAAGTCATTAAGAAAACCGGGAAATCGGTGATGGGAAGAGTAAGGCTTCAGGGTCTTATTCAATGATCTCCTCTCACGAAACAGACCATAAATTTAGCCTCTGTTGGCTTATCGAGGCCTTTGGGATTCACCCAGCACGCCAACGCCAGATTCCCGACGTGATCGCATCACAGAATTAAATATTACCCGCAGTTCTAACCTAACTCCTGGGGCCCACGTGACTATTCAATCACAAGATCCTAGATTTCCTGACATTCGTTTAATGCCACGATTATGTCACCACGCGGTGATGATCGCATTGACTTTCAGTAGCACTCGATTTATAACTGTTTCAAGCTTACTGTCAGATTTGTATAAAAAAGCTGACGACTGGGATTGGACTGGATGACCCAGGTACTATTCCTGAGAAGTTGAACGAAGCGAATGCTGAACAATGTTTCTTTCATCTGCCGGTTTCAACCCTCCCAGCAATTCGATCCACTGGGGCTGTCCGTTGTCGATCCTATTGAATAGTCCCCTCTCTCTCTCTCTCTCTCTCTCTTCCCCCCCCCCCCCAACCCCATAACGTGAGGCGGGCAGGAGGTGTGGGATATCTGCCTTACCGTTCCCCCATTAACAGTCGTGCCCTTCTTCTCGGAGAAGATGAGCATCTTGGAGACTTCACGGTTGGGGGACGTGAAGAGCAATCAATTGACGATCTGGCCATTCGTCAGCGCCGAGGAGCGCATTCGTACTGTCAGTGGCGGGCAGGGAGGTGCGCCGACGCCACCGTCTGCGGCACGCAGCCCGGGAGAAACAACGCGCATTCGCCCGCGACGCCGAGCTATGCGTTATCCGACTGCCCTTAAGAAGACTAAACAAGTTACCCTCGCTGTCACCTTAATAATCAAATTGAATGCGTGACCAAGTTGAACATTTTACTTACCGTCACGTTCTTTATGCACCATAGAGAACAAGATAGTTGACAAATGAGGTGTTACTGGGTGTGAGAAGCTCACGATTTTCTCAATTGACGCTTGTTACCTCTCGGAGGGATTTCAGTTCAAGTTTTGGCAATGTTCCTACTTTGGCGAGAAAGGTGAGCAGCGCCGCCTTTCCCGCCACCTCAATCGAGCCCTTCTTCTAATACACCCCTCCCCTTGACGAGGAGTCCTGAGTTCCTACCTGGATGCATATTATTTCCGTGAGCTGCAAGAAGACGCAGGAAGATGCTAAGACGAACAGATACGTTAAAAGTCCAAGCTCTGAACCTGGAGAGGCATCGTTAATTCAAGGTAATATGTCCGATTTTTACCAAGTTATTGGGTTGATGGAGCTTATGAACTAGTAGGGGAAGAATTCATGAAGAACGAAAATGACCAATCAAGGAGCTAAATGGGTCGATAGCCGTTCTAGGTTTTAAGTTTTCGGTCGACGCACTGCGTCAAATGAAGGCAATCAAATCTCTTAACCTGGTATTATCTTTCTGAGCAAATGAAGATAGGAAGGGAGAGAGAGCGCGCGCAGGGTAAGTTTCTCCATATGTTGATTTTCCAGAGAGAAGACGAGCTTTCACGGCCGTCCGGTCATCATCCGACGGCGACGAAAGAGTAAATTTCCTATGACTGAGACGGAAGGAGGTATGTGGGAAGGGAAAGAGGCGATAGGCGAACTCCACAGCCGAGAGGGCTGCATGAGATGGTGCGGTGGTGTTTCTTTGTACAGCGTCTACCGAGAGACATGCATTTCGTTCCTACATCATCCCTTCGACCGCCCGGGTGGATATGATCACCGGGAGATTCTCGCCGCCCTCCGCGTCGTCCGACGAAGTGGCCTGAGCCTTAAGTTTCGCGGACCTCGTGGACCCGCCGCCACCGACCGCCCCCGCCGTCCCCGTCCTGGTCTTCTTCTTGCGGGCGATCTTTGGGATGGACGGCAGGTCCCCCGTGGGTGAGTCGGTCGGCGTGCTGAGGGCGGAGTTAGCTCCGTTTCTCCGGGTCAACGGCAGCTCGCGCGCCGGCGAGTCGATGGGCATTCCGGTGGCGGACTTGTTGCGACGGGAGTGCTTTGGGACGGCCGGCGACTGGCTCGACGAGTCAACGGCTGAGCCAGCCGACGCTTGCCGTCTCGGGTTCGGGGCAAGTTGATCTGGGAGCTCCCGGAGCGGCGAGTCGTGGAACCCGCCATGACCGCTATCCAAATCTGCACCATCAACGTTTTGCGTGTCAGTCTGGGAGGATAATCGGTTTCAGCTTTCAAACGTTGACCATATCTGTCGGTCACCGACCCTGGGAAGAGAACCGGGCCGGAGCCTGGTCGGTCATAGCCTCTGTGCCGAGCGTGCTGAGTGGCGCGGATCGAAACTCGTTCATCTGAGCCATCATCAAACGAGGAAGACCTTCAGACGAGTCAAAAGGCGGGACCAGAAGAGAGAAGGACAAGTCGAAACTATACCCACCCAACTAGGAGGGTTGACGGAGGGGCCGTCCCAGCCGATGTGGGCGACGTGCTTGACGTCCGTGGGGTAGCCGATCTGCATCTCCTGCTCCTTCGAGTCTGCGGGCTCCAGCGATCAGATCTGAGGCCGGTCAGTTCAGCCGTAGAAGCAACCCGAAACGGAGATCAGAGGACTCACGTACCGAATATCTGGGAGATGTACCGCAGGCCCTTGAGGAGACCCTTCATCTTGATCGACATTCAGACTGCGCCTTTGACGGCGATCGGGTTGCCTGCTCCTCTCCGTTCACTGCAGGGAAACGCCATGGAAAGCCTAAGAAGTAGAATTATGGGGAGCCGAGGCCAGAAGAAGGTCAGCTTCTTCTTCCTTCACTTCTCCTTTCTTCCTGAAAGAAAGCATATGGGCAAGGGGATGACGAAGAGATCTCACCGCCTTCTTTACGATTATCAGAGGTTACCGAGCTCTGGGTGCATGGATTCCAAGTTGCATCCTTCCGGAGGCCGTCTTCCGCTCATCGAATGCACTCGGAGATGGACCCACCGCCGGTGGGACGGGCTCTAGCAGGAACTCTGTGATCCCTGCCGGAAAACCGTTCTCAACGAGCACTCACAGACTCCCCTTTCCAACTCTCCACGCCTGCCGAAGGAACGGTAAGGAGACTCAGATCTGGGTAACCACCGCGCAGTTTTCTTCACGGCAGCGCTGCCGCTCCTCCCCCAGCGCGGTCCGACGCGCATTCCGTTGCCGAGGACGTCTCGTAGCCGATCGTTGCCCCAGGCCGAGCTTCTTCTGCCAGTGGGCGAAGGAAAGAACTAAAAATAGGCAAGCGCCGGAGCTATCTCGTCAACGGGACGATGTGGGGGGGATGGGTGTGAGGAGCGGGTCTCCCTGCGGCGACCACGCTGGGAGAGGGAGGGGCGGGCAGCAATGACATAGCTGCATATCAGCCAGATTCTCAAATTCCGGAGCCTCCATTGTCGTCGAGGCCCTCTTTCTCGCGGAGATGCCCAAAACCCTATCACCGTCGTTATCATGAACTACCTAACTTTCAGTGCAGGACAGATTCATGGCTGGTCAACGCCGGTGCTGAGGAATCTCGGCTATCGTCCCAAATTCCTTCCTCCTCGTCTTCCTGGCTGTCATTGTTATCGACGAAAATGAGCAGCAGTCGGGGATAGGGGGCTGGTAAACGCGGACCGGTGCAGGAGAGATTCATGGCTGGTCAACACGGAGTAGAGTTGACACCGAGATCTCGAGCGTGGAGAGAGAGAGAGAGAGAATATCATAACTAACCCCGATATGCAGAAAAATATTTTTCATTTTATTTTTTTATCATTTCGGAATAAAACATATAAAAAGTCATAACTCCGGGTTATCTCCTAGCCAATAGACAGTCTTCTAAAGGTTTTGAAAAGGAATAAATGGGTCAGGCTTTTCAATTATTTTTAATGGAAGTCAACGGATCGAGTTGGACCCGGCCATTTCATTCTCATACGAAAAGGACCAAAAACCATTGAAAGATCATGTTCTCAGACACTCACGTGTCGTGTACGTGTATGGTGCTATCAAAGAGAGAAATAGAGAGAGAGAGAAAGATAGATTTCCTTAATGCGAGTTGACTCAATGCAATGAGAAATATCTCAGAGAGAGAGAGAGAGAGAGATGACCTTAGTGTGAGTTAACCTAATGCAATAAGAAATATCTTAAAATATAGTTTACATATAAATTTATTTACTAATTGTCAAGCATTTGATATGGTAAAAGGATTATGGGTAAATCTCATAAGGAGTAAACTGGGGAGTCAACGCAACAAGTAAAAAAAGGGTCTCTCTTAAGCTAAATATTATAAGTTATCTTAAATTAAATATGTGTAGTAATTTAAAAATGAACGCAAGAAGTAATAACGGGTAATAATATAAAAAAAAGTTTAAATCATGGACGAATTTTAGCAGGAGTGTTAATCGGCATAGTAAGCCCAAAGCCCGGTATCAACGACCGTCGCTACGCCTATCCATCCACCAAGAAAACAAATGGACTTGGGCCGGGCCCAGATGTAATGGCCCGTCCCGGCCCGGCCCGTTGGCAGTTGCCAACTAGGTCCCCTCCCATGAAAGGTTCCACTCGATCGGTCTACAGAGGCTGTGGACACTGACTGATACTGGACTCTGTCGAGGAGGAACCTGCCAGCATCGGCAATCGCTGCGATTGCGGTGGTCGCCCTCTTGGTTACGCGGGGGGGGGCGGGGGCGTGGGGAGGCTCAGAGAAGCCCAGCATGCGCGAGGCATTCGCCGGCCGGGCGTACTGCACATCTGTCGCGCCCATCGCCAATCGCGACCACCATCACCACCTGGCGGAGAGGGCGCTCGGCCTCCTCAAGCGCGGGCATCCTCTCGATGGCCTCGCCCGGCACTTCACCCCCGAAGCCGCCTTCCAGGCGTTGCTCCAGTCGCGCTCCCAGCGAAGCCTTGCCCTGCGGTTCCTCTCGTGGGCGCAGCCGCAGCCGTTCTTCCGTTTGTCCCTCCGGGCGCAGTGCGTCGCCCTTCATCTCCTCACCAGCCTCCGCCTCTTTGGTCCCGCCCAGACCCTAGCCCAGAGCGTCATCACCACCACCACCACCACCTCCTCCTCTTCCCAGGACAGTAAAGCTGACCCAAGACTTTCCATCTTTCAGGTCCTCAAGGACACTCAACCTCTCTGCAGCAAGCCAGGGTCGTCGGCTGTGTTCGACCTCCTTATCAAGTCATATTCTTCCCTCCGAATGGTCTCCGACGCCGTGGCCGCACTGAACCTAACCAAATCTGTCGGTTTGGCACCTGGCATCCTGGCGTACAACTCAATAATCGACGCCATGTTCAGGTGCAAGACAAATTCTCTCGATATCCAAGCCTTTTACGAAGAAATGACCAAGTCGAAGGTTTCATTAAACGTCTATTCTTACAATATCTTGATTCGTGGATTTTGCTCGTACGGGGCTTTCGACCGAGGGTTGGGGTTCCTCCACGAGATGGAGAGAGTAGGGTGCTTGCCTAATGTTGTGACATTCAATACCTTGGTCGATGCCCATTGTAAGTCCAAAAGAGCGGACGAGGCTTTTGCATTGTTGACCTCCATGCTGCAGAAGGGAGTTCAGCCGAATTTGGTCACCTACAACGCAATTCTTCACGGGCTATGTCTGGAGGGGAGGATGAGGGAGACCCGGAAAGTAGTGGATGAGATGATCGGGAGGGGCCTCAATCCCAACGAGGTGACTTACAACACTCTGGTCAATGGGTATTGCAATGAAGGGGATGTACACCGGGCCCTGGTGGTGCACTCTGAGATGGTGAAGAATGGGATTGCTCCAGATGTTGTCACGTATACTTCTCTTATAAGTGCGATGTGCAGAGATGGGAACTTGGCTAGGGCCATGGAATTTGTGAAACAGATGGAAGAGAGGGGTCTTCGTCCTAACGAAGTAACATACACTACTCTCATTGATGGGTTTTCGAAGAAAGGGTCCTTGGAAGATTCTCACTTGGTCATGAAGGAAATGATCGATAATGGGTTTGTCCCATCTCTTGTGACCTACAACGCTCTCATCAATGGCTATTGCATGGTAGGAAGAGTGCATGAGGCCCTGATGATAGTTCAAGAAATGGAGGAGAAGTGCTTGATGGCAGATGTAGTGACTTATAGTACGATGGTGGCAGCATACCTCAGACATGGAGAGTTGGAGAAGGCACTTTCGATGACCACAGAGATGATTGGGAAGGGTATCTCACCTGACAAAGTTACCTACTCTTCTCTTATAAGGGGTTTCTGCGAGGAAAGGAGGCTGGCTGAAGCTCATGAGCTTTTTGATAAGATGCTGAGCTTGAATATCTCGCCTGATGAATATACATATACCACACTGATTGATGCTTACTGTAAAGAAGGGGACATAGAAAAAGCCCTTGTTTTACACGACGAGATGCTCAAAGAAAGGATCCTTCCTGATGTTGTTACCTACAGTGTTCTTATAAACGGTTTGAGTAGAAAAGCTAGAACTCGTGAAGCTAGAAGGCTACTGTTTAGGTTGATCTATGAAGAGTCCATCCCTGATGAGATTAGCTACGATGTCTTAATTGGCCATTGTGCTGGTTCAGATCCTCAGAGTGTGATATCTCTTATAAAGGGTTTCTGTACGAAGGGTTTGATGGATGAAGCCCAGAGAGTCTTTGAGTCAATGATTCGGAGGGGCTGGAAACCTGATGAAGCTGCATACAATGTCATCATCCATGGATTCTGTAGAGGAAGAAATGTGAAGAAAGCTTTTCTTCTCTATAAGAAGATGGTGGGAGACGGTTTCATTCCCAATGCAATCTGCGCCGTTTCTCTTATTAGGGGTCTATTTGACGAGGGGATGAGTAGCGAATTAAATATTGTCCTTCAAGAACTTCTGAACAGATGTACAGTGATAGATGCTGAGACATCTAAGCTTCTCATTGATCTCAACCATGGGGAGGGAAACATGGAATTGGTGTTCAATGTCCTCAATGAGATGATCGAGGACGGCTTTATTCCAAATTCTTCAGGGTGACAAACATCGAACTCGAATTTTCACTCAAGGTCTCTCCTGCAGAACCTCCCACCTATAAGCGCGCCTTTGGATTCTTACCCAGGAAAGGAAATGGATAGGTATCTGCCTAGTTCTTATTCTGCCATGGCCAGATCTACTGGATTCTGTTAATGTGTGCTTGAATATCATGGGTCAACGCTCCACGTAGATCTGGTAATTAGGAGAATGCTTAGCTGTGATGCTACTCACTTTTCAGTACCTGATTCAGTGGCGTGGAGATTTTAATGGCCAGTGCGCTTTCTGGGACTCTGGAGACTGTTCCACGTGTTCATGTTGGAGTTCTGTGGAGTACCCTGGCCAAAGTTGAGAGAAAACAAACATCTTTGCAAAGGTTGCTTGTCTAAGACTAAAACGCTTGTCATGACCTTGACAAGAATATTCTGAGGTATGCTTCTTCTGAAGGATGCCATTTGTTCTGATTGTTCTATATCTGGGCAGTTTTATAAATTTTCCTAACATACATGATCCATTACGATCACCAATGTCTTCACATCTTTCTTTTCAAGTTTATCTTGCTGAAGCTAATAACCAAAATATATATTAGTTATTTATTTGTTTAGGGAAATCATGATGCGGTTTAAGGTTGTGTAGCTTGCCTGAAATTATTTCTCACTCTAGTTTTCTATTGGTTCTATGTCTTCAGATGCTGCATTTCTGAGACGGTTGATGGGAAAAACACCACGATGTATCATCCCTTATGCCTGATGCCTTCTTATTCAGCGTTCAAGGAAGAAGGATAACTCAGTGGACACAAATGGTCAGAATTTTAGGTATGTTTTATGTATAATAATGGATGGATTTCATACACATTTGTAACTCTTTTGCATAATAGAAAAATAAATTGGGCATCAGATGAGAAGGATCGGGGTCTCCTTCCTTCAGGCAACTCTTGAGGCGTAGGAGATATTGATGTTTATTCATGTTAATTGAACATGGGGGAGAAATAAAAATCATTCTGATGTTGGCTCAAGTTTTTAGATCGTATAGTGCAGAATGTACTCTTATAAAAGTTGCTCCCACAGGGTTTTCATGACCTTAAGACACGTTTTTTTCTCTTTCCTTTTTTGGCCAAAGAAATTGTTGACTTCTGTGACTTGTTAATCTCAACGTAAGAATTGAAGAAAAATGAGTGCAGGGTGGCATTAAGTGGTTAGTGATCATGGCCTTTGTACCAAGCTCCACGACTATCTAACAAAGTTGGAAATATGGTAGAAATTTCGGTTCTCTGAATGATGGGAAGTTACTAAAATCATTTCCGAATTTTAGAAAATAATAGTTTGAAGTAGAAATATATTTTATCTACACACACACACACACACACACACAGAGGGGGGTAGAGTATCGGGTTAATGAAAAAAGTATCATGGACGAGTAGACTGATTTAAATGGGATGGTTGTGAATGCTATTGAGACCATATATCATATTCATCATTTTCGCAAAGTTTCTGACTTAAATGGGTGAACATGTTTTATGCACAGAAGACTAAAATCTTATTCTCTTGCTCCTGCTGCAAAATATTGGGAAAAATTGGCGACCCAAATGACCTCTCAATATCATGTATATAAACTTCTCCAGAGAAATTTTGAACTCTTCATATAAATCGGAGCAGACCCATCCGATGCCTCTCGCACAGTTATTGGCATTCCGGACTATATAATTCGTAACACAATTTACAGAAAAAAGCAAAAAAAAAAAAGAAGAAGCAACCTGAGGAGGATCTTTTGCGCCAACTGATCGATGCCAGGAACTCGATTAAGGAGAAGATCGGGATCTATGTTGTCTTTGTCTGCATGCGGTGAAAAATGTGTTAATATACATATTTTCATCAGACATCCATGCGTGAAAGGACTGTAATTTGATCAAGCTGAGGCTTGCCTTCTCCAAATATTTTCTGTGAATTTTCAAGGCAGCAGTGCATGCCTTTTTTGCATCCATGTTGCCCGTAATCTCATTCAAAATCTGTTTTCAGCACTCCCAAGTTAGAAAAGATACAAACATATGCATGCCCTGTGGCCTATCCTTATGCATAAACAAATGTGGAGAGAGAGAGAGAGAGAGAGAGAGAGAGAGAGAGAGAGAGAGAGAGAGAGAGAGAGATTACCTTTACGACATCATCTAGACCTCTTGCTTCTCTTAACAGCTGCTTGTTCTTGGCCTCCAGGATGCTGGCGACAAGAAAGACAGATAGGGAACCTGGTTGGTCCGTACGTCTATTTTTCACATTCTTCTTCTCAAACCTCCCGTACTGAGTTTGGAGTCGGTCATTTTCTTTGAGTTCCATGCTCCTCTTCTCCAATGACGTTTCCGTCTGATAAGTGGCGAAGAGGTATGGGTTGTACTCCATAGCCCACATCAACTGAATTTTTTTTCGAAGTAAAAAGGCTCGCGTTAATTAGTTAATCCATTCCACTGCCAACTGCAGCATCCACGACTCTCACATCCTTCAGAGGTCCGTGAAGAAAACGTAGAGAGAGAGAGAGAGAGAGAGAAGCAGCTTACTTCCCAAAGGTATAATGAGTCCAAAAACGAAAACTCTCTTCGGAAGAGAACCATCAGCATCCGAAATGCAAAGAGATATTCTCCACCATCTAGGTTTTCTGCCATCAGTGATTCTTAGTCAGAAATTCGAATTCTGCCATAAATAGAAGAGCTCGGTCAATTATAAATGTCAAGCAAACTGCACATTCTGAGACCATTCACTGAAAAATGACCCGTCATAAAGCTGGTTCGACTTCGGAAGAAGATTTTTTGGTGGTAGGGGACTCAAACATACTGACTACCAGCTATTCGAATTCTTTTACTCATTCGTTGATTTTGGATTTCTCCCTTCCACAGAAAACGTGTATATATCCGGATGTCACATACTGATCAGGACCTAAACAGTCGCATCTGAGGCTTTGATCATTGGTACTTGTGCACGACCTCTTTGGAAATTTTGTTACATTAAATCTGACTGAGCCTTTTTTATATTCGTCTACAGGTGAAGAAAGTCATGAAATATTGCTTTTCATTTTATATGCCATTTGTTTGCTCTTCATTCTTCCAGAATAGACGACATTCCATTCCTCATTTGAAAGTTCTTCAAAGATTATCTCCGCTTCTTGATTGACCATTAAATAAATTGAAATTTCGTTGTTCGTCGACCCGAACCCTACACTGCATAGAGCTAAAATTATCTGTGGGCTAACATTATATGTTCCGTTGCTATAATTTTTTTAGTAAACTAGAACAAAGAACATAAGAATAGTACGAAAAGTTAATATTTTTATAGATGTACCAGAACATTCGAGATGATTTATATGAACAATCTCGATTGCCGTCTTTAACAACGTGTTTATGGCAATACTCAGATCCTTCAGAGGAGACCAAATGAATTTAAACCTTATTTTGTGAAACTTCTCTAAGATCAGCCAAACATGAGAAGACTATAAATTTAACGAGAAAAGAGTTCTGCAGAAGAATCAATGAGTTGAAACCGTCAATTCAGAGATAGATGGAGGCGTCATACCTAGGTGCTCATGAAGCTTTGGATCGATAGTTTTTACTACGGATGATAATATGGCCAATTGAGACTGAACTCCAACAGAACTTGATGTGCATCTGAAATTTCCTCTCTTTCAAATTTTCAGAGTAGTAATTAGGCATAAGAGGCGCATCAAATTTGCAGGAAACGGAAAATCTAGAACACTAAGTTAAAACTCTCAGATTATGCATCATCAGGATGATAACATTTGTGTAGGAATTTCATTTCAACTAAAAAAATTAATATCTGAAACAAATAAAAATAAAATCCTTGAATTTGTTTTGATGGGTTACTACCCCGTATTCAAATTTGTAAGGCAAGTGACGAGGAGCAGATGTTTCACTAACAAGTGACGAGGACGATCCTAAACAAATATATTGCATTTATTGATTTTATTTCCTGCGTAAACAAAATCTCGGAAGAGTGAAATCATGGTGAGTTACCAGCCTACGCATAAGGTGTTCAAAGCACCAAAACGCATCAGCCTCACTTTCAAGAAGAATTGCCATTGGAGAACAGAGATCACTCATCCCTGCACAATAATTAAATTTTAGCATAGTGAAAACAGGCTTCAAAGGCAAACAGAGTTGAAACTTACTGGAGCTAATTTAATTGGGCATATGAACAGGGTCCTCACCCTGGCAGTAACCAACATCTCTGTCTATCCATGAATAAACTGCCAGTATGTCCCAAAGCTTCGCAAGATTATTTGGATTCTCATAGAAAACTAATGTCCGGTCCGTACGAACCACATCCAAACCTGTTTCCAAAAAATATGAAATGTTGTTGAAATAAATAAGTGATTATCAAAAATAATATAAATGAAGGTGGAAGAAATAACCAGAGTTTCTTTCAAAAACATAAAATACATAGCCGAACCACGGAATAAATTCATTGAAGTCAGATTAATCAATCCCTGATATGTATTGAGATCATCAGACTCTTGTAGAAAGTATTGCAGGCCTAACAAAACTCTGGTTCAAATAATAAAGTATTGCAGCCGAACAACAGAATTTTATTTTTTTTAATTGATGATAATGTGGCCACCTTTTTGTCTAGGTGACGGTTCAAATATTGCAGGCCTAACAAAACTCAAGAATTAGAAAAATAAAAAATAAAAAAAGACATCACACGCTAGGCCTTAATGACAAGTCAAAATTGAGAGTATTCCTCCCATGACCATCATCCCTTCACATAATCCCAAACCAACGCCATAATTTTTTCAGCACGCCTTTTTTAAAAAGAAAAGAAACAAGCTCCAAGATACGAATGAGCCGATCTTACTACACTAGGCCTCATTTTGAAGGTTATACATACTGTTTCCTAATGTAAAATAACATCAGATTTTGGACTCACATGGAATATTCTTGACTATGAAACTAATCCTGAAAACTTTCTTGAATTGAAACTTCTACATATGACGAACGAAAATGAAATATCTCACGAATGAAGGAATGCGAAAGAAATATTATTAAAAAAAAAAAAAACAAGAGTTACCTCTCACATTATCTACAGCTCATGTCATTCTGCTGCTAGAAGAACGTCTAAAGTGAACAGAAAGACAGCATCTAGAGGGTGAAATAGTGCATTGCGAAAAAAACATATGACCTTTCGAGCGGCTCCGGTTCCTCACATTTCTACAACCACCGTATCAAGGCTATACAGATATTCCGAATCTAAACGTTTTTCATTCAATAGGAATTTGTAAAATAAATCTTTGTCTAGTTAGATAGCAGTTGGTGTCAGAGCTTTTCACAAAACATATCAGGCGGCAACATCAACAAAAATGGACATGAATGCATGCCTCTATCCTAAGATAATAAAACCACACTCCTGATTTGCAGAAAATTATACTATTAGTTTCCTTGATAGCCTTTCATTCTCCCATTGAAAAATAATGATGAACAATTATCTTTGTGAATTCTTGCCATCCAAGGAAGCATTCATGGAAGATGATGCAGAAAGTCCTTTGTATCCCTTCTGTTGGTTTGATGAAATGTTGATAATCACGTCCTCTAGATAGAGAAAATCCAATAGGTCAGCAATTCCTAAATATGGAGTTCAGTACAAGTGAAAATAAGAAGTATATTTGATTCAAGTTCAGTATGAAATCTGAATGTGAAGCATCCCCATAAGGGTTACAGGATAGGGGGACACTTGAGAGGGGGATGAGAGGTGGCCTACTATCTTGTCAATATGAATTTGGGAGACTCCTAATACGGGAATCCAATTATTTTTTTGTTCGTAGAAAGCAAGTCATTTTATCAGGGTTACAGAGGGTAAAAGCATATCTACGCTCCGATTGGTAAGGAGCCTAATTTTGGTGACAAATAACTTAGGATCAGATATATCCTACGAAGGAAATCAGAGGAACCAAATCCTAGAAATAATGATTTATTAACAAAATTGGGGGGCATTTTTACTGAAAAACGCAGATATTAACAGCAGGAGATAAAGTCCCGATTTCAAATTCCCAACCATGGAAGCTCTGCTTCAAAATTAGTACCCAGTAAATACCTCAAGTGCAAGACACAACTAAGAGATTGATAAGGCTCCGCTCACATATGCTAGAAGGAAGAAGGCCCAAAGCCCAAGAAGTTAATGACGGTTAGCATGATTGAGGGAAGGCACAGTTATGGCAATGAACAATACGACAAGGAACAGTTATGGCAAGAGCAGTTATGGCAGGAGACTAACTGCCTAAATAAGACAGGGAAAGGAGAGGATATAAGGATGGGTGGATCAGGACGGAAGAGGAAGGAAAATTGGTGTTTGTATCTCGTGCATCTATGAGAAAGGGTTGGAGGGTTGTATGCAACCCTCCATCTGTTCTGGGTTCTAGGGTTGTATGCGACCCTTCATCTGTTCTGGGTTCTTTTACTGTACTTTATCTTTGATATTTCTGTTCTAGAGATTATTTCTTTAATACGAATTATTCGTAGTTCTTTGATCTGGGTTCTTATCAGAGATGCTATTGGACATTCCTAAATTTTACAAAAACATGGTAAGGAAAAATCAAGTGTGAGTGTTACCAATTTGATGCAATGAAAGCTTCCATTGGATTACTTTCTTGTCTGGAGAGGCTTTCTCAATATTCTGCTCAATGTTCTGGGAGCCCTCTGTCTCTGTAGACAATTGATGAACAACATCATTGCTGGACGAATCTGGAATGGGTTCCCCATCTTCTGTGATTAAAGGCATTGTAAGTATCTTTCCACTGCCAACTGTCCTCTCCATTTCCTGGCATTCTGACTTCCAACTCTCATACTGTTCCCTGATGTTAACAAATAATCAGAAATTCACTAAATCCAATCAACTGAAGGAATCTACAAAAAGAAAAAGAAACTTTAGAAAGAAAGTATACGATCAGACATACTCTTTTTTGAGTTCAAGGGAAAGTGACAAAGAAGATGGCATAACAATTAGGCTTCTACATCAATTGTTAAAAGCTAAGACGAGGATACCCCTGGCAAAACTAGGAGTCATTCCGCTCAAAACACATCCTACATATTTGACTGTGTCAAATGATCAGTCAGATAAAAGCACGATTAATTGATTGATCGTATAAAACTGAGAAAATCTGAGTCTAGTTTGCCTCATCTTCCTGAAACATAAAGTTGAAAAATCTTTTACACTTCGTTTGAAGTCGCATGCAAGAAAAGTCAAGGTTGCTTCTATCAAGGACAACACTACAATGAAATATGGAAATTTAGGTTCTCACACGTCAACAATGTCTCCAATTAAAACGATGATATTGCACCAGGTTGAACACAGTAAAAACTCATATAATTAAGTAAAATAAATATAAAACAAATATGTGCCATCTTTGTTACATCATGCCCATAGTTATGCCCCTTGAGAGGCTTTATCCAACGGACAACGATTATGTAAAAATAAATCCTGCAAATATGACTTTCCCTCTTTCAAATTTTTCTACCTGATGGTCGTCAGATATATCTACCTTCTTTGCTGTCTCAAATGAGTCCTCTCATCGAAGGTGCTCCTTGGGTCATAACAACCAAGCAGAAATTCCCAGACGACACCTTTAATCGATGGATGAACCCCCTGGTAGAGAAATATATTAGACACTGTCCTCCTGGCGAAAAATAAATAATTCAGCACAGAAGATCCTTCATGTGTACAAGTTACGAGATAAATTGGACCATGTCAGTTGGAAATAAGATTTGCAAAGCGAATGTACTCACATCTGTAGCGATTTATAATCTCCGGTAGAGTATATATACGGTCCACAAAGAAAAACATTTTTGTGAAGACATTAACATTCATCTCTGACTTTTAAATTTTTACAGAAAGCATCATAATATTTTACAATTTTCTGTTAAAGATAAGCAGAAATAAAATGCTGAAATAAGTGGAATGATTAGAAAACTCAACTCTGCGTTTTTCTATCTCTAAAAGTTCATGCCTGCTTCAAAAATGAAACTAACCAAAGCAAATCATCATATAGCTTGTATTTTTTTCCCTACTCCAAGTCTCCCCTTGGGAAGTAATTAGTAATCTGCAAAAACCAAGTTCATAATTTCCAGGCTTGATGTATCTGTGAGATGAATGCCACAGATGAAGGTGTCCAAAGTAATTAAACAAAAACGTCAAAAGGTGATACATTTCTGGTTAAAAACTCAAATGACATATCGGTCCGTTTGATCCACAAAATGGGAAGTCGCATCTATTTTCAAGTCACCATTCGTGTACACTCGTCAGATGGTATAATTTACCTACTCAAAAATGGCTCACTAAGCGGTAAAGTCTACCTAGACTAACAGGATCTGATGGAAACCCAGATTGATTTAAAGAAGGAAAATACATCAGCCTGTGGTCACTGACATATCGGTCCGTTTGATCCACAAAATGGGAAGTCGCATCTATTTTCAAGTCACCATTCGTGTACACTCGTCAGATGGTATAATTTACCTACTCAAAAATGGCTCACTAAGCGGTAAAGTCTACCTAGACTAACAGGATCTGATGGAAACCCAGATTGATTTAAAGAAGGAAAATACATCAGCCTGTGGTCACTGACATATCGGTCCGTTTGATCCACAAAATGGGAAGTCGCATCTATTTTCAAGTCACCATTCGTGTACACTCGTCAGATGGTATAATTTACCTACTCAAAAATGGCTCACTAAGCGGTAAAGTCTACCTAGACTAACAGGATCTGATGGAAACCCAGATTGATTTAAAGAAGGAAAATACATCAGCCTGTGGTCACTGACATATCGGTCCGTTTGATCCACAAAATGGGAAGTCGCATCTATTTTCAAGTCACCATTCGTGTACACTCGTCAGATGGTATAATTTACCTACTCAAAAATGGCTCACTAAGCGGTAAAGTCTACCTAGACTAACAGGATCTGATGGAAACCCAGATTGATTTAAAGAAGGAAAATACATCAGCCTGTGGTCACTGACATATCGGTCCGTTTGATCCACAAAATGGGAAGTCGCATCTATTTTCAAGTCACCATTCGTGTACACTCGTCAGATGGTATAATTTACCTACTCAAAAATGGCTCACTAAGCGGTAAAGTCTACCTAGACTAACAGGATCTGATGGAAACCCAGATTGATTTAAAGAAGGAAAATACATCAGCCTGTGGTCACTGACATATCGGTCCGTTTGATCCACAAAATGGGAAGTCGCATCTATTTTCAAGTCACCATTCGTGTACACTCGTCAGATGGTATAATTTACCTACTCAAAAATGGCTCACTAAGCGGTAAAGTCTACCTAGACTAACAGGATCTGATGGAAACCCAGATTGATTTAAAGAAGGAAAATACATCAGCCTGTGGTCACTGACATATCGGTCCGTTTGATCCACAAAATGGGAAGTCGCATCTATTTTCAAGTCACCATTCGTGTACACTCGTCAGATGGTATAATTTACCTACTCAAAAATGGCTCACTAAGCGGTAAAGTCTACCTAGACTAACAGGATCTGATGGAAACCCAGATTGATTTAAAGAAGGAAAATACATCAGCCTGTGGTCACTGACATATCGGTCCGTTTGATCCACAAAATGGGAAGTCGCATCTATTTTCAAGTCACCATTCGTGTACACTCGTCAGATGGTATAATTTACCTACTCAAAAATGGCTCACTAAGCGGTAAAGTCTACCTAGACTAACAGGATCTGATGGAAACCCAGATTGATTTAAAGAAGGAAAATACATCAGCCTGTGGTCACTGACATATCGGTCCGTTTGATCCACAAAATGGGAAGTCGCATCTATTTTCAAGTCACCATTCGTGTACACTCGTCAGATGGTATAATTTACCTACTCAAAAATGGCTCACTAAGCGGTAAAGTCTACCTAGACTAACAGGATCTGATGGAAACCCAGATTGATTTAAAGAAGGAAAATACATCAGCCTGTGGTCACTGACATATCGGTCCGTTTGATCCACAAAATGGGAAGTCGCATCTATTTTCAAGTCACCATTCGTGTACACTCGTCAGATGGTATAATTTACCTACTCAAAAATGGCTCACTAAGCGGTAAAGTCTACCTAGACTAACAGGATCTGATGGAAACCCAGATTGATTTAAAGAGGGAAAATACATCAGCCTGTGGTCATTGACATTTTAACTTTAAGCTTATGCCAAATTCTAGCAACCCACAGTTCCTTGGAAACAGTGGAATTTAGGACAAGTAAAGTAAAAATATGAAGCCAGCATATATAATATTCCATTAGCCTAGTAATATCCATCTGAAAGGCTGCCATAGAATACTGCTGCAGATTGCTAGAATTTGCAGTCAGCATGCAAAGTTCACTTGAGAACGGAGATGAAGATTTTAGGATGAATGCAATGACCTATCTAAACGGCATCTATCCAGATGGGGTGCTTCGATTCAACTTTTGGATATTTTTCAATCGCGGAAGGAGTCATCACTGATCCTGTGAACAACAAGATAGGCCAGCTGGGAAGATCTTGATTCATGCCTTGTTCTTTCTATCGGATTCTTTATTGAAAGAACCCATCTGGAAGGCACAAGACCTGCTTTCATCGCAGCCTAGGCTTGGCAAACTATCCAACATTTTGTTCCTTTTCTTTTCCTAGATTGGCGTGGTTAAAAATTAAAAAAAAATCTATTGACAGCATTTTGGTGTCAAGACCAGTAGTAGAAACCGCATCATTTACATTTCATTCTTCATTAGAAAAAATGAAACTAGAAAATGACAACAGGGGCATAATCACTTGTATTCAATACTTATTTAAGACCGAACCTTATGCAACTATCAACCTTTAACCATAAACTATGTCCACGTGCACTCTTCGAGGAAGTTTTTCGTATTGAGTCACGTAGCCAAATGAAAACACTATAGAAGGCAAGTCTCATAAGCATCTTACCCCACGTTGTGCTCGTTGAAGAACTCTGGCTATGTCCAAGTAACCTTCCTCTGTGAAAGAGGAATGCCATCTTTTCGCACTAAGAGTTTTTCCAGCCTAGGGAGATGTACAGAGGTTGCACAATTACTTTGAGCATTGTAATCATGTTAATGACACTAAATAATATCGAATAAGAGAGAGAGAGGTGATGCATACTCAAGAATGTTGAGGACAACTAACTGATCTCAAGAATTAATACTTTTAAAACTGACCACATTCGTCCAACTCATCCAGTTAAAATTATGAGAGATGAAACTAGTACACTTCCGAAATTTGATAAAAAGTTAATTTCATTGTCGATCACAAGAAACTCCAAGCCAAATGGGAAGGTTGCACAGGTTCCACAACGATTTTACCTTCACAATTGGCAATAAAAACCGAGATAAAACATTGAAGTATGGAATACTACAAACGCAACTTAAAACGATGGAAGATAACTTACATAATTCAAGGAAAAATAAATATAGCGCTTGGATATCTTATCTTATGAATGATAGATGTTGATTTCATAATTGGATTAAAATTTGATGGCCAATATGTGAAGATAACTTACAGTTTATCCTAAAGGTAATTAGTCGGATATATGAATAATGGTGTTGGCCTTTGGTAGACAATATATCAGATAGCCGTTTACCTACATCGAACCTTTTTACTACATAAAAAATATTGCAGAAAGAAAAAGGAACATAACAAGGTGCATTCTTAGAGACTAACAATAGGATTGAAATCGGCCAAAATCTGTGTATTAACATGCAAATAAAAAATACTGATTTCCAAAGAAACGTTTTGCATAGAAAAGTGAAAGAAAGAAGGAAGACAAGAATGCCTTCTCTCTCTCTGAAGAACACAGATTTGTTTAGGCCAACGTATTATCTTTAGCAGAACAATGAAAGCAATCTGTGAGTCCTACGTAATATAGAAACGTGAATAATACTTGACAAGAAAACAAAACAGGTGACGAAACTGTTTTACTTTGATCTTGAACAATAAAAAATACATTTTACCGCAAATTACCATGGCAAATTTCATATCATTAGTTTAGTTCTTCGTTACTTACGCAACCCTTCATGTCGTCTAGAATGCTAGGCGATTTTAGGGACATTATATATAAGATTAGACTAGCATATGACGGTTTTTTGCAAACAAACGTAAATATGTTTTCTCTGAGTTGTTCTGTGATGGTCGCAAGGATTCCACATTTATGATGAATGTTCATATTGTATATTGTTTCCATAACTGATTTAATTTCTCATCTTCTATAAATCCATCTTGGTCTTTCATATATTTTCCCTTTCAGATCCAGATATTCATCTATCATCAACCAGGTAAAATTACTGTAGCTATCTTGTATGATGAAACTAAAAGGAAGCTTTACATGAAAATTTATGCATGGTGACACTCAAGGTCCTTTGTCTACAAGGAATACTCTTGACTAGGAATCCTTCTTTAAGCCCATCTCATGGAGACAATCAAATTCTTTAACAGATTAAGGGTCTAGAGACAACACATAAGTGTAGCCTTTCTCAAAAAAGAATTTATGGCCCCTGTTCATGCAAGCTTCAGAATTCTTGATGATGAAGCTTATTGCGTTCAGAGTAAGTGGCTGCTGCATCTCCCGTAGTTTCAGGGTAGGATAGTCGAAGCTCACTTCCCCAGTAACTCATGCTCACTTCTCATTTAGGAAAATCATCAAAATTTAAGAAACAAGGCCATTAAAAAATAATACGAGCACGACTTTCGTAATGAATATCTCATTAGATCCAAGACAGTCCACACTTGAAGAGGTGTGTAATATAAATCTTTGAGTGACAGAAGAGGCACCATAAATTGGCTTGTAAATAAATATAAGACCGTAAAAATTGCTAAGAAAATAAGAAAAGCCGTATTGAAAATCCGCACCGTGGCTTCTCCATGTTAGAGTCACCAGTAAAAAAATTAGATTACTATTATTTCACATCGTTTTGGTACGTAAATCAGATGTTTAGGCAAATCCATCATTTTATCTAATAAATTGCACGCAAATCTGAGCTAAATTATCAAAGACATGATTTCCACCCTCCGCATGAACGGTCTCGTAGATCCCGGAGGAAATGGGAATGGTCAGCTGAAGTTTCTCCCATTCTTCGTTTCATCGGAAAGCTGACACTCCTGCAAGGACATCAAAGCGTTCCGTGGTAAACGCAATGATCAGTGAAGCAACAAAGCCAGAACTATTCCACGTATTTCTGCATCTGCATCAACAATCTTGTGGATCCTAGTGAAAGCAGGTTAGTTCATATTTTTTTCCAACCTCGTTCTACGCAGCAATCAATACTTCAAGAAGGAAAATTGTATGGTACCAAACATCACAATGCTCCTCTCGCACAATCAGCCAAAAAATGAAGTATGGATGATTTTGCCAAATATTACAACGTCACGAAGTGTCACCCACGAGAGATTCTTCAAATGCAATACCGCCACGATTGCCAACATTTCAACACGAGAGAATGCAAATATGAGAGAAAATCTAGGTAGCCAACCTTCGGCTTAAACCGGGTCTTGGGGACGTCGTCTCGGCAATCCTGCCTGATCTCAAAGAAATCGCCAGTCACGCCTATAAGGCCCTGGCTATCCCCGGTACAGCAGTCCATGTACGCCACCGATCTAAATTCACAACAATGATCGAATGTCCTCAGCCAGGGGTCCAACTGGCGTAGGGATTAATTCCTCCGCCAACCCTCAGATTTCTAGCTTTCCCCGCCTAATCGCCCTTATTCGAATCATAAACTCTTCAAAATAGACAGCAGCAATCGGTAGCCGGAATCCGTGCATCGGCCCTGAGGAGAAGCGTCCTAGTCCTGACGACCACGGGAAGTCAGATTGATCCCCATCGGACTTCTCCGGAACCCAACAGACGGGAAGATGATAACTGAACAAGGATGGATGGCGAGATACCTCCGGCGGAAGCCCAGATTAGATCGTCCGCCTCTCTCTCTCCCTTCGTTCACATTTGAATAGTTGACGCGGCAACGGATTTTTACAGCGGGTGGCAGCATCCCAAAATAACGTTTCCCGTTAGCTCGGGTCCCAGCTGTCGTAGCAAAATGGGCCAACCCGGGCTTCCAGGTTTGGGCCACTAAGCCCATTAGCCCCAACGAGGGACCACCGTGGAAAATTAATTAACGGAATATGAATTTTAAAGTTATATATATTTATTTTATGATCCCTCAGAATTTTAAAATTATATCCCAAAATAGTTTCAGATAAAGCTATGAGAAGCCATGCCGCGAACGCATCGATCTACGGATCCACACCAGCCGAGGATTTCGAACCCGCCGACGCCGCCGGACGAGCAAAACTAGTGGGCAGCGGCGGGGTGAGATTCCGTAATTGCCCGAATTACCCCTGCCCCTCCCCAGGTAAATAACGAAATGCGTCTTTTGTCTGCCACATGTGCCGAGAGACAGCCGCCCTTTCGCCGCCCAGTTAGGCCGCCGCTGGGCGGCGAGCGGGAATGACGACATCGGCCCTTCGCACAAGACGACGGTGGGATCGTGCTCTGGGCGCGGTCCAACTCGGTCCCCAGATTCGAGGGAGCTTTTCGTAATATCCTCGACCGCACAGCACAACTGCCAGAACGTCACTGTACAGAAATATGGCGCGATCGTACGGTTTGTCTTTCTTTCCGGATGCCGATGATGATCGACGTTCGAGGTGGGTACACGTCCGCAAACTCACCTCCCCGAAGTCATCACTCGCTATTTACGGGGAGAAGATAATACGGAAAAGCTCCCCTGACGTCACGAGACACCACAATGGGCTCGACCGAGACCGACCTTTCCACTAATCGGGTCCATTACCGGGCCCGGTAGGTATCGCGGGGCAGAGGGGGGTAATTATTATTATTATAATGACAATAATTTCATATGCGACAAGGGAGGGCAGCCGTCTATAAATAGAGAAGTGGATGACGAGTGGTAGCGGCACGCTAGGGCGTCTCCGCCTCTGTGGCGTTGTCCTCCCTTTTTCTGCGGATCGCATGCGAGGGTGTTTAAGGCGAAGAAGGTGCGAGGAGGAAGGAGACGAAGGCGAAGATGTGCGGAGGAGCCATCATCTCTGAGTTCATACGCTTCAAGGAGGATGCCAGGCGCGGCCGCAAGCCGTTGCCGCTTGATCTGACGTTCGATTTCGACGAGATTTCCGATTTTTCCGAGAGCTTCTCCTCGTCCGCCGTCGGAGACGTCGTCGATGGACTACGAGGTAGTTTATCCCTCCCGCTCCTAGAAATTTCTCTTCAATTCCTCTCAATGAGTTTTCCTCTTACTGCGTTTCTCTAGATATGAGTGGAGCATGCATCCTGTATGAGAGAAAAATACTTTTATATGCTCACAAACTCAGGGATTACTCAGAAGCCCGAGGAGCTCTCAGATCCGGGGGCAGGGAATGGAAAGGAAGCCAGGAGCAAGCCGCGGAAGAACATGTACAGGGGCATCCGGCGGAGGCGATGGGGTAAATGGGCGGCGGAGATCCGGGACCCGCGGAAAGGTGTGAGGGTGTGGCTCGGCACCTATAGCACCCCGGAGGACGCCGCCCGGGCATACGACGTGGCCGCCCGCGAGATACGGGGCAAGAAAGCCAAGCTGAACTTCCCAGTCCCTAAGCCTGCGGTGTCCGCCGTGAGGACATCATTACCATCCCCTCCTCCGTCTTCGGACTTTTCCTCCTCTTCCTCCGCCTGGCCTACTCCCCGCCCTGCGCCGTCTGAAGCCGAACTGAAAAGGGAGATCTCGAATCTGGAGCTGCTTCTGGGCCTGCCGCATGAAGAATCGGACGCCTGGATGGGAGGCGGTTGCGGGCCGTACGATCTGGAGATATTTGACGAGGTCGATCTGGTCATCTAATCGGACGGCTGGAGGCACGGAGCTTTCTTTCCCCGCCTTGTTTACCCTAGGGACTTGTAAGTAAATAAATAACTGTAACTACCAGCCTACCTACCATTTGAGTTATGTGAGAGAGAGAGAGGGAGAGAGACCACATGTCATACGTGCGGTAAGAGAGATAAAGTCTATGACGATAAATCTGGAGTATCAATTTATCTTTTATGTTATTAATGTTGAGAGTGACTGATAGAGAGAGGCTGATTCTCATTTGAATGAGAGAGACCAACATCAAGAAGGTTAAATTCTGAGCTTTTAAACTACAAACCATAGAGCGAGCGAGAGAGAGAGAGATTGTCTTATTGATGATCGATGACGATGCGGTAAAGGAAAAAAAACGTTACTTCGCTTTTGGATAATATATCATGAAATTTATGAGAGAGGGAGTTGCGAATGGATACATAAAAATGTAATTTCCAGTCCTAAGATGTAAATTTTCTATCATCATTTTAGAGTTGACTTCATTCGTGGATCATTCCATCTGATTCAAACAAGAAGACAGCCGCCATTTCGGGTTGTCGTTTAAAATACGACGCATTACGCAGTTCAACGCGTAACCAACTAACTTACTTTGAATGTACTAGTCTAATAACGTAACCACGTGATTTTATTTTTTTTAATTTCAAATAGATAACTCTTTTAGTGGGTATCAAGTCAACTTTTAAATCCACGTAAAACAGAAGCCAGAAATATTAAATAGAATCACATCAAGTCAACTTCAATATCTCAATAACCTTCTTACATATATATATATATATATATATATATATAGAGAGAGAGAGAGAGAGAGAGAGAGAGAGAGAGAGGTAGAGAGAGGGAGAGGGAGCCTTTCAATGGGCCAGTTGGCCTTCTTCTTTAACGGTTGGAGTAGTAAAACAAGGGGCTTTTGATCCTCTCCGGTGAAACGCCGGAGAAGCACTCCCAAGCTTTCGTCGATGCGCTGCGGGGTAGAGAAAAGGATAAAGAGAGAAAGGACTTGCTTTCTTCCAATGACGAACTTGCTCTCATTCCCTCCCTCACGGAGACCTTATAGGGTGTCTGAACCTCCCTCCTCGTCATTCCTCGTTGTCTCGCCATGGCGGCATCAGTTCCCAGCTTCTGCTTCCTCCTCCTCTTCTTCTTCCCTGCATCCAAAGCTTTTGTCGCCGACTCTGCTCCTCGCCGTGAATGGGAGGGAACCTGGGAAGAGTCCCTCATCGAACAGGCTTGCCTGGGCGCCACCGACGTCGGAGCATGCCGCTCCCGCCTGAACACAGAGTGCGACCCCGACGGCCACCGGGGGGCCTTCGCCGTCCTGCACGCCGCCATGAGGAACACCATCAGCGAGGCCGTTCGAACGATCGAGCTTATGTCCAGGTTCGCCGTCGGCGACGTCTCCGAGAACCACCCGAACTCTGATCGCAGGCTCTTCCGGGAGCAGACGGCTCTGCGCGACTGCATCGAGCTTCTGGACCTCTCGGTTGACGAGCTGGGGCGGTCGGCGCGAGAGGTGGAGGCCATGCGTGGATCTCCCGGCGACGCCCGCCGGCACGGGAACGTTATGGCGTGGATGAGCGCCGCCCTGGGGAACCAGGACACCTGCTTGGAGGGCTTCGATGGCACAGACGGCCGACTGAGGGAGCACATCCAGGGCAGCGTGACGCAGGTCACGGAGCTCCTCGCCGGTGTTATGAGAATCTACAAGACGATGCACAGTCTCGCGCCACTGAACGATACAGCGGATGGTGGAGATGGTGATGGTCTCGGTTTGCCTCCCTGGATGGGTTCCCATGACAGCGCCACCGCCGTCTCCCTCGAGCCGCGGCGTCGCCGCCCGGACGCCGTCGTTGCTCTAGACGCCAGCGGGGACTACCGCTCCATCATGGACGCCGTCGACAAGGCCCCGGACCGCGGCGCCAGGCTGTACGTGATCTACGTGAAGGAGGGGGTGTACGAGGAGAACGTGGAGGTGAGGAAGAAGAAGACCCGGATTGCGCTCGTCGGAGATGGGATGGGCCGGACGGTGATCTCCGGTGGCCGGAGCGTCGTTCAGGGCTGGACGACCTTCAGAACTGCAACCCTCGGTGAGTTCCTCCTCTTCCTCCTCCTTGGAGAACCCGCCGCCCCTGCCTTCGAACAACGCCTGACGGAAGCTCTCTGTACAGCGGCGACCGGTGTGGGATTCATCGCGTCGGACATGACGATCAGGAACACGGCAGGACAGGAGAATCACCAGGCGGTGGCGCTGCGCGTCGACTCGGACTGCTCCGCCTTCTACCGGTGCAGCATCGAGGGGCACCAGGACACGCTCTACGCCCACTCGAGCCGACAGTTCTACCGAGACTGCAATATCTACGGCACCGTCGACTTCATCTTCGGCAACGGCAACATCGTCGTCCAGCACTCGCAGATCATCGTCCGGCCGCCGCTGCCGTCCCAGAAGGTCAGCATCACGGCGCAGGGCCGGCGATCGCCGGAAAGCCAGACGGGCTTCTCCATCCACGGCTGCTCCGTGCTCAGCCGCTACCCCACCTACCTGGGCCGGCCATGGAAGCAGTTCTCCACCGTCGTCTTCATGCAGACGTACCTCGACGCGCAGGTGCAGCCGGCGGGATGGCTCGCCTGGAACGGGGACTTCGCCGTCGATACGCTCTTCTACGGCGAGTTCGGCAACCACGGCCCCGGGTCGCCGACGAGCAGGCGAGTCAAGTGGCCGGGTTACCATATCCTCGACGTCGCCACCGCGAGACTCTTCACCGTCCAGAACTTCATCAAGGGACAGTTCTGGTTACCCGCGACGGGCGTCCGCTTCGTCGATGGTCTTCTCTAGTCTGAGTTGCAGATGAGCTTCACATCAGATTCTAATCCGAGGTCTGGTAATCTCTGCGACCTCGCCGGAGTTGAATAAAGTGCAAAGGGGAGCTTGCCCTTGCCCTTCTCCGCAAGCTTTCCTTTCCAGAATTTCCGCCAAAGCAACGGATCATGAATTCAGTCAGTCTTACGTCACCGCAAGCAAGGCATCCCGCGGCGAGGATTAGCAATGCTAATATTAGTACCCATCTGATTAACTCACAGTCTGTCTGGGATGAGTAAGTCGAACCCACGTAACCCTTCAAATAATCTCATGAAAAATCAAAAATTAAATATCATAATGAAAAATATGAGTTTCGATTTGCTTTACATCAGATGTCCATTCGTTTTGTGATTACATTGCCTCTAAGAGAAGGAATATTTTTCTTCTTATTATTAATCAACGTTGACTACGAACAACGATTATAGTCAACGAACCCATGAACCTATATGGGATGATCATGAAAGGTGAGGGCACGATCGTGAATAAATTTGGAAAACGTTAATATTATTAATTTCATTTTTTTCAAGATTTAAAAATAAAGCACTAAAGTTCACATATATCTACTTAAAATAAACGGGCATAATTTATAAAATTAATTTAATAGTTGTTAAACATAGAGTAAGAAAATAATGGAATAAATAAATTTATTTGTACAACATAAGGCGTACGTGAAGGTTGCTTTTTATTCCTTTGGCTCATCTTTTGAGGTGAAAGAAGATAAATAATTGTCTGAAAGGGCAACCAGGGTTATTCGTTTTTTAAAAATATTTTTAATATAAATTAATAGATGTAATAATGTAAAATCATGCACGAAAGGGCATGTTGGTAATTGCATATGGTTCGATATAATAATATAAATTATGGCCTCTGGTTCCGGTAAAGAGGGAATACATACGAACGCGAGTTCATAGGCTGCATCGGCTCTTCTCATTCATCTCCTTCCCGTCTATCCGTGTCAACCCTATGGCCGCCACAAGCTCGCCTCCCTCCTCGTCGTCATCTCCCTCTTCAGATTCATCGGAGTCCTCCTCTTCATCGTCTCACCGCGGCCGCAGCCACAGTCACCGACGGCGACGCCGGGCCGATCGAGAAGACTCTCTCAAAGTTCGCAAGAAGCACCGCCCGCGCGAGAAGCGTAGGAGGAGACATCGACGTGACCGCTCTTCTTCATACTCTGATAGTGATAGGTATGAGCTTCCTCTCGTGGTCCGGTTCTTCTGTTAAAATTCTGCCAAAATTCGGATCTCGGGCGGGATCATGTTTATGGATTTCTTCGGAGATGAAATCGTTAATCTTAAAGATGGGATTGTAGGTCTGAGCTCGAAATTCAAGGCCTGCCAGTGTCACATGATATGTGTCAGTTTCATTTTGTCTTTTTTTGACATTTAGGACGTTTCCCCAACTTTGTTTCCCATATTAGAGGATAGCGGAATTATATAGGTGTTCTCCAACTTGGTTTGACGCGAGAGAAAATTAGTAAAAAGATCACAATCTAACAGTTTCTATGCCCAATTTCGGAGGCTTTGGATCTTTACTTTTGACTGTTATAGGTTCATTGTTAGTTTTACTCTCAAGTTTATCTTAATTTTTCCTTTTGTTTCCAATTTTTGGTTCAATTTGATGTCTGATGATGTATCCATTGGGGGGGGGGGGGGGGGGACAGATGATCTAAAGGCCGATCAAAGTTTCTCTTTATGGCGAAAATTAAGATTGATTATAATGTCATGATGTATGTTTGGGATGCTTTGTGAAAGTATTCTGTTGTCATGAAAATTGTCGGCTGTTTAATCGTTTCCTTACTATTAATTGGAAGTCACTAGAGAAGGGACGAAAGATACGTTGGAGTAGTTATTTTCGCTTTATCAGAAAACCCTCAATATGTAGATTTATTTGTTGATATTTCTTTTCCTTAGGACTCATGCAAACCAATGACGGTGACGATCTACGCTCTAACACATTTGGGTCTCCTATTCATAGAAAAATCTTCATTGATCTCCACTCTATATTGTATTGTGTCCTGCTGCCCCAATCACATTGGTTTCATCTCTTTTAACCTATGATTCCACTAGTATAGATACCACGAAGTAGTACGGAAAATTACTTCTGAAATTTTTAATTTTCAGGTCTCTGTTGGAGCAGCTTCCCTTAGGCCATCTAATATGATGGACATGCAAAATTTGCCTTCGGTCTCATTGCCTCTTAGATTCCTTGTCGGGATAAGCTGCCTGGTTCTGATTGGTTCCGCTTAATTACATACCCATCTGAAAATCCTGCTTAGTTCTCACTTTACTCTTGGCTGCATTTTTATTATTGGGGTCTTATAGATTGTGATTGTGATAGAGATGCAGATTAAAGGTAACATCCATACGTACATAGTTTCATGTTTCATTTATTATGGAATGTCGTTGTCTACCGTTAATGGTTTAGTTTTGTTTTTTTCCTTTACCGGGGAAAGCAAAGTTTATTAGATGAGGAGCTATTTCGGCAAATTCTATCTTTAATTAAGGGAGTTAGAATTTTACTTGAGGTTGTAGTCAATTTAGGATCCGAGTGAGCAAAATACTATTTAAAACTAAGAAACTTGCCTATATTGTCTAAACAAGGCAAACTGTGTAATATTTCATGAGATCCATGAAATTTTCAAGGCTTGCTATAAAGTATTCCTATATAAAATGAGCCTTGCTCTCGGGTGCAAACCTTCCTGACCTCATCACTTGCTTCGGTTATTAAGTATTTCTTTCTGCTTCCCCCTCATCACTTTTCCTTACCATCCTCTTCGAGTCTTTACTCTGTCAACATCTTCAATTTCCCCAATTCATTGCTCTCCGAGCCTACGGTTACAATGGGCAACTAATGCCGGCAGTCCAGAAAGCTGATCAAGTGGTAAAATTAAAATTTATTTGCAACTGCTTTCCCCAATAAGCAGGCAGCACCCGATTATATTCCTTGAGGAGAGAAGTAATACCAAACTTCACTGGATATCCATTTTTTTCCTTTTCTAGTTTCTCTACTGAGCAATCAAGCCATGGACAGAGGTTTTTTTTCTAAGTGGGACGTATGTGGATGTCATGTCTAAACACGGCTGCATCCTTCTTGTGCCGATTTAGGCGTCAGTAGGCCGGGTGAGCCTGAAGCCCAGGCCATCACCTTTTCCCGGTTTTTTGTGTTCCAAATTGGGCCCGTTCAAGTCTGTAGGCGTGGCCTGGCCAGATTCAGGCTAGGTCTTTCTCCCTATTATCTGCTAATAAACCTAGCAGAAAGGCAGGTTTACATGGTTGGAGCGCGGGAGGTTGTTGGCATGGTAGTAAGGTGACTAGGCTATTGCTACACGCCTGTTGACATGCGACTGCCTAGTGGCATACATGCTGGCAGCAGGCACAGATAATGTGGAAGTGCATCTGCTTTTGCCACCACTGCTCGCATGTGCCTATGCCTGATCGCATGGCACCACTGCTCGCATGTGCATCACGATGGCAATGCAGTGGCACCGGGCTTGTGAGCCACGTGAGTGACATCTCAAACAGGGCCAAATGTGCCAGTATATATAATTTAACTAAATGGGCTGTGCCAATCCGCTCAAGTGGGAGGTAATACAGTAGGTCATTATGGGCACGCCACAGCCAGTTCAGGCGTGACTCAGGTTTAAATTCTGATCGATCACTAGTATAATTTATTTTAAATGAATTAAGCAAGTTTGATGATGAAATGCATTTTGAGAAATATTTGCGGTAAACAAATCAGTACATTTAACTGTATCTGAAAGGTTTCATAGGTTGTCCAAGCTAGATCTATGATGATTAATTGGTATTTTACTATGCATGTGCGTGCATATTTACTCGGACATCTGTCTTTTTCGAGCGCCAGCATCAGAAGACACTATAAATTGATTTTTTTTTTACTTTCCATCTTCACTTTCCTCTGTGCTAATATTTCAAATGTAAAGTGACCCTACCCGGAAGGATTTCCCGGACTATTCATGTGCTACCTTCTTGTCTCCCTGTTCCTAGTGTTTTAGTCGTCTTCTTTCATGACTAGTTTTTCTCGGGTTAATGTGTCCACGGAGAAATAGAGCTGTTTTCTGTATGTGGGAGTCACAACTGATGCATCCTATAACCGATCATGCCTCTGCAGTAGAGAGAGCTCTTCCGACAGCGAATCTGAGACGTCTAGTCGCCATAGGAGACGCAAACGCAATGAAAAAGCATCGAAGGTGTGTTCTAGTGTATGTTTTGGACAGTACATATTCATTGTTTCCGTGCCCTCTTACTTTATTTTTTCCTCTTCTTAGTCCAAAGGGGAATCAAGCAAGAGGAGTCGCCATAGAAGCCACAAGCTCAAGGTGAAAGAAGTGAGTCATTGGATTTACCGTTGCCTTCATGTCGTTCCCAACTTTCATGCTTCCCCCTGATTTCTTCTTCTTTTGAACACCAATGTAGTTAATAAGTATTCTTCATTTCTGGTGCTTATGTTCCTGTTTTGCCTGTTTCTTGCATTGGCTCTTCAACATTGGAGCTGGGTTTGTAACCTCGCGCGACTGGCTGATTGATTTACCGTCTGCTGGATATATGATTCATCATTTGCTCGGTCATCTTGTCCGTGAGAGTTGCGTATAGAAGGAGCAGCAGACAGATGGAAACAGTGGCCCCGTGCAGCTCTCCAAGGTATCAAATCTTTCATGGTTCAGGGGATTCCTTCTGATGATTCTCGCATAAATTCTGTCCTCACACCACCCTCTCCTTCTGCTGCCAGTTCCTCGGCCGCGACAAGGAGGAGACCGTCCGCCGGAGCGCCGTCTCCGGCAAAAAGGTCTGCAGCTCCCCTCTAACCTCCGGGTATGCAGCTGCCCGTAGAATTAAGACGTAGAATTCATACATATGCTCCTATTTTCTTCTAGATCCTGTTGAAGCTCGATAAATCCAAGGAGGACAAGCTGGCCGAGAGCAACCGCAATGAGCTGCTCAAGTTCCTGAACGCGAGCTACGACTGATACCAGCGAAGAATTACGGTTTTGAAATGTCCGTTCTGGGCCTTCTCGTTGTGTTCCGATCTTAAGAATTACCCTTGTAAAAGTACTGGATATTCCCCCCCTTTCCCCTCTGCAACTGTGTTGGATATTCTCTTCACTACTTCGGATGGACTTATCCCCGCCCATCTTCTCCTTTGCCTTAAGATGATTCTCTGCCTCCAGTAGACGCGTGGCAGCTGCCTTACCTCCACGTGAGCGCCCCCCGCCGCCGCCTGGAGACGCACCGTCGTCTTCAAAAGGCCGGTGGTGCACCGCGGTGGGTAGTATGGGGCCGATTGTTCGTCTTCTCGCAGGTTTCTCGCGCTCGTGCCGCTGTCCACGGCGGCGGGCGTGGAGCGCCGCCCCCGCCGGCGGCGGCCCCGCCGCCCCTGCCGTGCACAGCGAGGACACTCAGGTTGGTGAGCTACCACCGCCCGTTGGGGGTTCGTCGTCTGGGAGTGCTGGGGCGGGGGAGCTGCGGCGGGAGGGCGGGGAGAGGGAGGAGATCAGTTCCCTTTCCAGGGGGGATATCAGGAGGTCGCCCTTCGCCTCCTCCCTCAAGCTCGAGAGCTCGGAGGTGGGTCCACCGGCGGATCCATCCCTCCAACAGAAGCGCCGCCACATCCACGCCGCCCTCGAGGGCGTGATCTGCGTGGGTTGGGACGGGAGTCCCCTCGCCGGCGCCGGAGACTATGGGGAGCAGCCGGAGCGTCGGCCGGAGGACGACTACAAGCAGTACTTCGAGCATCACAAGCCGAGCCCACTGTCGGAGCTGGAGTTGGCCGACACGAGGAGCCCCCTTAGGCGGGCCACCGACAGCGACGTGGTGGAGGACGACGCCGGCGCAGCGACGGCGCCGCCGCCGGTGTGGAAGGAGGACCAGGGAGACGGCGTGGAGGCGGCGCTCCTGGGTGCGGAGGCCCAGTTCAGGCAGGCGGTCGAGAGGGGCGACCCAAACACCCCCCACGGCAGGGTCCTGGCAGATTACCATCGCGCTGTGACGTGATGGTTATCTCTTCGGCGGAGAATGTACATATTCTGAAGTCAACCCAGTCCCAAAAAGTCCGCCTATGTTGCATATATAGTCAACCCTATCAGCGGCACTGCTTTAATCAATTAAATCATGCAACTTACTTACATACACAACATCTGGCTAGGTAGCTAGCGAAATCCGTCGCGGCCGACCCTGAGGCCGTGGAGGGCCCTTTGGATCTCCATGGTCATCGCGCTGTCCACGCTGCCGGAGGATATGCTCCGGTGGGCCTTCTGCAGGTGCAGCTTCAGCGAGCTGCTGCTCAGGCCGGCGTTCTTCCCGCAGATCGGGCACACCTTCATCGTTGGCCTCCGGTGCTGCCACTGCATGGAGACCACCCCGTGGACCTTCCTGTCCACCTCCACGAGGATTCGGGCGAAGCCGTCGTTGGGCTGGGCTCTCCGGTGCACTTTCTTCAGCAGATCCCAGGCATCCAGGAGCGTCATGTTCCTGCAAAAAACAGAGAAGACGGCGATAACCTCGGAGATAAAAACGGCGGGTGTGAGCGAGTCGAGCACTTCGGAGATAACTTTCCCCTCTCTCTCTCTTCTCTCTTAGAGGGGATGTTCTTACTTTCTCTGCATCATGTAGGCGAGCACCACGGTCGCGCTCCGGCTACGTCCTTCGAAGCAGTGAACCAGAACCTTTCCGCCCTTCTGCTCGATGCCGTCGATGAAGTCGAAGGCCTCCTCGAAGAGGCCACTGATGTCCTCATCATCGTTGTCGCTTATCTGCATGCACAAGGTCCTCGGTGATGATCGCTCGTTCGTTCATTCGTTAGGTTGTTTTTTTTTACCGGATTACAAGATGAGGAGAGATCGTACCGAGAAGTTCTTGTACTCGAAATTATCAGGATACTGAGAGTCGGATTGCCCAATTTCATTCGAACAGAGGCAGAGAATGTGAGAGATGCCCAGGTACTGCAGGGTGTAGACTGATCTCGCCGCGAGGGCTCCACCGATGAACATGCTGGAAGTGATCGACGATGGCTTTTCTGTGTTCGCCGCATCGGAAATCAGGGCGGTCCTCTCAAGAATGTGTTCCAGCCTGACCTGCGAAGGTTTGAAGCCCATTTGATTTTCTCTGTCCAGAGAGAGAACACACAGGGCGAGATTGATCGATGGATCGAGGTCGCCACCTTCAGTTCATACGCATCGACGACGAAATTGCCGTCGCCTCCTTCGAAGAATCCGGTGTTGAAGTAGTTTTCCTGGCACAGCCTGATGACCTCGGTTCTGAACGTCTCGTTCCACTGCTCCATCTCCTTGCTCAGTTCCGCATCTACCTAGAGACAAACCCTAGCATCAGGAGGAGCATGAATCGAGAGAATGAAGATTGTTCAGACCTTAGCGAACTTGTTGAAGTCACGGAGTTTCATGGTCAAGCGGAGGCTGCGAGGCTCTCCATTTCCTCTGAAATATCGTCCGCCCCAGTTTTCTCTCGAGAGGGGAGAAGCGAAGTCGAAGCTCCACCGGCTTCCTGGAGATGAAGACTTGGGAGTGGCCCTCTGCAACTCGGAGTCGGTCGTATCCCCAGGGACCTCGACTGCATTCCGATCGCCACCAGAAATGGAAGAAGAGCTCGAGTTCCACCCAGCAGCGTGGACCGGAAGCTCGGGAGTCCCATGATCTTCTCTCTCGGTCTCCCCGGAGCATTTACTGTTTAGGGTTAGAAACGCGCGCAGGAGGACGTCCAGTTTCTGATACAGAGTCAGGAGAAACAGGTGGAACCCTTGAAGGTCTCGAAGAGCTGCTCTGAATCCTCCGCGGAAGCCATTGACGACCGCTGCAACCTCGGATGCGGATCGCGAAGAAGAACAGTTCGTCGAACCATCGTCGTCGGCGGAGGGCAGCCCCAGTCTCCCTCCGCTGAGCTCGAACAGGAGGTTGGAGGAATACTCCGCGCTGTTGAGCAGGAGCTCCACCAGCTTCGGGTAATACGCTTGATCTTTGGCCCGTTTTCCGGCCGGCGGCCGGCGAGGGACGCCAGAGTCGATGGCCACCACCTGAAAACCGCAGCTCTTCGTTGCTGAATCTGTTCCTTTATTCCTCATCTTCTTTGGGGACTTGACATCGCCTGGCGGATCAGAGCAGACTCTGTTGTCTGCGGAATTCGCTCTCCTGTCTTTCTGGAGGTTCCTGATCGCCCTCTGACAGCACCCACCATGCTCCCGGTCAAAGAGTTCCTCCGCCGCACCCACATTCTTGGAGATCGCCGATTTGTCCGAAAATAGCAAATTCGCAGGATTCCCACGCCATCCGAGCTGGCGACATGGGAGCCTGTCCTCGTTCCTGATGACGAGGTCCAACAGCAACACCCTCCCGAGCGCTGCAGCAGTCTGTTCAGCAGCCTGGCGGGAACTAAACGCATTCGAGCTTTCTAGCAGAGGAGAGCCATGAACATAGCTGCAGAAAATGACAGAAGGAAGTACTTAATATGGAAAAAAAAAAAGATCGATCGACTAGGGTTCTACCAAATACGGAGAAAGATAAGCAAACGACGACTGTGATGTTACTATATATGGGAAAGAAGATGAGCATAAGTCAACTGAGATACTTCTATATACGGGGGTGATTTACTTCATGAGGAGAAGGCACCGGCTCAATTCAAGAGCTTCCACCAATTCGGAGCAAGTAATTTCCCCAGCATCATCGGACACCGAAGTTGTCATGCCTCTTGCTTTATCGGCCGCATCTTTGATTCTTTGCCATTCGGAGCTCGAATTGTGGATGATTCTCGTCTGGATTCATGGGGAGAATCAGACGATCTTCTCCCCACGGGAGATATCAAGGGTGGGGGTGGAAGCTCACAAACCTGCGGCGTCTGAACTCCCAGCCGCTTCGCAAACTCATAGCCGAGCCGCTCGGATTGGGTGGCCATCCGAGAAGATGTGATCTTTATGACCGCCGCCCTTTCTCTCGCCGGCGCGTCGTCAGGTTCCGGAGAACCAAACAGAGCGAAGAACACCACGCCGCCAGAATTCACAGTCACCTGCCTCAACCCGGAAAACAAAAATAAAAATAAAAATGAAGGAAGCGTGACAGAAAGTCAACCCCAATCGCGAGCATGAGCATGGTCAGATCTGAGAGGCAGACTTGCTCGTTCTTTTGTTTCATATCATCAGGATCTCCGGGTGAGGTACCTCTAGAGCTCGATTCATTTCATCCTCGGACTGCTCGGAACTGCTCGTGTGCTCCGTGTGATGGAGAGACGAGAGCGCCCCCCAGGGAAAGTCAACGGATTCAATGTCCAATGTGGCGGCGTTGCCGAGCCGCTCCCACAGGCTGGTCTCTGGAGCTTGCTCGGAATTTACAGAACTGACGTCGGATTCTCCTTCCCTGAAGAAACGAATCCCACGCCACCAGCGATTAAATATCGACGCTAAGACTATGCTTTGATCCCTTTTTCATGAGAAATTTACATCATAAAACCCAGAAGAAGCCAGATATATCTCTCGATCACTAACTTTTTCAATCAAGAAATATGATGCCTATGAATTTATAATTCGCTCTCATTGGATCGAAACCATGGTCTCCATAATCACTAGTTCTTTCGCTGTTCGATTTGAGGTCATGCAATCAGGAGGGGAAAAAAATCCGCAAGAATTTCCCTGGGCGTTGACAAAATCGAAGACGAAAAGATGAAGAACATAAGAGATACATAAATGAGATAATTTCCAGGGTTACTGCGTCGATTTTTACAGAAATTAGGGATTTGGGTTTGATTCCGTAATGCCTCCGTTACCGTGGAGGCGATCTGTATTCTTGTGGAATCCAAGAAAATGACGGTAGTTTGATTTCGAACCATGAATGCCGGCTGCCGAGAGAGAAGATGGATGATCCAAGATGCGGGGACGAATTCTGGAAGAAGGAAAGATACGTACTGCTGCAGGTCGTGGTGGTCAAGGCCGACGGAGGGCGAAGCAGGCGCGGGGAACGAGCTGGCGGCGAACTGGAGGTTGCCGAAGGGGGTCCGGGGATCTAGCTTAGGGTGGCGGTGGGGGAAACCGGAGGAGCGGTAGGTGCCGCTGCGCTTACGGACCAGCGCTACCCATTTCTCGAACGCCAGCGCCGTGCTCACTCCGGCGAGATCCTCTGGCAGCAGCCGGGAAACCTGCTCGTTCACGAGAAATCAGAGATGATAAAACCCTGCGAGGAGGAAGAGGAGGGAAGAATGGGAGTGTACTTGGGAAGAAGAAGAAACGACGGCGGCGGCTTCCTCTCCCTCTTCCTCGCCCCGTTCCTGCAAAAACCAGTAATTTTGAGTAATCGCCTCCTAGACCATGGATGGCATGAGATCCTTACACGCGTGGCCATTGATGACGGCGGATGGAAGAGGAGGAAAGGAGGATCGTCCGCCGCCTACTCCTCCAGGTGCTCCGGCATTCAAAGCGGATATGAGGGGCCGTTCGGAGGCGACGAGCGGAGCTACGGGATGGCGGTGGGGAAGATGAGACTGCGCCCGCCCGTCTCCGCAGCAATCCTCCCTCACTATTTTTGGGTGGGAAAGCGAGAATGGGGACGGTGTCGGCGGCAGGGGAGGTTCCCCTTTTCCGGGTCCGCTTTGCGCTCCAAGGCGGCTCGACGAGGTGACAAAGGATCTTGGACCGCCGCGGCGAGAGCCTGAGCTCTGCTAGGGACGCCATGAGACCCAACACGAATGGTTCATGACAGCGCGGACTGATGGGCGGGGTATAATCCTCCATCTTTCCCCCATTGTCGGCTTTCTTTACCACCACCGTTGGCGCGTGGCAGAACGGTGTGATCCGCCACTCCGCCTGGTTTTTCAGCTGCTTCTGGTGCGAGTAGGCTTCGTTCATGTTCATGATAAATTTTCGGGGAGGGAATTCGAGATCCACATCGATCTATATGTTTGAATCACCGCAGGAAATCTTACAATTTCATCTGTTTGATGCAAAATTTATAGAGGACTTTTTATCTGTTCTTCAAAGGCAAGGATTAAAAAAGAAACCTTGAGATATTACTGTGAATCTCCGACCATGTTTGGATCTCAGAAAGTCAATCCTGAGAAAAGTGGCAAAGATCAGGTTGCCGACAGCCACCTTCTCGGGCCCACATGGACACGCCATGGAAGCAGATGAACAGCTCCATCTCCCTGATTGGGTTGCTCTCACTTTTCTGCTTTCCCCCCTGCGGGGCTCCCTGCTTCGGCGGACTGGGCTTCGGAGCTCGGAGAAATCCGGTCGGCCGTGAAGAACCGGCAGGGGCGGCGGGAGAGGGAAGGGGGGGAGGGGGCCGCCGGTGGGGGCAGAGATCATCGGGAATCAGAGGGAAGCTAAAGAAAGAACGCGATGGGGATTTGCCTAGGATCGATCCTTTTTTTTATCCCGGAAAAAAAAGCTTCCCTCAGCGACTTGTTCCGTCGCTTCCAATTTCCTCGCTGTTCTTCTACACCTTGAACACCTCAAGAACACCGAGAACGAAAGAATCGGTTGTGGTGGAGGACTATGTACAGTATGTGCGGCGCAACGGCCCGGAGAAGTCTGCACCGAACGGCAATTGAACCCACCGCCAAGGATGCGCCATCATCACTCACCTCTGTTGCGGTGGCGGGCGGGGAGACTGCTCCTCCGCCGCCGCCAACGCCAACGCTCCTGTGCCCCTCTCCAGGTCGGGTTCGTCGGAGGGGGACCCGCCGCGGTGAAACCTCAGGTCGATGCTGAGGAGCCTCTTCAGTGATCTCATCCGGCTCAACGGCGACTTGAATCCTTGCCCTCCCCCGCCGGGCGACCCCACCTCCTCCTCCAGGCTCCTCAGCCCTTCCGCCCCCGGCACGTTCGAGCTCGAGCATGCCGTCGTAGCGGCAGCAGCAACAGGAGGAAAAGAAGAAGAAGATCCTGTTCCGCCGGCGGCGAGGTCCTCATTCTCATGCCTGCACGACTCGCAGAGCTCCGGCGGAGGGGGGGGCTCGATTTGGATGTGGACGGAGTCGGAGACTTTCGCCGGCGGCGCCGGCTCGACGGCGGCGCGGCAAAGGGGGCAGGTGGCATGGGAATGGAACCACATGTCTATGCACTCGATGTGGAACCTGTGCTTGCAGAGGGGCATCACCCGCCCCATCTCGTTCTCCTGGAACTCGCTCAGGCAGACCGCACACTCCATGCTCTCCTCTGGCTCGGCCGGGCACTTGGCGGCCGTGTAGGTGAAGACCGGAAGCGACTTGACGACCTCGCGGTCGAGTCCCCTCACAACAGGCCCCGCGGCTCCGTCCTGGCTCGCCGCCGCGAAGACGAGGCGGCGGCGATCGCGTCGCCGGCGACGGGCGCGGCGGAGGAGGCACCAGCGGGCGTAGACGTGCAGGCAGAGGATGAGCAAGACGATAGTGAAGAGGACGACGATGGCGCTGAGCATGATCTTGCCGCTCAAAGCGTAGTTCCTGGGGGGAGAGGGGACGCCGGGGAAGACTCTGTGGTCTCCGGCGCTGCTGCTCTCCCATCGGTCTTGACTGGTTTCCATCTCCTCCCTTCCGCACCGCTCTAGCACCGAGGACGGGGAAGACGCTGTTTTTATATCCCCCCGAGGTACGTCTTTATCAAGATAAGAATTCCTCTTTCTTTTTTTCAACCAGGGTTCGAAGAAAAGAGTCGTCCTCTCAGAGTTGGGTTTGATGGCGGCGACTCGCTTACTCTATCTCCCCCACGTCGCGACGACCTGCATTATTAAACAACTACCGCCAAGAGAAACCGCGTGTACAGCGGCCGCCGGAGGAAAGGGAGGAGGGAGGTGGGCATCATTCGTGTCGCAGGCAGGGGAGAGAGAGAGAGAGAGAGAAAGAGAGCTCCTCTCCGTTCGTCTCTAGTGCGCTTTCCGGACCGAGTTGTCCTCGACGGGGACGGGGAGGAGTGAGAGGGATGTCATGCGACGGCGACGGCGGGGGGGTGGGGGGGCCGCGGCCATGAAGCGTCCAAGAAATCAGCGCGAAGCATCCGAGAAATCCAACGCGGCCGTGTCATCCTCCGACAGCCGACCCACCTGGGATTCTCCCACTGTTTCGCGTTGGCCGGTCTTTCTCCCCACAGCTCTGATGGATATCACCTATCTCCGGGAGAATCAGGAAGAAGGAATCCGCCTGTAACCCCAAGAGAGAGAGAGGACAACCCACTCGCACTAAGCCAGAGTTGCATTCGGCAGGGTCCTATGCAGCGGGTGGCCTAACGAGTTTTAGGATTTCAGCCATTACGGCGGTCCTCCTCACCTGCTCCACTCAAAGTTATGGCACCAATGGGGAACACGCACGGGGCCAAGGAAGTCGGAGGGCGGGAGCGAGGGTGAGGACGGCCCTTCAGTCTGATCACGACCGACACGCGGGAGCCGCCGTGTGAATCAGTTCTGTCAGCTTCCTTCCTTCCTCCCGCCGGAAAGAGGCGCCGTCGGCGCGACGGTTTGACTGGCTGGCTGAAGCGCTGGCGAGGTAGACCCACCAGGAAGGTTCTGTCCACCTTCCCCAGCCCAGCCGCCTCGTCCCTTCTTGGCGTCTCTCGTGAAAGTTCCTCTCTCCACCGCCCCCAACCTCCCGCATTTACACCTGTCTTCAGCTTATCCTCCTCCTCCGCCGCCGCCGCCCCGCCAGCCCCATCCATAGGATCAGAGCAGGTGCCCACGAAGGCGCCGCTCCGGCCGTCCGGGGAGGACGGTAGGAACTCGCTGCCCATAGCGGACAGTGGAACTGGGAAGAGGGGGTCTGTAAAAGTTGTCGGCTGTCATCGTCTTAGGGCCCACTTCCCCGGTCAACCATCTCTGAAAAGACGAGCACTCAAAACAGTGACCCAATTCAGCCCACCCTTGTCTGGAAAAGATCCCCGCCCGGGAACGCGAGCCTGACTGAATCACCAGAACTATCGGAGATACGAGAGGAAGGTAGGTGGACTACCATTTGGACAGACCGGCTGGTGGGCTTTTCTGGCCGCATGCTGGCCGCCCTACGCCGCCGCGCACGAGGCTAGCGGAGCACGCTGGCACGCCCCCCGCCGCGCGGCGCGGTTGGATCGAAGGGCAAGTGAGGGGCCTCGTAATGGGGCGGATTCTCAGCCCCGGTCGGATGAGAACTAGGTCCATTTGAGAGTTTTCTGGGCTTTCTACCTCGGCTAAGTAGGGAGGAGCATGTAACGGGCGGAATCTGTCTCTTCACCACTCTCCCGCATCACATGCTTCCCGTGGAAGTAAATCGCCGTAACAGACGGAGCAGGGGAGCTCGCACGTCGTCGATCAGCCACTCCTCGGCATTAAAAACGGGAGTGTACCACCGGCGGGGGTCCTCAGTCCTCCCCACAAAGTAACAGTCCATCTCTCTCTCTCTCTCTGTCTTACTTCGTTGGTGAATACAGAGGAGAGTAGGAGAAAGAAGAGGGGGTTGGGCGATGGCCAGTAAGACGCCCGTCTTTCCCATTCAGCAGCGGGAGCAGCAGCAGCATCACTACAGCGACTTCGGGTTTGATCCAGAGATCGAGTACTTACAGGTGGGGATACTCTTCCTCGGTCGCCAACGGCTTGCTGCTTTGGGCTTCTCTTCTTCTTGTGCTGATGGGTGCAGATTGGCGCATGAAAACAGGTCTTGGAGGAGGCGAGGAAGCCCTGCAGGCCAGTTAAGAGCTCGCCGGACTCGCTCCGCTTCGTGCTGCGGAAACCCATCTCCGACGACGAATCCAACTGCCGCTCCAAGGCCAAGAAGCGGCGCAAGTGGTGGCGCAATCCTCTCCTCTTTCTCAAGTGGAGGCGCGCCGACTGCAGCGGCGGCGGCGTCCTGGCGGCGCCTTCGACCGGGGGGGGTTCCTCGTCCTCTCCCTACAGCCGTCCAAGGCACGCTTTTTCCGGGCCGGTGTACTTGACGGAGAGCGACGGCGGTGGGTCATGCGCTCCTTGCCGGAGAAGTGCCGCCGGCGGGTGGGGGAAAGCCAGCTCGGGCTCGTTGAGGTTTTCTGAGACGGGGGACCTTGAGATACCTTATCTCTGCCTCCGAGATCCCGCCGCTGCCGTGGTTCCATCCCCTTCGGTGCTTTCCACTTCTCCTGCCCTGCCCATCTACCTCGTCACTTAGTACGCCAGCCGAGGTGGTAGAGCCGACCCAAGTGAAATATTTTTCCCTTCTAGACAGATGTACATAGAGTCAACGGTCCAAACATATTAGATTCTCTCTTCTGCCTACTCATCGTCGTGGAACGATTCTCGAACAAGGTGGTCGTAAGAAAATAGCATAGTACAGCAAAAACTATTTCCACAATAGGGAACCTGAAGGTCGTACTATTCGATCGGATGCTGATCGTTGCGAGATAACACAAGTCCTTGGAAGATGCGGAGAAAATAATTTGTTATATCAGTATTTTATTATTATTATTACTATTATAATCAACGTTTCTTCTGCCTTCGGGCAACAGTTGCCCAGATTTCACGGGGATATTCTGAATGCCCTCGTATTTTAAAGAGTCATTCAGAGAAAATAAGGAGAATTGGGGCCTATTAGTTGCAGGTTTTAGACATAAGAAAACGATCGCACAGCAAGGTCTCACCAACAGAAGATCACCTTAATGAAGATTGAATCAAAGATGAACAGTTTCTGCGACGACTAATCAGTTCATCACCAACCATGGACATCGGTATCCGAAACGTTGTGAGCTTGTCCATCCCGGTTGAAGGTGCCAAAACGTGCTCAAAGTCCGATTAGAAAATATGATATGTAGTCTCAACTAAACGAAAGGAAATTCAGATGTGGTCTTCATTCTAGTCTCTAGAACAACAAAGAATGACCCTACAAGGACGGAATCGATAAAGGGTCTCCCTCCATTTCTTGAACAAGTTGGATGCCCATCTACTTCTTCTCTAAGGCTAAAGTTGAGTGCAGGAAAAGGACCACCCTTGCCCTCCAATTGAAAGCGGCCGCGATAGGTACCAGGGGACCATCTTCCTTTCCCCAGCGGCTATCCTTTTGGTCCCCTCCCACCCTTCCTCAACCTTGGAGATGAGATACCGTCCATCCCCAGATATTGGAACGAGCGAGCGAGCTACACATACAACGGAGATAACTCTCACCGTAACTAATGAACATTGTTCAGTAGGCGAGAAGCTGGAGGAAAGGCTCCAAGCATCAGGATTTAGAGACCTAAAAGGAAGAGATAATTATCTCACAGTGACATTGTTAGGTGGCTTGCGCACGGTATAGCACTTCGATTTCTTGGTTTGCCAACAAAGGGCAGCGCTGTAAGTTAAGAAACGTGATGATTGCCAATGAAGTGAGGAAAGAAAGCGGATGGCGGGGAACGATCTCTCGGTTGCTTGAGGCGGCTGTGCAACAGGTGATGGCGGTCGATCCACTGGGTCCCGTTTTGTAGACAAGAACGCGTGTTGCGGGATGGAACGATAGCATGCCCGTGTTTTAGAGATTCTGACTTTCAGTCTTTTTGACACCAGTGATAAAGAAAATATGATCAAGACAGACATCAGTAATCTGCGATCGGTTTCTTTTAAGTGAGATAAAGCTAGTTAATCCTATGCCAAATAAAACAACCCAGGTGGACCACTTAGGATCTAAGCATCCTCAGATATATAAACAAAACAAAACGTTCAAAACATTTGTGATTTTTTTGGATTGTTCATTTGTCTAATTAGGTGACTTGTTATGTAGGAATTGCCATTTGACAACCAAAGAGCATGAAATTATCATACCTTAACATTCTCACTTGAATAAATTTTTGACAACATGACGACTCCAGATGAGGCAAGTCACTATGATTATTGGACTATAAATTATCTTCTAGATTTATGACTTTAATAGGGCAAAAATTATTTTAGAAAGATAGTTCTTACAAGTGACAAAGTTATTTTTAATAAGAATTTTATCCCACAATAGATATGAAATGATTTTATCATGGGTAGTTTTCCAGAGGATAATTGAGTTTGATTGAGATTTCAATGAAAATGATGACATTTGATAACTTGAAATTATTGTTATCTTTTTTTTGGATTTCTAATAGTTGATGGAAGGTTCGTTAAACTTTGAATAAGTTGAGGATGATCTTTCAATGTTCTAATTATGCTCCTTGAACTAATGCCTTTAAGTAGATTGACTTGCCAACATAATCCTCACCTTTTCTTGTTTAAATTTTCTATGTGAAAATCATAATGCAAAGTTGGAGGTCGTTGAAAAGATAAGGATGAACATTGTGTCATTACTTAGCCACTGAAAAATAGTATAATTTATGGACAAATCTCATATGAAAAAATCTTCAAATTTCCATAATTTTTTAGCTATTTTTGCTAAAATATAATCAATTCACATAGCTAGACCAATATGATAGATCACTTAAATGATCAGAATGTCTTCATATAAAATAAATATGTGAATATATTCATACTTAATATTCATGTCTGAATTAGGTTGATTTGGTCAAAACTAGTAAAAGATCTTATACTATTAAAACATGGTAATTAAGTCAAATAAGTAATCAAATATTTATTTAAATAAAATAAAATAAAATATGATCATTAATCCAACATGATCTCAACATTTATAATCATGATTTCTAAGATGATTTCTAAAGTATAATACTTAATATCTAAAAAATCGTGTTCAACTAAGTAATATGAATTTAATTATTTAATTTAATATTAAAATATTTCAAAACTGACATTGTAAAAATATGAGTTCATAAGTGACTTTAAGCTTTCATACTCATATCTTACTTTAAAAAATGTTTTTTATTTGAGTGCCTTAATCACTCCATTTTTTATCACGACAATTCTTGTAACTTCTAGTAGTTTTCTTAATGATATATGAAATAATAATTCCTTATGTTGTAATCAATGAATTTAATATATTTAATATTTTGGTTTCAAGTATACTTGATAAGTTATTATTTGAACTTTTTCTGATATTATTTTGGATTATCCTTGAACATTTCCAGATTTAATCTCACATCATGCATATTCTGAATTAGGCATAACTGATCTTATAATTGATTTTATATTTTTTTTATCATCAAAATATCATGTATTTAATACTCCAACAATCTAATCTTTTTTGGTGATGACAAAACTATATGCACATCACAAAGATCGAGTACATATCTATTCTCAATTCAAAGATATTAAAGGCATCAGTCATCAATCATATTTAGATTTTAAGTCCCATTAGTAATTGACTACTAATGTCAAAATTGTAAGTATAATTTTTTGAAATTCGAACATTTATACTTAACTTGAAACATTAAATGCTACCAGCTTAGAAATTAAAAATATAATAAATAAATTTGAATAAACATCAACATCATCAATTCATCAACAATTTGTGTTGGCCTTACCAAAATTTTATATTCCCTTTGAGTTAGAGTTTGATGCCTCTAGTATTGACTTAGATGTCATTCTCGAGCAGAACTAATGACCCATTGCTTATTTTAGCTCAAACTCATCTACAAGTAAGAGTTAATGGTGATCATCTTATCTTATCAAAAAATGATGACATTTTTTAATGAGAATATCTTTTATTATCTACATAGATCAACATAGCTTAATTTTTTTTTTTAGAGCTGTGACAAATCTCTTTTGATTATTAATGATGTTTAATCAATATGTTGGAATGCCAATTAGTATCAAATATAAGGCAAGAGTTGAAAATAAAATTATTGAGTCTATTTCATGTCTTATTAACTCTTGACCCTATTATCCACTTTATTTCCATAGATCATTTCTTTTGAACATTTTTGCAAGCCAACCTTCAAACTCACCCAAAGTTCAATAAGATTACACTTGACTTCACCAACTATAATCATGACTGTCCTCAATATTTCATGTGTGGGGGTCTCTTTCTTTACAAAGGGAGATTCTTCATTTCTTTATCCCGCTGATTTTTCATTAATATCATAATAGTGCCTTGGGCGGCCACTCAATATTTCTACACACTTGTAAGTGCGTTTTCAAATTTTATTAGGACAATATAACACGTTAACAAACATGGTGTGACTACATGTTCCATTTATATACAACACAAATAAAGAGCCCTATCTCTTGTGGGGCCTCTTACAATCACTATTAGTTCTACAATAGATCTAGGATGATATTTTCTTTTATTTTATAGATAGGTTATTTTATTCCAACGAGTGTTCAACTTGTCATCATCAATAGATTATATATATTTACTTACTTTTCACTCATACTACATCATTATACAACCCTATATGTCATTGTGGTGTTCTTAAAGCGTGTAGTCAAGTTACATGCTTTTTCCTCTCACTATTATCTTAGATTGAGATTATATATTTGTCAATCACTTATAAAAGAAATTGCTCTTGTTACAAGACACAAAACTTCACTAGAGCATCAACTATCATTCATCAATAGATGAATAAATTGAAGTTTAAAATCATTATTTTAAAACTTATTTATGGTGTTTTACTTCTGAACATCTCAATCAATGGTCAGAATGATTTTCTTGTGCAAAATATTTGCACAATGCCAATGATCATATATCTATTAAGCTCACTCTTTTTTAAGTAATTTATGACTGTAATCCCTCACCTCTCTTCCACTTTCACACCCAAATACTATAATTTGCATATGATAATATCTTACTCATCTAAAGGATCATCTCCACCAGGCTTAAAATCATATGAAGCTTCAATATGATAAACAATATCATAAATTATCCTTTAATATAAGTGATATGATTTATCTAAAACCATGACCCTACTGCTTACATACTCCCTCCAGATGACCTAATGAAAAGTTGTCTTTGTGACATTTTAGACCATGTTGGATTATTGCTCATATTGGCAAATTGGCTTATAAGCTAGAGCTTTCTTCCTCTACCAAGATATACGTACTATTTTATGTTTATTTGTTATGGCTGGTGCTCAGAAAATCTACAAACTCTTCCATCTATTTTAGATAAGAATATGATTTGAAATGTGGAACTTTAGATAGTGTTGCAACTATGACTTGTTAATGCAAGCCAGAAGATTCTAGTAAAATGAAAATAATTATCAACTTTTGACTCTACATGGGAGCCTTTAGATGGTTTTCAATCATAATTTCCTAACTTCAACCTTAAGGAGAAGGTTCCTTTTAGGGGAAGGGTGTATTGGTAAACATATGAATCTATATTGAAAAAAGTAAAATCCATGACCAATTCATCCAACCCACCTCCCTTTACCCATGCTTCACTTATAGACATTGTGGGTCCAACATTCTTCCGTGTAACTAACTACCAACATGTTATCACCTACGAAAGAGAGAAAATACATAAAAGAGGGGGAAGAGGAAAATATTAGAGAGAGTTCATGACCACTCAATGTCGCACAAGAGAAGGGTTTGTTCTCAAGTCCTATCTCTTTATTGCATTATTGTTCTCTCTCATGTATCATCATTCTTAGTCACTTTTACTATTCATCAATCATGTCAAGTTATAGAGTTCTATGAGTTATTTGGTTCCCATTATGTAATTTGTCCATCTTGCTGCTGAACCATAGGAGAAGAATAAGACATGTCATCATGTGTCTTCATCATCTACTATAACCATCCACTATTCATCATTAATTTATTCCATCATAGTCTCTCTCTCTCTCTATTATCATCATATTATCTTCTCTCAAATTATTCTAGTGCACACACTAGGTCAATCATTTATCTAACAGGATCTTACCACAAACACAAAATAATAACTTGCACAAAATCTGCCACTACCTCCCTCACCCTACAATCATTTATATGTTGTCTAATTACGTTTAAAATGTGAAACACTACACATGAATATAACAAAACTAAAATCATTCCTAAGAAATGAGAATAAATCAGATTGACACACTTGACCAAGAGCACCATAGAAGGGATGATCAGGTTACCACTAAAACATAGATCTCAAACAAAACATAGCACCAAGACTAGTCTCCATTTCATATCTCAAATTTCTCTCTCAAAGACAAAATTTCTCTCTAAGCTATAGAGATATCTATAGTCTAGAGTTACTTTATTATATTCTATCAACATTAAGAGCTTGACAAAGTCTAAGTATTTAGACATCAAGTTCTTGATTGTTGACAAAAGGATTCTAAGTAGTCAAGTGTCTATATAGTATATTGAGATAAACTCAATTGTAGTAGATCTCATTATGAAATAATTATTAGAAGATGTCTTTTAGGAAGATAATGTTAATATGTTAGTTCCTCATAAAGATATATAATTTCAATTGGAATTTCTATTTAGATGATTGATAATACTTTATTAGAAGGTGAAATAAAAGTATTTATTGCATGATTAACATAAAATTTGAAATTTGTAAAACATTAATCCTCATTTGCGAGTGATGTGATGAATTTATATGACATTTGTTACTTTTATGATTTATGTGAAATGAATATGTTTATAATTTTTAATCCATGTGCTAACATAATTATCAGTTTTATAATCTTGAAAATTATTTTACAATTGACAAGAAATTACTCAAGAAGTTAAAATTAGAAAATATATCTTTCTTAGATTTTTTTAGGAAATTTATGAAGACATTTTTCACTCATTTGTTAGTAATTTAGAAATAATCAAAATAATGAGAATAATGCAACAATTCATGATCATATCACTAGGAGAACTTATCAAAGGTTCATGAACCAAGTTTGTATTTTTGGCCCATGTAAATACACGTATCAAAGGTTATTGTACAAAGGTTATCAAAGGTTCATGTATTTTTGTAAATAGGTTGTGCTACATCATTCATGTACACGTCATCTAGATGATAAAAAAGAGGAAGCTAGAGGGCAAAAGGAGAAAACATGTTAGATGATAAAAAGGGGAAGATAGATGAGACAAACATAATGACATTGGACACTTGTGAATTCACTTCTCTTTTTATTGTGTTTCATTTTCATTCTTTCGTAATTCATCATCTAGGTGATAAGTAGATGAAAAGATTAAGGCATTCAACCTTTTTCGTTACTACCTTTTAGATGATTTGACGTTCATATTTTGGTACTCTATTTTCAGGCGAGAAATGAGTGAAGAAATGGATAGTGTTCAAAAATTAGATCTCCATTTTGATTTGATTTAATTTTCATTTTAACATATTTTCTTCATTAGTGTAATATGTAGAACACGATATCAAGTATTTTTAATCCATATATTAATTAACTTTTAGTCACTTTTCTATTTCATTTTTTTACAATATTATATTTGTGGGTGACAGATAGGTTCAAGTTGTAGATTTATTTCATTTTTTTAATTTTTCTTCTTGTATTTTTAATATTTCTGGTATATTTATTTGAAATATTACTTAGTGATCGGTATTTGACTCAAAATCAGTTTTTTGTTTCATCATTGGCATTGTTTCCCTACTAGTGATTGCATTTTCTCTCTCCTCCCCTATTTTTCCTATTTTAGGTGTATTTCTCATTATTTTATTTTATGTTTGCGATTTTGGAAGAAAGTTTATGTTTATTTTCACTCTAAATATATTCAGTTGATCTACGTTCAAAAGAAAGAAAGTGAATTGAAAATATACATATTGAATGACATTCTATGTAATTCCTATGCTATAAAACTAAATTTGATCTTATATCATTCAATATATGGATATATGTGATTACTTTTGGGTTTAGTTGTGCATAGAAGTGACAAAAACTCCTTTAATCTTATATTGATATGATGATGCATGAGATTGTTGAAAATACTTTTAGTAATGAGAATAATTTATTTAACATATAGTATGTAATAATATACTATCAAATTATCATATAAATGTTACTCAAGTAGCAGATTCTTGGATTTGATCTCAATGTAGACATATATATATATATATATATATATATATGAATTAGATAGTATGGATCATCATTAAATTAATTCCTTGTAAATTGATCCATTGTAGATTAATAAGGAATTAAACATCTCTTGTAAATGTGAAGCTAAACATCCAACTCATATTTTGATTTTATGATAGCCAAAATTAGCAATTAACAGCTAGAGGCAAACCACCACTTAACTATATAAATAAGGGGTCTGACCTTTGGATTTCACATTCTGCCGAATTTACTCTTGAAGTTTCTCATCACTTTGATAGGAAAGGCATATGGTTCCATAAACTTGAGATTCAAGTAAAAATAGACAAGTATGTTTTCCATTCCCTCATTATAATTCTCCAGGACTCAACACAAATCTTTTCATTTGAAATTTTCTAATTATATCCTGAGTGGAACCCCAAGTCCACGATCCTACTCCCATGAGAACCATTCCTCTAGGGGCCACGACCAGTGTTTCCTAAGCATCATTGATACAGGGGGAACCACGACAGCCACCTCTACTCACCTCACGTTCGAACGTGTACCAACGAAGATCGCGGATGGAACGATATATTAAGAAGAGGGTATTCGGAAGGCAAAGGGGAGGAAGAATTATTCGGACCGTTGAGCCACTCGAAGCGCTCGTGTTATCCCTGTCTCGTCTTTCTCTCTCACGCTATCCCTCTCATGCTCTCCCTCTCTCGCTCTCTCTCTCTCTCTCTCTCTCGCTATATATATATATATATATATATTGAGTTATCGTATTTTCTTATCGGTGTCGCTATTTCTCTCCTTCTTCTCTCTCCATTATCGTGATAGTCTAGCAACTAGCATATTATTCTCTCATAATATCTAAGTGAAGTATAAGAGACGTCAACCTTCTCATAATATCTAAGTTATAAGTGATAGCTTGACTCGTCATAATTCTTAGAGGAGGCTTGCATTCTAGGCCATCTTCTCTCGTTGATGGCACAGGCGCTCGGTCAATCTACGCCCTCTCCCTTGTCCATCTTTTGGATCAAGAAACGCCCTGGAGTACCCAAGAAACTGAAGATCTCCCTTTCCTTTCTTTTTTCCCATTGTAATATTCAGCCATGGAACTTCTCACTGGTGAGAACAATCTACATCTACAGCAACGGAAAACCTCTTCAGGGAGGACACTAGGTGGGGCTCCCTGCTGGAGCGAATGTTCTTTCCTCCGGGGAGCTCTTTTCTGCTCATGTTCGAGGCGGAGAGGCCCCTGAGCGAGGAAAACTGCCTGGGTTCGGAAAGAAGAAGGCCTTCCTCTACCTATTCCAATCCAAGCTGGAAGAAGGATTTGAGGGGGATCCGATTTTATACCATTGAAAATAACTCAACCTAAAATATAACAAGCCAAGCTGGAAGATCATGGAAAATTTCAGCAATAGATTTTCTATTCACCACCAAGCAAAACCCACATGAAATATATTTTTTATTCTTCTGAAAAAAACAAAAAAAAAAAAGAACACTTATTCGACAAACGTTTCCCGTCCTCCACTCTTCTTGTGACTGGCGTCCATTTGTATTGCCTGTCACGCAGGCTCACTTGGACCAAGACATCCCATGGGCATGCGCCCTTATCCTTCAAAGACCTCGTTGTCGCTGTTCCCAGAGGAAGCGCAGAGGGAAGAGAGGAGGCTTTTGTCGATCAATGAAGACTCCCGATACGTCCTGGTGGAGGAATGGAGAAGGCGATGAATTTAAGAGCTCTGCGTCGCCAAGCCTCATGGCCGTCCTAGCCACGGTACTTGCCGTGTCCATCGTCTTTTACTGGTTCAGGAGGGTGAAGAATGAAGCCCGTCTTCTACCTCCGGGACCCCGAGGGTTGCCGCTGCTCGGAAGTCTCCCCTTCCTCGGATCCGACCTCCACATCTGCTTCGCGGAGATCGCGCGTACCTACGGTCCTGTCGTGAGTCTCCGCCTCGGTGCCAAGCTCTGCGTCCTGCTCAGTTCTCCCCAGGCCGTGAAGGAGGCCCTCAAGGACCAAGACGCCATCTTCGCCAATCACGACGCCCCCGCGGTGTCGCTCTTCTCCCCCTACGGTGGTAAGAACATGCTCTACGCGCCCTACGGGCCTCAGTGGCGCATACTCCGCAAAGTGACGGTGCGGCAGCTGCTCAACCCCGCCACCATCGATGGCCTCTCCGTCCCGCGCCAGGCCGAGATTCGGAGGATGGTGGAGGAGATCCGAGGGAAAGCAGGCCAGCCCGTGAATCTGCGCGAGCTGATCTCCGCCGCGGCGATGAACATGACGACGGAGATGCTGTGGGGGGGCTCATTGGCGCAGAGAGGAGATGATAGGGACGCTCTTGGGAGGGAGTTCCGTTAGGCGATGGAAGACCTGGTGGAGCTGTTGATTATCCCCAACATCTCCGATTTCTACCCTGCCCTAGCCTGGCTCGACCTGCAGGGCCTGGGGAGGAGGATGCGAAGAATGGTCTCATTGATCGACCGCATCTTCAATTCAGTCATAGAGGAGCGGTTGATGATGATGGAGGGGTGTCAGGACGGAGACCCGGCGGCGGCCGTGGACATGAAAAACAAGGACTTCCTGCAGGTGATGTTGGACCTCGTACAGAACCCTGACCCCCAAGCGCCCATTACCATGGACCATATGAAGGCCTTACTCCTGGTGACCTCCTTGTCCTCATATCCTCCATCAAAATTTTCAATCGACATCTTCATACATTTGATTTCTTAGTTCCCACAATGAAAATCAACTGACAATACCCTTGCGCAATACTCACCTTTTGCGTGAAACCGGGTTGACAGGACCTGGTGACCGGAGGGACAGATACCACGTCAACGACGTTAGAGTGGGCTATGGCCGAGCTTCTCTACGACCCGGAGAGGATGAAGACAGCAAAAGAGGAGATTGTCACCGTAGTCGGGGTGGGCAACGCTGTCGAAGAGGTCCATCTCCCCCACCTGCGCTACATCGACGCCGTGGTCCGGGAGACCCTCCGCCTCCATCCGGCGGTGCCTCTGTTGGTGCCCCACCGCCCCAGTTCTACCTGCACCGTCGCCGGCTACAAAATTCCCGAGGGAACCAAGGTATTCATTAACGTGTGGGCTATACACAGGGACCCCCGAGTATGGGAGGACGCCTCCGAGTTCAAGCCCGAGAGGTTCCTGCGTGAAGCAGGCGGAGCGGATTACAGCGGCAACACCTTCCGCTACCTCCCTTTCGGAGCCGGCAGAAGGATCTGCCCCGGCATCTCGCTCGGGGAGGGGATTGTGAAGTACATTCTTGCGTCCCTGCTGCACTCCGTGGACTGGGCTCTGCCGGCGGGGGAGGCGGCGTCACCGGATCTCAACGAGAAGTTTGGGATTGTGATGAGGAAGGAGAAGACCCTCGTCGCCGTCCCCACCCTCCGGATTCCTCAGAACATTTAGGATGATAATAGTCAATATAAAAAATAGGATAATTCATTTATTGCTTTTGCCGTTATTAGGCTTCCAAGTTTTTCTCCCATAGCTGTTCTTGTCAAAAGGGGCGGCCCACACTGGGCCAGAAAGTGACGGTTGTTTTGGTCAAAGTGGGCGGCCGACACGGCCAAAAAGTGGGCGGCACTTTTTATCTGTTGTATAAATACTCTCTCTCTCCCTCTCTCTCTCTCTCTCTCTCTCTCTCTCTCTCTCTCCTTGCGGGGTATCTTCTGTGACGGTTCTTATTCAAGGGTTTTTTCTGTTCGAAATTCCTCTCCTCTCCTCTCCTCTCATTCTCTGCCAAAAATCCATCTTTTCTCTCAGAAACCGTCCTCATTTTTCTTAAGTAGAGATCGTACCCCACGAATGAGAAGAAAAACTGGCCGCGGTGGATCTCTCTTCCACAAAGCGAACATGGTGCAACTCCATTCCATTATCCTTGAACAGGACGCTCTCATCATGCTAAACATCAAATCGACGGCACCAAGCGCCTTCCCCATCCCCGTAACTCAAGCCCCAAACATCAATGATGGTTCTTAACCATGATTTATGTATCCGGTTACTATCTTTGCCGGCACTGACATGTATTGCCCACCATAACGACCCTATACCATGCAATCGACGTCAAATATATGTCCCTTGTCCTGCACCGTGGCCTGCCGCCAAGTATCTTCCTTAGTCCTTGTTTGTGCATTCAAATCCTATCGTCTGCCAGGACCATCTTATGAGGTGACCGGATAATCCAAACCTATAATTCTCTCTATCCCCATTGTTTTTCCCTCACTATTGTGAGCCCACGCCCTTATTTCAAGTTTTTTTGCCTCTAAATCGTTTTATCTTCGCTATATAAAGCTTGTTCTTGCCCCTTGTAGCTTGGAACCGTTATATGTGAAATCTTTTTCGTGGGTTTTCTGAAATTTTATTTAAAATGAGAGCGAAAAATTATTTTCATGGGGCATTTTCAATTTAACTTCTCGAAAAGGTATCTAGCCTAAATAACTTAATTTTCAATCCCTTACTCATTTATAGACCCGTTAAAGTTGGTACAACCGGATGAATTCTACCCAACAACTATTTAACTGCTTCATGTGATAAAATATATTCTAAATTTGTTGATTGAGACCATGCCAAAATTGCTTTGTATGGATCTACTTTTAGACTTTACGGCCTTTGATGATCCTACAATTGGCATGGATGAGCTTAGGCAAAATAATGTGAATCATTTAGATCCCTTTGTGACACCCCTCACCACAACAAACATATGCCATTATTTGAGGTTGCTGACTTTTCTAATCATTTTATATTCTCTTTATAAAGCTTAATCTTAGCCCTTATGATACGAAACATTCGCTAATAACCCGGCCCAAATAACTTAATTTAAAATTTTCAATGTTTTATTAATTTATGACCCATTAAAACTAGTACTAATGGATGGCTTCAACCCAATAACCATTCAATAATTGCATGTGTTAAAACATAGTCTAAGCTTTTTGATATAGGTCAGGTCATTCTTTTAAAACCTAGATCAGAAGTTGATAAAAAATAATCTAGGTGGCTCTATTTTTAGAGTTGGCCATCTTTAATGATCTTAAAATAACAGGGTATTGCATGATAAAATAATGTAAATATTTTTTATAGTAGCAGCCAATGCTTCCCCTACATTGAGATCCCTTGTGGCACCTCTTGGATACAGGAGCAAGGTTTGAGATGTTGGCTCTATAAGGTACAAAACGCAACAAGCTCACAAGTAGCTTAGATGGAAATCACCAGCAAAGGTTGAGTGAGGTTCAAGGGAATTGAATTTTAGGGTCAAACTAATTCTGCACAAAAATAATGAAAAAAGTTCTCTAAATTTTGGCTTCCAATGAGTTTATTAGAACCTCACAATTATGCAAAAAATGATACCAAAGGTATTTGGCCACCATCGCATCTTCACTATTCATTGGCCCATTGCAACAGCCCACTAGTTCAACGGATTAAAACATCATTCTTCAAAATTGACTCAATTTTGTTACTACAAACACAAGGTAATAACTAATTTTAGATACGACTACCCCCTCTTGTTGGGAACTTCATACCCCAAAAAGGGTGAACTTATCTAATCATAGGTAATGTTTAAGCTTTGTTTCTAAAAGTTTGGTCAATATATCAACAATATTATCGTAGAGTATTAATTTTCACAGACTAGATGACTTAGTCTAAATAAATTCACATAATTGTTGAAATGAAACATGAATGTGTTTTATCATCGAATGATAAATTTAATATTTTGAAAAGTAAAATTACAATACCGAAAAGAAACTCTTAAATAAAAATCTATTGAAGGAATTCAACACTAACATGCTAGTGAAGTTAAGATAGTTTTTAGGTATAAAAGTGACATATTCTAAACAGAGAATATTTGCATCACAACAAAAGTATGAGTATTCTTGCTTATCAAAATCATAAAGTTGGTAATGCAGAGGAGAGTAATCATGCTGATATAGATGCATACCAAAGACATAAGAAGTTGATTTATCTTTCTCATACAAGACCTAACATTACATATGTAGTGAGTGTACTCAGTCATTCATGTATAACCTAAGAGAAATCCGACTATTTGCTGACAAAAGAGTTACAATATTTGAAAGGGACCCCTGAAAGAGATATTTTATTTTAAAAGAGGACAGAGTTAGATTATTTGTGCATCAATCATATGAAGTTTTGTACAAAATATGTACACATCTGAGATTTTTGTACATTATTAGAATGTTGGACAAATATTTAAGTAATTCAAGTTTGGATCACTGAAAGGCAACCAACAGGGTCATATAGTACCTCGAGAAATTACATCTTCATAAAAAAAAAAATCATATTAGTTGTAGATCATGAAGTATTCTGATTTCAATTTTATTATATCTATTAATAGCCAAATATTTGCTACATATTGTATATATTTGCTGGTTGAATAAGCTACATCATACAAGGTGTTAAGCATACATTCATAACTTTTTCAACAATAATAATGTGATTTATCACATATTATGAAACATCTAATCATATAATTTAGTTGTAAAACTTTGTCACATAATTGTAAATTCTAGATATAATTGTAAGATTGCTAAAGATATTATGTGACAATATGTTGAACCTTACATGAATTGGCCATAGAGATCTTGTTGGACTCAATTGAACCAGACCTTTCCCTTCCAACAATTGAGCGAAAATGGTGAGAGCCACTTGTGTAGAGACACCATATCGTTGCCATTCTCTCTACTGCACACTCCAAGGCAGATGAGCACGATAGTTTGGACTAATTGGGCTGAAAATAAAAGGATACTTTTCATCGGCCCAAAACAATACTGTCATCGTAAAAGCAGACAAGACCCAACTACCAAACCGTTGCTTTGACGAGGTCCTTTTGGCGCGGTTTCTTCCAACGGCTATACCTTGCTTCCTTCTCCTGATCACAACGCTCCGCCACTCTGAGTGCGCCTTCAAAAATGGGGAGCTCGACGGCGCCGTCGTCTTCGTCGGTCTCTCTGTGCCCCGAGATTTTCAGGTTTCCATCAGAAGATCCCCCCATATCGAGGCTCACTGGTAGTGGGGAGCATCATGGTCAAGGAGCTCACCCTTTATCTTCCCCCATCGTCAACTCACTGTGCGCTTGCTGCGATCGTCAGGTTCTTCAGGACTGCCTTGGGGAAACCTCGCTTGGCTCATGAGGCGGAGGGCTTCACGGGGAGGATGCGCTGCAGCGGCGCGGAGCAGGAAGGTGGTGGAAATTTGATGGCTGCGGCGCAACGACGAGGTGGCGATTGCTTCGTCCTCTGATTGGTCATTTAGGTTTTCTCTTTGTGGTGCGATCTGCTATCTCCTCCATATGTTCGGTCACGATTCGCTTTCAATAGGGTCTCATCGATCAATCCTCGAGCGTTCTAATTTTCTCCTTGGTGTTAGTTAAGATTTCCCTAATTTCAGTCCCGCAGAGCTCTTGAAACACGTTCAGAGAGAAGCGAACACGAATTTCGGAAGTTTTCTCGTAGCCTAATGATCATCTAGCTCTCTTCGATGTGGTTTTCTCGAGGAGCGAATTTCCTAATTAGAAATATAATTTCTGCTTCAAATGCTGTATTTTTAGCAATTTCTCACCTCTTCAATGGGAAGGTTAGTTTTCAGGGAATTCTCGTCATTTCATCATTCATCTTCAATAACTTCGGTCAGGCTGCGCTATTGTCTGGCGCTATTTGGTCTGCTCAAGGTGTTGCTTCTCGAGGACATTTATGCCTGAGTCCTACTAAAATGTCATTCTTATTTTTAGACCACAGAGGGCCTCGTGGTAGAAAAGACAGGTGGGGCTGGTCGTCATTCTCCCTTCAATCCAGATGCCCCTCTGTCTGCCTTGTTCCTGCTCGAGCCTACCACCGGCCTCGGCTTCCTGCTTACGACGTTCTCTCTGTAGTCCGAGTAAACAGAGAAGAGGGCATCCCTTACTTTTCCCCATGTCTACTTCCTCCGGTGTTCTGTCTCTACAACTCAATTCTCCCTGCTTTTCTTCCCGCGGCCATATGCCGCCGCCGCTGCCACTCTTCCTCGCTATCCCGAGGTTGTGGCCCGGCAGCAGTCCGCTAACGGCCCGAGCGGTGTCCAGGCGATTCATCCTGCCGTCGGCCTCATTCATCTGGGACGCCATAACAGGGGGAAATTCCGCCCTGGAGGCATCCACTGCCGTCCGCCGGGGAATGCAGCTTTTCAGACAGGTATGGCATTTTCCCTCCCTCCGGGATCGGGTCGCTCGCTTTTATCTAGCTGTCATGTATGGAGAATGATCCGTCGTATTAATGTGGGATTTTTCACTCTTTCGACTGTGGGAAGGGTGACGTTGTGGGTTCGTTGGCTGAGTTCGACAGAGCCATAGAATTGGATCCTCGACAGAAGTCATGTACGTGCTTCCCCCGTTTTAATTCAATCGATACGTTCTTTGTTTCATGAATTAAATAACGGCGTAGAACTTCTCTCTGAGTAGTTTGGATATAGTATATCCTGCTAACCATGGAATCATGCTGCAGATCTTTGGCAAAGGGGACTCTCCTTATACTACTTGGAAAGGTATCTGCTTCTCCCTCCTCTGGCGTGGCGAGGTGAATAGAAGGCATAACTTTTAAGTTAGACCACATGCAGATTTGAAGAAGGGGCGGAGCAGTTCAGGATAGACGTTGCTGCAAACCCGAATGACACAGAGGAGTCCATATGGTGCTTCCTTTGTGAAGCTCAAATCTATGGTGTAGAACAGGCCAAGCGAAGGTTCCTTGAGGTTAGTTGATGACTGTTAGACTGAGACACTGATTGTGATTACTTGTATCGTGCAACTTCTCTAAGAGAAAATATTATTATTTTTGGATTTTGATGATGTATATCATGTCAGAAGCATGTATAGGAAATGTCATCATACCCAGGGGTTAAAACATTGAAAACTAATAAAAATATAATACAACTGATGATAAAAGCCTTTTTCGAATGATAGCCAAAACAATCGTTCGTTTGGAAAAATCTGTATATTTTTGTTTATTGTTGGTGGTTGGCATTCATAAATACGAAAAAGTGGCATGTTTTTGGTTGTCCTAATTTATTCATGCTGGTTAGAAAAGTTATTTTTTCTGATACATTATTCTGGAACTTTTTATGGTATATATTGTGAGAAAAGAAAACTCCAGTCTGTTTTCTTGACCAAAGGCATTAATTTAAGATACATTATTTGAATGATATTAGTTCTAATCACGAAAATTTATACATTTAAGGACTAGGTAACGTGATTTAACTACATTATATTCAACCATGTTGCTGCTTCTTGCATCAATCATTAGTTTTCTTTATAGTTTAACTTGAATCATAATTGGGTAGACAGATAAATTTATTGATAACTTATCATTGTTTCGCAAAGCAGTTTCTTTTTTGATTGATTTTCCTGGTCGTGCATTTCTTTTTTTCAGTTTTTGTAACAACATTCCCTGTGGCATCAGGTTGGCAGAGATTCACGACCCTTTATGCGTGAAGCCTATAATCTCTTTAAAGATGGTGGAGACCCCGAAAAGGTTTCCAAAATATTCCCAGAGATGTTACAATATACAATTTTTTTATTTGGAATATCGAGTATTATAGTTTTTTTAATGTATTTTCTTGATTTTCCATTCTCTATTACTCCATTACTTATAATCTTACTATCACTTTGTTCTAACAAAAATTCTGAGAGAGCGATTTTTCCTGGTTTTACAAAAAACCGTTCCCAGACAACAGCGACCAATTCTTTTACTGCTACTATTTACAAATAGACATATAATAAATTCAACGTTCCTTTTTTCCCTGAAATTTAAGTTTCTTCATTTCATGGCAATGCTGAGTCCATTTAAACCTGGAATATTTTAAAGCAGATATGCACCGTTCATTTATTCTGGAAAGATGTTCTCTCCTTAATTTTTTACCATGGTGCTGATAATTATCCACGGTAAATAATAACATTTTTTTCAGGATTTCTCTTTCATGTCTATTTACCACATGCATTTCTTACGGTTTTTCCCCACCAAGCATTTGGTCAATTTAATCTTCTTGCACTGGATACAATGATGCCCTTCCCTCTCTTTCCTTTCAGATTTTACCCTTTCTCATTTACGTTCTTATACTTGTCTCGCTGGTTTGTTTCTTCCAGAGAAAATCCTCGGATTAAAGGGTGCAGATTGTTGTCAAATTGAATCCAGCGTATATTAATCATATCTTTTTTTTTTTGCCAGTTTCCACCGCTTGCCTAGCATCCAGGAAGTGAAATTTCTGGTGGGGAATTGAGCTTGTTTCTTGAGGCCATTACCTGTGACATGTATAAAGGAAAAGACCTAGTGGGCGGAGAAAAAATAGAAATGCTGCTTAGTGGGCGTGTGCGTAGAGAGAGAGAGAGAGAGAGTATATGAATCATATAGAAAGGGAGGATATGCTTTGTATAGATCCGAAAGCAATCAGTATCAGGGATGTATCTGTGCGTCGTTAATATCTTGTTTTGCAATATTTATGTCCTTAAAGCCAAGTGTATGTTAACTTGGATTCAGTCTGAGTATATTTAATTTTATCCACTGTTATTATATGGCTAATTCATGCCGTGAAGTTCATTTTTCTAAACATTTAAAGTGCCTTATGGCCCTTGCAGCTTGTTTCCATGTTTTTGCACGGTGGAGAAAGCGAGTTCTTCTATGCTTCATTATATGCTGGCCTCTACTACGAATCCCAGGTTTGTGATCATCATCATTGATGTGCTTCTACTGCTTTGTAGATCCTTGCACGAGTGTGGTGCTGGTATGTTCTTGTATTTAAATAAGACTTTACCATATATAACGTGTGGTTTGTAGAATTCAACCGATTACTTGAATCCAAGTCAACTCATCATCCCGTTCAGATGGTTTTTGAAATGACAGAAAGAGATTTATTTATTTATTTATTTACTTATTTATTTATTGCTTGTTCATTCTCCCAGAAGGACCCAGAATCCTCGAAACGCCATATCATTGCTGCATGCAGGTCGCTTTACGGTGAGAGGTAAACAGTTTCACTCTGCGCCGCCTCCCTTACAAACTTGCCCTGAAACCCTACTCTGTTTCAGACTTTCATGGGTCCGTGAATGTTTCTTGCAGCTCCGGTGACTACATGGCTTCCCTCGCCAAGGTCCACTGTCTTTGCCGAAACTGGGTGCTCGCCTAAAAGTCAACGACCATGCTGAACCCACATCGCCATGTCCAATAAATTGCCTGTGAGGAAACGTACCGTGTCTTCTAAGCATAGACACTTGCAGAAACGAGAGAAATACCTCAGCATATAGTTGGGAAATTTCCTCGAGGAAGTCAACTAAAAAAATGTAATATTATTTCTAAATATCAAACGACCAAGAAAAAAAATTAACGTCACCGCAGCCAGTACCTTCATCTGTTTCTTTTCCTGACCCTGTATGATGTCAGCTAGGGAACATTCTTCTCTTTTCCTTTTGACGTCTTCCTGAATCGGCCGGCACTGGCTGCGGCCAAAGGAGCACGTTTTCCAGGTTTCCCTCGCTGGAGCCCTCGTGCCGGGGAAACTCCTCTTCGGTGCTTGGTCCGCCGACTAACTGTTCTCCGTTTTGGGCTGCAGCGCGAAGATCCGCCCCGTCCATCCGCCGGTTGGGTAATTTCGTGGAACACCAGGGCGACTGCGGAGATTTCCGGTCAGGATGAGCATCACGGATATTCGGAGGGCGCCGCGGTGGCACCTCCCCTAGCCGGCGGCTTCTTGTCCGAGAATTCCAACTTCGTGGCCCCACGTCGGCAGGCGGTTTGGCCAGGCTTTAGAGGGTATTAGGGTAAAAGGAATTAGTCAGGGCCACGACAGGAGCGTACCAGAAGAGCTCTCCCTCCCCACGCACGAGAAAAGGCCAAGTGGTGTCTCTGGTTTCGCCCTCTTTCCTCATCACGGCAACCGATTGAAATCCCCCCCATGGGAAGGAAATGACCGGCTTTCGCCCTCCGGTCCTTTCCTCTTCCTTCCATATATTCCCGGGAGCGACAGGACGGTGGTTACTCCTGGATGCCTTCGCATTGCAGTTTTACGGGCACGGGAGGGTGAGAAGGGAAATTGGTCGTATTTGACTTCGTCCTCGACAGGTCCAACCATCCGGAGGAAGGAACTTGAACATTTCTGATCAATTGGAGGATCTAAGGACCCCCCCCCTTAATGTCTTTGGAGAAGCTCACGTCTGAGGGGGAGCACCGATATGTAAAGATGCTGGGGGAGCCAACGATCCAGTCCTCCCATTCTATACGGCTGCAGGGGTTGGATCAGGAACGGATTTTTGAAGAACTGCCCAAGGCCACGATCGTGTCGGTGTCGAGGCCCGATGTTAGCGACATCAGCCCCTTGCTTCTCTCCTACACCATCGAATTCCGCTATAAGCAGGTTCGTGTCTACTTCTGTTTTTTGGATTTTTATTTTCTTGTGCCATTTGCAGTTTGATAATTTCGGATCGGAGGCACAGTGCCTCTGCATGGGAGACTTTTAATTAAAAAAACTATCTTGTTATATGCAGTTTTTTTCAGGGAATATCCTTAATGCCCTCAATTTTTGCATGTCTAAGATTTAGTAATGTTGATCACTCTGGAGTTATTCGTCGGCTGTCACTAGTGATTAAGTTCTTGAATGCCCCTCCAAATTAGATTTTTGAAACGAAGTAATGGAGACACGGAAATGTGATGTCCTTTGCTAACTTACCAGTAATGTGCTCATCTTTTGTTAGAAGGATCGAAAGGCATATTATCCATGGAAGTGTGCCATTTGATTTGAATAATAAAAAAGAGAATGATGATTGCCTCTCAGTATAATCTATTTTTATGGGTGTCGGTTCTTAAATTATAACCTTCCATTCAATGAGACAGAAATTGCAGATGGGTTTTACTTCTGTTGCAATTTTTGTTGCTGACTTTTGCACTTTTGTTTTTGACTGATGGAACCTAACGTGAGTATTTTGCCCCTGTAAAATCGAATTACCTATCTGGTTCTTTGATGGTTGATTCGGAGTCTTTATCCTGCTGATCTGGAGTTCGCTCTTCCTCAACCTTTTCCATTTCACCTTCTAGATAAAAGAACACACAGGAAGGGTCTTTGATGATCTCAAATGGCAATGGTTATCCGTAACCTATTTTTTCTATGTCATATTTTCTGAAGTTACAATTTAGTTTTTTTGTGATTGAATCATTTTATACTGATAACGTTTGGATCAACCAATCATTTAATCTCAAGAGTTTGAAATCAGAGCAACAGAACATTCGTGTTTATTTGTCTTTTCTGATTTTTTTGTATCACCTCTTTTTTATTTAAGTTGATAAATATTTTGGAAAGTTTTCGTTCTGACTTGGCCATTCCTATCAACTAGTTTAAATGGCGGTTACTGAAGAAAGCATCACAAGTTTTCTATCTGCATTTCGCATTGAAGAAACGTGCAATTATTGAAGAATTACATGAGAAACAAGAGCAGGTATGCATTGTTTTTACTTTTGCTTATCTTGGTTTCCCTGTGGACCACGCAAATCATCTTAACATTGCTTTTTGGGTTGTGGCATTCATGCAGAATTTCTTTCTATTGTGAGCTCATATTACCTTTCAAGGTTGTTCTTTGGGCTGAAATTGTAACATTGGTTTCTCCTCATTTATAAATTGTATGACAGGTTAAAGAATGGCTTCAAAACATGGGGATAGGAGAGCATACCGCTGTAACACAGGATGATGATGAACCTGATGATGATGTTGTTCCCTTGCATCATGAAGAAAGCTTTTCTTTTAAAAGCAGGTAAATAAACTCACCTCCGTTCTCATGATATCTATCCATTTTTCCTTTTCCTTAGACAAAAACCACTATGTTGTAAACTAAGCGCTTAGATAAATGTATTGACAAACCGTACATTTGGAAAATCATGCTTACAAACTAAGCGTCTTTTTCTCAGGTTCAAAGGGCACCCTACCTAGCCTTAATGAATTTAACTACCTTTTGCTGTGTATCTCACAACGAACTCTTTCCGATGAATTTTCTCCATTTTTAATTAAATATATGATTTATTAATTGTTAAACTATTTCTTTATGCATATCTCATGATCAAACGAGCAATATATCATAAATAATCAGCTTATATCACATACAAATGCCAACACACCATCCTACTGATGTATTAGCTATTCTGAAGAATAGTTTAGAAGTGAAATATTATTAAGGATTTTGAATACAGCTGAAATATGTAAATGAAAGAGCAAGTATCCTAATCTATTAGATCTGGTTATACTATGTTCATGTAGCTAAGCTAAAGTGATTTTTTTTTTTGTGTGAGATATGGCTTGCAATATTGCATTAGCGTTTATAAGGGATGGGTCAGACAGACACCTGAAACCCTTTAAGCTGAATCAACTATAATGTCAACCCTCGCAGAAAACAGACAATTGATCACACTCCTGAAAAATTCCATTCAACGTAGTTCTCTTTTCGTGCATGGATTCGTTTGGGTGTTTTGGTTTGAGGGCATGTGTGTGTTTATTTTGAGGGAAGATCGCTATCATTCTTTTTCTGAATGAACATCATCAACTTTGAAGCGTGTATGCCCTATCAATTTTGAAAAAGTACTATTTTTTTATAGAATTATTTTATAATCAATGAGCAGGGATGCAGAAGAGCTATGTAGATCTAAATTAAACTAATTTATTTGTTGCAGAAATGTTCCTTCTAGTGCTGCTTTACCCATCATTCGTCCAGCGCTTGGAAGACAACATTCTATCTCTGATAGGGCAAAGGTTGCCATGCAAGGATATCTAAATCATTTCTTGGGGAACTTGGACATCGTTAACTCACGAGAGGTATGATGTTTGATCTTTTATTGTATTAGTTTCTAGAAGAAGAGGAGAAATTTTCATTTCTCTCTGTATCATCGAGGAAGCTGTATAATACATAAACATAACAAAATTCTCAACATGTCTCCCTCTGTAAGCATCAAGAACCTCATCTCTCTGATGCGGTTCATATAATGCAGCAGCTTGGAAAAGACAGATGTTGCTGACAGTGAAGCACAACACTTCACATATAGCCTCTTTATCCAAGTCAAATACCCTATTGGCTATGTGATCCCACGGCATAAAATGTTTCAAGGGTGGAGTCTGTGATTAAGCTCCTAAGCAATTTGGAATCTCTAAAAGCGAACCATATTGAATTTATCGAGACATGTGCACCCGGTAGGTGTATGCTATGTCTGGTTCGCTTCAACGCAACCAACCCCCCCATCCCCCCTAAAAAATAAAATAAAAAAACAAAAACAAAAAAAGAGAGTAAAAAAGGAAAGAAACTAAAATCGCAACAGGACCATAAATTAAAGCAGAAGGACTTCTATCATATCTTATCAGATTCTGCACTATGTATGGTTTCCAATAAGAAATCCGGAAAGTTTTGTCTAATTTAAAGATTCCTGCTTTGAATAATTGATAGATGATATTTCTGAAATGAACACTATCCGTTTATCCATCGCTCAGTTATATGGAGAATGTACTGCTGCTACCTGCCATTGTTTTCATGATTTTGAGACTCGAACTTTAACTTGGGTGCGGGATAGAGATCCTTGAATTTTTTATGGTTGCTTGGAAAAACACAGGTCTGATATTTGAGAATTTATGTCATCCGAACCAGGGAAGTTGTGTGTATCATTGGCTTTCATGCTTTTGACTGCATTAGACCCACTTGACCTTGTGTGTAAATACACAGCTGAGTAAGTCTCAAGTTGTAATTTCACTAGTTGAGCACTTCTATCATCATATACCTTTATTTGAAAGTCGTTTATAAAATGATGACTGTAGTGTTCCACCTCAAAGTTGAGGAACCCAAAAGTTCATAGGTTGCAACAAATTATTCAGGCTTTTTAGATCTTTATGGTAAAATATTTGTTTTTAATGCTCACCATTAGTAAATTATTGGCATGATATTAGTCGGGATTAATCATCTGATAGTTATACATTGTATTGGAAGCAAAAATTTTGCTTATCTACTTGTACTCAAACCATATCTAAACCGCAGGTTTGCAAATTTTTAGAAGTATCGAAGTTATCATTTTCCCCAGAATATGGACCTAAGCTGAAGGAGGATTACGTAACAGTGAAACATTTGCCAACAATTCAAAAAAGTGACGATGATAGAATGTGTTGTGCTTGCAGTTGTTTTGGTTGTTGTAATGGCAACTGGCAGAAGGTAAATACTATATTCTGGTTTCAAGGTTTAAGTGCTCTATATGCCTTTATAATATGTGTGATTGATATAGCTGAAAAATATTAATGTGCTTCATTATTTCAATGTTTCCAATTGGGTTATTTTAAGAGAATCCCCTGTTCTTCCCTTGGGGATGTTGTAAATTTGTTGACTTATAGAATTCGTTGGATTTCTTCTAAATTTGTTTGATCTTGTTGCTGATCATTATACATTATAACCTGACCTTGAGAATGCTACTAATTATGTGAGGGCTTATCTTAGAATAGTACAAGTGGCCATGAATTTCAAATGGAAAATTATTTTGGAACTATGCAATGCAAGACATTTTCTAAATCACCATGGTGTATCTTTATGGTCATGGATCTCGATCCGAAAACTTTTGTCCAATTCTTCTTTTCCTCCTACATCCCTTACATTTGGTTGGCGTATAGTATTTCTCAAAACACGTGAAAATTGATCTGTTCCTCTGCTTTTTTTTCATCTTCATTGGTTCCTATGGAACATTGTGTTGGTTTTTTGTTTGTCGCTCTAGTTTTGCCAATAGATAGATTTCTTTTGTGAAGATTTATCTGTTTTCTTTTATCTGCACCAATTGATGATTGTTGTTCCATTTTTTCTGTGAAGAAGTGGTGACTTCGGTTAAATTATTTACTTTGAAAAAATTAGGATCCCTCTTGGTTTCTGATCTGAGCCACAACAAAAATGCATCTTTCAATGGGCTTTTTGTAGGACTTAGACGAGTTGATTTAGTTTCTTCCTCAACCGAATTCCAAACATCCCTTTTCCTGGTGTCCATGGAACAAATCCACTGTTGGCCATCTGTGCCTCATCTGGGCTGACTGCATAGATGAGACTTAAACGACAGGCCGCCAGAATGAGGCAAAAGGAGCCGCAATGATGTGGGTGGTGGGTTTCATTTATGAAAATCGATCCTGTAACCTCTTCAATGACAATGAAGTAGGATATTGATTGATAGATATACTCATTTTCTTGATTCTTCTTTGGAGTAACATAGAAATAATAGTAGTGATAAATATATGTATTTAACATTTAACTTCGTTTAGCTCCAAGGGTTAGGACGGTCATTGTGTAGAAAGGTGGCTTTGATCTGAGAGCATGTAAACTAGTGAGTTGGGGCGGTTTATTGATAGCAATTGATCCTTGTACGATAAGCATGTAAACTAGTGCTTTCTGTGATAATAGCCTAGATTTGGCCGAATTTTTAACTTGCATGGGTCAACATTGATAACATTGCTTTCTGTGATAATGTTGCTTCAGTGAGATTTCCCCATCGGGGATCTCTTGTTTTAACTACCAGACACGAGTCTCAGCTGAGTTGGCCCGCACATGTTATCTTCTACGATTTTCTATATTGAGTCAGCTGATTGCCACTCACAAGATGAATATTTATTGATGCTTGGACTTGGGGTAACATATAGAGTCAAGAATGGCAGGCATTTTTATATATATACGAACTAGATTTCTCATAGACTGGTGAGTTGCAGGTCATAAATGGCATAATATATGTGTGTCCCTTGGTCAATGTCATCATTAGAAATGACCCTTACATATTCAGTAAGTAATAGTGTATTACTCATGGAACCTTTGGCATTCTTTTATTTATTCAGAGGTGACATTTTACATTACTACATGCCTGTGTCATATACTTGCTTCCATGTCTTGTGTGCCACTTAGAGCCTTTCTGATGAATTGATGCCTCGTATGCAGGCTCTTGAGATCTTACTTTTTGTTTATCAGTTCATGATTTGCAACTTTATGTATTATATGTTCGTTTAATGTATCATTTATCTAACGTGTTGCATTTTTTAAATAGTGCAATGATTATTATAACAGTGCACAATGTGCAGGCGTGGGCTGTACTCAAACCAGGATTCTTAGCTTTGCTGGAAGACCCTTTCAATGCCAACCTTTTAGACATAATTATTTTTGATGTCCTACCCCATTCAGATGGAAATGGAGAGGACCGTATATCTTTGGCAAGGGAAACAAAAGAGCGTAATCCCCTACGCTATGGATTTATGGTGAGATATTGCAATTGTTTCACAAAATGTTTAGGCAAAGTCATGAGAAATCTTTGATGGACAAGCCTTGATATGTTAGGCTCCACTTTTTATCCAGGTTCTTTAGCATGCAAGTGATATTTTAATTTATTTTCTTATAAAGATTCACTATCCATGTCATTCTCTCCTTAAATTTGATAAGTAATGGGTTGTTGGTAAATTGTTTCATTTTCTTTGACAAGTTGACAGATTCTATAAACATTAACATAAGCATCAATATCATCTATTGATGAAACGAGGGACAACCTTTTTGGGTCATGGACCTAATTCCTCAATGTCCTTCTAGAAGAATTAAGAATCTTCTTTAAAAACGGAACTAGATGAAAGTATAATCATCATAATGAGCCAGATGTTAATTTTTGATATAGCTGGTGTTTGCTATGTTTTTTATGTCTTATGTGAATAAATTATACACGCTGAAAATAAAAGTGCCCGACAACATATTTTTTGTGAACATATATTCAGTATTTGACCCACTTAATTCTGAAAGGTTTCTTGTGGGAGTCGGTCAATCAAAATAAGGCTGCGAAGTAATACGAAGGTTAAAGACTGGGTTGCTGCAATCAATGATGCTGGCCTAAGGCCTCCAGAGGGTTGGTGTTATCCTCATAGGTTTGGATCTTTTGCCCCACCAAGGGGTTTGACTGACGATGGTAGCTTAGTTCAATGGTTTATTGACGGGAAGGCTGCATTTGATGCAATTGCTTCATCTATTGAAGAAGCAAAATCCGAGGTCCAATTTCTCTTTTATTTGAATGATTTTTGTTTGCAATCATGAACACAAATTATCTGAAAAATGGATTTTTTACGCAGATATTTATTACTGACTGGTGGTTGTGCCCTGAACTTTATTTGCGACGCCCTTTTCATGAGCACGCATCATCACGGGTTGATGCTTTATTGGAAGCAAAGGCAAAGCAAGGTGTTCAGGTGCTTTTTCTATAAATAATGAACACAACGATTTTGTTCCTGTGTTGCTTGGAGAAAAAAGAGGTTTCATAAGCTTTCAAACTGAAGATTTTCACGTTTTTGTTTTAGTAGCCTTAGTCTGTATGGGAAAGGTCTATGCACCCCTTTTAGGAAATTTATCGATGTCTAATTGAAAGGATGTATTTGAAACAAATAGGCATTGGATAACACGTGCCCAATTTTCTCTACATTCTTTGGGAAAGGTATTGAATCGCCACGATATGAATCACCAACAGCAACAGATGGGAATGAAAACTATTCCCGGGAGGACACTCAGGACATGTGAAAGGAGTAGTTATTCACTCTTCTTAACGATAGATCCTGGAGATTTCTTGGTTCATATAGTAGTGATTTAGATGGCAAGCCATCAGATAAGGCAGCTCATCCTGGGCATACTCTATAGACTGTATTTTGAACAAATAAATTATTAACTCTTCGACCCTTCCTCTAATTATTGTGGAGTTTGAAGTTTGATTCTTGGCCAAGCTAGTAGTTTTAAAAGGTTTGCATCTTCTTGTAGCTACAGAGAGAATCTAAGAAGAGAAAAAAAAAAGCTTGGAGTGAAAGTAGCTATCGTAAAAGAAAGTGCTGTAAACCAAGGGCTCCTTGTCAGTATCTCTGTTGCTACTCCGCATGTCTCCTTCCTTCCGAAGAGTTAATATAGACATTAGAGCTGGGAGATGATAAAGACATTAGAGCTGATACCCAGAAAGAGAGGATCTTATCTCTGCTTTGTTGGCATTTAGTGATTCTTGTCGCCATGATCATGCCTGCGGACTTCAGCAATAAAAGTGTGCAATATTGGTCTCAAAATGGTGTCATGTAACTGGTGCTGATCTGTCCCAACATCACAGTAAGAATCGTGCTGTCAATATATAGTCGTAATGTACAATGATATCGTTTACGAATGCTAGTCTTAATTTGTGTAGTCTATATTTTACATCACTGCACTGAGGCTTATTTTTTCTTCCCATGTAATAAACTTTTTCCTCTATATTTTGGGTGGTATTCGTCTAAACAAAGGATGGTAGAATCGAGTCGAACCTTGAATCTCGTTGCCCAATTTTGATTCACATTTAAGCAGATTGGCCCGATTGTGAGTGTCCAATTAAAGGAAGCTCTGTTAGAAATGAAAGGAATAATATTTGACTCTCTACAGGCTATGTAACTGTAAACTATTGAATAAATACGAAAATAAGAGTCCTTCTGAAAAAAATTGACGAAAACATTTACAACTGTTTCAGATTGCATATAGCCAAAGGACCCTTGTGTTTCTAAGTTCATTCGGTTAATTAATTTTAATAATTCGTTATTTATAATAGTTATAAAAACATTTCATTTTTATTTCTCACCTAGTCGCTTAGGTAATAAAGTGGTAGACTGTCTCGTTATTGCTTTTAAACCATGGTGTAATGTAAGGGTTCTCACGAAAATGCACTGAACGAAAACTGTTTCAAAATCAATTCAAGTCTTTTGATTCTCAGTCACAATATGGCTTGTTCATGCTTTCTTTTTCAATTTTATTTCCTGTTGGCAAATTGAAAGTTATTCACAGCCCTAGTCTGCACAGACACTTGTATTTAGATTGACCATTGGCATTGTTTGTACGTTGAGAATAGTATCTGTTATGGATGTCTTAGTTTGGTAAATAAACACTTCACAAATCATTTTCTAATTAATTATATAAAATAGATACTCTTGAACGATAATCTGACTTTTCATTTTACTTATTTATAGATTTTGTCAATTTCTGTGGTAATTTCTGATGAATCCATTTTGCAGATTTATATCCTGCTTTACAAAGAAGTTGCACTTGCTTTGAAAATTAACAGTGTGTACAGCAAACGAAGATTACTGAACATTCATGAAAATGTGAAAGTCTTACGTTACCCTGATCATTTCTCATCAGGTGTATATTTATGGTATGATATGAATTTGATTTTTTTTTTCAGTTTTAGAAAAAACCATATTAATTTCGTATAGTTTGATAGCATCAGCGTACAGTCTTTTCATCTTTATGTTTTAAAAGTGATCTGATACCCAAATTTGTTTCTTTGTTAAGGTCCCATCATGAGAAGATCGTGATTGTTGATCATCATATTTGCTACCTTGGTGGACTTGACTTATGTTTTGGTCGTTATGATACCCCTGAACACGAGGTCACCGATTGCCCTCCTTCAATTTGGCCTGGGAAGGACTATTATAACCCCAGGTGTGTTATGCCTCCTGTTATGGAATAGGATGTATAAATTTATTTATTTAACAAGAAATATATTCTCCATTTTGAATTCCGTTGGCCGAGAGAGGTTGAAGCGGCATAAATTATTTGTGTAATTTCCACTTTTATTCTGTTGTATGACAAATTGTCATTATCTCCCTAGAGAGTCTGAGCCAAACTCTTGGGAAGATACCATGAAAGATGAACTGGATCGTGCAAAGTATCCTCGAATGCCATGGCACGATGTTCATTGTGGTCTCTGGGGACCACCTTGTCGGGATGTGGCAAGGCATTTTGTTCAGCGCTGGAACTATGCAAAGGTTTTGTCTTGCCTACAATTTTTGTTAATAGAAGATTGATCTTCTCTCTGTCCTTATTTATTGAATTTTTATTCTCAGAGAAATAAAGCTCCAAATGAGCAAGCCATCCCTTTACTTATGCCACAGCATCACATGGTTATTCCCCATTACATGGGAAAAAACAAAGATGCAAATGTTGAAAGCAAGATTCAAATTGAGAATCATGGTGATTTGAAGAGGCAAGACTCATTTTCCGCTCGATTCTCTCCCCGAGACATCCCTTTGCTTTTACCTCAAGAGGGTGATGAACAACAGATTTCAAATGGAGACCATAAGCTACATGGACAGGATACATTCGACAGTCTTCCCGGACATCCAAGAAGAAGCGGCCAAAATATCAGCTTCTCATTCTTTAGGAACAAAGACGAACACTCAACATCAGATATGCCAATGAGGGGCTTTGTTGATGATTTGGATTCTACACACTCTCAGAAGAAGCACACCGATGTTATGACCCAGCCTGCAGTCCAGGATCAGGAGTGGTGGGAAACGCAGGAAAGGAGTGGCCAAATTATTTCTGCCGATGAGGCAGGCCAAGTTGGTCCCTGCACTCCATGTCAATGTCAGGTTGGTTGTTTATGTTATTCCTTGGATGAGACTAATAGATGACATGTAGCATCTTGATTCGCTTTTCTTGGTAAAAAATATTGTTTCTAGAGAAAAAGTAAAGAAAACAACGCAGGAAAGGAAAACTTTAGTAATTGGCCATTATTTCATGTTGTATCACTAACTCGTGTATGTTAATCAGCAATAAGTACATCACAGTTATTAATTCAGTAAGTTCTATCAGTTCACTAACTCGTGTAAACAGTGTGCTGACACTTTAGATTCCAATTATCCCTGGCACAAATGGATTGTGTAGTTCTTCGCCAGAAGCTCTACACAATAGAACATGCCGAAATTTTCTTGCATTGTCTACTGGTCAGTTTTGTAATAAAATGGATACTAACAACTGTCATAGATTTCCATGATGAACTTCTGTGCGTTGATTAGCAGATTATTAGAAGCGTTGGCCAGTGGTCTGCAGGAACTGGTCATACTGAAGAGAGCATTCACAATGCTTACTTTTCTATTATTGAGAAAGCTGAGCACTTTGTTTACATTGAGGTAAGGATTTATATTATCTTATGTTTGATTTTTAGTCTGTTCATAGGCTAGTCATATGGTATTTTTTTTCCTATCATGATCCTAAAGAATGCAGTCTTATTTTTACAACACTTACTATTGGCACTATGATTCGCTTTGTATTGAAGGACAAATTCATTTACAATAATCAGCTATGACCACAAATATGAGTTCAGTATTACTTGTGGATCAGATCGGATTACATCAGAAGTGATTTTTTTAATGATTACTGTATAATCTAAGCATTACCTTTTTCTCTGAGGTGCTACAATGCATGCAGACGGCGAATTGGAAAAGATAATACTCAACATTAGATTTATTTTTTAAAAACGTACAGTACCATGTATTGATTGAAATTGAAAGAGAAAATGGGGAGAGAGTGTGTTAATGTGCATTTGAACCAATGCAAGATGATCAAAAGCTATACCAACAGCTAGATGATGAAGAATATACTAAACAGTTAACCATTACAAGATGATCATCTCTTCCCATCTTTATCTGTCTTAGCCTATTCTCTCATTCCTTCACGTGTAAGTGTTCATGCTGGCTGACGACTTCATATTTTTAAACTTTATGAAATATCACTTTATATTTGTGTTTTGGAGTAATCTAGTGTCAAATTAACTGTTCATATCTTTCCAGAATCAATTTTTCGTGTCAGGTCTTTCAGGAGATGATATTATAAAGAATCGTGTTTTGGAAGCCTTGTATCAGCGTATCATGCGAGCAGATAAGGAAAGAAAATGTTTCAGGGTTATTATAGTTATACCTTTATTGCCTGGGTTCCAGGTAATGATTTGAAATAGTATTTTTTTTTTCCTCTTAGCCAATGCTTTGACACTTATACCTTGGGAATCATATTCCTTTCGAAATCTGCTTTCTACAGGGTGGGGTGGATGATGGCGGTGCTGCATCAGTAAGAGCTTTACTGCACTGGCAATATCGAACTATTTGCAGAGGGCCAAACTCAATATTGCAGAACCTTTATGATGCAATGGGTCCAAAAGCACATGATTATATCTCCTTTTATGGTCTACGAGCCCATGGTAGGCTTTCTGATGGTGGCCCTTTGGCAACGAATCAGGTGAAGATGGTTCTGCGTAGTTTTCTGGACGATTTTTTTCATGCTACCCGTCATGGTGCTAATTTTTTATCTAGGTGTTTTTAGAATGTATCCGGCGAGGCTCATCTCATGTCGGATTCACCTTATTTGTGGAGACAAGCGTATTATAAGTGCATGGATGCATAAACTTCCCGTGTTAGTTTCGAATTATGGAAACATGGTACTGAATTAAATTCCCACGACCCAAAAAATTATAGCCATGCAGACAAGGCATCTGTTTATGGTGGTCAATTAAAAAAATATATCAGAATAAATGTCCGTCATCATTATGATTTCAAGAGAATAGAGGAAAACTATGCTTTAATTGGACTTTCTCTAGATAGAAACTCAAAACATTGGCGTGATAACAAAAAAATCATTTTCGAGGAAACTATGAACGTAGATCATTAAGCAAGGTTTGAGAGATACATTGATCTAGTCTTTTCTTCGAGCACTTTTTCAGTGGAAAGCTTATGTGTTGATTTTCTACGGGTGTGATAACAGTGTTTAAATCTGGTATGGCTTGGGATGTAAATATTCATTTTATTCTCTGTGCCTGAAAATGCTATATCTCTGATACACTGATTGTGGGAGAAAAGTATTTGGTAGAGTATCCATTTGTGGCTTTCACTCTAGTTTTTAGGCATTTCGTTTTGCTCCCAATCTTTTTGAATGTAACATCTTTATGTTATCAGGTGTATGTTCACAGCAAGATAATGATCGTTGACGACTGTGTTGCTTTGATTGGGTCTGCTAATATAAACGACCGGAGCTTACTGGGATCAAGGGATTCGGAGGTACCTTAGTGTCATCCTTGTTCATCTTTTTTCTTTTCTATGGGCATATATAACAATTCGATTAACTTCTGTACCCTCACGGATGAAAGTGAGTATAGATATAAAATATAGACGAAATAGAATGCATTACAAAGCGGAAGAAAAGAAGTTTCAGTTTAAATGGGATGTAGAACTGGCCATTCCTGACGAGAAAACTGAATCAGATTTAGCCTTCCTATCCAAATCAGCCAGTTCTAGTCAAACGTTGGGGTCGGCTTGAAGGGCACCAAGATTCAATCCTATCACTTAAAGCACCATTAAAAGAATTGGCTAATACAAGAAAAGTTCTTTTTGTCGGCATCCCTCCCTGACATGGAATGAAAGAGGGGATTAAAATATAATTGATTCTCATCCTCAAAACTGGAATGGTTAACTTGAGCATGCTGAAGTTTTTCGGAAAAATTGTTTTGAGGGAGAAATGTTTATTTCGAGATGTCACGGCCCTTGTCTTTGGAGAATTTTCATATCCTTTCTTTTCTGAGAAGCAACTGGACGATACTTTATGTTTGATGAATAATTCAAGTTGCTTGATCCGGCTTCCCGAATGTGTTACATTCAGATAATAATACTGACAGCATTATTTGGAAGTTAAGACCGTGGTCAGTGACGTCTCCAACCTTCGTACAGCTTAGTTATCGAAAGTCCAAGGGAACCTCTGTATTTTCTGCAGAAACTGTCATTTAAGCTAACTTTGAGACCTTTCTAATTAATTAATATGCACACTGTGCATCCTTGAAGCTGGCTTGTTGGAGAGAGGATAAACTAATGAGATGGGTAAATAGAAAGAGGGGGAAGTCTCACAGATGATGCATAGCTAATGTTGTGTTTTATTTTTTCCTCCCTCTTTCCCTCATTTTGATCGAAAAAATAAGAGAAAGAAAGGGAGAAAAAGGAAACTCAGAAAATTCTAGGAAAAGCACTGCAGTAAAGAGAGGGTTGAATCTGTTGATGTTTAAGTGGAAGTTGTTAACACTGTACTCATCAATGATATAGATGCTGTATCTTCTGCGGCAAGGGGTGTAGTCTGGCATTTTATGCTTTGTTTCATTTCTATTGTTCCTTTGTCTTATTTTTTCGTCTTTACTATCTTTCAAAATTAAAATCTGGCCCTGACCTTTAAGGGGATCTGATGTCCAAGAACAACGTTAAACCTGAAATCTTTTGTATTATCACTTGTGTCTTGGTTATGATCTTTAGCGCAATATTTCTGTTTAACTTAAGAAACATGAACCTCCTTCATTCATTCACTTAAAACGTTGCCTTCAAACCTGCTAATGAGTCTTCTGTCACTCACTTCCTAGAATACCCGCCATACTCTTTTTCTGATTTTACTTATATACTCTGTAGTGTTTTTTGTTTTTCGTACCAGGGATTATTTTTGGTGGCCTATCTTCTAGAATTCCCTGCCCATGTTTTATTTACATTCTTAGCTCAAACTGCTTTCTATTTGCGTATCAGAATTATTTTATAATGTGCTTTAATTTCGACTGTTCACTAGTTAGTGATCTATTCCTGACCCAGGACTTTACCAATTTTTGAACGATCATGTAATTCTTATGCTTCCTGCTGTGTTTTACCAATGGAGCATCTGTGGTATTTGAATTTTCATTATTTTTCTTAAGCATTTGTGGTTTTGGTATTTCTTGCACAGATTGGTGTGCTCATTGAAGATAAAGAATTTATTGGCTCTTATATGAACGGAAAACCATGGAAAGCTGGAAAGTTCGCTTTTAGTCTCCGCCTTTCCTTATGGGCGGAGCACCTTGGTCTTCATATGGGCGAGGTTAGTGGATTTAATTTTTACATTGTTCTTATTCCCGTTTTCCATTTGTGTTTGATATGATTTCGAGGAAATTGGTATATTGCATATTGTTGATGTGTAAATTTGGATAAAATACAGTTCAGTGATGGAGCTTCTTATTCAGTGGTAGGAAATAATCTTCTTTTTTTACTTTCTCTTCTTTAATAGAGGCTCTCTGTCCTCTTCTTATGGTGAGAAAATATGATTGTTCCTTGGGATGATTTATCTACAATATTGTCAAGAATCTTTTAATCAGTCAGTTTCACATGATAGTACATACGTTACCTAAGGATGACAGACTGTTTTTATGTAGAATGAATGAGAATTATGTCTCCAAATGATATTCCCAGTGCATTGATCTTCGCTTCTGAAAAGATTTTTATTTCTTATTTTTCTCCTCCATGTTCTACTTTGGTGACCCTATACTCAAGGGTGGAGAAAGAAACCAGAAGACTGCCTTCAGATTCTGAATCCATTGGCAAGTTGACATAAAATCGCACGAATCAAGTAAAAAACTAAAATCCTGTCTAATTATTTGAACCGTCGTGGGATTAGTATGCTCTGGATTTTTAGTTACAAGTCCCAGTCAAGCATCGGTGTTATAGGAGTCTGTGTGAACAATAACACTGAATGTTGCCAAGAATGTTCTTTATTCATTTCCTTCAGAACAGAAGAATTAAGAAGAATTTACCAGTCTTTATCATAATTAGCTGGGCTGGATCACCTGTTGGGGTATGCTAATTGTATAGATTCCTTCACTTCATATTCAAAGCTAGAGAAAGAGATTTCCAAATAGTATTTTACCATATTCCACAAATCGGTGGTCTATTTTCCAAGTTCCAAATCGGTTGGGATTTTTTTTTTTCATATTACTGGCTGCCGGTCTTCCATCGGTAATATTTCATTAGAATGTCTTATTTAAGTGGATTGTGATTATACCACGAGATAATATGATAATTTTGCCCTCTCATTTCTGCATTGGAATTTTTCGAAGAATACCGTGTCCACTATTCACTGTCCCCATTTTCTCTCTCTATCCGCTTCGGAAATCATCGTTTCCCATTAATGATGTCCCTCCGATAAGGGTTTCCTCAGCTAATGGCCAATGGCAGTTAACCTTTATCATTATAAATCATCCACATTATATCTTTTCCCATCAATATCATGTATCCTCCCAAAACTTTGATTACAGAAATTCAACATGTAAACTTGAAAAAAAATGGCTTCCTCACATATGTGTCTCCAAAGTGATGAGGGCGATGATGAGCTGCTAAGATATTTATTCTGAATATTCTCATTTCTTTAATACTCAGTCATGACGATTAAAATAAAGATCCCCCTTATAACATCATCTCATGAGCTTCATTAGAAACTTCAATCTTGACTGGTCCCACCTCATTATTTTCGACTTCACACACTATCTATTGCTTCGATATGGAGCCACCTTTATCTTGGATCATTCCTTCTTAAAGGAGTTCTTGATAGCTTCTATCCCTTTCTCAATAGTCAGCAAGTTTTTTAAAAGCCTAAGTTGTCGTGATGAAAAAGAAATTTTGGCCATTGATTCTTTTACATGGATGAAGGTTGACACAGCATTCCGTTGACAACAACACAACCAAGAGACAAAGGCATGAGGTGAATCTGTCTCATGCTTCTCATCAATGGACAGCATGCAGTAAGATTTAGAAAAGAAGGGAATCATTCTCTGATTCTCTTCTAGACAAGGGAGAAAGGCAGAACATGATCAATCTTTGTCAAACCCAATTACCCAAGTCGTGTGCAAGGGATGTCCCCACACAATAGTGTGAGTCACGAGCGTCAATAACATAAATCTATGAATTGTATGTACGCCCAAATGAGCAAATGAAAAAAAAAAGTACACAGTCTAGCACTGCCTATGCTGGGTTGTCGGAGTAAAGGCAACTGTAGCTGAGCTTCTCGTTTTCAGGGCTTCGCTTGATGTTTTGCTATTTCGTACTTCATTTCTTACTGCTAATGCTTGCCGATTATCTGTGGCAACACATCTCGCTTCATGTTCTTGTCATGTGTTTGCCCGTGAGTTTTATAAGGGGAAAGCCATGTATTTTTAATGTTGTTACACCCGCAATTTTGGACGCTACTCTAGTCTTGATGTTGATGTTGCTTGCGTTAATTTTCTTTCCCCTTTATTGGATTCCTTATGAAAAGTATCACATGTTTCTGCTGGAGCTGACCGGCCTTTCTCCAATGCCCTACAGATTAAACACATCTGTGATCCCGTGGCTGATACTACATACAGAGATATCTGGATGGCAACAGCAAAGGTAAGGGGCCAAAACCATGCAAAATTTTCTGGAGTACTGCCACTTTTTCTGCGAACATTGATTGTACAGAGTAAATAGTTCAACTATGATGACTGCAGTTGGTGGAAATTAATGCAAAAACAGGTTCGGTTTTTCCATAAATATCCTCAGCGTTTTCACGGAGTGTTTCCGCAAATAATGCATATTTTAGAACAAAGAATGTGGTTACTTGTTTCTGCACTCCCTTTACCGGAGATGGGTAACCATCATACCATAGTTGTTCAGATTTCAGGAGCAGTATTTTCCATGGTTGATGTGTCAGCTCTGTTATAGTATCACCTTCATTGAAGAAGGTCTCTGGAATATATTTGGTGACTTTCTGAAAGGTTCCCGTGGTTGAGAGCTGATGGGCAGAGAAAAATTCCTTCTTTATTTCATTCCCAAGTATCAGCTCATGATATCTTTTAGACCTTTCACTCACATTGCAGTTATACTACGCTGTTCTCATACTCCATTGTCGGCCGTTCCACCTATTAATATTGTCTCATTGCCCAGATCTTAAAAAAGGATGAGAAGACACCACTCCAGCCGTTCAAAAGCTTCACATATTAATGGTTTCTAATCTCGTCCTCTGTTTTTCTCCATGAACTTGGATGAGTTGTTCTTCTGGCACTCGTCAGTTTACATCGCATATATAAACTCCATAGTTTTTCAGACCAAGCCAAGCCTTTTACTTCTATCAGGACTTTAGATTAGGATTGATATCACAAATATGAACTTAGACCAATCCATGTCATTGTGAGTCACGCATTTATGAAGTTAATTTTTGTGAATAATGGAAAGTCTGATGGTAGGTAACATGCTCTTTCATGTTTTTCTCATCTCTTTCTAATAACTGTGACTCTTCTTTCAGACAAACACCACTATCTATCAAGATGTATTCGCCTGCATTCCAAATGATTTCATTCCCTCCAGGTCTCTTTCTCTATCCTGATTTCCTTTCTTGTGTTGTCTGGCATTCTCTCTCTATCCTAAGGTGCCTTTACCCTTCAATTATGTTGTTGCCATACAGGGCTGCTATTCGACAGAGCATGTCATACTGGAAGGAGAAGCTTGGGCACACCACCATTGATCTGGGGATTGCTCCCGAAAGGCTGGAGACTTACCATAATGGGAACGTCAACGCGACAGATCCCTTGGAGAGATTACAATCGGTGAGGGGTCATCTTGTTTCCTTTCCACTGGAGTTCATGTCTCAGGAGGATCTGAGACCCGTCTTCAATGAGAGCGAATTCTATGCATCCCCTCAAGTTTTCCATTAAATCCGACACATGATTCTGTAAAACCATATGTATACTTGCGGCCGCGTTCATATGTATCCGTTGTATCTGAATTGCATATATGATTATTCAAAGAAAAAAAATGAGTATATTATCTTCCTTTAGTCTTTGTATCCACACAGAAAAGTGGCCTGTTATGGCAGACAATAGCTTTACCAGTAACCACTGAGGAAATTCGTCTGTCATGGATCGAACAAAGAGATTTTCCCTGCTCTGCCGGTTCCCACAAGTTCCCAGAAGTTGGGCACGGCTATCCATGGATCTTCCCAGCGTGGGCAATGCGGCAAGGTCTGAAATCTACGCGAAGCTCCAGAAAGGGAGGAGGTTCCTCCGTGTTCGAAGGTTGGCTCTCGCCGGAATTGGTTCTCCGCCATTGAAAAGGGCAGGCATCGGCGCCGCGGACGAACCAAATCGTTTCCTTCGAGTCCGTCGACGTGGTCGGATTCGTTCCCACACGCGTGCCAAACTCTGTTTGGATTTTTCGCCGAAAGCAGCAGGGGGGCGGGGCTGCTTGCATCAGCCCCTGACGCAGTCACGGATCACGAATATACATGATGCACTTGGATATATCTAATCAAATTCAATGCCTTGGTAATTATATTCCAGCAAATAATAGATTTTGACCTGATTAAAGCTGTAGCACTTGGAATCCATTGAGAGAGATCGTGGCACCGTTGACCACGACAATCGTTGTTCGTTAGAGGTTTTTGGTCGCCAAGTCTACGATCTCGACACCCTTTTACAGTCTGTACCCTGTTCATCTCTAAAGACAAGACTAAAAGACAGGTTCTTAGGTCAAACCGGTGCAAAGTGCGGGCTTATATTTCTCAAGGATGGCCTCTTGATGTAGAGAGCCTGAAGATTTCGCGGGATCAAGCAAGTCAATTCTTTTCTTGTCTAAACACGATTTTAAAATGAGAAAATCAAAATGGGTCGGACAGGAAATCATCGACCAGTATACGCTGTCCTGTTTTGATCGTTAGTAGATATGGAAAGCTCTGGTCACGACGGCGGAACGGGGAGGGCATGTTACTCACGTTTCAAGGATGTGACTTTGGCGGCCAATTGGGTCCAAATGCCACATTCGAACGCCGTCTCTAAGAGCAGCTCTGTGCCAACTTTCTTATAAATTCCTTCCGAAGCCCACTTCCGTTGAACGCCCCGATCGTGCTCCCGTCGTGCGTTGACAGCGGCCAGCGGGGTCGAAGTTGCAGAACCGGGGTGAGACATCGATCTCCGTCCTCCCTTCACCGACAGTATCTAGCTTGTTTCTCTTCTTCTCTGGGCACTGGCTGTCTCTGTCCAGTCCCCACCCATTCCCGCGGCCTTTAACAGACAGTAGGCGAGATGGAGCTTGCAACCATATCGCCTCGATCTGTGTTGTTTTCATCCTCTGTTTATTCATGTTATTCACTATGAAATGATTTCTACACCTTCCTTCTCGAGGACTTTAGCCGATCTCAGCTGTTTCAAGTCTCTCTTCTGAGATGACCGGCTGGACGGTTTCCTTGGCACGGGCTGGGTGGTCGTATAGAAAATGCTCGTTCCCAAGCGAAACTCTCCCCCTCCTTTACAGGAAAGAGGACATCTATAGGCGATTATTTGCGCTGTCTCTTTGATAGGGATGTCCTGATTTTTTATTTGTGCGAGAAATGATGCAGGATGGCAATGCTGGCGGCCTCGCGTCGACTTTCATGCCGGTTGAACACGGGCACACCTACACTGCTCGTTGGAATTCTTCAGTCGGCATATGGCAGATCAATATCGACTGCGTTCCGGGAGGAAAAAGACACGTTCGGGCCGATACGGGTGCCGTCTGACAGGTTAGTGGAGGAGTGAATTTTATTGCTAAAGCCTTGGCAAGGCGAGTAGCGAAATAACCGAGGAAAAAGAGGAAGAGATTGCTCATACTATGACGATAAAACTTTTAAACTGTCTGTGCGGGACTTTAAGTTACTACATGCTTTGATAATGATTGGCAAAAGCAACATTATGGTTAACAAAAAATTAGAACCTGCTGGAGAGTTCCCTGATGCTCAGAGGGCTTTACTGTTTTAAAGCTGATCTGATATGATGCAATGGCCTAATCAAACTATCTAAAGATCACTTTGTTGTGCACTCACAAAAAAACAAAAATGCTTCTGCAGAAAAATTGAGTTCGTTCTCGCGTCCCTGTAAAATTCACAGAACTCCCCTCTGATGAAAGTTAATTCTGACGAAAGTAACATTTGTACTAGTGCAAATCTATCTTTTTTCGATAGATAGATAGAGACAGAGACAGATAGAGAGATAGAGATAGAGATAGATAGATAGATAGATAGATAGATAGATGGATAGATGGATGGATAGAGAGAGAGAGCGAGCGAGAGAGAGAGAGAGAGAGAGAGAGAGATTTGGCTGTGAGAATAGCATTCGTTGTTTGTCTTTCTTGACGAAATAAAATGCCTGCTGTATTAGCCCTTGGAGTATTTTATAGTAATATTCCCACATAATAACATAGATTGCCCACCTTAAAGTGCGCTGGAATCATTCAAATGGACTTTTATTTAATGTTTCTCTTCTGAAACTCTGGATCAAACGTAAATCTGCCATTAACCTGTGGAGTAGAGTAATGAAAACGGTTAGAATTTTAAATATGTTGAAGCCAGTATAATCATGCATTGAATAACAATCAAAACGCTGGATAATTATTGATTATTGTCTAATGGCCAACCTGTTTGGTAGATCCCGCGCATGGCTTTAACTTCTGGATGTTCTCTCTATCAAAGAATCAAACCAATCTTGAATTCTTCCTTTTGTGTAACAAGCCTTTATCAGCAACAGTCACTTATTTCAGGAAAACGCTTCTTGAATTAAATAAGTGACTTCCAGCTACCCATGTCATATATATTCTTAGGTTGTGGGGTGCTCAAACTCAAAGGTCACTGCAGAATTTTGATATTGGTGGTGAACGTGAGCAGATGCCTGAGCCAATCATTCGTGCCTTTGGTATTCTCAAGAAATGTGCTGCAAAGGTTTGGTCAATGCTGAAACTTCTGAAATATTTCATACTTGATGGTGTGTCCCGTTTTATTTTTCAGCCTATTAATTGACCTTGTCATATGCAAGTTATTAAGCTAGTGCTGAAAAGGTAAGCTAGATCCGCACCAATGTAGGTTTGCTGATTGGTGAGAAAGTTGTCATCATATGTGGCTTGTTATTGTGTTAACAGTCCTTGAAACCCATGGGTGATGCAGAGCATGATTCTCTCTCCCTTTTTCTCCATCAGGTCGTTAGTGACCAGGGTAGTCATGCGGATCCACTCAATCCTTTTGGTGGGCATCTTTGAGCATTGGGGGATCGTCTTGCCAATGTGCTCCTCCAAGATCCAGCAGATGCCTTACATCAGGGCATCGTTGTAGTTGGTAGGGTCTACCAAGAGGAGCTTCATCACTTGACCCTCCAACTGGCAGGGGACCTCGGCTTAAATGTCCTCTCTGTCAAAGCAGAACCTGAATTTTTTTTCTGAGTCGGCATGCTCCAATTGCCGAGGGCTCTCCTTCTTTCATTAAATTTTTCAAGGGAGTAGATACACGGAGATTCTGCAGTGGTCGAAGGGGTTTTGAACCAATGAGGTGGTTAATCTTCTGAGAACTTGGGTTAAAAAAAACTGTTGGCTTTGTGGTTTGCCATTGTCAACTGTGGAATGGTAGGATATGTGTGTGTGTGTGTGTGTGTGTGTGTGTGTGTGTGTGTGAGAGAGAGAGAGAGAGAGAGAGAGAGAGAGAGAGGCACATGGCCTTGCAAAGAAAAGCATGCTTTGTAAGGCAATTGACCCGGCACAGTTCAAGAGAACAAATTAAACCTTTGAGGCTGGCGCATTAATGGCAACTCATAAAAAGAGGAAGAAGGAGAGTTGGCAGAGAGGAAGGTTTCTATTTGCTACCCTATAGCCATTCATATCTTTATTTCAAGCAACATTGACAGGTTAATAAGAAAAATTAAGTTATGCATGCGTGCTTTCATGTGTTTGAGATTTTCAATTGATCCATAAACGAGAACCTTATTGCCTGCCTGCCTAGGATCTTGTGAGGTTCTGAGCAATTTTATTGTCTAGTTCTTCTGTGTACAGTTCTGGGACAAATTTAGAGTCACCACCGAAAGAGGGGGAAAATGGATTGAAGGGAACAGCTTCTTGTAATAGATTTGGAGGCTTGATTATATGGGTCATGGGGAGAAACAGCGTTCTTAGGAGTGGTTCTCCCAAAAGCATAGAAATTGACTTCATCTTGAAATTATGAGGATCCATCTCTTATTCAAGGTCATATCTAAGATATTAGTCCACAGCCCTTTTCTCATTTTTGGACCCACCAATCTTCACGTCCTTTTTTTCTGCTTTATTTATTTCCTGTTTATTTTTAATTATGATGAGTTACCTCCTTGTGCATATATAAACTTAAAACGATCCCTTTATTTTGGAATGTGTTCCAGAATTAACCTGCTTATGCTGATCTAAATGATGACGTTTAAAAGAGCCATCTCAACATGGATATTTCTTACTAAATATTCTGATATATCTCATTTACTTTAGCATTTTTTATTCATGATTTGGCACAAACTTTCACAGGTGAACATGGAGTATGGCCTGGATCCACATATTGGAAAAGCCATAATTGAAGCTGCTCAAGAAGTAGCAGAAGGAAAACTCAATGATCATTTTCCGCTTGTTATATGGCAAACAGGTAGTGGGACACAGAGCAACATGAATGCCAATGAGGTTAGTCGTATGAATTCCTTCATAGGTTATCTGAATGATAGGACAATTTTATTACTTGCAAAAAAATATTTAATTATTTCCTTTTCTTGGTAGAATTATAGTAAGACTTCCCTGTCTCATCAATTGAGGTTTCCAGGATGCGTCATTTTTTCCTCGTTGACTAATAAGATGCCTCTTGTGATTATTATCTTGCTTGAGAAATATATTCATATGCTACTGAATCGGATGAGTAAACATTATAAGGTTACTCTGGGTATTTATCAGTAAAGATTTAAATCTGGCACTTTTACTATAGTCTTTTTATGAATACATATCTAACAGGAAGAAAGGATATTGTGACTTGTCGTGCTCTTTATTTGTTAGTATTGACATGATCCATCTACTTTTTGTCTTCCTTCAAAACTTCCATATTTTATGTAGGTTATTGCCAATAGGGCAGCTGAGATTCTTGGGCACAAACGTGGTGACAAGTTTGTGCATCCAAATGATCACGTCAACCGTTCACAGTCTTCAAATGATACATTTCCTACGGTAGGTCTTGTATTGCCCTAATCTCTTCTCCTAATTCTGTTTGAAAGGGCAGATGAGAAGAGGCTGGTGTGTTGCTACTCATGGAGAGCATCATGGGCCGCTCATGATGGCGCAGTATAGTTGCTTGATAACCAATGGCATTTTTTTGGCTTTGTGCAGGTAATGCATATTGCAGCTGCATTAGAGATAGACAAGATACTCATCCCAGCTTTATCAGGATTACACTCTACCCTGCATGGAAAGGTGGATCATCTTCATCTTCCTCTAATCATATTAAGAATATTATTCCTTTCATTAAGTGGTCCGAAATTCAAGACCTCTGTTTCATCTTTTCGCTCATTCTATGAGAGAGCGTCAAAATGGTTTACCTGTAGGGCGTGAAGATACACAAAGGCAGGTAGATAAGATCAAATGAGTTCACATGCAAGACGAAACTAAATGATTTCGTGACCATTTTTTGTGTACTATTAACGATTTTCCACGCCAGTGGATCTGGTTAAATCTAACTTTTATTTTTTTCAGTCACATGAGTTCCAAGAGATTATCAAGATAGGCCGCACACATACGCAAGATGCCACCCCCTTGACTCTTGGGCAAGAGTTTGGTGGCTATTGCACACAGGTTTTTCTTTCCTATTTCATTTTGTTCGATTGTTTTTTCATATCACTCCATAACTGAGGCGTCACGGCCAATGCAATTGATGAACTCATACCCAATGATTCTAGGGCTTTTTGGCTGTAGGTCCAATATGGAATAAGAAGAGTACTGGATACTTTGCCTCGCTTATATCAGGTAAGTCTACAGTTTACTTATATACATCGAAAACTCTAGGTCAGTACTTTGTTTTAATTTGATGCCTTTGTCTATGAAACAGCTTGCCCAGGGTGGAACTGCTGTTGGAACTGGTTTGAACACTAAGAAAGGGTATGATTACATTAAATTCATTTTACTACAGGTCTGTTAATTTCCCTGGTCTATGATGCATCCAGATTTGGTTGTCTTGGCGTTCATCCCTACTTGGAAGGCCACACATAAAATTCTAATCTTTCTGATCAATATAAGTTTAATTAAAACCTAATTTATAACTTTCGATTTGAATGCATTCTACTTTATAAAAATTGTTCCATCTGCTACTAATAATACATGATCATCATTCACTTGTCATTTTTCCCTACATCTACCAAGACTTAAGTAACCTGGGTTTGGAGACTCGTGCAATTGAACTCATCTGACCTTATGATATCAATTGAATCATAAATTTTGGAGAAGACCAGTATAGTGAATTCTGTTGTTCTTTCTTAGTTATATCAAATCGTTGTCTTGTTTTGATACATTTTCTATGATGTCAGGTTTGATGTCAAAATTGCTGCTGCGGTGGCTGAGGAAACAGAACTACCATTTGTCACAGCAGAAAACAAGTTTGAAGCATTGGTTAGCTCTCTCTCTCTCTCTCTCTCTCTCTCTCTCCCCCCCCCCTCTTGTCCCTCTCTCTCTTCCTCTCTCTCTCTTCCTGCACGCACACACATATACTGTCTGAAAAATGAATCGTAACTCATTGAAGCATTTGTTGTTCTTTCTTCACGATCTTCAGTACCTATTACTCACAACAATCGTTTTATATATAGCATAAATCCTTGTTTATCATGTGACCTGTCCAGGCTGCACATGACGCTTTCATTGAAACTAGTGGAGCGTTGAATACTGTCTCTGCTTCTTTAATGAAGATTGCGAATGACATACGGCTTCTAGGAAGGTACGTGTTTCTAATTTGAATGTGGTACCCAGGAATTAGGATCAGTTTAAACCTTACTTGATTTTTTATTTTATTTTAGTGGTCCACGCTGTGGACTTGGTGAGCTTATTCTCCCTGAAAATGAGCCAGGCAGCAGTATCATGCCGGTAAGTTCATTGTACTAGATTTAGTATGTATTTCTTTTTCTTTTTAAGGTTCCAGCCCATAGTTCTGATACTTGACCTGTCAATTTGAAGCTTTATGATTCTGGGTTCATAGCCATAGCAATAATTGCCGTAAAATATCTATAGCTTTGTAGGAGGCAGTTGGATTTTCTTCTAATTTATATCTTTTTTCAGGGGAAAGTTAACCCAACGCAGTGTGAAGCTCTCACAATGGTTTGTGCCCAGGTAATATTTAGTATCCATCTTCTGAGTCACATGAAAGGTTTGGAGGCTCCAAAACGTTGCAACAAATTCCTTGGAGTAAGGAGGAAATTTATGTATTACTCATATCCGGTTGATGAATTCTATCTTTCCTGCTTGTCAAATATTTGCAAACTTTCTAGGAGAAAGTAGGAAATGATGTGATGTACGTGTAATTGAGAACTCTGTAACTTGCAATCAAGCAACATTCACGAAGAATGATATTTCAAATTAATATTATGTCTAAATAGTAATTCTAGTGGAGGGGTTTGGTTAAAATCTCAGTCAGTGACCGACATTGAATTTCACATCAAAGTCATCTGAAATAAAACTTGCAGCAGATTCTCAACTTCTGATTTAGGCCTTTTGATGAACTGATTAGATCAATTAGTGGGCAACACTGATCTTAATAAAATAGTGAGAACTTGATTCTCCATGACTTAGAAAAAATATCAGGTGATACGTTGCCCCCTTTCAAGGAATTTCGTCATTTTCCTGAAGGCAAACTAGTAGCTCTGGCACCTTGCTGCTGTGTTCCACATGTCTACAAATAGGAAACGCATCTTCTATGCAGATGTGTGGAAGAATTCTATTTTCTCTCCATTAGATGACGTATATGCTTGGTATCGGCGTAGTGTTAAGAGCTGCCGTCATTTTCTACCTCTCTCTGCATCTTGTGTATGACTAGAATGCATACGACCAAATTGGAGCCCTTGAGGAGGGGAGCTAAGATTTCCTGGAGTATGGCTCAGAATACATTATCCTGGAAGATACTGGTTCTCTCGTTTCCCTCTGCATGAACGTTCTTCCAAAGTGGTCAACAAATCTCCACTGCACGTGCATCAAACAGAAATGCCTGATATTTACCTCTTATTTTCGTAAATATACTGATAGATTTGCAACCCGCAGGTCATGGGTAATCATGTGGCGATTACTATTGGTGGATCAAATGGGCATTTCGAACTGAATGTCTACAAGCCACTCATTGCGAGTAATTTGATCCGAGTAAGTTTTCTACTGATTACAGAAGATTGAACCGGTGCTGAAACCGTCATTTTCTGCAGAATATCATCCTCTTGGTTGCATGTATCCATATTGATGCATCTTTCGGTTTCCTGCAGTCAGTGAGGCTGCTTGGGGATGCTTCATCATCCTTTGAGAAGAACTGTGTGCGTGGAATTCAAGCTAATTGTCAAAGGATTTCAAAGTTGTTGAATGAGGTATAATCTAGAGCATTATTGTTCATTGTTCCCTTGTTCACTATTTTCGGACTAATTGATTGGTCTCTTGTGCTTCACTCCTAAATCCCCTCTCTCACAGTCCCTCATGCTTGTGACATCGTTGAACCCCGTAAGTTTCCGGAAAATTTTGGTTCTCCTTGGCCTCCAGATTGGTATTTGTATTAAATCTCGCGACAAGCTCTTATGACTGTTAAATTACTGCAGAAAATCGGCTACGACAAGGCTGCTGCGGTGGCTAAGAAAGCGCATAAAGAGGGTACTACCCTGAAGGTACTCTCTCTCTCTATCCTAGTTCATACATCTATAAAGTTTGAAAGCTAAGCACGACGAGGTAGCCAAGGGAACGGTGCTGCTGTTCGTTTTATCCATTAATTAAACTTAAATCATATTTTTACTTTAATTAATTATCAGTTAAAAAATGCATGGTTAATGCAGCTCCTGGAAAATCCATGGAGCAAGTGTTCTACCTGTTAAAGGGATTTTAGTATATGATCCTCCCCTCAGTTATGTCATCTGTCTTCTATAAATCATCAGTTTTGCTCACATATCCATTTTACTCAATCGATCCTGTTTAGCCCTATAAACCCAGAGATGTAGATAACGTGATTAATTTGAAAACCTTTCCGGAAATGATACTAGGAATCCAAGTCAACCTTCCCTTTAAACCCGGAAGAACAAACCATGAACAATAACGAAAATTTCCTGGTCCACTCCCCCCCTGGCGGAAAAAAAAAAGTTTATGTGGGATCTCTTCTGTGGTATAACCCACCCAATTATTTATTTATTTTTCACAAAATTTGTCTTTTAATTGCAGGATGCTGCTCTGGGCCTTGAAGTCCTCACTGCTCAAGAGTTCGACGAACTTGTGGTCCCAGAGAAGATGATCGGCCCCTCTGACTGAGGAGTCAACGTTCTCTGCTTCATTCTTGGGAGGCCTGAGCCGTCTGCTCTGATTTTTACCCTCGCTCCAGGTCAATAAGGGCGATTTCTCCTTGTATCATCTCTCACCACAGCGGGGTGTTGAGCCAGCAGAACACATGATCCAGCTGCTCTCTTTCTGTCACCCGAACTGCGTTTTTCAGCTCTGAATAGATGCAGACAATTATGATGCTGATGATGGCAATGGTTGTAGATCACTGGGTGCCTAAAATTAGTTAGTTTTCTCAATTTATCAACTGGACCTTTTTCCTTCTGTCATTAACTGAGCTTGTTCTGGACACTATGAATGTTATGAGATACAGCGGAAGTAGGAAAGGTAAACACTGACTTAGCCCTTCTTAGGGCTATACATCAGTATTTATATTGGTGTATAATGGACCTTTTCGGTATTTATAGAAAGGTCTAATGGTAGAAACACAGAAAAGAGAAATATGTCTAATATAGGAGGCTTGTTCTGCGTAGCATTCTCCCTCAAGCTGATGCATAGATATCATCCATGCCCAATTTATTTCTTTCTTTACAGAATTCTGTTGTAGAAATACCTTTTTATCAGTATATCAGTCAACTAATTTGTAGATGAGATATACTCTTTGCAAAATATCTCTAATTCTAGTTTTTTCTTTAATAAAATGTATGTCTACTTCAATGTGCTCGGTCTTATTATGTTGAATAGGATAATGTGCAATACTTATTGCAAACTTATTGTCACAAAATAAGATAATAGAACCTTTCATGAGTATTTGTATGTCATTTAGTATACTCTTTATTTAGATGATTTCATAAATTTAAAGAGCCATAGCCCTAAATTCTACTTAAGCACTTGATTGAGCCACAACTCTTTATTTTTTATTTTGTCAAATAACTAAATTTCCCCCAATGATTCAACAATGCCTAATAGTAGAGTGTCTACCATCAATTGACCCATCATAATTAGTATTGATATATATGTTTACTATAAGATAATCTTATCTTTTGAATAAGATTCTTATGCCAATTGTTCATTTAAGATAAGTTTAGACTCGTTGAACAGCTGGGTGATGAACCTCCCTATGGTCATGCATATATTAGCTTAGCACTCCAACTAAATAAGTAATATCCGATCTAGTATGAAATAGATAAATTAATTTTCTCACTAACCATTGGTAAAACCCTTTATTCACTTGATTGCTCTCCTTTGAAGTCCTAATACAATACTTCACTTCAATTGATGTACAACTTGATTTATAATTACTCATGCTCATATATTTGAGTAAATTAATAATATATTTTCTTTGAGATAGAAATAAAATTTTATGAGAATAACCTACCTCATTTTTTAAGAAGTATTTTAATTATCCCAACACTTTGATAACAAAAATAATTGTTAGTTGTTTTTGTAGATAAGTGATTTCTTACATATCGTCTCCACTGACGATCATGTCATTGACATATACTAGTAAGATCATCATTTTTCCTGAACTTGATCACTTATAAAATAAAGTATGATCTCTATTAGCTTGTTTGAACCCCAAAGCCCTCATTTGTTTGGCTAAGCAGCCAAATTGGACTCTTAGTGATTGTTTTAAGCCATATAATGACTTCTTAAGTTTGCATACCTTTGGAGTATCATTTAAGTCTTTATACCCTAGTGGAAGATCTATATATATTTCTTTCAAGATTTCTCTATGTAATAATATATTTTTCACATCAAATTATAATAAGGACCAACCATAATGTACATCTAAGGATATTAATATTCGAATTATTCTCATCTTCGCAATTGGAGCAAAGGCCTCCATATAGTCAACACTATAACATTCAGTGAAATCTTTTGTCACCAATCAAACTTTAAAACTCTCAACAGTACCATCAAATTTATACTTAATAATATATATCTATCTACAACCCACGACTTTCTTCTCTTTAGAAAGTAAAACGAGTTACCATGTTTGATTCCTCCATAGAGTTAGCATCTCTTCATTCATTGCCTTTTTTCATTGAGGACTTTGTAGAACTTCATCATTGTTTTAAAGAGTATCTATTTATCAATAGTCGACAAAAATGATTTGTATTGTAGAGACATGCGATAATAAGATACATAATTGTAGGATAGATATACCTTCTTCATTGTACATTCTCTAATTCTTTTGCAGAGAGCAATATGGTAGATTTCATCTCCTTGAGTAATGAAAAGGTTTTGTTCATCAATCAGTGATATGTCACATTCAATAATTGATTCATTGGTATCTACATGATCAGGTAGACCTTGTTCATGAGTATGTACTACATCAAGTAGATCATGTTCATAGGTATCTACTACATCAAGCAAATCATGTTCATGAGTATTTGCTACATCAAGATGATTCTGTTCGTTACTCCCTATAATTGCCTTTGTCTTTCTTTGATAATAATTTTGACCAAATTGATTAGCAGAGGTAGCGATGATGGTATCATTTCAAGAGCCTCATTTTCTTTGAGAATCTTAATGTGTAAGTCATATTTTTCTAAAACAAGAATATCACAACTAAATTTTTGAGTTATTGTCTACTAGAAATACATGTTACTTTCATCAAATATGGTATTAATTGTCACAATAATTTTTTCAAATCTTAAGTCATATAATTTACACCCTTTTCTATGTATTGAAATAACCCACAAAAATTACATTTACAATTCTAAGAGCAAATTTAGACAATTAATTCTGAGATTTGTGGATATATGAAATACACCTAAATGCTCAAAGATGTAAATTTAGTCCCTATTACACAGTTAGATAATGACCCTACAATAAGGCTTTGGGGGTCTTAAATAATAATAAATCTGATGGAAAACGATTAATAAGATGAGTGGCCATTAATACTACCCCACTCTATAAGTGCTTCAACACTTGGGCTTTAAACATAACAACCTTTGTTATTTCTAATAATTGCTCAATATTTCTCTCTACTACTTTATTTTACTAGGATGTGTATGGGTAAAAAGATTCATGAGCAATACCTTCCTCAATAAATAAATTGGAGACAACATAATTGAAGAAATCCTTAGCATTATATGATCATAATTTCTTAAGGGTTATGTTGAATTGATTTTGAATTAGTATGATAAACCTCTGAATAATATTGATGGCTTTTGATTTTATTTTCATAAAGTAAATTCATGTGAACCTGGTACAATCATCTACAAAGATAATAAACCATCTTAAGTCCCTAATATCACTGAATGAAGAAGGAACTCATATACCAAAATGTATTATGTAAAAAAAGAGATTCACTTTTATGTCTAATAGAGAGAAATCAAATTGTCGCTTTTTAGTTATTTAGTAAGGTTCACATATGAAAGTAGATTCCCCAATTGTACGACAAAACTTTGGAAATAAGTATCAAAGTACTTTTATGGATGAATGTCTTAAACAACAATATAAAAATAAAAAATTATTTAATGGAGAACAAAAGCAAAGGTAAAAATGTCTGGACTAGAATTTGTCAACATCATCTTGTCCATGTGCCTTGTGTAATAGAGTTTGTCTCTAACATGTCCAATCCTCCCACCTAAGGTGGTGTCATAAAAGAAACATAAATCACCATCAAATGATATCAAAACAATTAAAGTCTTTACCTAATTTCTCAATGACAATAGATGTGCATTCAATCTTAGAATATGAAGAACATATCTTAATAGACACAATTCCTCAAGATGAATTGATCGAATACAAGCTACAAGTAAAATATCCATACTAGTAATAATAATCTTATGATTATTAGTACATACCTCATATGTTATAAATAGTGATGCATATAGAGTCATATGATCAATAGCTCCTAAATTAATATTTCATGATATATTAAGGGGTGAATGTGACGTTAATGATGATATACTTAAGTATAATAGAAAATATTTGAGAAAAGTGGTTACTAGCATGTGTGAGGAAAGTGAAATTAATCACGCTCTTCATCTGTTTAATTTCTTCTTTGGGTTTTTTAATCTCCAAAGGTTGAACAAAAGTAGATCCGTCTTGACTAATTAACTCCTCCTTGTATCATGGACTTAACACCATCTTCATTTTGAGCATTACCTAAATGTAACTTATCATAATTATGCAATGTGTTATGAATCTTCAGCATGTATCTTTGGTATGATGATTTTTCTGACCATGTGTAAAATAGGTTTGTCTTTGGATTAGTCCTAGGATCTCCTTTAATGAATGGTACTTTACCATCCCTCTTTTTAAACCCAAAGGTATTTTTACTCTTAAGGATGTTAAATGCAGCATTTTCTATCTTTAAATCATTCCTCATATTTTTAGTATTTTCTCTTCAATGTCTGGTTAATGTAATTGCCTCTTCAATATCTAGTAATACTTTGTAAGTAAGAATCTAATATACTAGAGTCTTATACTTTAGATTTAGCCTCATCAAAAGCTTAATACAATAAATTTTTCATGATGTAATTTCACTCTTCAGCATCAACGTTCTTGATTGGTCTAGAGTGAGTCGATATCTCTTCATATGGTTTTCAATTCACATACATATTCTAGAACAATCAATATTCTTTATATCAAAGATAAATATTTTTGTACCAATCAATAAATTTAAGATTTGTCATATTTAGTGCAATGAACACAACAAACTTTGTCTCATAATTCCTTCATAGATTCCAAATAATGAAATTTATCACTTATCTTTGGTGAAGTATTTTTCAACATTCAATATTAAATTAACACCTCTTCTTTTCACTGAGAATATCTTAAACTGTCAATACTTTGTAAAGATTATGTCAAGTGACGATCCAAATTCCTCCCCATGTAAAATAAGTTCCACATTAGTGTCCATTGGAATAGCTTGATTTTGTCAAATCAGAATCTCTTAGCAATTTTAAGTGGGTCTAAGCATACCTTGAGTACCTCAAATAAATTTCTTAGACTAGAAGAGGAAAATTCACTGACTTTTGTCTCCATATTCTGTAGTGGTGACCAAATATCCCTTGAAAAAAAATCTCAAATAGAAACTCTCTAATGTAATACTTGTTTTCTGTACATTAAGTATGGATGACATTTTTTGTTCAAAAAACCAAGGATGACTGCCACTTCGTCAAGAAATGATGATGGTGTATTTGCAAACATCTACTACTGTCAAGAAATGATGATAGGATACTCATAGACGATCACCACCATCAAGAAGATGATGATTATGTGACTCTCCAAAGAATTTATCAATCTACTTATGACTAAATAATTTCATAGTTGAACTCAAGTGCTACATAGAAGAAGAAGATCACCATGCAACACTACCTACAGTGTAAAATTGTCGTCACCACTAAGGTTGGTTGATCTTCTATTAGTAGTCTCACGTAGGGTTAGAGAGAAAGCTTTAATACCATGTTACTAGAAACAACAGAACTAGGAAAGGTAAAAACTGATTTAGCCCTTCTTAGAATTGTACGCTAGTATTTATATTGGCACATAATAGACCTTTCTGGTATTTACAAAAATTTCTAATGATGAAAACACATAAAAGAGAAATACATCTAATAAGAAGACAAAAGAAAAAAATAAAAGGAGAGCCTAATATAGAATAATTATTCTGCATAACAATGAAGTTCAAGTAGAGTTCAAAAGTCAACTCCATGATCTGTCAATAAAAGACCTTGAACATGCTCAAGGTGTTTCTTTAAACCTTGCATGCATTTGAAATCATGAGAGCTTACAAATATCTGATGGGTCTGAAGTATTTGAGTCATGAAAAGGTTTAGTGCCATTAATTAAGTAATTATTGATCTTTGCTAAGTTGGGGATATTATATCAACCATTGCAAGAGGGCATATCCTCCCTTCATCAAGTGTTGATCATTATGTTTTATTTTTCTAATTCCTTGTAAACATCAACTCTTTTGCAGCAAGGTTTGACTTTATCTTATCTACTCAATGTCAATGACTTAGATCTCTAAGACATCAGTCAAGGGGGTTGTCCTTCTAGGAGAGGTGAAAGGATCAAAACCCAAGTGTTCTTTATGGCTACTTCTCATGTGCATGATAAAGATTAGTAGAATGAGAAAATGATCTAAAGCATAATATGTCATTTTATTTATAATTTAGTATTTTGGTGAGTTTTAATTGGTTTTAAACCTCCAAGTATAAAAATATCATATAAATATATATATAGTGAATTTCTATCAACACTATGAGCCATCCAAAAACCTTTGAATATGTTGTCATTGAATAAAATTATGTCTCTAAAATCAATCAAAATTAGCAAATAACGGGCTTATTTTATTTAAAATGAATGTGTTTTCCCATGATATCCTCACCCAATTGGGTAGATTTGTGATTTTTCCACGGGCTTGAAGCACGACCCTTCCATATATGTGGCAATTAATAAAAAAACCGTTTTTGAAAATATTTTAAAAGGGCACAAGAGGCTCCAACCCCTCCATATCTGTCATTAATTTTTTTATAAATATCCTATATATTCCCTCCCTTAACTCTCATTAATGAAATGATACGACGAGAAGGATGAGAGCTGTACCCCTTTGACTTTGATCTGTGATGGGTATTTGACTTAGCTCATCAATCACCAACAGACAACATCGTGAGGAATTATTTTCCATATTAAATCTATGAGTAAAAAACGGAATATATTTCAAAAATGGAAACAATAACGGCGTTCTGCGAACCTTTGAGAGGAAGAGTGCAACGGAACGGAAAGGCGCGATTCCCCCGGGGGCCGTCTGTCTCTTCTGCTTCTTCTTCAAATGTCCCATCCGCAAAACCAGCGTCTGTCCCTCTCGATCCCCTAGAAAAGCCCCAACAGGCGCTTCAACCCAGGTGGAAGAGGGAGGAAGATAAGCAGGAAGAAGCTCGCGGAGGAGATGGCGGATCCCAGAGCGAAGCTCGTGGAGGAGATATGCTCCGCCTCTTCCGCCACCGCCGCCTGCGCCCATCGCCGCCGCAACGGGCGGAAGCCCGGCTTCGTCGACTGGTACCTCGTTCTTCAGGTACGCTCCCCCTCCATCGCCGTTCTCTCTGCTCCGCAGGCCTCCTCTTTCTTTCTCGTCTTCTCAGCCGCTCTCATGGCCAGTTGGAAGAGACCGCCGGCGCTGACATTGTTCGCAGGCGGTACCGTCATCTGGGTACGCCCCCACCCTCTCCCTTTTTCTTCAAGTTTGGGAGATCGATCTGTTGTTTGTTGTCTGTGTTTTTCTCAGCCCTGCAACTCCATCCTGATAAGAACGACCACCCCCAAGCCGAGACTGCCTTCAAGATCGTCTTCGAGGTAAAACTATTCTTCTTCCCTTCTGTAAACTGATCGGAAGATGAAGCGCCCAGTCTCCGCCGGTGAATGGAGCTCGCTGCACCAGCAATGCCCCTCACGGCGCCTCTGCTCTTCCTTCCGTTCGTCCCCAGGCCTACGCGTGCCTCTCAGACGAAGGGAGAAGAAGAGCCTTCGACTCCGACCGGCGGCGCAACGCCTGCCGATGGTGCAACGGCAAGCTCCGCCGCCCGTCCTCCGACGGCGCCGGCGAGGAAAGAACCCGCAGGGCTCTTCAGGCCATGAGAGAAGAAGTGATGCAGAGACTGAGGGACGACACCATGGTGATCGAACACTGTCTACGAGCTCGTCGGCTGGTCCGAGAGGAGTCCCCCGTCTTCGACCCTACCGACCGCCTTCTCTTCCCGGAGTACCGGCGGCGACGCCACCGGACGCCGCCAGACGCCTGGTTCCTCCGTCCTCAACGCTTCCCTAGTTGCTACCAGAGCAGAAGAGCCGGCTGCGAGACCCCACTCTACGAATTTGCATCGGCAAGCTCCACCGAGCACCCCAGTTCCAGATTTTGATTCTTTCCGACCTTCGGAAACCTCCATCGCCGTCGAAAAATTTGATTTTTCCGGAAGCCGTTGCTTCTAAATTTAGGAAAAAAAAAGAAGGGAAGATGCAGAGATCGTGTGAAGCACCTGGACCGACTCTTCAGGCCCAGCTTCCGCGAATGGAGGAGCTTGATGTGGGTCGCGTCCGTTGAGCTGCTATTCACGAAATGGGTTGGAAAAGTTGTCTCCTTTTTGGATCAGTCGTGCACCCATGAAAACTCATAACTTTATGCCGAAAAATTACGAGTTGAACAATACGTGTCAGCCCCAATTTGTGCCATTCAGCTGTCATCATGTTCGAGGGCACGGCGAGATGTCAACGGGTCGGACACGACTTGGGATCTTACCAAGATTGACCCATTATTGTGGGAGAGGACTCCAGATCTTTTCCCCGCTGGGGCTTTTAATGGCAGGCTTTCGGATATCTTTACAAATTTACCTTCGAATTTAGCAGACAATAATGTTTTGATTACAAGATTAAATGATATAACCGCCCCAACTTCCACAGTCTGTTCTGTGCGTCGACGTTGATCACGATTTATTAATTAATCTCCTCTACAACTCGAAGTCGATACGCCATCCGACGCTGCCGACGTGTCGCCATCGCGACCCTCATTGTCTTGACCGGGTACGTGCATGGGGAACGGATTTATTACGGATGCGCCGTCTTTAAGGGGCCAGCTTTCAGAGGAAGAAAGTCTGGAAAAAACCGATCTTTATTCCGTACGCGTTTTTTTGCCAATAATAGTTATGTGCAGCTAGTTTTATTTACGATATTTTCGCAGATTTATATTTGACGGGTTTTTTTTGTTGTTGTTGGTTTTAGTGCTCGCCAACGCCGCCGCCCGCCGGCGAGTGCCGTCGTTGACGGGACAACCACTCCGCTGACCTCTGGAAGGAGAGGAACCGGCGATCGCGCAGCAGCCGAACGACCGGCGGGTGCCCCTCCGACAACGACTTTCCTCACTCCGGTGGGCGGCGCCGCCAACCATACAGAACTTCTGAGTCAACTCATCTGGCGACCTGCCAGAGTCAAAGTTTCGGAGTTCAGCTGAGAAAATATCGGGTTCTCGAAGTCCCTAGATTTTTTTATGGAGGCGGAGAAAATATTATCAAAGATTCATCTATTCGATATAAGAAGAGTATTTCTTCCGAAAATTACGGGAAATTCAACGCTAGAAATAATGGTTGAAAATAAAGCATATTAATTACTATGATATTAGGAAATACTCTGAGCGCGTGTTCTCTCTCCCTCATCACGAGCCACACCGCGCCGCCGTGGCCATCAGAGGATGCGACGTTTTGGACTTTTGCGGTGTAGTTTCCATTTAAGCCAACTTGTCATGTCCGGAGACAGCGACACGTTGTTTTTGGAACGGGACTGGTGGACGTCTTCGAGAACATCCGTTAGATTTGAATCGAGGCTTGGCATCCGTGTGTGGTGGCTCGATCTGGTTATCAGATAGTCTGATCATTTATCATATATATGTACGCTTGCTTATCAGCGACAAGTCGCTGAGAAGGACGACCTTTTCTTCCTGCAGTATGCATCGAAGAAAGCGAGATAACTGTATTCGTCTTGGATTCTTTGTACTACTAACCCTATGAAAGGGCAGAGTTCTCTAAAAAAGCCTCATCTGTATTTTTATTTTGGGAAAACCTTTTCAGACTTAATATTCGGCCATTCACAGCTAGATTTTCATGGCGAAAAATTGAGTGCTCATGGTCGGTAAATCTGAGAACCCCATTTAATAATTATTAATAATTTATTTTCCTTATTAGGAATACGACTGGTGAGTATTTCCGTACATGTTCCGGGCTCGAAAATGGTGAAATTACTGCGTGAGGACTCATGGAGGAATAGTATGCTTCAAGGGTGCTTTCGATAATTAAGCAGTATTCACGGGGGTTCTAAACACATATGCCATTAAATTTGCCAGCTCCTATCAATCGACTGACTCTTCATCTCCCCCCCCCCCCCGACCCCCGTTGTTATCCCGCAGCTTCCGCCTCCGCTTCCTCTTGCCTGTGTCCATGGAAGGAGAAATCTCCGGGGCCCGAAGAAGCCCAGCGAATTCCGAACCCCTTCGCTGAATCTGGAATCTTCCACCAACCACCTCATCGAATTTGTCTTCGGCGTATTCGGAGGGGCTTCGCGGTGCTCGGTCCCTGCGACTTTCTGGAGCCGGTTCTCTCATCTTCCTCCTTTCCTCCGGTGGCTCTCGCATCGTAGCAGTACTTACCCGTGTCTGGCCTCGAGCCGGAGAATTTTTGGTGGGCGGAAATGACGTCGCTGAGCAGGGAGCTGGTGTTCCTCATACTCCAGTTCCTGGACGAGGAGAAGTTTAAAGAGTCCGTTCACAAGTGAGTCCTCCCTAGGGTTTCCATGTCCTCCACTCCCCTCAAGCCGTCGTCGTCTTATTCTTCTCTCATGGCTTTGTCTTCCGCTGCCGCAGGTTGGAGCAGGAGTCGGGTTTCTTCTTCAATATGAAGTACTTTGAGGAAAAGGCACTTGCAGGGGAATGGGACGAGATCGAGAGATATCTCTCTGGTTTCACCAAGGTTGACGACAACAGATACTCAATGAAGATCTTCTTCGAGATCAGGAAGCAGAAGTACTTGGAGGCGCTTGATAGGTTAGACCTTCCATCTATTTTTTTTGTAGTTTATGAGAAAAATTCTGATAATTCCTTACAAAAACGGCACACCTTCCTTTCATTTTTATGATAAAAATTATTAAATAATTAACTTCACATTATTATTATTTATAATTCATGAAATAATAATTTCCTAGACTCTTTGAAAACAAAATTCGTTCCCTTTTTCGTCTTTCTTAGCTTTTGATATGGTTTTCTTTGTCTTCTAGGCACGACAGGGCGAAGGCTGTCGATATACTGGTCAAGGATCTGAAAGTGTTCTCAACGTTCAATGAAGAGTTATACAAGGAAATTACTCAACTTCTCACACTCGAAAATTTTAGGTGAATATTTTGTTGGTTTCATTCTGTTTTTTCAAAACGAATTCTTATTCTTTCGAACCTATTTTTTTTTACCGTCAACTGTAGTTTGAAGATTCATTAATTACCATTCTCAGGTTTCAGAGTTTAGCTGTTAGTGAGCACGCCGATTACATTTCGAAAGTTTTTCTCTTCTCAATTTCCAGCAGACTTCTTGGGAGTTGGATATCTGAACTTAGACAGTGCAGTTTAACCCCCACTCTTGCTTATTATGACACTAAAACGAATGCAAGAATTCAGTGTCAAAATAGTAAAAATGTGTTAGATGTTCAAGATAAGTTTCCTGACCACTATTTTCTCAAATTAAGATGTCATTCCATTCTTTTATTTAGTGCATAATTAAATCTGAAGCGTCTTTCATCTTTCAAAAGACTACTTCCTCCTTAATCCGAATGTAAAATAATCTAAGGTATTTTCTCCACTTCAAGGAAGGAAATAATGAAATGTGAATTGAATATATTTGGAAGAAGACAAAAAAAGCACCATTTTCTAAATTGTACACTGAAAAAGCCTAGAAATGAAAAAGTTATTTCCCCCCTGCTGCTGAATCGGCTCCAACTGATAGAGCATGGTGTTATCTAGGAAAGGGAAGCGATGATATGATATGTCCTCGAATGGTGCTTTCTTTGGTTGTGGAACTCGCTCTGATTTGAAAACTATCATGATGTTGGCTTCTTCTCTTATGCACCATAGAGACATCTTTATTTTATCAAGGATATTTCTCGTGTCATTTTTTGGTTTGATTGATAGATTAATGTAAACAATCCCAGAGGAAACAGTTCCAAATAAGAGCAGCTCCTTATCAAAGCTTTAGATGATTTCTCTGCACCTGTATTTTTTTTTAATTATCTTGTCTGCTACTAACTGTTTTTTTTCATTTTTAAGCTCATCTGATTTGGGAAAAAGATTTATGGATTTTATAATTTTGTTGTTTCTTAATTGGTCGATGTGTCTCTCCTTCTGCCTTGAATTTCTTGCGATTTCAGTCGATCATTATTTTTTTTCCTTTGAGAATTGGCAAAAAACGATTTTAGTTATAATTTTCTCATTTTCCCTTATACGCAGAGAAAATGAACAATTATCCAAATATGGTGACACCAAATCAGCTCGTAGCATCATGCTAATAGAGCTTAAGAAACTCATTGAAGCCAATCCTCTATTCCGAGAAAAGTTGATCTTTCCCACTCTGAAGGCATCACGATTACGGACGCTAATTAACCAAAGGTAATTAAGATAGATATATGGCATATTGTCTTCTATCTTGTTTCTTCATCTTCATGTAAAATCAATACTTTTTCTTCGTAAGTTCTGAAATTCACCCATATTTTTAGACTTTTTTTTTCTGGTTAAAAGCCTTGTAGTCTTACTATATTAACGAGAAATTTCCATGTCATCTTGTTCGTTCCCTGACATGTGCATATTTGCTTATGCATACTCGTGCACATGCAGAGAATGATTATTTGAGTTTGTGTATGAATCCCCACGTATGTTACTGAATCAATGGTTTTGGTTATGGCAGCTTGAATTGGCAGCACCAGCTCTGTAAGAATCCCAGGTCAAACCCTGACATCAAGACCTTGTTCATAGATCATACTTGTTCACCGCCAAATGGTTCTCGCACACCACAGTCAGCCACCGTTCCTCTTTCAGCAGTTCCCAAACCTGCTCCATATATGGCGCTTGGGACCCACGGAGTACGTTGCTATACCATCTCATTTGACTTGTTTTGTATGTAATTGTTATGACATTCTGCCCGGGTTTTACATCATCCTGTCTGGATTCAATGTAGACTTTTCCGCCTGCTGTGGCGGCCAATGCCAATGCTTTAGCAGGCTGGATGGCAAATGCAGCTGCTTCTTCGTCCGTGCAGTCTGCTGCCGTTGCTGCATCACCAATAACAGTTCCACAGAATCAAGGTCTGAACCACATGTCAAAGAATAAGAATATCGTGTGCTAGTGATGCTTATGTTGATGAAAGCCCTAGCAGATTTTCTTCTTTGTTTTCCTTTCTTGAGTGTTCACTATTCAACTTCTTTCTTCAATGTTGATGAAAGCCCTAGCAGGCTGAATCAATGCGGTGTCCACACATATAAACGGCTGATTGAAACTCAAGCATAAAATCCACATATCATTTTTAATGTCAAATAAAATTTTTAAAAGGACTGTTAATTCATCAACATTGTTTTTATTTAACATTAGAAATTCCTTGAATAATGAATCTGTTTCCAATGAAAGATATGTATCTCGGATCTCATGTTATAAATGAAAACTAAATAGTTTGACTCTACAGAACATAATCATGATGCTCAGCTTTTTCGTGACCATAATGTTTCTAATTTTTCGTTCATATCTGATTTTTTTCTCAATCATTTTTGTGGGGCACAATCCAAAAGGCGTATTGTGCGGAAATCCACTCACTGAATAAAACTAATGACGATCTCCTCTCCCACGACTCCTATAGCTTTCATTTTTTTTCCCCAGGGAAGAAACAACTCTAGTTTTCCACAACACGTAATCTGACATGCTCAGAATACCATTTGAACATGTTGAGCCTCTAATGGCTCAAAATAGGTATCCCACTCTTTATATGAAATTGAAATCATTTCATGATGTTTATAGATATCCCACTCTTTAAATTTATTTATTTTTTGTCTTACAGAGAGTTATTTGTTTGTCATGAGGACGTGTCCATTGATAACTTGTAGACGTCAAATTCTGTGATATCACAAGAAATAGGAAGTTGACCTATGGCATAAGCAGGCTCCTTTTCTAGACAACTACATTTTCCTACACTAGGATGAAAAAGGTTTCCGGTATTTACTGTATATGACTGTTTTCCATTCTTATCAGAGGTAAGATAGCCTGGTGTGATATCTCTTTAGATGTGGACTTTCATCATATCCACTAATATTGAGTTAATGCGTTCCTTTTATTCTAAATCCAAATTCCTTCTAAAACTTTGGGTTTTCCTCAAATATTTTTAACTGTTAATAAGTTGATCCTGATACACATCAGAAGGTATGAAAAGCGTTCCTACTCATACATTGACCATAACCAGAACAAGTGGCAATGTATCCGCCAGGAGGTAATTCTGATGTCGGAAAAGTTTCTTGTATCTTGCCAGATGATCATTGAATGTTAATATTAACATCCAAGACATATGATGGCAATGAAAAATAATATTTTTGACTACAACACGGTGCTATAATGTTTTCATTACATTGAGACGGGGGAAAAATCATGTGCTTCATGAAATTATTGATGCAGCATTACAAGGGCGATGAAAATTTTCATTTTTCCTTTGTTCAGTTTCTATTCTGAAACGTCCAAGAACTCCTCCGAATGTACTGAGTATGGGGGACTATCAAAATTCGGATCCGGACCAACTGATGAAACGTTTACGCCCAATTGCTCATCCCGTCGATGAGGTAGTGAATTAATTTGAATATTATTATTACGTGTTTAAGTGTCTGTAATGTCGCTTCGGTTCAGCATTTTTTATTTATTTTTTACATCGTGGTATTTGCATACTATTCTACAGCGTCTTATGTTAACTGGCACGTTCAATTTATATACCCTTGACCACTTCTGCAGTCTGTGTGGTCATCAGATGACCTTCCAAAAACCGTAGCTTGTACAGTGAGCCAGGGAGCGAACGTAACAAGCATGGATTTTCACCCTTCTCATCACACTCTTCTTCTTGGTGAGCAAAATCTCATCATCTGGAAGCCCCATATCTTCTTCTTGATAAGCATTTTCTCTGAAAATACTTCCGCATCTTTCTTTGGCAGTGGGATCTGGGAATGGTGAAATTGTACTTTGGGAAATTGGTTTGCGGGAGAGGTTGGTCTCGAAGCCATTTAAGATATGGGATGCGGCAGCTCGCTCAATAGCTTTTCAGGTCTCAAAACCATTTAAGATCTTTGTAGCTTTTCTAGCCATTTTTTTCTAAATGAATTGCAAATGTGAAATGTACTTGCTTTTGTGAATTGCCCCCTTACCTAAAATCTTAATGAATCACGTATGTTTTATTGGATCCTTTAGTTTTTGGTATTTAGTCTTGCTAAGAAATGTTTTTGGCATAATCGCCTATGATGTAAAATCGCCTTATCCTTTTTCAAGTATCTAGACTGCTTGAAGAATAACTAAATGAGAGATAGATACAATAGTGCCTATGCAAAATCTTGAGCAGGCAATCAAACTGTTAGACAAACCATAATAACAGCCTATAAAGGTTCACATACTTTTATCTGTATGTTGTTGAGTTGTTTCTCTATAATTTTTTTCTTGTTTTAATGATATTCTTTCTTATTAAGCAGGCTACTTTAGTCAAAGATTCTTCAATATCGATTAATAAAGTGGCATGGAGTCCAGATGGAAGTCTGATAGGTATCTCTCACCCAGAGGTTACTGCGGCTACTTTTCATTATTGTCATCTGTTTGAAACTGTATCCTGCCCTTTCAGGAATTGCGTTCACGAAACACTTGATCCACTTGTACTCTTACCATGCACCAAATGATTTGCGGAATTTGTTGGAGGTGGGAAATTTCATTTCTACTTTTACTACTCTAGTGACCGCTGTTAACACGAGGGACATGCACTAGTTAATGACGTGAAATGGCCTTCGCTATTCATCTATGTATTCGTGTTTGTGTTGGGGAAGGGGTAGGGGGGAGAAAATGGGGGGGATTACCTTTTCTATTGAAATTGATGATAATCCTGTCCAATTTTTTTACATGAACAGATTGATGCCCATGTCGGCGGAGTGAATGACATAGCATTTTCTCATCCAAACAAGCAGATCTGTATAGTTACTTGTGGAGATGACAAGCTTATAAAGGTTGATCTGAAGACAATGACGTCCTCGTTGTGCCCATCTGTCTTTTTATTTTCCACCTCGAAACTAAATCGTGTTTGCAATCCAGGTCTGGGATCTGAATGGAAGGAAATTGTTTGCGTTTGAAGGACACGAAGCTCCTGTTTATTCTGTGTGTCCTCACCATAAGGACAATATTCAGGTAGATACTACTGTCTGCGTGCGCTTCTTCTCTCAACCGTCTCTAGCATTAGCAGTATTAAACCCATTGTTCAACTCTGAGATTGTATACTGAAAGCATTAACAATATCCCTCCAAACCATAATCGAGGCCAAGTCCGTGACTTCCGTGGGTCTGAAACTGATGACAGATTTGTCCCTCTAAACCGTACCTATGCACTCATCCTAGTGATTGGAAAAATGATTACTACCACTAGTTGTAATGTGCAGTGATTTCTCTGTGATTGTACACCTACTCTCGCCTACACCGATTTGATTTGCTTGTGTGCAAATATAACCGGACGGCTGCCTAAAATGGAATAGATATATGTGCACTCAATGGAGGTGTGATATCAGTTGTAATACTTGGGAGCTGGTTCATTGCCACAATTTGTCAACCTTGCAGTTGGATAAAGTTACGGGAGGAGCAGATCCTGGATAAAATTAAATGACGATAAGCAGTCAGTTTGAGATTATATGCATGGAATTTTACTTTAACTGTTCCTGGTAGTGAGTCGTCGTTTTTTTGTGAACTGGCAGTTCATTTTTTCTACTGCTCTTGATGGGAAAATCAAAGCTTGGCTCTACGACAATATGGGGTCCAGAGTTGACTATGACGCCCCTGGACGTTGGTGCACCACAATGCTCTACAGTGCGGATGGAAATAGGTAGACCAGTTCTTAACGTGGAGTGACTACTGCTAATTAGTTTGCAACCATTATTTATGTTTATTTTTGCACTGTATTCTGCCACATTGTCTAGACTGTTTCATTTACCCTTTTCATCGTCCAGATTATTCTCATGTGGAACCAGCAAAGATGGCGAATGTTTCCTCGTCGAATGGAATGAAAGCGAGGGATCAATAAAGAGAACATATTCAGGATTTCGCAAAAAATCAAACGGTGTTTTGCAATTTGATATCACACAGAATCACTTCTTGGCTGTTGGTGAGGATAATCAGATAAAATTTTGGGATGTGGACAATGTCAACATGATTACAAGCACAGATGCTGATGGTGGACTCCCGGTCAGTTTTTGTCCTTTGGCGCTTAAATGTTTCACTCGGATGAATCCACTGTAGTTGTTTATCACTTTAATCCTTTATTGATTTCTTCAGAACCTCCCTCGCCTGAGATTCAACAAAGAAGGGACCCTTCTTGCTGTTTCTACAGCTGACAATGGTTTCAAGATACTTGCCAACGCCGAGGGTCTCAGGACCTTGCGACCGCTTGATAATCGTTCTTTTGAAGCATTGAAGGCCCAGTTTGAATCTACTCCCCTCAAGGTAGTAATTTTAATACCATTTTCATAGGCATCTTAAGGGATCATTTCCTGACTCTCCTGCTTGCTGAACAGGCATCTGGTGCACCTCTGGTTACAAATACTCCCCCGAATATTCTTAGAGTGGATCGCTTGGATGGAAGCTCTCCTGCCAGACCTTCTCCTCTTCTGGTACGTCTAATTGGATGGTTGAAGCTTACGTTCCCCTGTGCCCATGATGATCTTCGGAGGAAAACTTTTGAGCACCCTTTTGACCTTTCTGTCAGTCTGATCACTGGTCCTTTCCTGTAATTCTCCTGGACATTTGTAGCATGGATCCGAGCCGCCTTCCAAAAATGTGGAGAAGCCAAAGACTGTAGAAGATGTACCAGATAAACCAAAACCCTGGGAGCTGGCAGAAATCTTGGAGCCTTCTCAGTGCCGCGTTGTCTCTACAACCGATTCAGGCAGCAAGGTTTATACCGTCTCAGTTTCATTTGTTTCCGCCTCGCTCCTCCCATTTCCTGAAGTGTAGAACACCCCTTTTGCACAGGTTACCAGGCTTCTTTACACAAACTCTGCGACTGGCTTGTTGGCTTTGGGGTCAAATGGAGTCCAGAGGTTGTGGAAATGGACCCGAAATGAGCAGAACCCGGGTGGCAAGGTGATACTCGTCCTCTTTTTCAACATTTAAATATCCTATTTATTTCATCAACGAAGAAGGGTGTTTTGAACCTGTTGGTGGCTAAAGGCCACGGCCCATATCGCCCCAGAGCACTGGCAGCCGAGCAGTGGTCTTCTCATGACCAATGACGTATCAGATGCCAAGCCTGAGGAACCTGTTCCCTGCATAGCGCTCTCAAAGAATGATTCATATGTAATGTCCGCCTGTGGAGGGAAGGTCTCTCTGTTCAACATGATGACGTTTAAGGTAATCCGCCCGGCAATCCCTTGGCTGGTTGTGGGAACCTCTGTGGCCGGTGATCTTACTGTGTATACCATGTGGGTATCATTCACAGGTCATGACGACGTTCATGCCCCCGCCTCCTGCTTCGACCTTCCTGGCATTTCATCCGCAAGACAACAACATCATCGCGGTCGGGATGGAGGACTCGACAATTCACGTCTACTACGTGAAGGTCGATGAGGTAGCATCTCACTCCGCTCGTGAATTCTTTGACCATTTCATTTGCAGCGTAATTATCACGGGTTGCTTCCCCCCCTCTTCTGCGGCAGGTCAAAACGAAACTAAAAGGCCACCAGAAACGCATTACGGGGCTTGCATTTTCGAACCATCTTAACATCTTGGTATCTTCGGGAGCTGATGCCCAGGTAAAGAAACAACAGAGATTATTTTAGTTTCTCCAGTTATTCTTTCATGGGTTCGCGAGATCACAGTCGTCAAAGCACCAGACCTGCTCCAGGAGTCCTTGGGCGCCTCGGGCACTCTTTCTTCTCCCCTCTTCGTATACGGGCATGGCTGAAGGGGGAGACTGATACGGGCAGAGCAGAGAGAGTGATTGGCGTGGGTAGAGTGAATGAGAGCAGGTAGAGACGGGCATTGGGATAAGGTGGCCTGTTCAATCACGAGGGTTGATCAAATTGTATGAAATGAATGGGTGAGACTGTCGCAGGGAAGGGAAGGGGGGTGGGGGGTGGGGGGCAGCTGCTTTTTTCTTCTTTCCTCTTTTCCTCATTGTAAAGCTTTTTGCTTTCCATTCTGAAGCTCAGCTCTTCCAACAAGGCCGCTAATTTCCCCCGTGCAGCTTTGCATATGGAGCACCGACACGTGGGAGAAACGAAAGTCAATCTCCATCCAGATGACTGCGGGGAAGTCACCGGGTGGCGACACCCGGGTACAGTTCCACTCCGACCAGGTTCGCCTCCTGGTAGTCCACGAAACACAGTTGGCGCTGTACGATGCCTCCAAAGCAGACCGCCTACGGCAGGTAAGCTCCCACTCACTCAGACCCTCCCTCTCTCTCTCCTCTCTTTTTCTCTCTCTTGCTATAGTACAAGGTCGGAGACTCCTCATTTCTCTCCCTCCCCTTCAGTGGCTGCCGCAAGACTCTCTGCCCGCGCCCATATCCTCGGCGTCCTACTCCTGCAACAGCCAGCTGGTCTACGCCTCGTTCTGTAATGGGGACATCGGGGTCTTTGATGCCGACAGCTTGAGACCAAGATGCCGCATCGCGCCGTCAGTCTACCTCTCCCCGGCGGTCGCCAACAGGTGCTCGCAAACTCACAGCATCGGATGTTCTTCTTGCTCCACCATCCCCTGTTTCTGACCGTCTTCTTCTGCAGCAGCCAGTCGGTGTACCCTCTCGTGGTGGCGACGAACCCACAGGAACCCAATCAGCTGGCCGTTGGGTTGACCGACGGCGCCGTCAAAGTGATCGAGCCGTCGGAATCGGAGAAGAATTGGGGCGCCCCCGTGCCAAACGACAACGGGGCCGCCGGCGGAAGAACGCCGGCGCCAACAGTGACGACCAGCCCGTAAAGAGGTCCGAGCTTCTTCTGTAAATTTGGCTTTTCCTACTAATTTAACTCCACAGGTGCCCTTCTAAACGTGGAGGGTAGAATCTTATCTACGCTCATGAAGCTTGTACACTTGTCCCCTCCCCAAGTCCCGCCCCGCCTGCCCTTCTTCTCTGCTCTGCTCTGCTCTGCTCTACACACGCTCTGTAATGCTAGTAATTCATGGTTTCCTCTCTTCTCATTGATTTTCCTAATTGCTGTAATTTCTCTCTCTCTCTCTCTCTCTCTCCCTCACTCATTCTCTCTCCATGCCGAAGGTCAGGAGTTTCTAAGATCACTTATTGATGAACTGGTCCGTTGGTCCTAGATGGCCCGGGTGAAAGCCTTGTTGGGGGCCCAATATACTAATAACGGCCCATTTGGACCCCGGCCCACCCCATACCTCTCTCTCTCTCTCTCTCTCTCTTCTTGATGAACTGATCAGTTGGTTCTGGATAACCCGGTGAGAGGCTGGGCCGGGATAGGCCCAATAGACCACTAGTGGCCACTAAGGCCGCCTCTCGCGGGGCCCACCCCTCATTTGACAAAAGAACTTCCGGCCCAGGGACGGGTCACATTTCTTGCGTTCTCACTTCGCATATCACCGGGAGAAACCGGTCGAGGCAGACAATACCGACCGCCAGCTGCCGGTAACCTCCTCCCTCCGTTACCGCAAATTAATGAAGGAAATGGCGGGGCCTCGTGGCCTGTCGAGTGAGCGAGTCCAGGCTAGCACCGTCGGCATGATTGAAGGGGGGGCCCACCCCGGGGTCTGGCACCCACATGCCTCTGACCCGGAGCGCCATGGACGGCCCCACTCTTCTCCTCAGGGGGGTGAGGAAAACGCCTGCAATCATCTTTCGATCTATCTATCTATCTATCAATCTGGTGGTGATATTCTACAGAAGGGAGTAATCTTTGGATCGGTCGATTTCCTCGTCGAGGATGTGCAGGTGGGCGGCAGCTCGTCGGTTGGATCTTCGCGGGTGACAGCGATCGCCTCCGATGATGGAGGAGCTGAGGTGTTTCCGCCCTTTTTGTTTTCAATCTTCCCGCATCTGATGACGGGTGAGATGAAAGCGGGGATACTGTGATGAACAGTAGAATAATGGTAAAAAAATGCCTGCCCGAGTACATTTCTGAAATATAAAGAGACAAGTTGGTTCGTCTAGTGTTTTCCTTCTTCCGGCGCCCCGACGCCTCCCCCCCCCTCGCCAAGCACCTCTTCTTCTTCTTCTTCTTCTTCTTCTTCTTCTTCTTCTTTTGCTGCTGCTTCTTCTTCTTCTTCTGCCTCCGCTACTTTTGCTGGCGGTAGTTCTGTATCCACTTGTGCTTGTTCAATTTTGGTTTGCCTGGCCGCTGCAGTGTGCGTGCTGGTATTTCTAGAGGGTGCTGAGGAGTGCGGGGGAGAGGAGCTCATGAAGAGGCTCGTAAGTACGTTAGTTTCTCTTTGCATTCTTTTTTTTCCCCCGGGATCCTTGGGATGTACCCCGTCTTTCCTGGTTTCTTTGGAAGTTGGCATCCCCGCTTTGTGATTGTTCTCCCGTGATCCTATATTTTGGTTTCCCGGATTGGTTCGCCCCCCCCCCGCCCCCCCCTTCGGCTTCTTGGGGATCATCTATGTCCTGGAAGTTCTGGCTTCCTATACCGTGTTTGTTTCTTCTATGTTTCTCTTTCTCCTTTCCCAGTTCAATGAATTTACAGGCACTTCCTTATTTTCATTGCCTGTGAAGCGATCGTTTTGCGCTTTCAGGGTTTCATTTATTCTTTGACCATCTCATGGATCAAAAATAGATAGTTTAGTTGTAATAGCCTGTTCTAGACCGAAAGATCTTCTTGTCTTCCCTGAAAGGATTCTGCGGGCGGTCCGATCACATCAACTACATACCCCTGTCACCTTGGCTTCGCAAGCCATTCATGAACCATTCAATACCATACTCGGTTGAATCGTTTTCCTCGTTCTAATTTTCTTGGGGCAGGTTTTCGTGGTCGCGGAGAAAAGAATTACAATTTTGATCCTAAGTTTTTGTCGCAGGTCATGTCTTCTCTCTGGCTTTTCCAATATCTTTGCACTAAAATTATTCCTTTTTTGTACAATTCCAATGTGCAACTGTCTCAGATGTTCGGGGAAATTGCATCCAGCTGGCGCTGTTACTGATTTTGGTAGCATCCAGCTGGCGCTGTTACTGATTTTGGTAGCTTTGAAGGTTGTCAAAGGCAATGGCCCGGTGACTGAGGGACAATGGAGACATGTTAAGAGCCCACAATTGAGACCTCACAGCGTCTCCATATTGGAGTTTGGGGCAGTTGGAGATGGGCAGACAGTGAACACAGTTGCGTTTCAGAATGCCATCTTCTATCTTAGGTCATTTGCAGACAAAGGTGGTGCTCAGCTCTACATTCCTGAAGGGAGATGGTTAACTGGAAGCTTCAACCTCACCAGCCACCTCACCCTTTTTTTGGAAAAAAATGCTGTCATCATTGGAAGTCTGGTGAGCTACATTCCCTGTTATTTTTTTTTGAAAATGACTCGAAATTCGTCGGTGTTCAATTCTCCCCAGTTATGTAAGAACCTCAAGTTATTCAATGGAAACAACCCATTAGTTAACATTATTTTATTTATATAAAGATGCGTGTAAAAACAGTGAGATATTTCCCCTTTTTTGAGCCAATTTACAGAGCTGTGTATTATCCTGGTACCCAATGGGAGCAACCTCTTCACGTAATAAGACGTCGAACACATGAAATGTGGAACATCGTCACAGAGCAGATGGACGCTTTACTTAGAAAAGACAACTCGAGAATGTTATCACTTGTTTAAGTGACTCAAAAGGCACATTCTTGATATTTTCCTTTTTCAAGAAAAGATATTAAATAACACCTTCCTAGGTGGATTAAGAAATGGAACTTTCAGTGAGGGCAATGAATGTGAAAATTAACATATTGAAAAAATAAGCAGATTGCGGAATCTTTTCTTTCTCTTTCCTTTTTCTTTATCACTGGATCCTCGCCTGGGGGAGCTTATTATCAGATTATTTTGGTCATGCATGAAATATCATCACTTGAGTTCGGATATTGCAGATTTATTAATTTGTTTCTAATTGTGACAGGATCCATCCTTTTGGCCTGTAATTGAGCCCTTGCCCTCTTATGGTCAAGGTGTAGATCTCCCTGGTGGAAGGCATCGAAGCTTGATAAGTGGCCATAACTTGACAGACGTGGTGATAACAGGCACTGAATTTTACTGCCACTCTTCTTCGTTTTTTTCATTTATCCTGTTACCAGAACTGTTTTTACCATCCTTCCATATGGGACTCTGACACTCTGCTCACATTTCTGCTACAGGTCAAAATGGATCCATCAACGGTCAGGGTTCAGTTTGGTGGGACTGGCTCGTTTCTCACTCCCTAAACTATAGTCGACCACACCTCTTGGAACTTGTGAACTGCAACGATGTCACGATTTCGAACTTGACTCTACTCAATTCTCCTGCGTGGCATGTTCACCCGGTCTACAGTAGGTGGGTAGGTCAAACCCAGTTGGCTTGGGGGATATGTCTGATGGGTTTTCCCTTTCTTGAGAACTTGCACTAAATTCTTCTGTCCTCTTCTTTCAGCAACGTGCACATTCAGAATATAACAATATATTCTCCGCCAGACCACTCTTTGACAAATGGTATAGTTCCAGGTTAGTGAGATTCCTTCTAATCTTCCTCTGTAAAATAGCATCTGAGCATTCAACAATCCAAGCGTACTACTTTCTGCTTTAAAATAGTATCAGCGTCTTAGATCTAAGAGCCCTTACCCTGCTTCTGCACATTGTATGCGGATTATGATTTTGATTTTGATTAATGTTCTTCTTGTGGATAGGATTATGATTTAACTTTTTGTAAGACCATGCCACTACTGAACCTTAATCCCAGGTTGAGCCATAATCTATCTAGGGTTTCAAATTGTTGAACCAAGCTATCATCTTCCGCACACAGGCCAGATTCATGGATACCATGACCTATATGAAAAACTTGCGGGTACTTTTGGTTCCAGACACCTAGAGACGACGTACTCTATTATTTGTGGGCCTTTCTAGGAGGAATTTACGATTCTGCTTGTTCCCTTTCAAGCCCGGAATGAAAGATCTTCCTATTTTTATCATGAAATAAAAGGGCTATTCTTGTCGTGAAATATCTTGCTATTTTTCTTCAGATTCATCCTCCGACGTGTGGATTGAGGACTGCACAATTACCGTAGGACACGATGCCATTGCTTTGAAGAGCGGCTGGGATGAGTATGGCCTCTCTTATGGTAAGCCCGTCTCTAATGTCCACATCAAGAGGGTCCACCTGCGGACCTCCCTCGGATCTGCCCTTGCATTCGGCAGTGAGATGTCCGGCGGCGTCACGGACATACACGCCGAGCACATCCACATCCGTGATTCCTTCACCGCCATACAGCTGAAGACTACCCCGGGCAGAGGTGGCTACATGAAAGACATCATCATCTCCGACGTCGACATGGTGAACGTGCACACTGCAATTCACTTCTCCGGCCAGTGTGGAGCACACCCAGGTGATCACTTCGACCCAGATGCCGTCCCGGCCGTTCACGGGGTGACCCTCAAAAACATTGTCGGCGAGGGCGTATACATGGCTGGAAACCTCTCGGGGATAGACCACGACCCCTTCACAGAGATCTGCCTCTCGGATATCTCCTTCTCCGTGACCTCCACAGTCCCTTGGACCTGCTCCCATGTGCACGGTTCTTCTCAGTCGGTTTCCCCTCAGCCCTGCCCTGAGCTCCGAGACCCATACTCAAACTCCTCAGCCATCTGCTTCGGCGACGTTGCAGCAGCCTAGGGAGAAATTTCCCTCCCCCTCCTCCTCCGCCTCCTCTGTACAATGATCAAAGTGAGTGAGACCCCCCATATCCCCCTCGTCTCCATATTTTTTTCTCTTCCAATAAATCGGCCATCTCCAGGCCCCCGAGCTCATCCATCTCCTTCCTGTACAGCTCCTCCTCCTCCGTCCCATGTAAGAAAGGAAAATTTTTGGTTACATGATTCTTACTTCTGCATGTGCCTGGGAGCCCACTTGTCCTGTTGCCATGAACGGTGGCTCTCTTTATGCGAAAGGAGAGATGCCCCCCTCCGCTGGCTCCCTTGCTCGTCTTTCCTGGACTTGGCAGTGGACCGCAGCTGTCGCATTCCAGACAGCCGCATCGAGCCAAATCTGACCACTTCTATGGCCATTCCGGTCGTCACGGCAGGACCACCGCGCGCAGATGCTCTTTCAGACAAGTGCGTCCCGCCGCCGGCCGCCGGTGGCAGTTGGGAGGGCCTACCAGAGAGGGAGGTGAGACAACCGCCGTCGACGTAAAGCCTGCCCCGTCTTCGTTGAAGGAATCTCTGCCCATTATAATGCGGTCCCTCGCGAACAGCGGACCCGTTTCTCCGGGCCTGGGCTTCAAATTCCGGTCCCTTCTGAGGGTTGACAATGGCCGTATGTTGGAAATATCTAACTGGTCCAGTCGAATGGTCGGATAAGGATAATTGGGTCCTTACAATTCCGTCTCGGTAGGAGTCTCGACTTGAATTCTTTCCAGACATAGTCTGCCCGCCCGATGGCAAACCGTTGACTCCTCTATGGGGGTCAACTCTCGTGGAGGTAGGTGTGAGTTCGGCCTCAGCCCGTTGACTCTTCTAGATCGTTATAAGTCTCCAAGGATATCATAAGAAACAAGTGGCTTGGGGCGTGCATGGGCCGGTGAGTTTGAAGTCCATCTCCTACTCAGGGGGGCGATCCAACATCTGCATGGGCCTTTCGGCCCACATTCCAATCCAACCAGAGTAAAGAGTCCTCGTGGGCGGCAACGGACCACGTCTCCCAGAAGCCGGCCACTGAAAATTAAGTTACATTAATGCGACTTAGGGTGCAAAATTGATCTCGTCAGGGGAATTTTTTAATAATTAATAAAAACAGTGAAGAATTACGAAGGCATTCCTTTGCCTTGGTTCCGTCTTGGGTCGGAGTAAAGCAGAGTTATTTTTCATATTATTTACTTAGGAAGGCAGAAAACATTGGTGACACTGCGTTATATAATATAATATGGGTACTACGGCGGCTAAAGAGAGGGCAAGTTCTTCGAGGGAAAATCGGAGTGGAGGAGAGGAGGAGAGCCGTCCGGAAAAGATGGGGAAGACGCCGGTACGGATGAAGGCGGTGGTGTACGCCCTGTCGCCATTCCAGCAAAAGGTTATGTCGGGGCTGTGGAAGGACCTGCCCGGCAAGATCCACCATAAGTTCTCCGAGAACTGGATCAGCGCCACCCTTTTACTTACCCCGCTCGTCGGCACCTACTCGTATGTCGCAGAATCCCCGCTCATCCTCGGGTTTATCTGTGTATTTATAATCTCCGCTTGAAGATGCTTTGATTTTCTTCTTATTCTTTTTTTCATTGACCCACCCCCATCATCGATTGCAGATCGAGATTGATTTTATGTGCCAGAAGTTCTGATCGGTTCGATTTTACCCGATATCATATCCCTGATTTGGTTGAGGACTCACGATTGGAGTCATGCTGATGTAGCGAGCATCGTGATTGTCCAGTCGTAATCCTGACTTTCCGGTTCTTTGGTTTGTAATACTTGGAAAATTGATTTTTTGCCCATCACTGATGAGATGCGTTTCCTTTTACCGAAGAACATCCGGAGATTTTGGGTCATAAGAGAGGAGGAAGACGTATCCAGCTTCCCATCGAATACGAACTTTCAGTGGTCAACAAAGCAGATACTCGGCATCTCACTTTCGCCTATTGTATGTTAGGAACATCCAGGACAATAAAAGCAGAATCCTTACCAGAGGAAAATCATTTCCAATCAATGAGGACTTCGTGTCCTCATTTATGGGTAGCTGCATCACAATGATACCTGGAATTATTCTCATACGCTGGGATCGAAAGACTGAGTGCGTTTCGTTTGCATTCTTAAGGTTTTACTTGGTATCTTTGATTAATGGACAAATAGTTTCCAGTGTACACATGTTTGCACACATTATTCCATGAGATTCAGATTGAAGGTGATTGCAGCGTAGAAGGGTAGTTATTTCTCTTGAAAACTCTTCTACAATCATCCCACTTGGTTAGACTTGTGTGTTAAAATGGAGTTTTTTGAGACATTTCTGACATGTCTAGGCTTTGAATTTTCAATATGATTAAGCAATCTCTTGAGGAATTTTGCATGTTAAAAAATAATCCTCATCAGAAATATAAAGATGTTGACAGGTGTTTTTAAGACCTCTACTTGTATCACACATATGGCCAGAGATTTATGTGTAGGCGACGCATTGACCCGGGAATGAAGGAAAATTGTTTGTTGCCTTTACACTTGAAATATGCTGATGAGGAATGCCTTCAGGAAAATCGCGGAACTTTGTGCTGGGGTGTATGGTAGTAAAAATTAGAGATTAATTCAGGGAATCTCAGCATGTTGTATTCACATGGGATTTGCATCATCTGGTATTTTTCTATCTCCTTTGGAGGGCTAGAGTGAGATGAATTGTCAAGCCCCTTGACCCTCTCTGTGGGCGTAATTAAAAATAGTCACCTCGCAGCTTCAGCATCAGAGAAGATAGGAGATGCCTGTAGCGAAATATGACAAATGGAAATATTTTCATTGGTGAGAGATTACTCTTACCCTAATTTGTGGCTATTTTAGTTGCATATGTAGTTTTCAGATGTAGGTTCTCTACAAGAAACATTGGATCAGGGAGTAACAATACTATGCATTGCCACAAAGAGTTTCTGTAGATGGACGACTTGGATCATCTCCTTTTGGCTATCTTAATGAGGTGATGTTCAATCTTTAATCAAGAAAAAAATTGGCGTCCAAGGAGTTCTACTGTTAGTAATCTGCTAATTAGATGTCAGAGGTTTAGACCTGTGGACAACAGAATGCAATTCCGGTGCTGTCGGGTTTCATTAGGTGGCTTACAATAGGATATGCATAATTTGGTTGGGGACTTTGAGATTTTTAATATTCCCAGATGGTAATTTTTCTGCCACAGGATCATGAGACTTCGCATTCAGTTCTTAATTTTTCCATACTGAAAATTTCTGGAGTTGCGAAGTCAAATCCTGGAGATCAGTCCAAACATTTTTCATCTCCTCATCAACATTACCAAAACCTCCGTAGAAGGTCCCCATTTACTAGTGACTGATATAATTTTCGGTCCTTGAAAAAAAAAAAAAAAAAAAACCAACCCTGTCCCCTCTTCCACTAGAGGTCATGTGGTCTTAACCAAAGCTTTAATCTCGTCTCTATCTGTTATTCTGCCGGCGCCCAACTTCAGTCTCAGTTGCTGTCATGTATCAACTCAATTAGCAAAGCTATGTTGCCTCGTTGAAGAGGAGACAAGAGGCTAGGCCCGTCAGGATATTGTTGGAAACACACGCAAAGCTGTTTGGTTAAACAGCATTAAAAAAAATATTAATGCAGGTTTACTCCCTACAGCTGGTGGGAACTACAGGCTTTTCTGCCAAATTGCTATGCTTGTGATGTGTACCTCTTTATAACTCTCTGAACTTGGAGCTTCCTTCGATGAGCATTTATTGCAATGTTGGGAGAAGCATGTATGGCTCGAAGTTAGATTTCTAGAATCAGTGGAACTCCTTTGGATGGTTTTCTGGTGATAAACTAATATTTGAAGTGAATATATGCTTTTTTAATTATTATTCTGATGTGGAAGCTTACCCAATCATGGATTATCTCAGATGAATATTTGCTTTGATTTATTGGGTGTTTAATTTGCGTGTTTGAGTCATCAGCGAGAAGGGAGTTCTTACGCTCCTTCCTTGCAGAATCATGTATTCCGATTTTTTCTTCATTTAAAAAATAAAATAAAACCATGATTGTGCTGTGTAATTTCGGATTTTATCAGCCAATGTCAACTGCTCCGTAGGGCTGTGATGGGATGAGGCTGATCATGTCTAGTGTGTTCATGCAGGTACGTTCAATACTACCAAGAAAATGAGAAGCTGTCTCACCGGTACTGAGAGATCTTGACCGGAGATCTGTTCTTCTTCCGGTAATGTGATGGTGATGGTGTCTGAGATGTTCTGTCTGGTCTGCCACTGAGCTGTTGGCCATGTTTCCGTTGAAAGAAAAAGCTTTTGACTCTACCCTTCATTGAACAGGGGATTGGTTTCTAGCATTTTCTCCTCCCATGACAATTAATAATGATCTCAGGGAACATCACTAAATTGGGTTTTCTTCTTAAATCCATGTTCGGTCATCATCCAAGAGGTTTTTCTCCTTTGGGGAAGAGTCAACCGAGTCGGTTTTCTTCTTCTTCTTCTTCTCTCTCTCTCTCTCTCTCTCTCTCTCTCTCTCTCTCTCTCTCTCTCTCTCTCTCTCTCTCTCTCTCTCTCCCCCTCTCTCTCCCTCTCTCTCTCGCTCTCTACGTTTCCCAGTCAAAATCTCATCTTCTCCTTGGGTTCTAAGCGCTGGCCGTAAATGGGTTCCAAAGGAGGGGAGAGGGGGTGGGGGCTTGGTAGAGGAACCGATATTTCAAAGATTGTGAGGTGTGTTTCGCATATTAATTAATAAATAAATTGGGGTTCAAGTGGGAGAGGGGGGGGGGGGGGGGGGGGGGTCTTGATGATTATGGGGTATTTAAAATTATTAGTAAAAAAAGAATAATAGAAATATGCATAAAATGGCGTCCAAAGAAGGCAAACAGAGAGTTTTCAAGTATTTTTGTGATATTTCCCTTTTTTTTCAATTCTATTAATCGAGTATATAGAAAGAAAACAGCATCCATTTGGAGAAGAGAGAGAGAGGGTTCTAAACTATTTATGATATTTAAATATTTTAATAAAAACGATGAGTATATTTCTCGTATTTTCCCTTAAATTCGTTCAAAAGAATAACGTATTCCCGATTTTTTATAATATTTTTTGGCCAAGAAGGCGAGCTGCTGGGCCCAGAATTTTAGGTGATTCTAGTAGCTGAAACAAAAACCTGATTTGAGCGAGTCCGGATCGGACCAATTTCGAGCCAGACTCGGCCCGACGGTCATCATTCCTTCCGAGTCAGACCAGGCCGAGCCCTTGAGACTCCCCTTTTTATTTACCCTACCGGAGGTTTTGCCTTGGCCTCGCCGCCGGGCACTCGCCCTAATACCCCCGCCACCGTCCTCTCTCTCTCTCTCTAGGCAGTTCTCCTCTTCCTGGAAAGCAGGGGGGGACAGGAGAGGAAAGCAGTCTGGGCGAGGGGTTTTCTGCGGCTGGGCTGTGATGGCGAACCGTACGGACCCGACGGCGAAGAGTATCCATGGGACAAACCCGCAGAATTTGGTGGAGAAGATCCTCCGCTCGAAGATTTACCAGCATACGTACTGGAAGGAGCAGTGCTTCGGGCTCACGGCGGAGACCCTCGTCGACAAGGCCATGGAGCTCGACCACCTCGGTGGCACCTACGGCGGCAACCGGAAGCCAACCCCGTTTATGTGTCTAGTCTTGAAGATGCTCCAGATCCAGCCCGAGAAGGACATCGTCGTCGAGTTTATCAAGAACGAGGACTACAAGTAAGCCCCTGCTTGTGTGGCCTGAATCGAGTTTGTTCTTCATCAGCGTATCTCATTGTTTTTGCTCTCTGTTTCTCCCTCTTGTTCTGTGTAGATACGTCCGTATCCTCGGTGCGTTCTACCTGCGCCTGACAGGGACGGTGACGGACGTGTACCAATACCTCGAACCTCTTTACAATGACTACCGTAAGCTGAGGCGCAAATTGACGGACGGGCGTAAGCCTCTGCCTTCTCAGCTCATCTAATTTTTTGTCTACCTCGCTCAGTGCTGCTTTAATCTCTTCATCTTTCAGAGTTTGCGTTGACTCATGTGGACGAAGTAATCGACGAGCTTCTGACCAAGGATTATTCCTGTGACATTGCCCTTCCACGCGTCCAGAAAAGGTGGATTCCACCGGAACTTCCTGCTTGGTTTTTGGCAATTTTCCTTTGTATCCAGTATTTTTGCCTCTCGTACTTTTTGTCGCAAGAATAAGAGTTGCCATTAACAAGGGTGGATCATAAAGGAGAAGGTTACTGTGCATTTCTCCGCAAACCATAACCGCGAACACTAAGTTTTTTTAGGATGCACTGGCTTGAGAGTTTCTCAGGTATTTCATTCATGCCTAGAAATTAGATACCCATGTATATGAGAAATACAGTTACATTAACGTAGTTAAAGTCTTTATGATAAATATCTACCATATTTTCCCATATGATTATTATCATATAATAAGATCTGCAGACATCCTTGCTTAATAGAGTCCGAAAATTCGTCATCTCATTTGGTGATTAACGTTGTGGCCAGTGAATAGTTTGTTACATGTCTTACATGGGCTCCGATTAATGTCATGTCCGATAATCTCTGTGTGATATTCTGCACTGTGGTCTCGTGGCTGTATTTTGAGGACTTATCTTTTGCCATCAGCTCTCTTTGTTTCACCTTTTATCTCATGGTTGCTCTACTTTTTGGTTGTCTCTTCAGATGAACTTTTTTCTTGTTGATCTGAAACTTAAAAATGGGTATCTTCTTGTGGACAGACTGACTCTCGAAGCCACTGGCATTTTAGATCCTAGAAGAAGTGCTTTGGAAGATGACTTCGAAGAGGAAGAAGAAAAAGAAGAGGATGAGCCCCCTTCTTTGGAACCTGAGAAGGTTTTCCCTCTACTCAATAGATATTATCTAAGCCGTCCTGTTACCCTGCAACGATTGCTTGCTGATGTAACCGGCTTACTTGTTATCGATAGGATTACCACCGTGGACGGAGTCCTGCAAGGGATAGAGACAGGGACAGAGACAGGGACAGAGATAGAGACAGGGACAGGGATAGAGAAAGAGACAGAGATAGAAAGCGTGACAGTTATAAGCAATACAGGTATGATGTTTCTCTCGTACCAAGATTACATATTATGCTGTATCTTTGGAATATCCTGCCTTCTACAGTGCTTTTTTGTTTTTTTTTTGAAATTGCTTTTTGTCGGTCCCTTTATGCATATCCTCAATAGGTTTTATAATCTACTTTGAATGGCGATGTTAGTTGTGGCATCATCTTACTCAGTCACATTAGTTCTATGAACAATAACTTATTCTTTTATTTTTGGGTCTCTTCAGTATTATTTTAGGCTCTTCTCATGAAGGATTTCTCGTTACATTATATCTACAGTGGCATCATAGAATTTTTATACATCAAGTGAAAGGCGGATGAATTTTTTTGTATTTTGGATTTCGCATTCCTTGGAAACTTGCGATCATTTCTTGTCGTATCTCCTTGAAAAGGTATCACTCGTACCATTGTTTCTTGCATTGACAATTGTAAAGAAAGTTCGTGTATGCCTTGATTCATTTTCCTTCAAACTGAGTTAAAATTGACACATTATTTGTTAATTTTGAAAAAAAAAAAATAACAGTATTTTACCCAAATAGTAAGAAAATCGGGATTCAAACCTCAGCCAATTTTTCCTGTAGTGCGAATTGCGGAATGAGAAACTTCTGTTGGGATGGGATACATACAACCTTCACTCCATGATAGCTTTTATGGCTGTAGTTCAATAATTTACCGATAAATGCTTGCTACAGTTGTTGTAGATGTCCTGGTTTTTCTGTGCTGATCGTTAAAGCGAGAACTATGATGGGCGACTCGATTATTTCCGTTTGGCACTAGATTTTTTAAGGTGAACGATATCAGCACTCTGATGGCTTCACCATGGGAGATGTAAAAAACACGTTCCTTTCATTATAGCATTGTGCTTTTGGGTTCCATATGGATGTCTAGTTTATAAATGCATCTTAGTCATTCCATTAATGAAGGAAGAACTACCGGATTGGAAGCTTACGTCAAGGTACACCTTGATTGCATCATTGATTTTACTGCTATGGCTTTATTATCTCAAGTGCCTATGCTAGAAATGAATGCTTCCTATAATAACTCCAGATGACCCTGCCAGGTTTCTCTGCACTGACAGTGTGCAGTGAGAAGTATGATGGGTCACACATTTCTACAGTACCTGAATAACGTGCAGTTTGCTATTGCTTTTAATAAAAACTTCTTCGTTTTATCCCGTTGGTACTTTGGTATCCATGTGCATATAAACTTCATAAGATCTTGTCAGCCGCAGTACTATTCATGACTTGACATTCATTTGTAGCTCGCCCTTTTAATCAATGATACCATACTCGGACCGTAACCCATGTTTTTTGAATCATTTATCTATGGTCAAGGAAAGCATAGGCCATCCATATGGGAACATCTTCTGAAAGTTCCTGTCTAATCATTTTCGTGAACGGCTTTCCAATCGATTTATTTCATCGTCACACTGTTTAATGCGCGTCTGTTCCACGGCATGAATGTGTTTGTGACCATTGTGGTGAACTAAAGATTACCTAACAGCATCAATATTTTTTACTGGATGCTTTACGAATTGTTTCGCGTTTGTAATTTTTGGAGCTATGAACAAAGATGCCGCACCTACTTGATACTAATGAATGGATATTGCAGAAAGAAAATGCTTCATTCATTTGTCTTGTGGCATGTGCTCACGTGTCTTGTATGTTCTTTAGTCTTTTGAGATCCTCATTTTCAATTTCTCCTCCTCACATATAGTTCCAAGTTGTACCTGTGTAATATGAATGAAGAGAGAGGAGAGGGACTGCAGACAGTAGATGGAGGCAGATGAAGAACAAGTGGGTAGGGAGAAAATAAACGCAGCAGGGTGAAAGGGAGCGGGGAGACAGATGGAAAGAGATGGAGGGGACAGACAGACTCGTATGAATGAGGTGGGATGAACCAGAAAGAGAGAGAGAGAGAGAGAGAGAGAGAGAGAGAGAGAGAGAGAGAGAAGATGAGGAATTCATTGTACGAGATGATCCCCATCCTTTAAAAACTAGAACCAAGACCCTTAGTTTATTCCAAAGCTGCTGTGGATATCATTTGCGAACTGCTTGATGCATTTCCTTTGACAATATTAGACCGTCGTTCGAGTGATATCTTATTAAGAAAGACTCTTGCTTTTCACAGGGACAGGGACAGAGACAGGGACAGAGACAGAGACAGAGACTACGATCGAGAGCGCACTCGGGGCCGTGACCGAGACCGGGATCGGGACCGGGAGAGGGACCGTCACCATCTGCGAGACGAGGACCACGGGCGCGATCGAGAACGAGATGGTAGAGATAGAGAGCGGGAAAGGGAGAGGAGAGAGAGGGATCGTGGAAGGCACAGGAGTCGCTCAAGGAGCAGGGAGCGGCGAGACCGCGACCGAGATGGAGGGGATCACCGCAAGAGGCACGCTCGCTCCACGAGCCCCCGCAGGCGCCAGGAGGAGACTCGCAGTGAGCCCAAGAAAAAGAAGGAAAAGAAAGAGAAGAAGAGCGACGGGACGGACCACCCGGACCCGGAGATTGCCGAGGCCAACAGACTCAGAGCTTCTCTTGGGTTGGCTCCGCTCAGGCTCTGAGCTCGAGTTCTTCTTCCGTGGCTTTTTGGCTCATAAGTTGGGGATGCATGTATTTCCGTGTTTAGTTTGGTGCATGGAGGAGCTTCTCCCAGAGAAACACAGGGCGAGCGCTTGTGGAGTGATTTTAACCTAACGGCTCAGACCCTGCCGGCATGTAATATTCTGGTGATTATTTCACAGAATGTTCATAGTGTGTATGTCTGTGTGTGTGTGTGTGAGTGAGAGAGAGAGAGAGAGAGTTGTGATTTCTTTGTTGGAATACAGAGTGCACAATCTGTGCGTCGACTATATGCCCGTTGACTTTGAAAAATTCCTTAGAACAGCAATTAGTTACCAATGCGGGCAAGATTTGGTGTAAATCAGGATGAGAAACTCGATGAATTGAAAAACAGATGACAACTTACTAGAAGACTGTCTGCTCTTCCTGAATATAAAGTCGATGGCGGTTTCCTGAATCAGGATGAGCAGCTTCCTTTCTACCTTCATTCTGAATACTGATCCTAGGACTGGTCTTTAAAAGATAGTAATGCGGTTTCCCACACCATCATGGGTCTCCCATCCAATCTGAAACCGGAAGAACTGACGCCAGTATCTCTATGACGAACCATAACCCATCTCGGCAATCAATCTGCATCTTTCTCAAAATAATTTGGCACGTGTTGATGAAAAATCCCTGAAAATCTTCAGGGTAAATTGGGCATAAGATAAACTAAAAGTCAACGCTACCCTTAAAAGCTCGGAATTCGGGCTGACGGGCTGATGGTTCCAGCATGTGGCAAAGCTGTATTGTGAATCTGACTATAAAAAAATGATAATAATAATGATAATAATAACACTAAAAAAAACGATCCCCACAAATCACCTCTACAAGCTACGAACATACAACTAACTACCTTTAAAAGGGAAACTGTCAAGGAGAAGGATAGAATGGTTACCTGAAGATCCTCACGTTTGTATAAAAAGAAGAGGCTCGATTTATGGTTTGCTATAGCTCAACAATTACTACACAGTGATCTCGAGCGACCAGCTGAAGGCATCAGCCTTCAAGCTGTCTGGATTGATGGCATCAGCCTGTTTAGGGTGTCTGGATTTAGGGTATACTTTTTAAGAACACCTCAGCCTATGGATAGATTTACCTTCAGTATATGATGCGATGCTAACAACTTGTTGATGTCCATAACATGGAAGGAAATTATTAGTAGGCCAAACAAAAAAAAAAAGAAAAAGAAAACCGAGTTCTTGTGAAGCGCAGATGCGACCTCATTTGGCCGGTCGTTGTTGCATCGATGAAGCTTCGCTTCAATGGGAAAGAAAAGGGGGTAGAGATAGGATAATGGCAGATACAAAAAAGGAGCAGACTGGTGCCCGTCCATGAGGAGATTCAAGATAGTCTCTTACACGGGGAAAGGGATAATAGACGCGGAAGCAAATTCTATGGGACTGTGCAGCGATTCCTACGAGGACACAGTTTCAGCTGAAAGTTTGGAATACCCTGGCGAAGGAAGTCAACGTCATTAGAAGCAAAAGAGGCAGTACCGGCACATTCTGGGGGAGACGTAGCTTCTATTCACTCAAAACAAAGAGATCCCAAGGGCCAGTTTTCAAAAGTTGCCTGCCGTTGTGACCTTGACGGCTTTGAATGAGGGGTGGAGGAGTCCGAGGCCGTCCTCGACCTCCAGTGGTCTGTCCGTCTCGTTTCGTATTCGCTTCACCCTCCGGCTGGCCAGAGACTTGTGGGTGAACCCGTATATCTGCAGGATCTGGTTGTCTCCGAAGTTGAAGGCTCGATCCATCTGCTTGAGGCAGCGCTCGACGGGGTAGTCCCCGAATTTGCCGCAGGGCTTGCAACCGACGAAGTGAGTAACCAGCGGCCAGCGATGGTCGCCGAGGCCTGGGTGGTAGTTCTCAATCATCTCCTCGTATCGGTCCACCAGAATGCCCCAGTAGCCGTGCAGATAGTAGGCGCTCTCCAGGTAGACCTTGTCTCCCCAACGATCCCTCTGGGTCACAAGCAGGTATACCATGGCCGACTGGTCGTCGGCTTCAAACGCCGGGCGGTCCTTGAGGAAGCTGGTCAGAACCTTGCCGGCCTCCTCGCGGACCTTGCCCTTGGGGCCCATCGGCGCCCACGCATCAAGGAGGTCGAGAGCCCACTGAGTGTTTCGGAGGAGGAAGCTTCCGGTGTTGAGGCCGATCCAGTTCTTCTGGTCGTAGATCATCTCGTTCCAACCGTGCATAACGAGGTTGTGGTCCTTGTAGCGCTCCCAGGGGACCTCGAAGGCCATGTCGGTGAACATGGCGTCGCTGTCCATCCACCAGAGGAACTCGACATCCGGATGAGACAGGAGAAGCTTTCTGATGAGGGGGAGCTTAGCCCAGAATCCGGCCATCTCCGCGTCGAGCAGGGCCATGTTGTAGAAAATGTCGATCGCGTGGAGGCGGCAGTAGTCGATCTTGTTCTTGGTGGACTTGAGGAGGAAGTGGTCTCCAACGGGGTTCTCGCAGGGCTTGGGGGAGGACCCCGTCACCAGCAGAACCCGGGGTTTCCCCGGCGCCAGAAAATTTGGCCGATGCGGATGCGCAGCAAGCCACCGCGTCCTCTGCTCGTCCCAGTCGGAGATCTTAGGCCCCAGAGAGTAGGGTACATTCGGATCGGACGCCTTATCGTCATCACCTTCGTCCTCTGCGACGGGCAATTTGGTGGCGGCGGCGGAGTCCTCCACCAGGGCGCGGTGCGGGAGAGATGACCGGTGCGACTGGAGGCGCTGCCGGATCTCATTGAAGTCCTGCTCCGGCGTGCCGAACTTGCCGGCGCCTAGGGTTCCCCGGAGGACAAGGACGGTGATGAAGAGACAGAAGAGGGTGATCTTCCCGTTGCGGAGAGCTCGCTGGATCTGCCGGACCCGCCGCACTCCCAAGCACCGCTCCACGATCTGCATTTCCTTCCTTCTCTCTCCTCTCTCCGGCCGCCTCCTCCTCCCACCGACACTCTCTCTCTCCCCCCCCGCACGAAGGAAGAAGAGAACACCTCGCTCGTGGCGGAAAAAGGGAATAAGAGAAGAACAGCTCGCCTGCCGGAGAAAGCGAGTGCCGGTCTCTCTCTCTCTCTCTCTCTCTCTCTCTCCCCTTCTGTTTTACCCCCTTCGCTGGCTTGATCATTTTCGCCCTCCTGTGTCATTTTTTAATTTATCAGAAAAACATCAATATTTAATTGTCGGCTTCCTTCAATTAATACGAAAAACCTACGCAAGACACGTGGCGATGTGCCACAAGACAAATCTTGTCGCCGACGGGAAAGTATTTTTCCTCTCCCGCTTGAATATTTATTTATTCGTACAAATTGGAGGGACGCGGTAAGGGCAACGCCGAATAGGATCATGACACGTTTGAAGAACGAAGAAAGTTAAATCATAGAAAAACCCGTGCTTGTGACGGATCCAGCACCAGGCCCAACAATATCGGCCCATTTCCCCCACACGAGCTTCAAAGCCCAGTAAGCAGCCCATCGAATGAGTAGAAAAGTCAAACTCCGGCCGCCGGGGGAAGCGCTCCGCTTGGCGGAGCTACCTCGTGCGCTGGCGGCTCGGGAGCTCGTGTAGGCGCACGCCGGTGCGCGCCTCTCGTCCCTGAGCGGCGAAGGTGGCGGCGCCGTCCCCGTCCACGATCTCCGCGAACATCCTCTGCAGATCCTCGAAGGTGTCCTCCTTCTGCAACAAGCAAGAAGGGCGTTCAGTTCTCGCGGCATCTGGAAGGCCGCCGCCGAGGGATCGGATCCACAGGTGAACGGCGGCGATACGTACCTCCGGCCGCACCTTGTCCATCATCGTCATCATCTCCTGCACAAAGTCGGAAAAACCCTGCGAGAATTTTGCAGCCCAACAACATCAGCCCAGATGATGGGAACATGATGGAGATCTATCAAGGACTTGAACGCAGTCTGCCCATTGCTAGTTCGACAAGGAGCAGGGACGAGAGAAAAAGCCAAGGTCGTCGAGCGCCGTCTCAACGACATGCACGTCACAGAGAGCAGGGCACTCTGCTGCACAAGATCTTGAGGAAAATAGAGCCAGTTTAAGACGGCAACCCATTGACCCGTCTAATCTTTTGTTGCCACTGATCGTATCTCATATTTTCCAAGTCTCCTGGTGTCGCCAGAACTATTTTTTACAATGATTTTCATGCACAATGTCTTGTATATCTCAGGAATGAAAATTTTCGTAACCATGTCGATCCGGAAGTTTTTTTGGAAAAAAAAAGCCCGAGCTGATGAAAGAAATGATTAGATCGATGCTTAGAAAATAAAACCACTGCAGATCATCCAAGACGATCGAATGCATCGAAAATCAGAGAGAGTAGAAAGGCGACAGGAGGAGACACCGACCTCTTCTTCTTCCTCGAAGGGATCGTAAAGACCAATGTCGTACAGGGACCGCTTCCCATTATCTGACAGCACTGCACCAGGGAACACAAACCAACGCACGGCTATTTCACTTCTCGTCAACCGACCAAGACCCCCCGAGGGAAGAGGAAGGACAAAGATCGACATACGTACCAGAGTACGCCTCCTGAATCCGCTGGAAACGCTGGTTGGCCTCTCCGGCCACCGACGGGTCCTTCGCCCACCTGTCTGGATGCCATTTCTGCGGCCGACCGAAACCAAAATTCAGAGACGAACGATCTACCGATCCCGAATCGCAGAAGGCAGAGAACAAACAGACGAGCCGCTCCTTACCCTGGCCAGCTTCATGTACGCAGACCGAATCTCCGAAGCAGAGGCGTTTCTGCGAACGCCAAGGATCGCGTAGTAGCAGGACCAGCCGGGTCCCTCCACCTCCGGATCCATTTTGAACCAGAGATGGAAGGAGAGATGGACAGGACGGGCTATAAATCACCGCATAGATTGAGCAAAGAAAAACACCGCCCCGACTCGTAGAATCAGAGGGCGGCGAGCAGTATCAGACCTCAGAGCGCCATGGGAACACAGACAAACGAGAGATCTGGAAACTACGGCCGTGGGGAAGGGAAGCAGAGGAAGGAGACGACGCCGGAGGCCCGCTTGCCGGAGTTGAACTCGATTTATAGCGGCGAGGGGGAGGTTCAAGGAAAGGTGGAGATTTCCTCAGCGGAAAACCCGCCGCGGAAAATATCTACCGCCGTTTCGGCGGGCCGATCACCCGAATCGAAGGTTCGAGACTTGAGAAGATAGCCGTCAGATATTTTCTGGCCATCTTCAATAACACCCCCGAAAATTTATTTTATTACATAATTGCCACACTCGCAGAAAGCGTCAATCGTTGATCGAGACGCCCGATGATTGATACCCGGCTACGACTGCAGCTCCACTTTTCCAGATTGGACGGTGCCGCAAGGGACAATGAGACCCGTATTTAAGATCTGGTATCCGTTCAGATCCAGTTGGCCGGTCTATCAACGGTCAGGATCTTATCTCGTAATCAGTGTCTGCCAGGGAGGGAGTCAGTTGGAACGTTTTATGGTGGATATTTTTAAGTAGATAATGCGACTTTACTATATAATTACTAATTAATAAACTCCGCGATGGATAAACGAATCGGGACCGTCCATCCCGTGTCTCAGGGTTCACCCGGAGCTGGAGAAAGTAAACCGATAATACATACTTTTAAGGTTATTCGGCAAATATGAGGATAAATAGTTTTTAAAAAACTGCGAGGAATTTACTGAGTAAATTGATCTCTAGGGTTTCTTTTCTACCGCCGGGCGCACATTCCACGTCTTTCGTTCGGCGCACAGTTTGCAGCTCTTCGCCTCTCCCTCTGCGATCTCTCGCGTGTCCTCCACTCTCTTGCCGAACGGCAGTGGTGCAGAGCCTCCCTGGGTTGTGCCCAGGCTCTGCTCGTCTCCTTTCCCTCTTCATACGTGCGGAAGGGAGTTCAGATTGAGCGGCTATGTCGCTCAGGCCAAGCGCGAGGACGGAGGTGCGCCGCAACCGCTACAAGGTTGCGGTTGATGCTGAAGAAGGACGGAGGAGGAGAGAAGACAACATGGTGGAGATCCGGAAGAGCAAGAGGGAGGAAAGCTTGCAGAAGAAGAGGAGAGAGGGTATGCAGGCTCAGGCCTTCCCTCCGCCCGTCCACGTCTCCGCCGTTGAGAAGAAGGTACCAAGAATCGCACCCACCTGGTTCGATCTCTCATATTTTTTTCTCGATTTAGACCCTTTTGGCGCTTTGATCTTTCTATTCTGCCTTCCGATCGAAGCATAGGGTTTTGAATATCAGCAACTTTACGATATCCCAGGATTTCTTGGCTGCTGAATACCTGTCGAGGGCTTTAGATTTGGCCTTCGAGGATTGTTTCTTATGGTATTTGCGTTTTAAATTATTAGCTGGAGAGCCTGCCCGCAATGGTAAATGGGGTTTATTCCGAAGACAACATTATGCAGCTCGACGCTACCACACAATTCCGGAAACTGCTATCTATAGGTACTGGAAATATCGTTTACTTGGCTTCTTTTTTATTATGGATTTTTGTGTGAAATCGCATGTGACACTGTTTACCGAAACCATTAATCAGAGAGAAGCCCCCCCATTGAAGAGGTGATCCAATCCGGTGTTGTTCCTCGTTTTGTTGAGTTCTTAAGGAGGGAAGATTTCCCTCAGCTCCAGGTATGAGCTCTTGCTCTTGATACGTTGTCGTCACGAAATCTACTCTTGCCTTATAGAGGCTTTGTTGATGATAAGAATTTTTTTCTATATTCAATAGTTTGAGGCGGCTTGGGCCCTCACGAACATTGCCTCTGGCACATCAGAGAACACCAAAGTTGTGATAGATCATGGAGCAGTGCCCATATTTGTTCAGCTTCTTAGTTCCCCCAGTGATGACGTCCGTGAGCAGGTACGTGTGGACTTATAATCCTATATTTGCTTATAGGGTTATCCTTTTATAGCCTTTCTTGCTATTAACAGGTCGTTCCTTTTGTTTATTTTTTATTAGGCCGTGTGGGCTTTGGGGAATGTTGCCGGGGACTCCCCAAAATGCAGAGATCTCGTTCTGGCCCATGGTGCCTTGATACCACTTCTCAGTCAACTTAATGAGCATTCAAAGCTTTCTATGCTCAGAAATGCTACATGGACATTATCTAACTTCTGTAGAGGCAAACCACAGCCTTCTTTTGAGCAGGTTTGCTTTCTTCGACATTTAACCAGGCTACGATTGGATTATTATCTTTTTAATATAAATTTTCTGTTTTGTTCGGCATTCATAACGTGCTTTGGTATTTCCCATGATTGGATAGACAAAACCTGCGCTTCCTGCACTTCAACGCCTAATTCATTCCAATGATGAGGAGGTTCTCACTGATGCATGCTGGGCTCTTTCATATCTGTCTGATGGAACTAATGACAAAATTCAGGCGGTAATCGAAGCTGGTGTCTGCCCACGTCTTGTTGAACTACTTCTGTATGTATCAAATTGTTTGGTGCCATCTTCCGCTTTTATTATTTCATTTCGTATATTGTACGGCAGTTGGTTATCTTCCAACCATAGTTGATTTTTTCTGTCTTCATCAGCCACCCTTCACCTTCAGTATTAATTCCTGCCCTCCGAACAGTTGGAAACATTGTTACCGGTGATGATCTGCAGACTCAGGTAGCACTTGCCTTTTGACATTGTTTTATATCGCTTGTCTACCCGAGTATCTATTATCGTACCCGCATACCCTTTCAAATGGTAGAAATCATTTTTTTAATGAGAAACTAAACGTCAGATGTGAAGATGCTCATGCGACCACTTTCAAACTTTTTTGTCATGCGATTTATTAAGCGATGATATTATCGTTTGTTTCATGAAACATTCATGCTTTCCAGAAATAATTCTCGAGAGGTATTCTTAAGTAAAGCATTCCAAATATTTCCTAGGTACAACATTTCCTATTTCCAGCAAAACAAATATCAATCATACACATCAGTTGGTAATCACTATCAGTACATAATTCTACAATATTTGGTCATCGAAGAAGCTAGTCTGCCTGGAAAATAGTTTTTATAAAAGCGCGACTTGTCTACGTTTGCATACCGTTGTTTGGCACCATGATCCATTATGTAGTAACGATTAAAGCGAGACGTACACTAAATGCCATTATGTCAAGAAAACATTAGGAAACGTCTATTATTCATCTCGTCTCTTTTATTGGTGTAAATGCCCGTCACTTTTGATGCTTGAAATAGCTGTCATTCTGAGTTCTTAGTAGTCTCCCACTCATGATGCTCTGCTTAATTTTTAACAAATCACCTTAATAGTAGCATATCTTTTCTCTCATGGTTAGTTGTTGAGCTGATAGTTTTATTTTTTCTGATGTTATGAATGCTTATTATCTCCCCCCCCCCCCCCCGGCACTCGTTCTCCCCCTCCCTCCCTCCCTCCCTCCCTCTCTCTCTCTCTCTCTCTCTCTTTATGTTTAACATTTTGAAATCTATTTTTAGTTCTTTTTTGGTTGAATTTGACAGTACTTCCCCTGCTTTCTCATGTTATAATTGAGTTTTATGTGTTCTGGTCACACAGTCTCTTTTTTTCTTAGTTGAAGAGCCAACATGCTTTTGTAAGAAGTTTTTTTTTTTTGTTAATTTTGTGCCTAAAGTAAGATTGTGATCACAGGTTTTTTCTTTGTCCGAGTTTTCCATGCATGCAGATAGCATAGTCAGTAGGAAAATGAGGCATAATTACTGCCATCAAGAACTTTATTCTGTCCAAGCATGCCGTGCCTTCTGAAATCTTAAACAGATGAATAGTGTTACCTTGTTTTATACATTTTATTTTGGAAGAATTTTTCGCTGTGTTTTTAAGAACTGGTCCTATCCTTGTTAACATCCATTTGATGTGATTTTATTTTTATTTTTCTTATTTGCTAGAATCATCTTGTAATTTTTTTCGTCTCTTGCAGTATATCATTGATCATCAAGCTCTCCCTTGTCTCCATAACCTTTTGACCCACAATCACAAGAAAAGCATTAAGAAAGAGGCTTGCTGGACGATTTCAAACATCACTGCCGGCAACAAGAGCCAGATACAGGTTTGTATACCAGACCACATTATGCCCAGACCTTGTTCTTTCCGCATGTCAGATACCATGAGAATATGATGTTTCTGTGCGCCTCTAATTGAATTTTTTTACGCTATGTGTGACACTCGAAAAGCGACGTTTAGAACTGGATTATAATTTCGTGCCAGCCGTTATGCCCTCAAGTGGAAAAATGCTTTCAGATTGGGGTTTTAGTCTGTCCTATTAATACCCTTGAATGTAGGGCGATCAGTACACCTATCCAAATGTTCTTATCAATTAGTTTTTTCTGCGTCTCCAAGAAAAAAAGTTATTTGCTAATTGAATGGCAATGCCAGTTTTTTCTTCGAGGACTGCAAACGTTTCATAACTCTTACCATCTATTCAATGTTCTTACATGCTTTTAATCACCGGGCTCTTGGTCTCAGGCTGTGATTGACGCCGAAATCATTGGTCCCATCGTCCATTTGCTTCAAACGGCGGAGTTTGACATCAAGAAGGAGACCGCCTGGGCGATCTCAAATGCCACCTCTGGTGGAACCCATGAGCAGATCAAGTATGAATGATACAATCTCTCTCTGCGATGTTCCTGCTCGCCCGGGCACGCCTGTTTCATCCTTTCCTCCCATGTATGTCCGCCTGGTAGGTTTCTGGTCAGCCAAGGCTGCATCAAGCCTCTCTGCGATCTTCTCGTCTGCCCCGATCCGAGGATAGTCACGGTCTGCCTGGAGGGCCTGGAGAACATACTTAAAGTTGGGGAAACTGACAAGAACTTGGGCGCGACGAATGGCATCAACGTCTATGCGCAGATGATCGAGGATGCCGAGGGGCTGGAGAAGATCGAGAATCTTCAGAGCCACGATAACACCGAGATCTACGAGAAGGCCGTGAAGATCCTCGAGACCTACTGGCTGGAGGATGAGGACGATGCGATGCCGACCAACGACGACGGCCAAGCAGGATTCCGCTTCGGCAACAGTAACCCCCCCGTTCCTTCCGGCGGCTTCAACTTCGGCTGAAGGTAGGCCCCGTTGACCCATCTCGCTTCAAAGCATAGTTTTCCTTTTTCAAGCATGGTTTTTCACTGCACACCTCTTCCCCGGGTTGACTTGTTGCCATGTCTGGTCATCTGCGAAGGGGGGAAGGACCCGACCCCGCGTGGGTTCGCCAGCCTTATTTGTGATTCAAGTGGGTTTTTGAGGGTGCAATAAATAGAATTTGGCCGCTGGATTATATAGTCTTTGAGGGTTCTTGTGAGGCTGGGAGCATCTTGTCACAGGTGAGATGGGGCTCGTCATAATCTCACCTCTGTATAGGAAAATGGAAAAGGCCTTCCCTTCCCCTTTTGTCCACCGGGGCGCCTCAGGACCTCTGGCGAGCTGTTTTACTTTTTTAAGGAGAAGTCAGCTTTGGTCATCGTGTTCTCTCTCTCTCTCTCCTTGTTCTTGGGGAGGGCTGCCATTCCCTCCTCTCCCCCCCCTCCCCTTTAATTTTGTGCTCATTCTTCTTCTCCGAGTGTTTGGTGGCGTATATTTGTTCATTTATTTGGTAATATCCATCTCGTCATAATGATCTCTGATAAGGAGCACTGAATCTACGGCTATTATTAAGTACTTTGGATCATCGATTTGCTGTATGTAGCTGCAACACTTCGCTCCCTCCTCTCTCTCTCTCTCTCTCTCTCTCTCTCTCTCTCTCTCTAGAGGAGCTTGCTGGGTTTTCATAGGTGCGCTTGGGCTACGATGTTTGTGCGTGAGTAAGACCCACGTGATAATACGCCTGCGTTGACCATCTGTCGGCTTCTTTTCTGGTCAGATTGTTGGCTGTCGGCTATTCGAAAATGTTAATTTAAGATATAGCCCTTGTCCACTGCCACTGTTACAGATTCGGCTTCGGGCCTCACTAATTTGTGTTCGAGTACAGCCTCAATTCCCCACCCTGGCGCTCGAATCCATAAAATACTCTTATATGATGGCATAAATGCAATTTTATGAAAAGCCTGGTGCGAGGACAAAGGTGTAAGCTCCTGTGGTGCGCAAGGCTAAAACTTAATTTGGGGTTATATTAAAAAAATAGTTCCTGTGGCATTATAGCCTTGCGCAAGTGTAAGTTCCTGTGGTGCATCAGATCTTCTCCTCGCACGTGCGATGCCATCTGCGGGTTGACGGCACGCACGGATCCAATGAGCGCCGTGGTCCCCACCCACGAGCCGATAAGTCAGATCGGCAATGGAGAGGGTGAGGAGGAGGCTCGTCTTCGAAGGCGTGGACTTTTAGATCTCCCTCTATCAGGACGAGCAGAGGCCATTGGTGGCGCCAGCAGAGAGAGAGAGAGAGCTTCCGAGATGAGGAGCATCCCCATGGACGGCGGCGAGGGGAACGTCACCAGCGAGGACGAGTCGGCGACGGGGAAGCCGCCAGCGTTCTGCTACTGGTGGTGGCGCTCGGTGGCGGAATTCGACTCCGCAGGCCGCGCCGACGGCCGCCTCTACCCCGCCACCGCGGCGGAGCTGACGGGGCTGAGCCCTCGTCAACGGGTTCTCAAGGAGATGGAGCGGCTGGCCCTGGTAGGCCACGACTCCCTCGACGATCTCCGCCACAAACTCCTCTCCTATCGGGCCGGCGATCTCTGGGTCCCCGCCGGCGGCGTCCCCAAGGAAGCCCTCGACGTCCCTCCGGTGGTCACGATCCTCCTCGTCGGCGCCGCCGGCTCCGGCAAGAGCTCGCTCGTCAACCTCATGTACTCCGTTCTCGGCCGCTCCGGGCTCATCCCCTTCGCCCGCACCTCCTCGGGTACTCTAATTCCTCCTCCTACTTCCACAATCTCTGAATCCTCCGTAATTTTCCGACTAAACTGATCTCCTCTCAGAGAAGAACGGGGGGACGAGCTGCTTGGAGGAGCACAACGTGCTGAGGTCCACGAGGAACGGCTTCTGCGTCTACGACTCGAAGGGGTTTGAGTACGACGAGGCAGCGGAAGGGATTGAGGAGATGGCCGGGTGGGTGGAGGACGGCGTCCGCCACCGCCAGCCCTGCGGCGGAGCCGCCGAGCTGGAGGCGCGCTTCCGCTTCGCCGGCCCGCCGGCGAGGTTCGCCAAGAGGAGGGTGAACTCCGTGATCGTGGTGGCGAACCTGGCGGAGATTTACAGGGCCCAGAAGGGCGGCGACACGAGGCCTCTCAATGCCACCAGGGCCCTCTTCCACTCCCCTTCTCTCCGTGCTGTGGCGGAGAACCCGATCCTCGCGCTGACCCACGGCGACATGCTAGCGGCGGAGGAGCGGATCGAGGCGCGACTGATGGTGTGCGAGATGCTCGGCGTGTCGGAGGCGACGGGAGCTTACGACATCGCATGCCTGAACGAGTACGGCCTCTTGGTAGACGAGTTCGACTCAGTGACGGCGTATTCACTGGCGGAGGCGGTGTACAGATCCCTCCTCGCCGCCGACCGGAGCCACCCTCCCAAGCGCAAGCTCACGGAGTGGCTCTTCCACGCCGTCGCCTGCTTCATGTGGTCTCTATCCGCCTTCTGCGCCTTCCTCTCCTTCTGCTTCTCCTCCCTCGCCAGGCGACAGCGCTGCAAGCTCAAGATAGTGTGACCCTCCTCCCTCTCTCTCTCTGCTTCTCTATCACTCTCTATCTGTCTAGCTATCTATGTGTTTGTGATTTAAGACGGGAAGGGGAATAAATGAGGGTGTTTTTCAGTGACAGAAGGGATGATTGGACTAGAGAGAGAGAGAGGAGAAAAAGAGGACCGTTTCCACGTAGGACTTTCACCATGTTCACAGGTGTCTTGTTGCCAGGGAGTTCATGGCCGTGGATCAGAGAGAAACAATCGACGAGACAACTGGTAGGCGACGGGGTTGGGAGAGTGGAAATGAGTAGCGGAGCTCGCCGGAGACGGCGGTGGGGGGGGCAGTCTGTGGAGGTGCACCGCCGGTGGGTGCTGAGGCGATGGCGGCGCCGGCGAAGGTCCACCCGCGGCTTTACGGAGAATCTCCGGTGAGGAATGGCGCAGTCGCCGTCGGAAAGGGAGCCCGCCGTCGTCCTCCTCCTCTTCTGGGCTCCGGCGGATCCATCAACTCCGCCGTCGCTGATGAAGATTTCTTGAAGAAGACGGGAAGCTCCACTGTCGTAAACGCGCCCTCTCTTTGTTCTTTACAAAACTCTACTAAAAGGTGGCCGAAGCCCTCTCATCCCACGAAAAAACATTATTAAATATTGAACATTATATGAAAAATATGTGGAAAAATAGGAGCATCGACTGGCCAGACGAAAGCCCCAACTTTGACTTGCCAGCTAGGTTACGGTTCCCTGATCGGGCGCTGCCAGTCAATACACCCTTCATAATGTTGGTAATTAAACCCTATGAGGTAGGACTTTGACCACGCCAGCTGCCAGCCAATTTCTTTGCGATAGACGTCAACGCCGCATTCTCCATTCACCCGGATCATACACTTTAAGGTGGTGTTAGCCCATAAGAAATAAGAAAATCCCTCTAAACCTTGTGAGTGCGGCGATTATGAGGGGGATAAGAGCAAAAACGTGGTTTGGACCAGGAAACTAGACCCTTTGGAAGCTCCAACCCAACACGGCATAGATACTAAATTCGGTAATTTTTTCCATTTTCCGCTGGATTTTTTATGCCTATATTGAGAGAAAATGGGAAGTACCTATGTGCCGCCTCCTCCCTAGAAATGGTACATTAGAAACTAGAACAGGGGGGAAAATATTGGCGTTGACTTTGGTTTCATATTTTTTTACTTAATTTGGAATGGAAATGGTATACCTGTGTGAGGGTTTATTCATTTAACATATTTTTGGTTTTTTCGGGCGAAGAAAATTTTGGATTTGATGTTGACGGAGGAAATGGAGGCTGACTGATGTGGAAAATAGCGTTAAGCCTCTATGGAAAAATTACTATATTTGGCTCTTCCACGAGCCTGTACTTTATTTTTATCGAGATTTAAGCGAGATTTTACTGAACGTAGTCGGCTCCCCAGGACCAAAACTTTGAAGAATCCCGTCATCAGGAGGATGAGCTATCACCCACAACTCCACCTCACCGAACTAACCCAAAAGAAAGAAAAAAGTTTTGAAAAACGTCAAATCTGGTCCTCACTTATGTCAGCTGAAGGCCCACTTGCTCTCTATCTCTCTCTGCCTTCCCATCTCTCTCTCTCCACATCCATATCTCTCTCTCTCTCTCTCTCTCAGTCGGTCACTCTCCCTGTCCAACCTTCAGCTGCTTAATAAATGCCACGCGCTGCCAACCCTCATTAATCTCCGTCTTTCCGTGCTCTACTCCCCGCCTGCGTCCCTCCATCCGGCGATCATTTGTGGGCGTTCCCGGGGAGCTAAACTGTTCTGGTTCGTCCTGGAGGGGAGATGGAAGCCTACGGCGGCGGCGGCGGCGGCGGCGGCGGGTTGAAAGGGTACTGGCGGAGGAAGCAGTACAACCAGCTCTTCAGCGGTGGCGGGGGAGGAAACAGGTGGAGGGAGACCAGGCGGCGCCGCGTGGTGCTCGGCGGTGCCGCCGCCGGCGACCCCCGGGGGGCCACAAAGCCGCGGCCGAGGAGGTTCTGGAGGATAAGGGTTGCACCGAAGCTGCAGGTCCTCCGGCAGGCGATCTCTCCACGGCGGTTCCTGGCGAGGCTCAGAGACGCCTACGTTCGGATGATGTTGAGCTTCGCCAGCTCCGGCGGGCCTTTCAGCGGCGGAGGGCTCGCCTACTACGGCACCCACAACCCGGTGGCCGAGCTCTCCCGCCCCCCCCTCAAAGAGTACGACGACAAGATGATCCTCGAGATGTACAAGTCCCTCGTGGCTCAGAAGCACCTCGTCCCCGCCGCCGGCCGCCCTACCGATGACCCGCTGCGCTCTACGATCCTCCATCGTCCTCATTAAGCGGTCTGCTTCTCTCTCTTTCTCTCTCTCTCTCACTCAAGCTTCGTCACCCCCCCTTGTTCATGGCATTTGACGAGGAAACTGTCGTCCTCCTCAAACGACCCGACAATCTGTGGTTACTTTCAGACGATCTTCAATGAGTCTTGATTTACGGAACTCGCATAGAGTCCCCGTCCAATAATAGCATTATTTGCATTAACACCCGGGGTCAATGCGTTGGTTGGATCGTCTCTCTCTTCTCGCTTTACTCCTTGAGCGAGCGAGAGAGGAGAGAGAGAGAGAGAGAGAGCGAGGGATTAGGCGGTGGGAATGGGCCTGATTAGGGTGGCCCATTACCTCTGGAGGAATTAAACCCGGGCCCATCCCCTCCGAGTTGCTCTGCCCCTCTCTCATTCAATGCTCCCCGGCGCGGGGCCCTATTTATTAAATACATCTATTATTTTATAAAACAAGAAGAAAATGGAATCCCACTTAAATTATAAATACCCGTATTTACCTAAATACTTATTAATTTTATGAAAATCGCCCTCCGTATTTCTGGCACGTTTGCCAATAGAACCCAGGTGTGGGCTGACGGCGAACCCAGAGTACCGTGATTCTCGGGATCACAGGCCATTCTGGGCCTTTTGCACCCATTTGAGGGGCCCACGAATGGAGGGAGTCAATGCTGTCGGTTGTGGGCTTCGGCCCACGAACAGAACGGGAAGGACGATACTCGCCAGCGCCACGTGGAGGGCCACCAAATATCCGCTTTTCACGTGCGGAAAAACCGACGCACGTGGCGGCGATCCACTAGACCCACTCCCCGCCCACGACCGCCCGGATTTCCGATATTTTTTCAATGTTTCTACTTCATTATTGGGGTGGAATCGCAGGAAATTATAGTATTCGTCCTTTTTTATAAAAAAAATTCCTTCTGCATTCGCACGTGCGAGTATCGATTAGCGTGCCGTTTGAATTAATTATCCACATAATGCCGTGGGCGTTCATTTTTCTTTAATAAATGATTGGCCAGGCAGACCGGGAGCACGTGTGCTTTTGTTATATATGACGTCATGAGTATCTATATAGAATTCAGACGAGCGTTCTTCTTTGAGGCCCATTAATGCGGAACTCGTTTTGGGCCGAATGGGCTGGTTTCACCCAGAACAGGTTAAATAATGGGATACAAAAATACGTAAATAATGGAATAAAAACCCATATCATTGGTGGTTAAATTGCTTCGTAGTTTGGTGGAGAGTCGACCTTCGAAATGTGATAAGAACGGGAGGTGGGGTGGGTTGACCAGGATTCGACGTTGACGAACTACCGCCTTGGGAGGTTTGCGCCGCCTGGCGGCGGCGGTGGCAGCCCTAAAATGGGCGTGTATACGCCGTCGCGAAGGATTAACGGCGGCGAGAAAGTAGGGATGGATATGGGCTAAATGCGGCAGTCCAGACATTTAGGAAAACTCGGGGTATTTCGGACAATTATCTAATTTTGACTCGACAGCCGCCCGAGAAGGGGACGGAAACAAAGGAGGGGTTTTGGGCATTCAGCATTTATTCAGGGGGTTGTGTGCAAAAATAAAACTCCGTGAAGAGGGAAGAGGCGGAAATATAGCGGTGCAGTATAAAGATGCCGTGATTCCTTCGGAGAAGCCCCCGGGGTAAGGGGGGGGGGTGCCGGGGAGAAGGAAGCGGTGGGTAGAGAGAGAAGACGGGAATTAGACGAGGGAAGAAGAGAAGGGTGAAGAAAGGGAGGGGAGAGAGAAAGCGGAGGACGCCAACGCAGATTCACGGTCCCTCCTCCCCTTCCTGCTCCTCCCTCCGCTGCCTGTCTTTCTATCTTCCTCTTCCATCTCCGGCGGTTCTGAGGAATTGCACAGATATGAGCATCCATCGTTGGTGGTAGCATCAGACACGCATGGATTCGGGCACCCTTTTCCTCCGGCTACCTTTCTCGGTGGGCCGTCGCTTTGGTGGCAAGCGATCCGGAGAGGGTTTCTGATCGTCGGTGGCAACCTTCCGCGCCGGCTTTACCCGCAACCACCGCCACTGGCGATCCCGTCGTTCGCCTCTCCAGGCTGGCGGACCCAAAGGGATCGCTCGCCTTCCTGCTCCTCTCCGCCTTCTTCCGGTTTGCGAGCTTCTTCGACCCGAGAATCCGCAGGAAGGGCCTCCACCGGGGGAAGATGCTGTGGCTCATCAGGGTCTCCGGGTTCTTCACCGCCGCGCTCGTCACCGTCGTCCTCTCCCCTTCTCTCCAGTCCTTCCCGCCGGCGGAGGCCATCCGTTCCTCCAACTTCGAGAGCCACCTCCGCTTCCCCAGCGCCACCCCATCTCGCTTCTCCTTCAGGACCGCCCCGCCGATCCGCAATGCAGACAGATGCGACTCCCCCCTCGCCGCCGCCGCCGGCAGAGGAGGGGGATCGTCGGTGGAGGATCTCACCGTCTGCGACCCCTCCCTCGTCCACATCGCCATCACCCTCGATGTGGAGTACCTCCGCGGGTCCATCGCCGCCGTCCACTCGGTCCTCCAGCACGCCCTCTGCCCGGAGAGCGTCTTCTTCCACTTCCTGGTTTCGTCTACGACGAACCTCGAGGAGGTGGTCCGCTCTGCGTTTCCGCAGCTGCGATTCAAGGTGTACTTCTTCGACCCGGAGAGGGTGAGGGACCTCATCTCGAGCTCGGTGCGGCAGGCGCTGGAGCAGCCGCTGAACTACGCCCGCAACTACCTCGCGGAGATGCTTGAGCCCTGCGTGAAGCGGGTCATCTACCTCGACTCCGACCTGGTGGTGGTGGACGACATCGCCAAGCTGTGGCGGACCGAGCTCGGCTCACGAACGGTGGGCGCCCCCGAGTACTGCCACGCCAACTTCACCAAATACTTCACGGATCGCTTCTGGTCGGACCCTCGGTTGTCGCTCACCTTCGCCAGCCGGAAGCCCTGCTACTTCAACACGGGGGTTATGGTGATGGACCTGGAGCGGTGGCGGCGGGGGGGATACACGCGGAGGATCCAGCGGTGGATGGAGATCCAGAGGAACGACGGGCGAATCTACGAACTGGGTTCTCTACCGCCGTTCCTCCTGGTTTTCGCCGGGCACGTGGCCCCCATAGATCACCGATGGAACCAGCACGGGCTCGGCGGCGACAACGTGAAGGGTAGCTGTCGGGACCTCCACCCTGGCCCCGTCAGCCTCCTCCATTGGAGCGGCAGCGGGAAGCCATGGATAAGGCTCGACTCCAACCGTCCATGCCCGTTGGACGCCCTGTGGGCTCCCTACGACCTCCACGGCCGGGAACCCTAGAAGCAGGTTCACCCTCCGCCATTACCCACGAGTCCAAAATTTGATTTCCCCCCCACCCCCCTCTTCCCTCGCACTCTCAATCGCCTCGCCTTTTTATTCATCTCCGCTGCCCTTCCTGTGGTTAGGTTTTCACGGGCTGCATACTCCTCGCGGCGGTCTGTGATCTCTTTCTTCCACGGCTGCTGCCTCGGAAAATAAGCACAAGGATACAGCGATAGACGGGGAAGGAAGGCCACCATTCAAATTTGTTCATGTACGTAGCAGCTTTTTGATACCCAGACATTATGATTCCGCTCATCTTTTTCGGTATCTATACGATCTACACGCCTGCGCACCAGCTCCTTTCCCCCTGCGCGCCAGCTTTTCGGCAGTCTCTGATAAACCTGGGCGAATACAGCTAGATATGGCTGGCAGGGCGCCCCTCCTCTCCCATGTGGAAGACCTGATAATTCGGTCCTCGCCCGTAAAAATAATGGTGATTATAATCCTCGTGGGCTCCTCCGGGGAAAACCCCCAGTTTTCTCCCTTAACTTCAGCGTGGAAATCTGGTTAAATCTGGGTGGCTCCGGTGGCGTGGACGGGCGCGGCTCCCGTTGGGCGGCGGCGACGAGATCGTGACCTACCGGCCCGGAAACGGCGTCCCGCTGCCTCCTCCTCCTCCTCCATCTGCCGCTACTGGCCGGCCGGCTGGCTGGCCCTCCATTTTTTGTTCTCCTCTGTGGGAATAACACTGACAGGTCTGGGTTTAGTGCGAGCCACCGTGGTACGCCCCCGAGCCGTCCCCATCGCCGTCGTTCCGGCGACCGCGACCCTGCCACCTACCAGCTCTTCTTCCCCGTGGCCTCCGCGGCGCGTGGGCCACACAGATCATCTGGCTCCATGAATTCGACCCCTCTTGCCGGGCTGAGGAGCGCGCTAGAGAGAGAGAGAGACGGAAAGGGTGAGCCGACCACATCTCAATCATTCCCGTAGTCTAACAAACATTATGCTCATCCAACTACTGTGGCTTGCGCATTCCCCGAGTGAGATCTCAGAGCTCAGGAGACGTCCGTGCGAAAGCTAGAGAGAAAGAAATAGAGAGAGAGAGAGGGTAGATGGGTGATCGTTTTCGGTGACGAAAGGGCGAGCTTTCTTCTCTCACGAGCCCCCGGTAGAAGACGCCTGCTCTCTTCCCCGGCGGAGACTTATTCACAGGAGCGGGAGAGGGGGAGCAGTCAATTGAGTAATTTATACGATGGTTGGGACGTCGCTACCTCCAAGAGAAGGAGATGGAAAGATAGAGTGAGGGAGAGAGAGAGAGAGAGAGAGTGGAGAGAGTGGAGAGAGTCGGTGGACGGTAGAGATCGCGTAGGGATCGGAAGGGACGTCAGGTACAACAACCAGGGCCGAATTGCCTTAGCTCGTACAGTGACGAATCGTGCAAGTAGACTCCGGTGGAGCCCCCCCACGCATCCGGCTTTCCTAAAATCCCAGGGCAAACTCCCTGGGCGATGAGGGCATGAGGTCAATGCCACGGATGCCAACGCGGCGGGTTAAGGACCCGGTCAGACCGAGTCGACCTTGGTCTTTGACTTTTTCGTACGGTACCCATGGCGAGAGGTGACACGACTGATGCCCGAGATTACCTGTCGTGGGAGACCAGGCCCCACTGATCACATCTTTCATTAAACCTTGATTTTGAAACTAAAATTAATTTAAAAATGCTAGACTGGGTCGTCTCCTGATCACACTTTATAAAAATAATATCCCGTTTAGTATCCACATTAACGCCCGTTTTAATGGCATTTTTTAAGTAATAAATACTTTTAAATGGGATCGAGCCGCATGGCTGTTCGAGGGGGGTTGACGCGTGGGCGCACGTTACTCGCTGCCAAGACACGTACTAGTTGCATATCCTGTCGAATCGGATTCGAGCAGATCCATCGATCTAAGAAAAATGAGCAACTTAATTGTATTAATGTTCTTAGTATACTAAAGCTAGTGGGTTTTTTCAATCGTTTGGAGCGATGCTGATGAGATACTAGATTTGGGAGTTTTGGGCCCATTATCGTACAAATGATGGGCTTGTTTTGTGGGATAAGCCCAGGAGCCCAATAACTCCAACGGGAAACTTGGCTCGTCGTTATTGGCCACATCGAGGCGTCGCGGCACGGGACGACCGATTCCCCACCGTATTCACGAGATGACGAAATCCAACTCGGGCTTTGCCGGGTCAACTCGGACCCCCTGCGGGTCGGCTAAACCCGAGTTTAGATACAGATCGGGGGATGAGTTGAGATGTGAATTGACGGGGGAGAAATATCTGTTCCCAGAGAGGAAGACAAAGCCGACGGGGTCAGAGGAGATAGCCGGGTCAACTGGGGTCACGTGCCCACGTGACAGCGAGGGTTGGACTTTTTTTCTGGAAGGTTCCGGTGATCTAGCAACTTCGGAATGCTGATCAGGGCTGAATCATAGTTTTCCTGCAAATCAAAAGCACGTGTAATGATTAGTCGCTATAATCCCCCCCGATATGATTGGATGGACGAGATCGGGGGAAGGGTTAGAGTATAACGATTATTTTTTAAAAAATTAATCACGAAAAAAATTGAAACATAATTAGTCGTTAAATATAGGGTGGAAATTGCCGCCGTCGCCGCCAGCTGCCGGTGAAACAGACGAAAAGTTCGAGAGACCCACCCTCTCTCGCCGACGCTTCGAAAATTCAAACTCCATGGGGCCCACAAAGGCGGCGGCGGCGGCGCGGCGAGGAATCGCAGGCGTCGATCTCCCATCCCACGGTGTTCACCAATCTCTCTCTCTCTCTCTCTCTTCCTGTCTCCTTTCTTACCCGTCCGCGGCCGCTGGATTTTGTCTGAGAGGTCGGCGGAGCTTCCTCGGCCCCTCCTCCCGCGTTTGAATGACACAGTGGATCTGGGCGGGGAGCGGGGCCCACAGATAGACGCCCGTTGAGTCGTCTCGGAAGCCGCGTCCATCTTTATTATTGGTCTTTTGGTTCCTCTTCTCCGCTTGCAGACGGCATGCGGGGAAGACGCCGTCGTACCCCTCTCTCCCTCTTTCTCTCTCCTTAGGTCATCAGACCTCTTCTTCATCCCCTTCTCGTCACCGGCCCTGCTCTTGCTTGCACACACGCTGGCTGACCAAATCATCCCCGACGACCGGCTAGCTTCGCCTCCGGGAACTGCCTTCTAACCTGCGAATTAAAGAAAGGCGTCAGAAAAGGAAACTTAAGGTAGACGGCGGCCTTTCGTAAGCGCAAGCTGTCCATCCCCCTCTTTCCTCTCTCTTCAGACACGGTTTGTCACGCTCCTTCTCTTCATCCCCTGAACCTCTCTCCTCCCTGCTTCTGTAGTCGTCCCCTCCCCCCCATCTCCTTCCGGGTCCAGGAAGGAAAGATGGGTTCCCCTGCTCATCGGCTTCGCTGCTGCGCTTCCATCTTCGCTCCTCGGGCTCTGCCGGCGGCGCTTCTGCTGCTGCTTCTTTCGCTGCTCTCGTCTCGCCTCCCCGTGAGCCGAGCCCAGAATGCCTCCGAAGCCTGCAACGGCATCTTCCTCTCCTACGATCACAGCTCCCGGGCGGCGATCCGGCCCAGGAACGTCACCCCCCAGCCCTACTCCTTCAGGGCGACGGCCACCATCAGCAACTTCGACTCCGTCCCCCTCAAGTCCTGGGCCTTCCACGTCGGCCTCCCCAACGGCACCATCCTCGTCTCCCTGTCCAACTCCGTCCTCACCGACGGGTCCCCCCTCCCCGCCGTCGTCGGCCCGGATGGGGCCTCCTTATCCGGGAACCCCGCCACCGATCTCAAGACCGCCATCGAGACCGCCGGCGACCTGACCCAGATGCAGGTCATCATCGCCATCGTTGGCACGCAGTTTGGCGCTGAGTACATGCCGCGAAGCCTCTCCCTGGGGAGCAGGAAGGACTACATCTGCCCGGCGGCGACAAGCCCCCCCGGCGCCAACACCTCGTTCACCTGCTGCGTGCGCGACCCGAACTTCAGGTCCAACGACTCGTCGCCGCTGGACACGGAGTTCCTCCCCAGGAGCGAAGGCGACATCACCATCTCCTACGACGTGACCCAGTCCCACTCCTCCAATTATCTCGCCCTCGTCACCATCGCCAACGGGAGCCCCCTGGGGCGGCTCGACAACTGGCGGCTCACCTGGCAGTGGATGCGTGGGGAGTTCATCAGCACCACGAGGGGCGCCTACACTTCCACCGTCGGCTCATCGGAGTGCGTCTTCGGCCCGCAGGGGCAGTTCTACCAGGACCTGGACTTCTCCAAGGTGGTCAACTGCGAGAGGTCGCCCACCATCCTCGACCTGCCGCTGTCCAGGGCCAACGACACCGACGTGGGGAGGATCCCCTTCTGCTGCCGCAACGGGACCATCCTGCCGGCGAGCATGGACTCCGGCAGGTCGGCAGCGTCCGCTTTCCAGCTCCAGGTCTACAAGATGCCCCCCGACCTGAACCGGACCGAGTTCTTCCCCCCGCAGAACTGGAGGATCACCGGCGCGCCGGGGGCGCTTAACCCGAGCTACGAGTGCAGCCCCCCGGTCCGCGTCAGCCCAGCCCAGTTCCCCGATTCCAGCGGCCTCCAGTCCTCCACCTCCGCCATAGCCAGTTGGCAGGTGGTCTGCAACATCACCCGGCCCAGGGGATCGAACCCGCGTTGCTGCGTCTCCTTCTCCGCCTTCTACAACGAGTCCGCCGTGCCCTGCAAGACCTGCGCCTGCGGGTGCCCTTCCTCCTCCTCGTCGGCTGCCTGCAGTGCCACCTCGCCGGCGCTGCTGCTTCCCTCCGAAGCGCTCCTCGTGCCCTTCGAGAACAGGACGACTATGGCCAGGGCGTGGGCAGAGCTCAAGCACTTCAGCGTTCCCAACCCCATCCCCTGCGGGGACTTCTGCGGGGTCAGCATCAACTGGCACATCTCCACGGACTACCGCAATGGGTGGAGCGCGAGGATGACGCTGTTCAACTGGGAGGACGCCAGCTTGCCAGACTGGTTCGCGGCCGTCCGGTTGAACGAGGCGGCGTACCCCGGCTACGAGGCGATGTACTCCTTCAACGGCACCGCCGTGGGGAACAACACCATCTTCATTGAGGGGCTCCCCGGGCTGAACTATCTGATGGGGGAGACGGCGGGGGAGAACTCGGAGAAGGACCCCAGGGTGCCGGGGAAGCAGCAGTCGGTGATCTCCTTCACGAAGAAGGCGACCCCCGAGTTCGACATGCTCAAGGGCCACGGCTTCCCCACGAAGGTGATCTTCAACGGGGAAGAGTGCTCTCTCCCGGACTTCTTCCCCGCCAACTGGGGACACAGGACCGCCATGGTCGACAGAGTCTGGAGCTTGGTCATTCTCCTGGCCGTGACGTTAAAAATATTGCTGGATCAATAGGGGTACGAAGGTTCTCCGGCCAACCGACCATCGCCGCCGCCGCAGCGGCGGAGGATGATTCTTTAATTTTTTCTTCAGTGATGCGTGGAGACTGTCTGCTGGTTTTGGGTAATGGGCTTTAGAGAACGGACCTGGTCATGAGGCGGATGATCGAAGCCGTGTTGTGCAGATCCCCAATCTGTCAGCTTTCGGTGAGGGAAGATCTGTAATGATGAGAAAGGTATTGTCACATTTGTAAAATGATCTGATTTCTTATCAACAGTATCCACCATGTTTTTTCGACGATGGTCAACAGGAACCCTCTGTCTTTTCTCGATTCCTCTGGGATTCCTCTGGGCGGCCACCTGTAGCATGAGCCTGTGCCCTTGGATTCATCCACTCAGAACGAGAAAGGCAGACCCGTGGATTTTCTGGGAAGCTTGGGTCCAAATATGTCTATGATCCTGGTCAATGAACCAGTAAGAACGAGAACAGTGCCCGTTGACTCAGACTCCAAAAACAATGCAGATTAACTCATCTCTTGGGTGAACCTCGATTTTAACCTGAATTGCATAATAAAAAAAATGGAGGGTGAATTGAGTTTTTGAACAGGATGAGCTACTGATCTTGGGACCCATTCCTCCCTGTCTAACACCCAGAATAAGAGGGACGCTCATACTGGATAGACCAGTGAATTCACTTCAAGGCGGCTTGCTGTTGCATCTGGGGGAGGACGAAAGGTTACTGTCAACAGGGATCTGTACAATCACCATGGATATCTTGATACGGTAGTTTGAAAACTACAGAATGGAAGGGATGGATAATTATTATGATGCAGATGGATAATTACTATCGACAGTGTGGTTCTGAAACTGCTGATAGGAATGAATGACTTCCGTAGTGCAGAAGATGATTATTACTGTAGAACCATTTGCCAGGATTTCTCACCACTTGAGTTTTTCATCTGCTCTAGATGAGATCGAGAGTTTAAAGCTTCAAAACTGGTATGAACGAAAAATTAGTCAGGAATTTCTGTCCGGCAGTTGCCATCTCGAAGCTCGTGCTAGTATCGGTTCCTTATGCCATCCGGCGTGTGATGGTCATGTAGATGGGATTCAATCTCCACAAAAATCTGACGCCTCCTATCCCCGATCTAGTGCTGCTTCTAGTGGTGATTCCTGGGACAACCCCTAAAATTCAATGGCCTTAATCTCATCTGGAAATCAGATCCCCTAAGATTCAATTCAAACCAATGAGTAAATTCAAATTCAATTCAGCGAGTAAATTCAAATCAACGTGCGCTTCTCCTCTCTGCTTTGACTTCCCTCGGGAGGGTAAAAGGAAGATGCCGAGCAGATCGGCCTTGCCTTCCTACCCGTCCTTCGGAAAATCAGTGAACAAAGATCGCCACCAATCCGATAAGTAATCTGATCGAAGATCTGGAAAATACTGCTCGAGGGAGGCATACGTGGGACGGTCAACGTCGGACGAATCGCCGGAGCTTTCTCCGCCACCATCGGGACTCCCTCGTCTGTCCCCAGCCGGGCACTGCCGGTGCCGCTGGCGGGAAAGGCCCCGATATAAACCGCGTCAAGGTGAGATTTAACATTTATTAATATATAGGAAATCTTTAAAAAAATAGCTTAAAAAATTTACATTACCAACGGGTCCGGACACGAGACTGGTTGATAGTTCAAAATTTTCAAAATAAATTATAATAATATGTTTTATGATATAATTTTCATCTATGGTGAGGTGAAAAAACGCATTTTTTAATATCCATCGATATATTAATTAAAATGACGTCATAAACCTGATTCCCTTCTAGGGACAAAATCGATTATTTCGTGAAATGGCTCATCGTTGAACGATAAAATGGGGAATAATCGTACGATATGAACTGATTATGTCAAAAAACTGGATCGGATTCTCGTCTGGGTAACGATGAACTGCGCTAATAATTCTCACCATTAAACGAAAAGAAGATCGAATCATGGGGATGATCAGGGTTTCTCTGTGTTCGTAGATTACTGAAGCATGGCGCATTTTTGTCACAGAGTCTGAAATTCCTGGCTCAACTACGATCTAAGGGCCTAAATCTGAGCATTTTCCCGACTACCAGTTAGGGTTTTCTGGTAATTAAAGGGTTCCATCGAGGGTTGCCCCGGCCGCGGCGAGATCGGCAGTGAGTGAACGCAGTTGAGCTGGTAGAGATCCATTCCGTGAAGCAACGTCCAACTCGCCCATGGCTAGCCGCAGCTTGAGGAGGAGGACATCGGGGGGATCCCTTCCCTCTTCTTCCTCATCACCCATGCGCTAGGGTCAGAAGAGGAAGAAGAAGACTAGGGCGGCCACCTGGCGCAGAGGGGGTTCTGAGATGAGCATCTGACGGTTCTCTGCTGCACTCGTCGAGCTTCGGTGCTATCTCGGGAGTGGGACAAACGTGGGAGGTGGGCTACAGAGACGAGGGCCTCGGTGATCCGTTAAACACGGGAAGACCAGCTCCGCGCTCGTGCGCTCACAGGAAGCCCCGCCGTTAAGGACCGGTCTCCCGATTCCCCTCCGCCACTTCCTCCCCGCCTTCTGCGATCGGACCCCTCTCAGATAACAGCGACAGCCTGTTCCGAGTTGATCTTGCTCGTGGAATCGCGAGTGTGATGATTCTCCTTGGCGGCGCCCTCCATTAGCAATGTACGTAAGCCTCGACTTCCCCTCGGGGGTCTCCGATTTCCTTGTTTGCCTCCATTTCTGCTTCGTTTTCGTCCCTCGGGGCGACAAGATCATTCCCGAAGGCTTGGAGAATCCCCGCCATTGTAACTAAGATGGGCGACTAAAGAATTCTTTCTATGCTTTGAGCGGAATTTCGTCGAACAGTTGGGCGGCATAAGTGATCGCAACTCGGATCACATCGACGATTCCCTGTACTCGCCCACTGATCCTTCAGGTAGAAGTTTTCTATCAGCGATACGCGCGCGCATAGTAAAACCAATTGAGGCCGGGCTCGCCCTTGGCTCAGACTTGTCCGGTCTCAGTGAATTCGTATGTTCTTCTTTGCCTGGCGCAATGGAGACGCCCATTGATGCACTGTATGGTGACAAGTATGGTCCCCATATCTCCTTCAGTTGGTAGTCTATCATCTCCGATGGGATGCATTTCCTTGAGATATGAGGGCATTGTGCCCACATTATTGATTATGCGACATCTCCGAGACAAACGTGATCTGGGTTCTAATAATTCCAAAAATAATCCATGATTTTTATCTAGACATGTTATTAGATCCGTGATAGATTACATATCTGAGCGACAATCAGAATGCTTGGATGGGTTTTGATTCAGTGTTCGATCTTGACAGCATTGGTCGCCGCCAAACCTTGTGATGATTTTCTAGGCACATTTCAAGTCGCCATTATGCGAAGGTTGTTCTCAGAAAAACTTTTGTGCTGTGGCCAGTGGATTGGATGATCTGCCTAAAACAGTCACAGGGGATAAGATCTTTTTGAATACAGATGTGGGTCAAAATGGCTAGTTTCTCTTCCTAATATTCAATAATTAATGTTCTCTGAACACTGTTCTTGAAAGAAAGCATGATGGTGAATTTTCTGATTTCCGTCATAAATACTTGGTCTGCAGTTGGAATCTTTGATTCATAAAAAATATCATTTCTATGGTCTGTTTTTTTGCCTGGAGGAATGGACCAATTTCTTCAGGAACTATAACTTAGTTTAAATGGAAGTTTCATCTAACTGCACAATTTATTGATGATGTCCACTTGGTTTATTATAATTTATTGAGGTGGTCCAGGTAAGTGCGTGCTTGATCCTAACTGCTCTATTGTATTATTTCATCTCTCATGCTTGCTATTCATCACATATTTGTGTAGTTGAGATTCCCGTCACCCACCAAGCATCAATGGAGTTCTTACCTTCGGAGTGTTTTTTTTTTTTTTGATTGTGCGAGCTCAATGTTATATGCCATCTCATTCGTTTTCATTATGTCTATTAATTGCATTCTAGTGGTTTTTTGTTTAATTGTATGGCTTCTCTGGTTTGCATTTGGTGAATCTCGACTACACAAATATGTGATGAAGAGCAAGCATGAGAGATTAAACAATACAATATAGCAGTTAGAACAAAGCATCAATGGAGTTCTTACCTTCGGAGAGTGTTTTTTTTTTTTTTTTTTTTTTTGATTGTGCGAGTTCAATATTATATGCCGTACAACTCATTCTGGCTATTAATTGCATTCTAGTGGTTTTTTGTTTAATTGTTTGGCTTCTCTGGGTTGCATTCATTTCCTAATCATCGGTTATTGCATGAAGATATCAGCAGGACTGAGACAGGAACTTCTATTGATGACAATATGATGCCGGCATCTGATAGCTTGCCAACAGCCTTGTGGCACAGGGACATCTTCTCCGTATAATGAGACCATACATAATAGATGTGGAACATCGATTTGGTGTCATAAAATGTCCCTAGCTGGAATTTGGTCTGCGAACTTCCATCAATTGAGAAACAGTTTTGGAAGTTGCTGCGGTCACAAGCTCTTCAGATTCCAAACAATTGTGGTGTCCGAGAAATCATTTGGCAGTAGGAGAGGTAGATGGCAACCTATGAACACAAAGGTAGGAGGAAGAAAGCAGAACCCAGATGCCGGCAAGCCCTGTGATATTGATCTCAAGCATTTGGATGCATCTGTTGGATCGTCGACAGTAAGTATCAAGGAATCAGGATATGAATTTCAGAATGTTCAGTACTACAACATCCAGCGAAGGATTATTGATGGTAAAGTAACTGAGTGGCCTGCAGTAGTGCTGGTTTTCGACATTGAGACCACAGGGTTTAGTCGTAAAAGTGAGAGAATTATTGAGATCGCCATAAGGGATCTCCTCGGAGGAAGGAACAGTACTTTTCAGACCCTAGTCAACCCTGAAAAAGTCGTACTGAATTCAAATATCCATGGAATTACCTCACGGATGGTCAGCAGACCCGATGTACCAAGGTATCCGTTTCCCAACACCTAAAATCGTTTTTTTTTTAATTTTATATCATTAATCGCACCATGTAATGCACCTATGCTTTTCTTTCATCTGATTTCTGGGCTTGAATGCTTATTAAAAATTTGCAAAAACCGATGGGCTTTCCCAAAGTCAACTCTAGAGGTTTTCGTCACCCACATAGAGGAAAAAAAATAAAAATCAAGCAACTATTCCTTCTGAGTGGTGAATGCAATTACTATCTCTCTTTCTGTTTAGCTTGGTGTGACTACACATTGATAGATTGTAGACAGCAAACTAGCTCAACGGCGTGCAAAGATATTCTCTTACCAGGTATCTCATAGTTCAGGAAATTCTTAGCAGTATGAAGCCGGAAATCTCAGAGCTGTGTGGATGTTGAAATGTGAACTGCCCTCCTTCAGAAGAACATACTTCACTGCCTATATGTGATCGTGAAGGGAGAAGGAAAAAAGAAAGACTCGGAATTTTTTTTTCTATATTCATGATGATCAATTTAATCATAAAAAAATGTAAAATATAGTCCAGATCGGATGATCTTGATTGCCTTTTGCCGTTTTCTCCCCTTAATTTGCCTTCTTGAAATGCCTGTTGCGGGGACTTAAATGTTCTTTGGGCTCCTCTGGTAAATATTAGTTGGATTCCTTGCCAAAAAAACCGCGGTATAACGATGGATGATAGAAACAGAAATGCGGTCTAAATGAGCGTGCTAAAGTTAGGGCGTTAGTGTGAGATGTGTGCGAGTTGCCAGGTTGAGCAAAGCAAATTAGAGGCAAGCTAATAGGATTGGTGAGGGTAAGTCTACGACTAAAAATATGTTTGGAACATGCAGGGAGTTGAACTGGTAAATACCAAGAAACTAGTAGATAACTAGACCATACCCCAGTAAATAATTCGATTATCTATGAGATAACTAGAATAATAAATACATTCTTACAAACCTGAAGAAGCTCCTTCTGATTAGCCTATGTGATCGACTCATGCTGGTCAGTCAATGCTATCATTCTTAGACAAACAGACGGAATGTAACCATGTGAACCATACTTACCATGAACTGCAGCTGTGGAGCTCTGTGGGCTAAACGATTTGCCTAAGCATACGCAGATTTCAGTTTCTTAGATATTTAATGTAGTATTGTATTCTCATGCCATTTTTTTTCATTTTGGAATGTAAATGCAATTTATCTATGAGGGTCATTTAGATCACTTGTCACCTTCCAGATTTTGGATCGGTAGAAGGATTCGGTGCAGGATTGAAAAAATTAGGATGAAGATACCCTTCTCTCCAGTGAAGAAAGTAGGATTGAAGCATTGAATCATATGTACGTGGACTGGTATTGGAAGTGCGCGTAGGTTGGACTGTAGGGCATTCCATCTGTTGGTATGCTCCAGTGGCGATCTTCATGCCTTCCCAGCTCCTCGCGACTGATGGCAGCTTCTTTTACCTACTGGAAGGATGTTTCGGACTGATTTCAGCTTATTGATGAAACCGTGAAGCAGACGGCTAAAATTTTGTCAAACTGAGCATTGACTTACCTCAGAGGAGATTGCAGGGGGCGGAGAGCGGACGGGCCAGTGGGCAGGGGTTGACTCTCTTCTCTGGTTTAATCGTAGGCAGAGATTGAAGAAATAATATAGACGAGTGGATGGAGGAAGGATAGATATCAGTATATCTATTCGATGGGACGGGGACGGGGACCTTCGTACAACTCAATTGCTTGTTCGTGTTTCTCTTGGCATCCCGGAAGCCCGCGATCTGATCTCTTGAATTCTAACATCGTCCCATATTCGTCCTTCACGGGGCATGGCCATCTGAAATCGCTGCTTATTCCGCAGGATGGGAGACCTCATCCCCCTGTTGATCCAATATGTGCGGAGCCGTCAAATCTCCGGGAAGCCCGTCCTCTGGGTCGCTCACAATGGCCGCCGCTTCGACGTGCCCTTCATCATCAGCGAGTTCCAGCGATGCTCCGTGGATGTTCCTCCGGACTGGCTCTTCGTCGACACCCTCCCTCTCGCCCGCCAGCTTGTGAAGCCCGACGGTCCGCCTCCCCGTCGTCTCGCCCTGATCTGATACGCCTCCTCCCTTCCGTTTTTTTCTCCTCACGGCCTCCTCCCTTCCCCGCCTTCCTCGCAGGATCGAAGCTCCCGTCCTTCTCCCTGAACGCGCTGAGGGAACACTACGAGATCCCGCTGGAAGGCCGCGCCCACAGGGCGATGCAGGACGTCATGACCCTGTCGCTGGTGCTGCAGAGGATGTCGTTCGAGCTGAAGATCTCGGTCTCGGAGCTCATGCGGGAGGCCTTCCGGGCCTCCGACGTCGCCGTGGCCAAGGGGATTCCGCCGCCGCCGCCCTCCGTCTAACTCCGGCGTCATTTCCGGCGACTCATTTCAGATCATCACTGACTGCTATTTCTCGGGTAATCATCTGTTAGAACTTCTCTATTCTTTTCGGGGCGTTTCCACAGAGACGAGCCACTCCTGAATGAATTCTTTTTAGCGGGAAATGTTGGGGTAATTCCTGGAAGAAGAGGTGTTTGGTTTGGGTGAAAGAGGAGGAAAACCAAATGTTGTGGTGGGATCCTTTGTGTGGGAAACCAAATCCCCGATCCAAAGGGGTGGGGTTACGTGGTCTGCTTTCCGGGAGACGCTTTCGCGCCAGAAACCTGGGTATAAATACATGCGGGGTTCGCTTTCCGTCCTCTTCGGCGCCTAACAGACATCACCTCGCCACAGTCTGCGCGCGGAAGCTCCTGCAAGTTGAGCTCCTCATCATCTTCTTCGATCTTCACCGGCTCCAAGATCTGGAGGGAGGAATGATGGTACTGATGTTTCTCGTCTTCTCTAGTTGGTAGTGTTCGCAGGGAGAGATCTGTGTGTCATGGAGGGAGGGATCACGCTGCCGTTTTCGTCTACTTCCGTCGCGGAGATCCCCGCGTCCTGCTGCTCCGACGAGGTCGCCGGCGCGGGGAAATCCTCGTCCACGGCGGCCGGTGTTTCGGCCGACTTGATGGACCTCCAGAGACGGCAGATCTTGCGCGAACTCCAGGTCACTGTCGACCGCTACAACGACTCCTTCCGATCTCTCAGTCTCATGCTCGCCGACCTTGAGCTTCTCCGTCAAGAAAATCTCGCGCTGAGGGCGGAGAACCTCGAGTTCTCTCTCTTCTTGGAGGAGGAGAGGAACAATGTGCTGGCGGCGAATCCTGAGAGCTGTGGGGTCCTAGATCCCAGATCGACCGTCCCACAGATCGGTATGGATGAGAATTTGCCCCCAGGAGACGGAATTATCCCTAGGAACGAGAAGACTGGGGTTCTTGGCGTCGTGCCAAAGAGCATCTCGATCCGTTCCAAGGGCTTTCTGGCGGTGGATCATGCATCTGGTAGAAGCGGCGGGACAGCAGAGGACGTGAGCGCGAGCGGCAATGTAATTACGCGCCATTCTCAGCCGCAGCCTCTGGCTTCCGTACAGGTAAAGGTCGTAGGAGCCATGTTTCCAGATCCTCAGTAATATCTAAAACAAAATACAAACAAAGAAAACTAGACGTCCGATCGTTGGCCCCTCAGGTTTTAGTCTCAGATTTCAGTTGGCATCGACTCCCGACCTCTATCTGGAAGTTCAGCTTTCACTTTCTGTATCTTTAAAAATGTTTGGCGCCTATTCCGTGTGGTTTTAATGAGTTCATTCCACACCTAGGATCTCGTCTCTATTGCGTTGGGAAGAAAAATAAGGACTAAAAGTCCGACGTCATTATTTTTTTCTGTGAATTTGTCTCTTATTGACGACTTTGCCCGGTGTTTGTCATTTGTTGGACTAATGGAGCAGGTTGGAGAAGCAGACGGTATGGGCATTTCTGTAGAAGTGTTCAACCAAGGAATGGCCAAGACCGAGCTCTGCAACAAGTGGGAGGAGATGGGATGGTGCCCCTACGGGGATCAGTGCCAGTTCGCTCACGGTGTGGATGAACTTCGTCCGGTGATTCGCCATCCCCGGTACAAGACTCAGCTCTGCCGCATGATCGGCGGCCCTGGCGGTTGCCCATATGGCCACAGGTGTCATTTCCGTCACGCCCACCTCCATACGCAGAACAGCCAATAAGCCAGGTAAAATTGGCACGATCTCTTATAATCTTGTCACTCTAACAGTTTTTTCTGCAGATCGTAGACGATCAGTAACCCATACACAACCTGCATAATCGTCTTTTGTACAAGAATGACTAGAAACAACTTCAATCTTGTCCTCGGACGGGCCCATGCTGTATCTTTCGATATACTGTCAACGCGTGATTGTGATTACGATATCTTCAGGTTATTCTTGTTTATTTTGGGGTATCGTTCGATTTGAGGTAGGTCGCCGCACCGTATGACAACGGCATGCGCACAATGTCATCTCGTTTCTTGGTTCGTTCCACGGAATGACGTAATATCACGGTATGAAATCTGACCCTCCTCTTTCAATCTTTCGTCACGAGGCCATCGATTCCTCATGCAAATCAGCATACGAGTGAAAAAGGTCTTGGCATCGGAGACGATTATATGCTCCCTTTATTAAACATTCACAGTCCAAGAGTCGACAACACATTTTTGTCGCCATCGATACTCTTAACTTTACAAAACTTTTTTTAATCCAGTAGCGGTATTCCTCCCACCCACGGAACCACTGAACCTGACGGTCGGGACTAGTAATAGACAGACTTAGGGTAGTTAGTGGCGTCACTCTATAATATGAACACATGACTCGAAAAAAATAAATGAGAGGAGGGAAACCCCTTGACAATCCATCTGCTCGCCGTAATCACTGGTCCTACGGCAGTCGTTCTTTCGTCGATGGAGACGGCCCTGGAGGAATCCACCGTGGGGCGGGCAGCATCTGGTTCAGCATCCCGAAAATTACAGTTGAATGATTGACGAGTATAGTCGGTCACCCCGTGACAACAGGTCATCCTCCTCAGCAGGTTTTAAAGCATCTGACGGGGCCAGCCGCGCACGGCGGATGGAACTGATCATTATCCGTGCATCGCGTTTTGTATTCTCTTTTCGAGTCTCTGTCAGTCAGTCGAGTCGCTCACGTTTTTGTTTTCCGCCGCACGGTGGAATTGCTGGGCCATTTTTTTTGCTGTCACTATGGGCCCCCCCTGTAGCGGCTGCTCTCCGGCTGGCTTCCTCGGTTCCTCCACCCCCCGCCATATCTTTCCCCCCTCCACCCCCGCCCCCCGATGCCACGTTGCCCGTCCATCTCACACGTCTTTATTCGTTCTGCGCCAGTTGAAGCTGTTTATTCATAGACATCAGACTCGTCGTACGTACGTTTCCAACTCTCCGAGCACCGAGCAGAAGGCCGCCGCCTCCGTTGGTAATCACTATCAGCAGCTGAAGGGTGGGAGGAGGGGGAGGAGCTGGTGAACTTTTTTAGGGTTTCCGGCGGAGGGATCTATGGAAACCGACCCATGGAACCGCTTTGCCGCAGAGTTGAAGAGGCGCGAGGATGTTTTCCAATCCCGATCAGGTAAACTCATTATCGGGTGCTCATTTAGGATTGTTTTCTTCTTTTCTCGCCGTCGGGCAAGGGCGACCGGCGTCTAATTCCCTTGCTCTCTTCTCGTCGCCTAGATCTGTACATGGGTTTCGAGGAAGTCGATGGCGGGGATGACGACCCCCGAGCAGAGCTCCCCTGCCCGTTCTGCTCCGAGGACTTCGACATTGTGGGGTTGTGTTGTCATATTGATGATGAGCACCCAGTTGAGGCAGATAATGGGGTACGGCTCGCTGGTTTGTATTTGTGTTTTTTGCTGCCCGGGGAGAAAAAGGGGGATTTCCTTTTACAGAGAAGAATTGTCTTCTTTTAGTATATGATGAATCGAACTGGAAATTAAGTGTTTACTAGTAAAATAAATTACAGACGACGTCCTCTTGAGTACAATTTTCTTTTATGTTCGATGAATGATTAATGCCACCACACGTTTTCGGCTTTGGCGCTACTCTTTTGATGCTTTGAACTTCGAATATTGATTTTTAGCAAGCATCTCAGAACAAGGTTCCTTTTGTCTTCTGGTTTGTTTCGTTATAGATATCTTGACCTTTGGACTTCCCCTTTCCAGCATCCCGATGCTGGTCATTTATTTACCAGAGTCTGCGCGGCAGTGACTTAAAGCTTTGCTTATCTTCAAAAATTTATTGATAAAGTTCTTTCTCTGGACTTTACACTGAGGGCTTGTCCCCACCACATGCGCATTCATTACTGGAATTTTTTGAATTTCAAGTCACTCTTAAGGATCTCTTTCTTCTATGGTTCTTTTGTAGCTTTAGAAAATTGCATGTTTAATGTCTTCGTTGATTCTCACTTTCTATTCTCCAAACATATCTTCTATGTGTATAGTATTACTGTGATTATTGTTAGGCCCTTTCAACTGGATTGCTAGGTTTTCATTTGACCATTTCCTGGACGGTGAGACATAGTTTTCTTCTTTTAAGGTTTTTTTTTCGCCATCATTTGCCCTATATTTTGCCTCCAACTTTTCCTTCTCTTGAAGGCTCAACATATTTTTCATTTATAACTTCGTGGAACTACCATCAAAATAAATACGTATGTTTTCATTTCTCCTGGCACCATCTGTTTTCCATTTTCATTAAAGCGGAAGATGTGCGGATTCTATTCACTTTGAGAGTTCTCACCTTGGCTATCCATGATTTTCCGATTGTAAGTTACGCTAATTCGTGGCATTCACTTGCTATCTCCAGGTGTGCCCTATTTGTGAGTCCAGGGTTGACATGGATATGGTGGGGCATATAACAATGGAGCATGGGAATTTATTCAAAATATCCTTCTTTCCCCCACAGTTTATGCTTTTCCAGTTCAATTTCATTTATAAGGGCGATGGTTTAGTACAAATCTGTTGAGTGTTCTTATTTTATTCAAGTTTCTGAGATGCTATAATATTATTAGTTTATCATTTTCGTTGTCTGTTTGTAGTAATCTGCGCCGTTCATTTCTTCTATTCTTTGTTATCCTCAACCACAATAGTCACATGCAAAGCAGAAGAAAACTGCTCAAAGGCTATTCAAGGTCGAATTCTAGACTCGCGTTGCTGAGAAAGGAACTGCGAGATGGGCATATACAATCTCTCATGGGTGGATCCTCATATGCACTTAACCAATATGCGCGACCAGATCCTTTATTGTCAGCTTTTATTTCGACCTTCTCTTCAGCTGATTCATCAAAATATGTCGAGCCACAATCATTTGATGAAGGAAGTATGTTAAACAAGAAACTCAACGATGAGATAGCTGATAGGTATGTAGAATCACGAATCGATTTGTTTTTCATTTGTTTCAGTTTTGACTGTTTCCTGTAAACATGTTTTTCATATTCAATTGGATGGGCACTTCAAACATTTTTTTTCTCTTCTTTAGTGAGTCGCATTGTAGTATTAAGACTCCGAAATGTCTGCATCATTATGAACATCAGGCATTTTTCACACTTACCTTTCAATAAATTCGTCTAGGGACTGAAACTAAACGGACAAATGGATCCGTAAAACTCGCCAAACTAACACTTGAAGACATGCACTAAGTATGTTTCAATCCAAATGCTTGACTGATACATGGAGCTACGAGTTGTGACACGTGGAGCTGTTATTCAATAAACTCTCTTAGTCGTATTTTGTTAGTCAGAATTTCCGTCATTGTAGCATATGATGATTCTACAGACAAGTCTTCTCTAAGTGGACCACCCTAAGATAAGATGCTTATTTTGTTATGAATCGTCTTTTTTTCACTTGTGCGAGAAGATAATTTTTCTATAGGAAAAATGTGGTGTTCGACTGCATCAGTTTAAGATCGAGTCACACTTATTCTTGAAGTAGTGGCTAGTTTGGTTTCAACAGAGGAAACCATGGTGAAGGATACAAGTTCTATTTGTTATCTAGTGAAAGTGGAAGGAATAGGTGAGGATTAGCCACCCTCAGTTTAAAGTAGAGCTTGAAGTTGGACTCGCCGTTACAGTATGTCTGAATTTTTATTAGTAACATAGCTATTGTTTCTCCTTTTTCCTATAAACCCTTATATCTCAATACGTAGAAAATATTGACCTGTCTGTCTACCTCATGGAAGGACTCACAACCATGGACTAGTAGTATGGAGTGATGAGGAAGAATACCAAGAGATGTTTACTGAAACAGACTTCCATTTGATACCCCGGTTTCGAATGTCGGATCCGTTGGTCTTCTCGCTTTCAAGAAGTTTTCACATCACTTTGTTCAAAATGGACGTAGTTGTCTTCGAGTCGAGCATGCAGCACTAGCGGAAGTCTGCTCGTGTGCAATGGTTAAGACGATCATATTTATATGTGTCCACATTTACGGCAAAGTCCTGATCACTTCCACTAAGCTCATCCCTTTTTGTTTTGAATTTGAGGATAAGGAGTGACAACGAATAAAACGATACACCTTTTTGGGTAGCCACGGATGATTCATGTGATAGGGAACTTAAGATGCACCAATAATTTGGGTTTATTTATATTACCTTAGGTTCCGGAGCTCTTTTTATTTGTTTGTCAGCATCTTGCGCTGGCCGTGCGAATATGATCTATCAGAGCTGTTCAGGTCCTTCAATAGTATAGTTTCTTCAATAATGCACAATTATTAAATTTGTGTCATGTTGCCAAAGAAACTGGTTGTTGGAGAATTGGAATCTTAGAAAGTCGGCGCAGATACATGTGGTGACCTTAAGCATGCTTTTTCCCTTAAATAATCAAGTGAGTGGCATGGATGAGAATGCTGCATTTGCCACTGAACGACTCTTGCATTTATCGCCCGACCTAGAGGTTGACTGACCCATCACGAAATCAGCAGATGCTGGGATGATTTGGTCAGAAATTGGCTGTTTCTGATACGACCAGACCTGGTCTGGCTGTCCCTAACGGGTCAGCAGGGCAGATCTGAGTTGATGGCTTGGATCAGCTCAGGGCCTGGCTAATCTGAGTACTTCGTCTGATTCCCAGTTCCATGCCATCATCAATGGCCCTGACAGCCCTGATTCCCTGATTTCCTCCTCCTGCTCTATGCAGCTTTTCCTCATTTGTGCTCAATACCTATAGCTTCTCATGTCTTCCTCACCTCTGCTTCACATAACTGAACCTGTGAAGAACTAAAAAGGCGTTTGATTCGACATCGATTCTATGGCTTTCCCTCCATTGTGGTGTGATATTGCTCAAGTAAAGATTCCCCAGAATAGAAGATTAGCGTGTAGGGCTTCAAAGATCTGTCTCTGACAGGTCTTCTCTCCTCTACCCACTTGGAAGTTGGTATGACAACAAGGTCGTCGCTTTGACCCGGCGTGGTGGCTGATGCTCTCTCTCTTTCAGCCACTGGCAGCATTTATGTTTTCAGTATCTGACTATGATTTCACGCTGTAATCTTCTGCCCGGGGTGCAAGCTTCTGTCTGATGTGCCGTTATTATATCCAGCTGGGTTTCACCCGCCATCATGGAGCCATCGCTTTCCGACAAGGATCGGGAAGAGCAGTCCCGGAGGTCCGAGTTCCTGCGGGAGCTCGTGGTGTCGACCATCTTCGAGGATCCCTTGTGAGCAACTGCAAGGGCGGTCTCTGTAAGTAACGTTCCTCCCGTTTTTGTGTTGAAGGGGATGACCGCAGCGTGGCTGTGTGTTCAGATGCCGACATGCTCATATAGATTAAAAGAGACCATGGGAGGGCGCCCAGATCCCCTTTTTTCGTGAGAGCGGTTGTGCATACGGGAATTGGATGGGGGATTCGGCGGGCAGGGCACAAAATCCGGTCCAAGTCTCAAGTTCTGTAATAGTTGACTGTGATTCGAGTAATTCTCGAGTATAGTCAGAGTGTTGAACACTCGTGGTTATTTGAATTATGCATGCTTTGACCACCTCTGTTTGACCTCTCTCTCTCTCTCTCCATAAAGTAAACAAGAGGAGGCTTTTATAGCATGTATCCGGCGATTGCCCTGATTTTATTCCGTACCTTCCCTCTGCCAGTCTAAGTGCATTAAAATTGAGGAGTCAAGCCCGTCCTTGATCAAGTCCAGGTCGCGTCGGGAAGCATCTTTGACGAGGGCCGGTCGTATTAAACTTACATTAGAAGGCAGACTTAGAAAATGGGTGGCTGGTCGGGTTGGTGTATATAAATAAATGCAGGCAGGGAGGGAGGGAGGGAGCGACAGAACGTGCTTTGGGTTTAAACGTCTGGGTGAGTCTGATTCTCGGGCACATATTCCTCGCCTTCGGTTTTACTACTTCGGTGTCACGCATGATTCGGGAGAAATAAAAATAGCGGGCTTGGTTCGGCATTGGCTTTGAAGCTTCTCACGTGCTGTTGACTTTGACGATGCTCACCAGTTACTGATCTCTTTTTGGGAATCGGGTTCCTCGTCAGGGCAAAGCGGAGTGGCGAACGTGCCCTCCTCTCCTCTGGCTGAAAAGGCTGACGATGATGATGATCCTTCCAGTGGCTCGGTGAAGAAAAAAATAAGTGTGCTCCAATTTCTTTTTTTCAGATGGTTGACTTTCTAGAGGGAAGTTCCGGGAAACAGAGCCGATACTCTCAGCGGATCTCCCCGTTGTCGGAAAGCCGGGAGGTGACCTCATCCTTGGGCCAATGCGTCTTCTTTTCCTCTGCCGGCAGGAAATGGACAAGCTGCTCCGCCGCCCTCTGACCTTGCTGCAGCTTCTTCTCTACAACTTCGCTGCGGCTTCTCTCTCCCCAGCCGTTGACTCTGCCCCACCCTGATCTGGGTCCGGTCTTCTTCTCCCAATCAGCCACCGCCCACCGCCATCTTGACCGCGATGTTCTTCACAGTCGATAGTTGGTGAGCCGCGAGCCTCATTGAATCGAGTCGTCATCCTTCCGCTGTCGTCTCCCAAAATATTAGAGGACGCGGAAAGGGGGGCCCTTTTCTCCTCCCCCAGGTTCTCCGCTCTCCCGCCCTTTAACCCATCGGATACCTCTTGGACTTTTGGTCATGCGTAGCGCGCACGCCGCCGAGAAGCTTCTGCCCGGCTTCTCACCCGGCGGTGCTCCCATATATATATATATACGGATGGCCCGCGGCCAACTTCTCTCAACTGCCACTGATACTCACTCGGAGCGCCCGCTTTGACATCTTCGGGGGCTCTTCTCTGCATGCTGGGTTGTGTGCCTCAAACCTGCTTCGATATGCGCTCCCTTAAGAGACTGGCCTCAGATGAGGCAGAGGAGGACGATGACTGGCTTGTTAACGAATCCAACAGGCGTCGCCCCGTTCCCAAGTCAGTGGGTCCTTCCCCTCTTGGCGATTTCCCACCTCTCTCTCTCTCTCTCTCTCTGTTTCTTCCGGACTTTCAGCTCCCGGTTGTTCACTTTCTTCTTGTCTGGCAGTGCTGTGCAGGAGGCCATGATATTCGACGCGACCAAGGGCCTGCTTCTGGAACTGGAGCCGTTCTTCCGAAGAGTGGTAGGCTGATCATGGAACTTCTTTTGGAGGACAATCTTGCTAGTTAATGCCTGATCTTAGAATCTAATACCGCCTTGGTTCATCCGAGGATCCCAAGTTTTCTTCGAGTAGAGCTGAGAATTCTGAAGGAGAAACATTTCTCCCTCATCACGTCCCACATTCTTCGTATTTTCTCATGTTTCAACTAAAACCTACGGGAAACAGACGACTTCGGATCTCATAATCATCTCGTGAAGCTGGCGGTGGAATCATCGCGAGCATTATTTCTATCCATTCAGAACGAAGATCCTCCCTCCTCACTTCCCTTCAAGTCTCTATCTTTCAGGGTAGAGTAGAAGCAATTTTTCAGGGCTGTTCGTATCGTCTTTTTTCCAAGAATCTGAAAAGCCGATCATCTCTTTTGGGGGTTTCCGGATGAACAGTCTTCTCCCCGGAAGAACATCTCTCAGCAGTTTAAACTCATGCCGTGAATGTTTCCTTCACCAGGTGAGAGAGGAGCTCCAGAAACAGCTCTCTCGCTACGCCTGCTCCGCTTCAAGGTACGCGCTTTCCCTGGTCTACGTGATCATTTCATTTTATATAATATAAGTAAGTGATAATTAATATATCCCGTTCTTGCTTGTTCCTCACTTGCACCAGCCTTTTCTCCATCTTAAGCTTCACGTGTAATAGAAAAAAGCAATCAATTCAATATTAATCTGATAATAAAATGTATCAAGAATCTGGCTTTCAGATGCATTCCTCCTTGTAAGCTTCTACCCAGCACTTGGGGGTCTCTGATCTTCTTCGTTTCTGTGTGTTCTTGCAGGCCGCCATTAAACCAGATTCAGGCGTCTTCTGCAACAGCTTCCCGCTGGCGGCTAACTTTCCGCGGCGAACTACCTGGCACGCTCTTTACCAGCGGCAAAATCGAAGCAAGAGACAGCACTGCGGTCAAGATCGTCGTAGAAGATCTGAGCTCCGGGTCGGTCGTCACCTCCGGCCCCTTGTCCTCCGTCCGAGTCGAGATCGTCGTCCTCGACGGCGACTTCTGCAGCGACGAGCGGGAAGAGTGGACGGAGAAGGAGTTCGCCGACAGAATGGTGCGGGAGAGAGAGGGGAAGAGGCCCCTGCTGACCGGCGATCTCGCCGTCACGCTGAGAGGCGGCGCCGCGGCTCTCGGTTCCCTCGTCTTCACCGACAACTCCAGCTGGATCAGGAGCCGGAAGTTTCGGCTCGGCGCGAGGATTTCCCCCAACAGCAATCTCTCCGGGCAGCGCATCCAGGAAGCCGTCAGCGGCGCCTTCTCCGTCAAAGATCACCGCGGAGAGCGTAAGTTCATCGACCGCCAGCTGAACCCATCGCCGGCGTAGGTTGAAGAAGATGGTCGAATCCTCAAGAGGAGTTTTTTTTTCTGTCTTCCGTCCAGTGTACAAGAAACACCACCCGCCGTCGCTCGACGACGAGGTCTGGCGCCTGGAGAAGATCGGCAAGCACGGCGTCTTCCACCGGCGGCTCTCCGAGAACGGAATCAACAAGGTGCAAGATTTCTTGAGGTCCCTGGTCATCGACCGAGACTGGCTGCGCGGGGTAAGCAGCCGACAGTGCCGCCGCCGTCTCCTCCTCCTTCTCCTTTCCTCTTCTTCTTCTTCCTCCTTCCGCTGACTGCCGGTCTATGGGGCCTCGCCATCCGCAGGTGCTGGGGAGCGGGATGTCGAACAAGATCTGGGAGGCGACCGTCGAGCACGCGCAAGAGTGCTGCCTGGACGGGAAGCTCTACTCCTACTACGTGAGCGACGGCGGCGTCATGCTGGTCTTCGACTCCATATTTCGGCTCGTCGGAGCGAAATTCAACGGCGGCGATTACCAGGAGCTGGGAGCCGTCGACGCTCCACAGAGAGTGAGTGGCGCCGCCGCCCGCCCTCTGGATTCTCCACCGACGGCTTCCCACCGATTCGGAACCGGCTAACGTGTTCCTCTGGGCAGGCCCTGGTGAACCGACTGAAGCAGCTGGCGTACGAGAACAGAGAGGAGATCATGGAGATCGGCCTGCTGCCATTCGACGTCATCTCGCGGCGCCTAGCTCTAGAGGGCGACGCTTCCAGGCCGCCGCCGGCGATCGTCCCCCTGAACCTCCCCCCGGTCGGAGGTAGAAGACCTTGCAGACCACCCCCTCAACCATGGAAACCCAATTCGCAGATGGACTGGTAGTAATTAAGCTGGTGGATTTTCTCCCCCGCAGGGCCGCACGGAGGGGAGGCCTCCGTGGGCAGCGGGAGCTCGGTGGACTATGAAGCGGAGCCGTCCACGAGCGGCGAGACCTTCTTCAGCTACGACTGGGACATGGGCACCTGCTTCTCGCAGCCCCTCGGATGGGACACGGTGGGCCAGTCGTTCCAATCCTCGCTGGTCGCCGCAAGCGAGCCGCCGGCGCCGGAGTCGAGCGTCCGCATAGCCAGCAGCCGCTGGGTCATGCTATTGGCCGCCCTCAAATGCTGGATGTTCATACGCCGGCGCGTGGCCGCTCGGCGGATGGCGAGGCTCTACGCCCTTCGAGGCCTCTCCGGCTTACCCGGGACCTTCCCAATGTAGGTGAGATGCCTCCCCTTTCTTCCCACTCAAACCTGTGCAGTTAACACTGGGTGGGCTCGGTGTATAGAAGAAAAAAGGGGGAGAAAGCTCCGCCCCTCGGTGTACAGAGAAATTGACGAGCAATGGCAGGCGCAACTTCTACGTTGTTATTGAAGGGGAGGAGGAGGGAGACGCAGGGGAGGAGGTCTGGAAGAATATATCATCCAATGAGTTAGTTTGTCACGTACATAGATTTCAGAGGAGTTAGCGCCACGTACCGATCGATCTCCAGGGGTTAGTGGTCGATCCCTCGAGGGGGGGAGTTCGGGTTAGCTCATCAGGTAGACAATCGGCAGACAGACAACCTCGGCTCGGACAGCTTATTCCTTAGCCTTCTAACTTGTCGATGCTGGCACTGCGGGGAAGGAAGCTGGCTGTGGGTCACAGAGAGAGAGAGAGAGAGAGAGAGAGAGATGAGCTCAAATCATGACCAGGGATTTCCTCGGCCTCCTCCCTTCCATGGCGTCCTTCTTTTTCCTGCAAACTGAGCAGAGAAATGGGCCGTCCCACTGCTTCGATGACGGAGACAAGTATACGCCGGATTTGATGGGCGAGTCCTCGGCCTGGTCTTGGTCTGCCTGGCATATGGCGCACCGCAGGGGACCCGAGTCCATCTTGGAGAGAGAATCGTTCTTCAACCTGAAGTTTTTGTACGAGCTTAAATGCTTATGATTTCAATAAACACATAAGGTGCACGACCAAAAGAGTTCAAAGTGCTGAAAAAGAAGAAAGAAATTCGCAAGATCATTATTGCCCAGCAATCTACTTTCACCTTGTCCCCCCCCCCTCCCCCCCTCCTCTCTCTACAAGGACACCCACAGCTGCAGTTCCCTCGGTAAAAGCGTCTAAAAGCTTCACTTTACTTGATGGACAGCTCCTTTCAAAGGCAGCCAGCAAAGCTGAAACTTACCAGCAGAGTCTCACTCCCCCCTACGCTAACTGTAAAATATTATGAACAGAATTCGAATCATAATCTTTCAACAACGATCTGCCATGAACCAGTCCATCAATCAAACTCTATTTTCTCATCAAAATCGAGTGGCATTGCGCAGCACATGTTCAGGTAGACGATTAATTCATAAATAAATGGTATACGGTGACACTTGGGAGGAAAATGCAGAAAAAATATGCCGGCAAGTTGAAAAAATGTCTACCACAGCTGCCAGCAGATGTCGAAACATTACGTGGTTTTCTTTCAGTGACAATACTGCACATGCAAATGCCTGCTAGATAAATGAGGAAAGTAAGGCTTTTGGAAATGGCTCAAATAGCTGGTCAACGTTTCAGTAGGGTTTTCTTTCTTGGTTTGAATGTGGAAATTTCTTTTCTCTTGGGGTATGAAATTAGCAGCGTGATCTGTGTATTAAAGAATGATGACCATCATACATGGGCATCTACTGAACTTGCGAATTTCCTGTTGAGAGTAAGATATTTCTATTAACAAATCACCGCATACTGTGCGCATGGCCAAGGATGTGTAGAGAATTCTCCTCGTAGCCCACTGTAAGACCCATTAGGACTCATCTTTCTGGGCAGCATTCTAAAATTTTCACAGGGACAAGCCTCTAAGGAGGTCACACGGCATGTCAAACCAAGAAAGAGCAATGACCAAGGCATTCTTGCAAAAACCTGAGGCAATGTGCACAAAGGGCACCATCTGGCAAGGAGTCCAAATCGTTACCCTACGACAATATGCTCTACATTCCTAAATGGAAAGATTCTAAGGACACCCCGCCACCTGTTGAACGAAGACGAAGGCCACATATAGACAATTGATGAAAGTACAAAAAATGTCGCAGTTAGTCAGAGCCCAGGGAGTAAGCCCCAAGAGGAAAGAGGTACGAAACAAACCAAAGTGTTTTTCTTTCAAAGATGATAACTAGGACCCTTTCCTTTGTGAGGCAGACTCTGAGAAAGGATGATCACACCCGCCACACTCCTTTAACATCGAGTGGATTTTACTCGTCTGTCTTTCTAATCAATGAGTATGGTCCACCATGTCATGGAGCAAACACAGACACATTGCCCCCTCCCCGGAATATGTTCTACCTATATATAAAGAGGTACTAATCCATACTATTTATCAGACATAAATATTAAAGAAAGAACAAGAGTTCAAGGGAAACTTTAAATGAAAAGAGAACCAATCATACTGAATCTAGCATGAAAGACACGAACTCATCTTTAAAAATTCACAGTACGTATGGGGCATTTTAGAACTCATGACAGCTTAATCAACCTTTCCATCAACCCTACAAGGCTAATGAAGGCAAGTGTTTACCCAATCCATGTTGAAGCATGATATCATTAAGCCACATTTGATCACAAGTATTTTTCACTCATGGGAGATCAACTTGATCCTTTTCATCTGAGTCACTTCATACGAAACAAAAAACTTTTTGACTCAAAGCTGGTTTACGATAGGAATTCCAGTCAACCGTTTCTCCATCATATCCCAAGCCTGATCTTGTGCAGTGTCACCTCTATGAGATTCATTGGAGAAAAATAGCGCACAGTAAAAAGAAAAATAATCATGTATCGTACATAATGCGAGGGCATCCACTTCGAAATAAGAACAAAAAGACAGACTATTTAACTATGACTTGTAGCTAAGAGTTAACATGGAAGTACCTTTCTGCTAGCATGGCAGAACCTTCCTCAAATAGTTCCTCCACAGCCCCAACAGAAGATAACTTGTCAGGGAGCTTATTCACAGAACCTTGCGATTTTTTCCAGAAAATTAGGGATCTCAAGTTATTCTGATTCTTTTTTGGAGTTGTCGGCAAAACAGAGTGATCAGATGGAGTAATGTCGACAACTAAGCAGGTGGTATCATCTTTCAAACCAGTTGTCCTCAGAGCTTCCTAGAATCACCACAGAAGATTCAGCCAAATTTAGCGTACAATAAATAAGAGAACGATTCACGATACTCCTCTAATATGTCATTTTTTATTAAAACATATCCGCACATTTTTGGTTTTACCTTAACAACAAGCTTAGCAGCAAGTTCAGCAGGTAACCCTCGACAAGACTTTGCTGCCATCTCAGATGAAACAGCATCCCATATGCCATCTGAAGCAATAATTAGCCTTCCGCCAGAGCTTGAAAGCTAACCTCCAAAGAAAGAATCTTATAAAAATAAGACAAGCCACCACCACCATGCAAAGTTGAGTGGAAATAAGTTACGGTACTTACCTTTACTTGCTTAACATGGGGTATAGGCACAATAAACTCCCCGACATCCGTGTCTCCGATTGAACGCGAGAGGCACAATCCTCCAGGCCAGCATCGAAGTGGACCAACCTAAAAGTGAAAAAACAGTGTCGAAGATACATTCAACAAACATTTTGGCATGAAATCGATGAAGGCTGCAATCCTCCAGTATTCTGTACCTCTTGCCCACCACAAAGATTAAGACGGCCTACTTCTCCCCCACTGGCAGTCACGCGCTCCCTCTCTTCTACATTCTCCTCCAATCTATGGTCAACGGTCAACAGAGACACCACACCACCTTGCGACTCCAGTATGCACCGAGAGTCGCCTACAGAGGCAACCGTCACTGTCCATCCGTCGACTACCACAAGCGTGACTGTCGTACCTGAAGCTTCTCCTGGAAGGCAAACCCAATATATCAGACAGGAAAACAAGAAAACAAAGGACAATCGCGAAGAAAAAAGGGAGCCGATCGGAGAAATATCCAACACATGCCTTTGCGCTGGAACTCTATATCAGTCTTCACAAAGCCTGCAACGAGTGCCTGCGGAAGAGCCTGAAGCCACTCTTCCCTGCTGAGCCCTTGCGGAATCGCGCTGAGAACATGGTCTAAGAGATGTTCTTTTGTGAACACGGCCGCAGAGACTCCATTGTGACCGTCAAAGACCTGGTCAGGCAAGACCGCCTCTAAGTATAACCGATCCGCCAAAAGGGGAAAACCCATGGGGTAGAGATGCGAGGGGAGGGGTGGGAGCGAGAAGAGGCCATCGGCTGAGGATGATTACCGCGAATACGGAGAAGGCGGGGGACGAACCATCGAGAGACCGCTGACAGTCGCGCTTGATGAGGAAGTAGTCCTCCCCTCTCTTTGCAAGTCCGGAGTGACCGTACGTAATCAAGGGCTCGCCGGGATCCTTACCATTTTTCCGAAGCTCTTCTCCAATGAGCGTGGCGAGCGGCACCAGCGGCGGCCTCATCCCCGACGGCTCTCGCGGGGGCCTCATTGCAGGCGGCTCCCGCGGCGGGCCGCTCATGGATGAGACGCCACGAACACACCGTACGGATTAGACAAAACCTACACTGAAACGCACAGCCCGGTCCCCCCTCCCCTCCTCAACCTCCCCGGCGGCATCACTCTCGAAGACATCGCCGCTCCAATTCCCCAATCGCGATACACGGGAAAAGCCACCCGATGCTGCCGGACATCAGAGATCCAAACCTCTCTCCGCAACCAAAAATACAATCGACCGCTCCTGCATATATAGCGAAGGAGAAGATCTGCACCTGCGATGAAGCGGAAGTTACCTCTGGAAGCTACTCCGATCGGAGATCCTCCCCCCCCTCGATGGCGGTGGGAAGCCCTAGACGGCGACGAAACCAAGACGGCAAAAGCAGAAGACGACTTAACCGCGCACGGATTTGGTTCCTCCAGCTTCTCAGCCCCTCTCTCGTCTACTTATATAACGCGCCTTGTAAGCTGGAAAAAAAGGCCGATTCACGCCGGACGGACAACGAATTTAATAATTAACCAGAAAATCAGCCCAACCGAGAGAGGGCGCCCTTCCTCTCTCTCTCTCTCTCTCTCTCTCTCTCTCTCTCTCGCTAAGTCGGTTGCAGCTGGTCTGCAAACTGCCACACTCGGACAACGTGGTCTGGCAGAAAGATGGCGGCCACTTTATGGGCCGTATTGGGCCGGGAAACCAGAAACAGCGGATGAGAGAGATTGCCCGGCCGGCCGGCGCGGGGACAAGCGAAAGGACGTGGGTGACGACGCAGCCATGTGCACGTGCGGGCCCTCCCAGAGATGGTGCTCCACAACTGGCGGTCGAGCTTTCCACGGCGGCGAGTGACCCCACAGCTCGTCACGAGGAAGCAGAGGAGGCAACATCCTGCGCACGTGCAACACAATAAGAACAGTTCGGTTAATTACCCAACCCTATTTATCATGAGGTCAATATGCAGGAATGTTTCAAGAAATCATGGTCTTCAGTTAAAAAATTAAGAATAAAGCCACGGATAATTCTCCTAAATACATGATTTCAGAACATAGCTACACTTAAAAATCATTGATCTCCATTAGGGAATTTTGCATTTCTTCCTATCTCGATGCTATTTTTTATTTTTTATTTTTATATTAAAATAAATATTTTAATATGAAAGTAAGTATTTTTTTACTAAGACCATATAGTTGTGTTTATTAGTGACAAATAATTAAGTAAGAGGAAATTGCATGAATAAAATTGAGATGTGCTTTCAAAATAGTTTGGGGGTAGATGTCAACTATGGATTTTATATCATTTATATTACCCATTTTCCTACTTATTAGTTGTTTTTATGACACAAAAAAAAAAGAACAGATGATTTGATTGCGATCAATTTTACTTGAGTATTTTGGAAGTAAAATCTTGGCTTTGAGTCCATAAAGAACATGATTTTGTTGAAAACTCCTTATTCTTAGTCCACATAATGTATATAAAAAATCATCTATTTAGTCCACAAAAATATCAATTTTTAATTTACATGATAAAAAATGGATCTCATAGTCTAAAAGAATATTGGAGTTTACCATTAAAGATAGATAATCTCTAGAGAATAAAAGAATTCGAAAATAGATTATTGTAAATATGAATACTTAAAAGGCTGCAACAGGGGACGTTTTACTGACTGAAATCTAGTTACAACTAACTTAGAAATGAAAAATATGTTCTTAGAAAAAACAAGGGTCATGGTAGAACACCATTAACAATTTAAAGAGATTATTTGAATTTTTTAAATATATAAAATAAGGATAAACGTGGGAATTTTGCCATGTTTAACAAGTGTAAAAATCTCTTACTAGGCTATCTAGTTGAATTGTGTCTTCTTACATTACGGGCCTCTTGTTGACTTTATTTAAGCTGAAACTAGGTGGCATCACTTTGACATCTACAATCGCATATGTTGAGATTAAAGTCAATTAGTATGGATTTTAGAAGCTTACATTATTTTTCACCAGTACATAAAATAACAGTAAACAAAGCTTAATATCTGGCCATATATTGATTATCTTTGTTAAAAGTCATGGGAGATACACATGATTTTCGTTCTAAAGGTGTTTTACCATTGAGAAACTGATTTATTTTAATCCCATACAATATTTATTTATGTGTTTTTGTAATATTATCCTTCATTTTCTTGCACGGATATGGCTTTTGCCCGTTATTTTTTAAATTTCTCAACAAGGCTCCGAGAAGACGATCGATTCACATCTTAACTCCATTGATCGAAAGGGATACTAATTTATCATCCTATATGGGATTCGTACCTCTTCTCCCTACTATGATTTACGTCTCTGATTTTCATTAGAACCTTGTAATCTTTGTGAAAGACGTTGACCGAGAAAAACTGGAAAAACGCGAAAGGTTTTTTTCTCTGGTGGTGTCCATGCGTTCCCCTTCATCATCGGACAATGCCCCCCATCATTCGTGAATTATTTTACGTGGGTCAACGTGCAGATCACTCTCTGCACCAATCTCGTGTTTGGGTTTCCGGAATCCTCGGTGAAAACTGTACCTTTCTAGTTGTTTCTGGGTATTTTCTCAAGTTGAGTGTGATATGGTGAGTCGACGGCAGTTGGCATGGTCGTTTCTTACTGCCGAGAACGCCGCAGTGGAGGGTACTCTGAGGATTCGGGGGCTCGAAGATGGCTTCCGTTGTCGTCGCCGTCGCGGCAGAGGAGGTTGGTCTTCTCGAATCCCGCTCTTCTCCTCCTGAAACCGGAGTGATCCCAGATGTGGAGATCGTACCCATGCCAATGGAGCATCGACCGGCCACCACTGCAGCGGAGGAGGACGAGCCGAAGGCGGCTGGGCAGCCCAAGCAGCGGCTAGCGTCTCTCGATGTCTTCCGGGGTCTTACCGTAGCGGTATGGTGCCTTCCATTGTTTCCAGAAGATCTCCTTCTCCCTTCCCGGCGCTAACTCCATCTGCAAAACCCTCGCGTGCGCTTTCTCGCTGTTCATCGCGTTCCGGTCTGGCCAGTTGATGATCCTCGTGGACGACGCCGGAGGAGCATTTCCATCCATCAACCACGCGCCATGGACCGGCGTGACGCTCGCGGATTTCGTCATGCCATTCTTCCTCTTCGGCGTCGGCGTCTCCGTTGCTCTCGTGTTTAAGGTAATTCCTCCTGGCCGCGTCGCTCGGTGCCCTGGACTTCCGCACTCAATCTTGTGCGTGCGTCTCATTTCCTTCCTTCTAAAACGCGCCAACGAGCTCATCGGAACTCTCCTTGTGTAATTCTGTGTAGAAAGTGCCCAATAAAACTGCCGCCACGAAGAAGGTTGTGGCGAGGACGATCAAGCTCTTTCTCTTGGGTCTAGTTCTGCAAGGTCTGTTCCTGAAATTTCCTAGTTTTTGGCGAATAATCAAATCTCGGCTTTCTAACACTCGTGCAGCTTCACCGATCCACTGAAGAGACCAGTTATAAGCCAACTGGGTCGTGAATTCCTCCAGGGATTTAGATTTTGATCCTTGGAAAATTAATTACTTGACCGAAAATGAAGCAAATTGACCGGAGTTAGGGTTCTCTGCTGGCCCAGGAAACTTTTACGAGCTGAGTATGGCTGATGCTGTCTGCTACAATATCTGGCTCTCTTCTTACGTGAAGGTTCAACATAAGGTGCAAATTATATGCTTCCTCTTCAACCCAGGGTCCATTTGAAGAACTTCGGTCGGACATAAAGTGGGAAAATATGGTGCCCAGGTGCTCCCTAGGAGGACAGTACCTCCCAAGAAGATTGATCCGTTTGGATCTTGGTCCATAATGGCCTTTTTACTGTATTTGAGGTGCAAAGGAAGCAGTACGACATACTGCTCTATGTATGCCAAAGAATGATCTATACCACCTCTAAGGGTGTCCATGAGCTGATCTCTGCATCTTTTTGGTGGTCTAAACAGCGCCCCACCTTTCTCTGCCTAGATCCCTTGTCGTTTCCCCTGACTCTGGGATTGGCTTTCAATTCATTCTATCCTCTTATTTCCTATGAATAGTCAGCAGTTTATTAGACTTGAGGAAAGTTTGATGATAATGTGATGTTACGTGTACTAGTTAGTTTGATCCTGGAGGTTGGCAATTGAGAATCCCACCCAAGGAATGTCTCCTAGAGATCTCTCTGATTTTGGATTAGAATTCATCTATCGTGCATGGTATGTTATCTTCGCACAAGTCATGGGGATAGTCTGAAAAGTTTAAATCCTCTCAAGTAATTCATAATCATATATTAAATCTGGGGCTATGTCCAGAATAAGGTATCATGATTAATGCGAACCAAGATTTAGCAGGAGGAAATTCTGTATGACTAGTCTTGGCCAAAAGGAAAAAAAGCATTGTTTAGTTTAGTACTAGGTATGGTTACTTGTAAGTAGAAACATAAGGACGATGTCTCGGGCACAGGCTTCCTGTGATGGAATCTCAGATTTTTTTTTGACTTGTTAAACTTTGTGGTTGAAGAAACACGAGTGATAAAATTGTTCTTCAATTTTTTTATTTCGATATTAGTTGACCTATATTCTCATCCACTCATTTCCAGGTGGCTACTTTCATGGTCGGAATCATCTCACTTATGGAGTTGACATAGATCGCATTCGGTGGCTCGGTGTGCTACAGGTAGGCTTATCCTTAGTGATAAGCATGGTTTGGTGGCTTGGTTTCAATTCTATGTTTTGTGTGTGTTTACATTCCGTCATTGCAAAGTCGCTGATTACTATTTTTTATATTTAGAAATTAACTAGAAAAATGAGTAATCAATCTTTTTGCTCTTATTAGGGAGACTTACAAGGTTAAAAATTAATTACAACAATACTGCAATACGAATATGAGTGTCTTTTGCTAATGCAATATAACTGCAGCATACCTTTTAAAGGGATAGGATGAAAACAAATATCCCGCATATATGTTTAGGAGCGTCTGGCTAACTCATGCTGAGAAATCCTCTCCTTGGACATTTCCAAATGCTCAATATGGATTTTAGACACAACAACCAATTGCTACCAGAGTTGGAACAGTCAGGATTGGATCTCGAATGCTCTGAACCAATTGACTGAAACCAAGGGAAAAGGTCGATTTGGTTGAATATTTAAATATGTAGAAATAAATGACATTGTTTCGTGGATATATTAACTCATTTTTCAATGGGAAAGGAAATAAGATAGAAATTACTCTTTTTTTTGCACTTTACATGTTGGTTAAGAAACATGGTATAATTACATTTATTGAGTCTTTCCTTATTTTATTTTTCAACATGCAGGAATATCGTTGATATTTGCATTTTATTTTCTCAGAGGATAGCTATTGGATATTTTTTAGCTGGGATGACAGAGATATGGCTTGTCAATGACGCAACGGTTGATTCACCATTGACATTTGTGAAGAGATATTATAGTGAATGGTCAGATTTTCCTTCTTATGTTGATGTTACTTATTCACAAGACTATACCTCTCTATGACTCATGCTTATTTCTACGAAAATAGTTATGTTAACATTTAAAATGCACGTCAGGGTCCATGTGACAGTTTCTGAATTTGTCTTTATAACTTCACCAAATGGTTTAACAAATTGTAATAGAAATAAAAAAATCCCTTTTTGCTCATTATATCTGGCTTGTCTAATACTACCTTTCACTGCTGGCTTGGGTTGTAGTCTGTGCATTCTGGTTCAAGGTTTTTCTGCACAAAATCACTCTATTAACATTCTTTTCGTAAGCTTGCAAATCTCTTCTTATTTTTACGATTGTTACGTAGCTCTAGGTACATTTGTTGTATTCTCGATGTTCAGACAAGATTTCAGAGAATTGTGATGAAATAGGGTGTATGATTTATTCTTGATCTAGAGAGAACGTTTATGAGGATTGTTGATTCGTGAAGAATGAGGCTTGTTGGTGATGGTCTGATTCTGGTCAGTTGACACGAAAAGTCAGCAAAAATGGAACAAATGTGATGGGTTTAACCGAACTCTCCTTATTTGAATCCGATTTCTACTGCATTGGTTTTTTTGTACATCTTACTGCTGAAACGGTTTCTTTTTTCTATTACATTGAGTAAGGATTGTTAATTTCAGAAGAAAATGTGAAAGAAGGTTCTTTGATCTAACCTTTTGAAGGTTAGTCAACTTGTGTGGGTGTGCATCAGTGATGTGCTATGGTTTTACGGGACTGATGCTCTAACTAAATTTTGGACACTATCAATTTTACCTTTCAGACGATGTGAGTCTAAATCAAATGAAACCATTTGACAAATTAATTATGCTTATGGCTTAGATAACTATTCTGCTGATTGTATTCGGCATTTTTCTTCACGTGGGATGCTGATGATTTTTTTCGGAAAGGGTGGTGGCCATCTTGCTATCTTCAGTTTACATGGGATTGCTATATGGGCTTTATGTTCCCAACTGGAAGTTTGAAGTTCCGCAAAGCTCTTCTACGAATCAGAATTATAGTATTCAGTCAGGAACTGTAAGTTGGATACCCTTGTATAGTTTTATGAGCCTTTCCGTTATTTTATGAATACTGTGGAAGTCTCTTTTGTCCAAAGGATTTCCGAAACTGTAACCGTTACTGATGGAGAGGAGGGGAGGAGCCAATAAAAATAGTACCTTTTGTGCCTTCTATAACGCTTGAAGTGTAGGCCGTGTCTGTAAAGTTGCATCCTGATAAAATGGAGTCCGTCATTTAGTCATCTTAACAGTCTGTGAGCTTAGTGTCGATAGTCTAGAAAGTTTCATACCTCTTAATTAATTCCTGACGGCATGATGATGATTTAACGACTCTATTACTGACTTTTCTATCTTGTATTTATTACACAAACAATATAATCACATCTTATGTCCACCAAGCATTTCATTTGATTAATCGGACATCATGGATTTTTGGTATGTTTATATTTTTGAATGTCTATATATTTACATTTTTATGGTAAAATAGCTGACGAACGTGTATATCTTTAATAAGTACTCTCAACGAATTACAACTGAGGACATTTGCAGATGCATTATTCATCATGTTTCCCCGAACAGGTTTCTTGTGAAATCAGAGGCAGCCTTGGGCCTCCTTGCAATGCTGTTGGCTTGGTTGATCGATTTTTTCTTGGTGAGAAGCATCTTTACCAGCGTCCTGTGTATCGAAGAACAAAGGTTTCCGTGAATTGTTTTTTTTCCTTTTGGAGGTACTTTGGTTTTTTCTTGACGTTACCTAGTTTGGGCTCTTAATATTCTGGAAAATTTTGATACTAACAGGAATGCAGTGCAAATTCCCCTGATTATGGACCACTTCCACCAAATGCGCCCAGCTGGTGTCTTGCTCCATTCGATCCTGAGGGGCTCATGAGGTTTACCAACAACATTAAATGAAAGTGCTCTGTTACAATATTTTTCATTTCAAATATTTTTCATTTAAAACATTTTTGACATATGCTTATGTGATTGAAACTTTTAACTTGACTTCCTACTTGTCTTATCTGCATGGTTGAAAGAACGAAACGGTTTTTTTTTTTTTTCCTGTTCAGACTTTACGACCAGAATATTCTTAGCCGTCTAGGATTTCATATAAATATTTAAAGATTCTCTAAGTTCTTCTTATCCTGGATCTTTGGAATTGATAAATTAGGCGACAAAAAATTTAGGTTGATATTGTTTCTAAAAATGATTATTCTTTGATTGTGGTCATATCGGTGGATCTCCCTAAGTAATTATAGCCCTTCATGATGGACTCTCTATCAGACAAGCTAGGATCTCGTTATTGTAGTGTCTCTCTTCTATTTGGGCCCTTAAGTGAGTCAGTTATGGACTACTTAATGGGTTCTCCTTTTCTTTCTTCAAAATAAGAGGGCTTGGCCCACTAAAGATGTAACCGGTATTTAAACTGGTGTAGAGGTCAATTGAGAATAGACTTTTCGTGAATTTACTCTAATGGGATGTTCTAGGCGGCTCTAGTGAGAAGGGAGGGCGAAGACCTGATCAAGAAGATCAAGATCCTGTTTTGACATGGTATCAGAGCTGGTCGAGGCGTGAAGCATCACAAGGACAAGGACACGCCTTCCATCAACTGGAAGCAAGCATTCGAGAGGTCAATTGAGAGCAATTATTGATTTCAAGAATCAAGAAATAGGAGATGTCAATGGGGCAAGAAGCTTCTGCATCCAACTCAGTCATGACAACAATTGTTAGTGGCCAAGAGAAGACAATGTATGCGCTGTTAGGTATGCCTGAGTGCTTGAAATTTAATGGTACGAATTTGTACCAATGGGAGAAATTTGTGGATTTAACCCTCATTGGGAGAGGTTTGTCGGAGCGTCTAATTGATGTTCATGTTGGTATGAATGATCCGAATTACAGAATTTAAAAATATGAGGAAGCCTTTATTCATTCATGGCTCTTTAGAACCATGACAATAGAAATGTGTGATAACTTTCTTTATATGACTATTGTGAAAGAATTGTGGAGTGAAGTCCACAAGAATTGCTCTAAGTAGCAGAATGATTGGAAGATCTATGGGCTGAATGTCAAAACAATGAGGGCAATACAAGGGGAGAAGACAATCATGGAGTTATCATGTGAACTGAAGGTTATATGGCACGAGATTGATCATTATTGGCCTGTGAAGAATTCTCACTCCGAAGAAAGAAATTACTTATTGAAGCAGAGAATGTTTACATTCTTAATGGCTTTAAATCTAGAATATGAGTCTTTGGAGTCATATCCCACATAGAGGGCACCAGATTTAGATGAAGCCATCGGTATTGTTATGGAGGAAGAGAGTCGATTGCGTCTACTCTCAGATCCATCAAGGTCTAGCCCAATTGCCTTTTTCACTAAGAAAACTAAAAAAAATCAAGCCAAAAAGTTCAACAAGATAAGAAGAATTCAACTGATCAATGACAGAGGGCCTCAAATGACTATAAGGATAGTCTTTGGTGTTCTTTTTGCAAATGCAAAAGACATACCAGAGAAACATGTTGGAAGGTATATGGTAAGCCCCAACAAAATCGAAAGGTATATGTTGCTGCTTCTTTGAGTCATGAAGGTGGAGAACAAGAACAATCGAAGGAGCAAATAGGAGAGCCTGCTCATGAACGTGAGGAGGACCTTATAAAGATAAAGGAAGAACTAGAGTGACTCAAAAGCATGCTGAGTTTTACCTCATTGGCATGCTCAGTTGAAAAGAAAGTATTTTTCAGTAATACTATTATCCTAAAACCCAGTAGAATAAATTGGATTATTGATACTGGTGCCACAGATCACATGACACCAAATATCTCTAGATTCGTTAATTATGCAAAGATAAATAAGCCACATAAGGTCCTTAGAGCTGGAGGAGGAATCTTATCAGTGGCGGGTATTGGGAGCATCAAAATTAATGGGCTGGGTACACTTAAAGATGCCCTTCATGTGCCTAGACTTGAGGCACATCTTATATCCTTACAAAAACTTGTGTAAGATTGTAAGTGCAAATTTATTCTTGAAGATGATGCATGTTTTCTAATTGATAAGGTGTTGGGGCAAAGGACTGGACATGTTAAGCGTCAAGATGGCCTTCTCTATCTAGAAGATCAAGATGTAGTGTGTCTCTCCTCTCTTAGTTTTTCCAGAGATGCTAAGAGCCAAATCATGCTTCAGCAAAGTCGTGTTGGACATCCTTATTTTGAATTGATGAAACATTAGTTTCCTACCATTTGTAATAAGGTTGATCTCAAAACTTTGATGTGTGAGGCTTGTCAATTGGCCAAACACAAACGATCTACATTTCATTTTAAGAATGAAAGAGTTTAGTACCACTATATCGGATTCACAGTGATATATGGGGGCCATGTCAAATATCTAGTATATCTGGTGGCATATGGTTTATGCTATTTGTTGATGACTATACCTGGTTTATATGGCTTTATCTTCTTAAGTCTAAAACTGAAGCTGCTCAAATTATCTCACAGTTCTTTAACATGATAGACAATCAATTTGGAATAGTGATAAAGCGGTTCAAAACAGATAATGCCAAAGAATATTTCAATACTATCATCTCCCCTTATTTTGCTCAAAGAGGCATAATCCATGAATCATCATGTATTGATACTCCACAATAGAATGAGCTAGCTGAAAGAAAGATTGACTAAATTGTGGAGACAATTAGAGCACTATTATTCTAGGGAAATATACCCAAACAATATTGGGGAGAGGCTATATTGGCAGCTACACATCTTATAAATCACATACCAGTAAGATCAATTGGACATCAGAGTCTGATTGATTTATTGTCTAAAGCTTATCAAAATGTAAAGTTGCAAACGAACTTAGCTCCTAAGGTATTTGGTTGTGTGGCATATGTTCACATTGCTAATACTCAATTGGGAAAGTTGGATCCTATAACACATAAGTGCATATTTGTGAGATACTCATCGATTCAAAAGGGTTATAAATGTTATTGCCCATCATCCAGAAGATATTATATCTCTACAGACGTTACATTTAATGAATACGGGATGTATTATAAAAGGACCGAAGAGCCTGATATTCAAAGATCAGAAAATCTTTTAGTTTCTATCTCTGAAGACCCTTGTCCTCAAGTGACACAAATATTTAGGAGACAAGTTCAGACAGAGTCACCTAATACAACAGTCACAGTTGAGGAAGAAACGGTGGAGAATGTAACTGAACCAATGCAGCTGGAAGAAGATGATCCAGGGCAAAATGAGGTCGAACAATTTGATGTAGGCCTAGTTGAAGATGATCAGCTCGGATGGCCTATTGCCCTGCGTAAAGGGGTAAAGAATTGCAGAAACAGACCAAGGTATCCAATGCCCAATTATCTACCATATGATAGATTGAGTCAAGAGTATAAAGTATTCTTGAGCTCACTTAATATGACAAGTGTACCAAAAATAGTTGATGAAGCATTAGCCAGAAAAGAGTGAAGCCAAGCAATGGATGCAGAGATGGAGGCCCTGCAAAAGAACCATACATGGGATATGGTTCCTCTCCCAATTGGTAAGAAGGCTGTGGGGTGGAAATTAGTATATACCCCGAAATTCAATGCAGATAAGTCACTTGAAAGATATAAGACACGATTGGTAGCAAAAGGCTATACTCAATCATATGGGATTGACTATCTTGAGACCTTTGCTGGTTGCTAAGCCTAACACTGTGAGGATATTGATTGCTCTAGCAGCTAAGTTGAACTGGGAAATACATCAATTTAATGTCAAAAATGTATTTTTACATGGAGAATTAGAAGAGGAAGTCTACATGACTATACCTCTAGGATATCCACTATTCAATCAATCAGGAGTGGTTTGTAGACTAAAGAAAACCCTCTATGGTCTCAAATAATCTCCTTGAGCTTGGTTTGGAAGGTTCACCAAGACAATGAAAAGTCAAGGATATAAATAGAGTAATGCAGATCATACTTTGTCCATCAAACATATTTCGTATGAAGGTATGACTGTATTAATTGTATATGTCAATGATATATTGATCACAGGTGATGACACAAATGAAATCCAAAATCTGAGTAAAAATCTCTCACAAGAGTTTGATATTAAGTCTTGGGAGACTAAGGTATTTTCTTGGTATTGAGGTGGCACACTCGAAAGAAGGTATCTTTATTTCTCAACATAAATATACTGTTGATCTGCTCCAGAAAATTGGACAACTTACGTGTAAACCAACAGTCACACCAGTGGATATACATGTGAAACTTGGAGCAGGAGGTGACAGTCCTCCAGTTAATAAATAATCCTTCCAAAGGTTGATTGAAAAATTGATTTATCTGAATCATACTAGACCAGATGTGGCATATGTTGTGAGTTCCTTGAGTCAATTCATGAATGACCCAAGAGAAATTCACTTACAAGCAGCATATCGTATTCTAGTATATTTGAAGAATATTGTAGGACAAGGCCTATTATTTTCACGAGGTGGTGATAATACTGTGGAAATATATACAGACATAGATTATGCAGGATCAGTAAGTGACAGGAGGTCAACATCTGGATCTTGTTCCTTCGTCGGTGGAAATCTGGTCTCATGGAGAAGTAAGAAGCAAAAGGTGAGGTCCAGATCTAGTGCAGAAGCTGAATTTAGAGCTATGGCTCAAGGTACATGTGAAGCAATATGGATAAAAATACTGTTTGAAGATCTACATCTGTACTCCCAAGGTTGCATCAAGTTGTACTATGACAATCAATCAGCTATAGCTATTGCCCATAATTTAGTTCAACATGACAGGACAAAGCACATTGAAATAGATCGCCAGGGATGATAAACTTGATGTTTATCAATTCTACTATTCAAGTGGCAGATATATTCACCAAGGGGCTGTCGGGACCAACTCTATAGAAGCTTGTATTCAAGTTGGACATGTCTAACATCCACACCCAACTTGCAGGGGGGTGTCAGACAAACTAGGATCTCGTTATTGTAGTGTCTCTCTTCTATTTGGGCCCTTAAGTGAGTCAGTTATGGACTACTTAATGGGCTCTCCCTTTCTTTTTTCAAAATAAGAGGGCTTGGCCCACTATAGATGTAACCGGTATTTAAACCGGTGTAGAGGTGAATTGAGAATAAACTTTTCGTGAATCTACTCTAATGGGATTTTCTAGGTGGCTCCAATGAGAAGGGAGGGCGAAGACCTGATCAAGAAGATCAAGATCCTGTTTTGACACTCTCACATGAACTTAAACTAATTTAACGTCCATGATGGTACTTGTTAGAACTTTACTTATACCAAATTCCTTAGCGTCTGACTTTATTTTTTTCTGGGAGTGTTTTCTCAGAGAAAACGTTGAATGGACGCTATTTTCTCTCTGGACTAATGGTATTTGTCTCCTTTGGATCATAAAGAATTATGAAATTAGTAAACGATTATTTGATTTGACTTATGATTACAAACTCAACTGTCTTTTCTTTTAATGGTGAGAATATTTCTCTGATGTTTTCCCAATCTGGTGGCAGAATTTTATGGGCCATTTTATGGTCCGCTAACATCAGATCTACTTGCCATCAAGACATTGTAGTGTCTTGAAATTAAGATTCTAACATGTGGCTTATGGTTAAACTGCATATCCAGTTCCCTGTCAGCTGCTGTAACATGTTTCTTTGGACTCCATTTCGGGCACGTGATTGCAAATTTTAAGGTATGATATACTTAATGTATTTCAATCTTGTTGATATCTTTTAATCCGAACCACACATCCAAAAAACATTAGTACTTTTTCTTAAATGCAATCAAACAATCTTTGAGACAAAGATAATGAAAGCTTTTTGAAATTGCCTGGAATCTGTGGGTACTTCGCTGTGTGAACTGTGAGTGACACAAACAGAATGATGTGGTGCTGATGAGTTTTTGGGTTTTTTGGCCCCATTAATCGGCATACTGAATTTTGTTCTCATGTTTAGGGTCATATGAAGAGATTACTTTTTTGGTCCATCACTTCCTTGCTGCTTCTACTGGTGGGTTACATCTTGAAGATATTAGGTACTTTCGTGGGTATCAGGAGCCACGTATCTTGAATCCCCATTTTGTTATGAACTCAATCGTTATGCTAACCTGTTGATCCCTTTGTTTCTTCCCACTCCTCCAGGTTTGCCTTTAAGTAAACCTTTGTATACACTGAGCTATCTGTGTGTTTCGACTGGAATCTCGGGAGTTGTCTTAATTGTGATATACTACATAGTGAGTTCAAATGCTTATACAACCATATATTTTACACCATCGTATTTTAGAAAATCATTCCTCAATGTAAAGGAGGTTGCATTCACAAGAGCGTGGAAAAAATATGGATCTATTGTGAGCATGAACTTCCAGAGGCTGATGTATTTCAATGGATTCTGCAGTTTATTTCATATTCATCACATGTTAGGTCACTATGCCTTTCAATAAATGCATATGGAAACATGTTTTTTACTTCTAAAATCATTATTAGATATCTACGTAGATATTTTATTCGATTTTTGAATCAAGTTGATAGCTTTCGTTTCGTTCTATGAAAACTTGCAATGTGTTCCCTAGAGGCCCTCATCATCAAGACACATCATCTGGGCAATAAGATTGAGGGATCTGGGCAATAAGATTTGAGATTGTGCTCATTTTGAAGACGCTAAACTGTCAATAAGCACGATAGATTAGATGATCAATGCAGTGCCGGCTTGCTTTTATTGTAGAGCATTTCTTTCCCCTGTTACTCGGAGGAAAGAGGAAAAAGTGAGAAAAAAGGGAAAGTGAATGAAATCATAGATGCAGAGTGAGGAAATCCAAAAAGGGGAGAAGTAGTCTCACATGGTTGACTTTCCTCCAATCCAGATTCTTTCTTTACATGTCTCTCGGTGTTAAAGATATATTTTTTTCTGCACATGTAGTGGTTATGTGAACAACCTGTTCACCGTTCTGTTATTGTGTCTTCTCACAGCGTAATTGCTGCACGGCTCATCATCTTTTACTCTGTTATGAAGAATTACTTCGTTGCATCCTTAATGTATATAATTATTATTTAGGGTAATCCTGAGGTGGCAATCGTATGCAACAAACTTCTTCACATTGAATCACTCTGGGTACTTGGGCAGTACTATAGTGACATTTTTTTTTTTGACATACTTTTTTTTCCTGTAGGTTGATGTCAAACAATTAAAGAAGCCGACGATATTACTACAGTGGATGGGAATGAACGCCCTAATTGTGTATGCTTTGGCTGCTTGCGAACTGTTTCCGGCAGTCATCCAAGGATTTTATTGGCACTCTCCTGAGAACAACCTTGTAATCCTTTTTATCTTGCCTCTTTATTTTCCTTCACGAATGCATATTTTTCGCGCATTGATGTAATTTTATTTTCCTTTTTCTTTCTCATGATCTCCCTACAACTTTTGAATTTGTATCTCGTGGGGCTTGAAGAATTTATTTGAAGATATTCCTAGTTTTTTATGTGCTTCTTAGACTTTCCCAAGATTATATACTGAAAGCTTTTCTTCTGAGTGGTTTGCCCAATTTGCAATAAAAAGAGAGTTCTAAGAGATAGCTTCAATCACGAGGTTAATTTTAAGCGACTCTGAGACCCAGATCATCATCACCGAGCTCTTGCAAATTGATCGTGTGATCAGGATGAATTCTGCTCGTGATTTCTCTGTTTGAGTATATCTCCCTTATACATACTCTAATTGTTCGAGCACAATAGCCATGGGCAGGAAGCTCCTGTCACTTCAGCATTGAGTTTGTTGATACCATGGATTCAATGACCGGTCTTATCTGGACTTGATTCCTGCTTGCAGGTGAACCTGTCCGAGTCATGGTTGCAGGCCGTCGCTCATTCCAAGAAGTGGGGAACCCTCGCGTTCGTCCTGTTGGAGATCATGTTTTGGTGCCTTGTTGCTGGCTTCCTCCACAGGAAAGGTATTTACATAAAATTATAGCTCGCGCCGGCCAAGATTCTGTCTTTTCCTGTGTATTCTTTAATCTTGTCTCAGAAAAACTCTGATAAAATAATGGGCACGTCAAGTTGAATGAAAAATCTCAGTTTCTCAATCGACTTCATGTCAATGGCGTCCGCGAGGAGTGCCCAGCAGAGCAACCCACGTTGGGGCCTCCCCAGTTGCGGCGGCGGCGCTAGTTCTGGCTGCGCCGCCATCTCCCGCTTTCGGAAAAAATTAAGAACGCCGATCTCTGCCGGTTTTCCGCCCTCGAAATGGCGACGGATTGAAGCATCGAGACTTTAATTTTTTTAATAATTTCTGGGAGGTTACATGGAATGCACGTCTCGCCCATCCGTGCCGCTGCGGAAGCTCTAGACTTCGCGGGCATCACGTCGCGCTCAGGGGGTGAGGGGGCTGGTTCTGCAGCAGAAACGATCTCTGTTGTTGCAAATGCAGCTGCTCGTAGAACCTGGCTATGAACTCCTCGGCCTTCTTGTCAATGGACTCTTCTTCTTCCTCTTCTTCTTCTTCTTCGGCAACCACCGACTCTTCGCTGCGGCCCTCTATAAGATATCGTCCTCCTCCCCATTCTCGCTCTTCATCCACGCCGTCATAATCGAAATCCACTGTGGGTTTGAAGCAGGGGATGCTTGGAATCTCCCTGGATTTTCGCCGGCGATTGATAGAGAAGAAGAGGGGAGTCTTGTCGACAACCTCGGAGGGTGAGGCCTTGAGGCTCTTGACGCAGTTGAGCAAGCGCCGGAGCTCTGACAGAAGCCCCCGTTTGAAGACTCCGCCTTTCCTCGCCCACAGCAAGGCCAACGTGAGCAGCTTCCAAGCTCCCCCCGCCAAACCCGGTCTCTTCTTCCCCATCGTATGAATTCGCTTCAGCAGCTTGTAAAAGGAGAGACACTGAGTGTTCAGAGGAGGAGGAGAAGATGGAGGCGAAGGAGAGCTTTATATACTACCTTTGGAAGCTTGTAATCGCTGCAACCGGATCATCGCTGCCGAGTTGTTTGTTTCCGAGGGGCTGCTTCCTGCCGTGGTTCCTACATGATCAACGCGGTTTCCTCAAGAGCCAATTAACAAATGGTCGAGTGTCTGTAGCGTTGAAAAGATGGGAAGATTCCTTCCGGGAAGACGACGAGCCGATCATATAGTCTTCCGGTTGCTTTTGTGAACTATCACGGAAGGTGCCCTCTAGAGGAGATTATCGCCATGGCATGGCGGACGCGGTGGTTCGTTCTTGATCCAAATGACTTACCAGCAGAGAACGAACCTGTCACAGGCCACCTTCGCAGCGGATGCGACCAATCCCCGCCAGGAAGGTGCTCGCTGCAAGCTGAAGAATCAGAAAAGGACGGGGAAGAAACAAACAAAGAACTGGACTTTCGAAGTTTGACCGACCACCCTCGAACGGCGGCCGGTTGCTATGGCCCCGCGGCGGCGGTCGGCCTCGCCCCCGTTCCACGCGCCGCCGCCATGCAGGCGACGAGAAATGCTGGTAATTTTTCGATTGAATCAGGGGAAGCCGATTTCTTCGTTCAGGGGATGCGTGGGAGAACACTCGGCGCATCGTCGTGAAACACGCTAGAAAGGCCTCACAGTAACCACCAGCAGAGACCCGAGTTGATAGCTACTTTTCTACCTTCCTAAGCGCGTCAGGAAGGTGATGATAAGGTCGATCCAATGATCGGAGTCTGCCGCTCATGTATAAACAAGTGCAAGGTGCATGAGGGGAGAGGGGGAGAGAGAGAGAGAGAGAGAGCTTCCGGTTCCTCCTCCCCTCTTACTGTCTTCCCGTGAAACCAGCTCCCGAAAGCGTAAACGCAGATCACGGGATTCGGCACTGTGACTGAGCTTGCGACTGCTGCCCTCTCCTGCTTATAATTAGAAAGTAAAAGCGAGATTACAACGAAACCTAGCGGGGGAAGACGGCCCCGGCTTTCCAGCCTTGGATGCCGGGCCCGTCCTCGCCCTCCGCTCCTCCCTTTCCCCTCTTCTCCCCGCAAGTTTCCCTTTGAATTCCCTTCCTCGATCAGGAGGCTTGCAAGATATTTCTTACCATCGTTTGTTGGAACCAGTTTCTATTTTCGGGCGACGTTGGTGATGGGTGGAAGTAGAAACTACGCCGCTGCTCTGGACGTCAGGATCAAACCTTGTTGGTCAACGAAACGGAGCCCAAAACCAGCATGGCTTCCCTGCAAGCCTACCGAGAGATCCCTCCGTTGGCCTGTGTTTACGTAGTTCCAGCCCAGAGAGAGAGAGAGAGAAGAGATCGGGCGCCCAAAAGAGGAGAGAGAAGAGCGGACTCTCAAGAAACGTCCGCCATATATTTCTCCAGCCCGTAGCCGTCTTTTAGCAGGCGGAAAGAAGGCCCTCCTCGTCCGCAGCCTGAGGCCTCAAATAGGACCTGAGAGCTCCTCCAAGGCCATCCCCCATCGCAGATGGAGGACGAGGAAGCTCACAGAAACGACGTCACCGTCACTCGGCGGAGCCTGCCGCCTCCGGCATCGGGATCGCGCCACAAAAGGAAAGCTTCCAGGACGTATCCCATGGGCGTTGCCCTCTTCATGACCCGCTGCTCTGGCAAGGGCCAGCCGCCCCTCGAGAAAACCAGCGGGAGGAGCCTCTGGAAGTCCCTGCTTGCCACCGTGAGGCCGCTGCACCACCACCACAGCCAGCCCCATGAGCACAGACGGCCGTCTTCCCCGCCGGTGCCCGGGGACGACTTCCACGACGTCCTCACCACGCCGTCCTCCTCGGAGGCTTCCTGTAGCGGCAGCAACAGCAGGTACGCGTCGGCGGAAGACCTCCCGGCGCTCAACGACGGCGACGAGGCCGACGGCCCCCATGCGATCGACGTCAGGGCGGAGGAGTTCATCGCCAAGTTCTACGAGCAGATGAGGCTGCAGCGATTGGGATCAGTCGGCTGCAAGATAATGCCGGAGAGTGCATGTTGAGCGGTCTTCAGACGTCAACGCTAAGTCTTTAGTGGTCTCCTGTTTTGTTCCGCATCTCATTTTTCTCCGAAGTCAAAGGTCTACAATAACCTGGCTTTTTGCAAGAAGCAAGGCTCTTTGTGTCTCTAGTTAAATATACCGAATGATATTATATATATATATATATATATTGCCATCATGGGTTCATAATCATATGTGATGTGGGATCAACATGCATGCATGCATTCATATAGCAGAACCAGCCGATGAGACTATGCATGCATGCACAAGACTTGTTTGTGATGTCTTGTGCATGCATAGATCATCGTCATGTTTGTGTTGACATCCCATGTTTCAAAGGGATCAATAGATCATCATGATCATGATGATTTTGTCGACGGCCCATCGATCATCAGATGGACCAGACAGAAAACGTGGATCTTCTTCATATAAACAGAATAAAGCACGGAGGGCTTCACCAAATGTGAATCCCCTCTATTTTCAGAAAAGAAGAAACTGAATTCGAAACCAGTCAACTGGAGAATCCTCTTCAGAGAAAACTGACCCATCATGGGGCTTGAGGTTCTGACTTGCGAAGTTGACTCAGGTGCTCCTGCAACCGTCCGGACGCCGCAAGTATGAGGCCTATATGGAAAACGATGGTCAACCCATAGCCTGAGTTCTGACAAGAGAAGCGGAAAACATGTTGACCATAAAGTTTTTTTTTTTTAAAAAAAAAAAAGGCAGAAAATAAGACTCAGCACCAGCATCTTTCGCTGCATTCACTGAGCATGAAGGGATCTTTTATCACTCAGGTAAATGGATAAAACACCCTTCAGGGTTTCCCCATAAACTGAAGGGCCAGATAGGGAAAGCAGTAAGTGACTTACCGACGAATGGAGGAGAAGGCCGGCCTGGTCTTGATTTATATTCAGGGTGAAATTGCACACCAACGTAATAGGGATGATCTGGTAACTCTAGAATCTATTTGGAGATGTGCAATCAAAGTCATCATCAGCATATGAATAATAATAATAATAATAATAATAATAATAATAATAATAATAATAATAATAATAATAATAATAATAATAATTTAGCAGTTATTATTTTCTGTATGGGTACCTCCATTCTTTTTCCACTTTCATCCCTTCCAACGAACTGTAGACCGGCACCTTCCAGTTTGCCAATTACATCCGGATTCACCTAAAGTTTGCAGAAAAACGAAGGATGTGAGGAAATTGATTTATCAGCATTCATAGAATGGCGAACTTTATTCACAACTAATATGAACAAAATAAATCAATAATTCATCCATGGTGCTAACCTCGTATCTGTGGCGGTGGCGCTCATCCACATATGAAGAATTTCGATACCTAAATACAAAAGATTGGCAATGAGATCAAGAAAACCAAAAAACATATTTCCATGCTCAGTATGTATGCCCCAGGAAAGACTATATTCATGGACTGCAAGTGATCATCTTATTGCTGTTCTGTTTGATGTCGCCTGTTGGCAATGAACTAATGGCAGACCTGCATTTCGCTGTTCAGATCCCATATTTCTTGCTCGATGCCAAACCAAATTGTGATGAGTTTAAACAAAGCTTAGGTGACCCCGACCAACTCCAGGTGAGTAAATAAATCAAAAGCTTCTATAGAAAAATGACAGGTGACAAAATTCTGGATATTGCGTTGAGTGAAACTAGAGATATCAAAACCATGACCCGATGAACCCCAAAAACTAGGCTGTTCGAGGTGTCTTTGATGCCAGAGAACTAAGGAATCAGATGATGCTTAATGGATCAGCCAGAAGTCAGTCTAACCAATCTTGGTTCGACTAAAGGCTGGGCTACCAATTAGATTGATCTGCCAATCTGAAGAAAATTTCACTAAGTATTTTTCTCATCAGCAATTCCCATCCCTATTTGACCGACTTCTCTTTTTTTTTCTCTCTCTAACATACGGAGTTGTCACAAAAGGCGAGAGCTTTAAAGTACGTACAGCTTAGAAGAAATGCAATCAGGAGTTTGGAAAAATGTTCTACGGCAGCCAAGTCTCATTGTGCTTCCCATATATGTTCTGGATCCCTGCATGCCAGAATCAGAAATAAGAAACATTGAAAATGTACCTACTAGTTTCACTAGCAATTAAATATTACCCATTACCTCTGGCATAAATATCACAACAGGTTCAGGTGTTTCAGCATCAAACTCTGTACTGTTTGCTCTCTCCATGCCCAAAGCCTGAAAAATCAAATGCAATGAATGAAAGGCACGAAACACAAATGACCACAAGCATGTCCAAAATATTCGATAAGCAAGATGATACATACAGATCTAGAAAACTCAATCACAGATATCTGCATCCCAAGGCATATCCCGAGATATGGAATGCTATTCTCCCTAGCATATTTCGCAGCCAAAATCATTCCTGGTACTCCACGGTCTCCAAACCCACCCGGAACAAGAACACAATCAGAATTCTGTCGAGTAAACCATCGAATCAACTATTAGAACAGCTGAACAAATGTAACAACTTAATCATGATAATATATGCCACTATCTGTTATTTTTTTAGCGTGTATCAATGATGAATTCTCCAATGATCATGAGGGACAACAATCCCAGCCAACATATGTAAATTTGAATCTCACTTTTAGATTATCCCAAGCAGAGCAATGCGCTTCTGGTGTCTGCAAGACAAGTGAAACTCCAACTGAGATACATCAACCATTGGAGGGAAAAACTTAGAGGTAAACTGAAAGACATACAAGCTTTGCACTCTCGTCTTCAAGGTCAGAAGCTGCGATCCACTCAACTGATGGCTTTAAAGAATATGCAATACAAGCATGAAGAAGGGCCTGCCACGCGCAACATGATCAAGAAAACATTTTAAGATTCTATGCTTGCTGGCGTTGATATTATTGTTCTCGCTAAAATTGGGAGGTGAAAGAACATACAGAACGTGATTTTTTTCTTATTTCCATATCCCTGTGCATGCCAATCAGGAGGCATATTTATTATCTATAATTCATTAATTCTAACTATCGCAATAATGCTTCTTTATTAACCAATTACATCACTCATGAAAATGAATGTTGACAGAACTACATGCTCGGAAATCGGAGAAGTTTTTTAGTTTTGGTGCCCAGAAAAGAAGTAACTTCAAAGGAATTTACCACCATACCTTGACTACTGAGAGGTAAGAATCAGACAGGCCGGTATACTTTCCAACTAAGGCGACTTTGACCTGGATAGACAAGCTATTGTTAACACACTACCAATATGCAATCACACCAATACAAAAATCATATGATAGATTGCCACATAAACTTACACAACCAGTGAGATTATCATAAGTCTCTGCCATATTTGTCCATTTTTCCAAATTTGGGGTGATAGCAATGCTGAAGTTAAATTGCCAAAAAGAATGTCAAAACTTGTCTTGCAATCATCATAAGAAATCGGAAAGTGAGAAGTAAAGTCGGATAGGTGGGAAACCTGCCTGAGACAATCCAGTTGTTTTAAAATAGCATCATGAGCATTTTGGTTCTGCAAAATATTCTGAAGTTAGAATCCTGTAAAATAAACGCAGAAAGAAACCATAGAGATCTCAGTAGGCAAAATGTACAAAAAGATGAGTAGCAAATTATCTTGAAACCAATTTGAGTCCGTGACAAGTTTAATCATCTTTCTAACGCAGACGACCCCAGCACCAGGCAATGAGGTTGACACTGAGAAGCCTTAAAACTCACCCGAAGCAAAAGTGGAACGTGCCAAATATTTGGAACATCGTGGATATTAAGTATATTGCCGGCCTATAAACCAAAAGATCAGTAATGAGAGTCCAAACTAAAAAAGATTTCATCACGAGAGTCATGCTCATATTATGCACAGAAAAATGACAAAAACTTCAGAAAAATCCCACTAACCAAGTCAATATGTTTTTAGAATCATCTACAAACGATCTTAAACCACAACAGAGAAAACTGCAAATCAATTGTTTCTAGTGCGCCAATGAAAAATGTTTAACATATCTTACCGGAACATGACAAAACTGCGAAAGTTTCTCCTTTGTACCTTCCCTTAAGGGCTGAAATCAACAAATGAGAAAAATTAGGTCTCTCCTACGACATAATGAGCAAATAATAAAAAGCCAACTTATTTTGAGCAAAGGATTCTTGTCCTCCAAATTGGAAAAATTGAACGGAAGAATAGACTGAGTTCAAGCATCAATATGCGATTTGTCTGATGAATGATTTAGTAACAAAACAGCCAACTAAAGCATACCAACAGATCGATGGGTAAACGAATGGATGTCATGAAAAATATCCTGATGTATTCATATCTGAAACCCTTGGCTGTAGAATTACTTTTTTTTTTTATTTAAAGAAAAAATTAAGCAATGTTTACACCATGAAATAAACAAGAAACACATGTGGGCCAAGAAAATGGGTAGGAAGTGTCCCCAATTTCCCAAAGACACAAAATTATTAGACTATAACCAAAGGTACAGACTAGATGATGTACCATAAAGAATTTTGCCAGAAACAGAAATAAGATCCAGAAATTTGATTTTAGCCTGCAACCCAGATCATAACCCAACTGAAGGACACATTAGAAAGGGACATTAGAAGTGACACAGCCATCATTTATGTGATTCCAGACCATAATTTTATGAAACCAACGCACCAAAAGTCTAGACAGATGTTACTAAACAAAAATATAAATATGACTCGATAAATCACCTTCCAAATAAAACATTCAAAAACCAGGTACTCATTTCAATGAAAAAGTACTAGTAATATGAAGATACAATGTCGCTCAGTAAGTTCAAGTTATATGAATGTTGGAAGTACCTGAGCAGAACGGCAGACTAAAAGATCAGGTGTCAAACCTAATGCTCTCAACTCCCTCACACTATGTTGAGTTGGCTTGGTTTTCTAACAAAGACAAAGAGTGAAAAGGAACCACACATTCAGATTGGAAAGGTAATGACATAAAACGAACAATAATTACAAGCCAGGGAAAACTTGGTTACCACAAGAATTGTACTTTGAATTTAAAAAGAATGATCATTATGGTAGTCTACCTGCTCACCAACAACACCCAGCACCGGTATAAGGCTGACATGAATGAGGCAAAAGTTATCTTTTCCTGGGGGAAAAAAATACGAATATACATTATATCTACTTCAGTTATATGAGAAACTCATTTCACTGAAATGGAAATAGACACATGAAGCCTAATTCCGACAAACAGGCCAGAGATTATCAAATTCTTTAAGCCATTAAGCATAGTTTGTGTTTCTACCAGCCAACTATTTACAAGCCATAAAGTCACCCATTCACCACGAAGCCATAATGTAGGGACACTAGCTAAAAAGCAGCAGAGTATACCAAGATGGGCTATAACGAAGGCTTATTTCAAAAATGACCAAACACGTGGATAAGCGCTTACAAGCGATCCCAGAAGTTTTATTTGAAAAATCAAGGTAGAGAGGATACTATCTACAGGACAGGACGGGTGCATATGCGGGCTCCACTGTGGACTAGAAAAACATTTGCCCTAGCACTCATTACAAAAGACAAAAGGGGCAAACAATAATAACAAGATACTAGAGAAGACAACCAAAAGGATTTCCACAAAATGAAAAGATTCAACCTGAACTAAATTTCACAAAACTTTCTGTGTCGAAGGAAATTCCCCAATGTAATAACAAAAGAAATGGGCAGTGTGTTCTGCCACCACTTACTGACTATCATGAAGAAAGAGGAAAAAGAGACAAAAATTTCCTCAGTGCAAGTGCAGGAAGATATCTTTCTTAAGAGAGAACAATAAAATCAGCAACAACCAAATAATCAATCATAACCATGCAGCCCACTTGGTAAAAATGGCCTACTTTTGATCGGAAAAGTCATAGGAGAAAATACTAAAAATTATGCATACATACATGTTTTCCATTTTTTATTCATAGCACATGGCTGGTAATCATTTTCAACAAGGACTAATCATTTTCTCGAGCAAGTGTAATGGTCGACATATTGAAGTTTGAAATAAAAACAGTAGACAGGAGGACAGTAGAGTAATTACAGGTACCATACCAATAGAAAATGACAATTGACGCAAGGCCTCAATGAATGGCATAGACTCGATATCACCTGACAGCAAAAATTAATTTCTTGTCAACAAGAAATATCTTAAATGACCGGGTCGTAATAGGATGATAACAGTAAAGAGCTGCTTGCAACATTTGACAACAGAGCCTCATAACACCTACCTACTGTTCCACCTAATTCTATAACACAAATATCAGGCGGTCCATCTTTTCCATCGACAGAAATAGTAGACACCCTTTCAATCCAATTCTTAATGGCGTCAGTTATGTGCGGAACGACCTGAAATAAACTGGAGCAGTGGTAATAAGGGCTCTTCAATACTGTAGTCATGGACACCATAATTGATGCATGTGCATTGAAAAATGATGGATATCTGTACTTATAATCTTCAATCATCACCTGAACAGTCTTTCCAAGATAGTCTCCTCTCCGTTCCTTGTCAAGAACAGACTGAGGAAAAAAAAATGGATTCGTCACACTCGAGGAAAAAAGAAAGAAAGAGAAGAAAGAAGCAGAGCAACCCCCATTGTGAGCAAAATTTGCTTATCAAAGGCTCGTTCACCTGATATATCTTCCCAGTGGTAATGTTATTGTCCCGAGTTAACGTGATGTCCAGGAAGCGCTCATAGTTCCCCAGGTCCAGATCGACCTTTGCTCGGCATCATTTGAAACTTCAGTAGAAGTTTACAAAGTTGGGATAATAGTAAAATTAAAATAAATTATGGTAAAAAATACGGAGACGGTAAAAAAAAAAACGAATCATTGAGACCTGGTCCTATACAGTTTGCGCAAAGAGTGAAGCAACAGACCTCTCCACCATCATCCAGGACAAAAACCTCCCCATGCTCAAAAGGGGACATTGTCCCCGCATCAGTGTTCAAATATGGATCTGTAATAAACAAGCTTAATATCCATAAAATAGTCGCACAACACGCCCTTACAAGGAGATCAACGTTGGACGATAACATTCAAAATAGTTAAACGTTTCCAATGTTATCAGGATGACAAAAAGTTCAACTTTGTAGCGGCGTGAAGAAACCGGGCACGGATAAGGCAAAAAAATCCTTCTCACTAACTCGTACAAGTGGAGACGAAAAAACCGAGAGGAGTTCATCGATGAAAACAGAAAACTAGACAAACGGATAAACAGGTTCATTGGCCAATACCCCAATACTCAGGAACGGAAAATACTCGAAAGGAAAACTATCCGAGAAGAAGGGTACCAATTTTGACAGAGGTGACGCGAAGGCCGCACGCCTTCAGGACGACGCCAATGCTGCTGGCAGTTACTCCTTTCCCGAGCCCGCTCACCACGCCTCCTGTCACCAGCACGTACTTCATCTTCTCCAATCTGCTCCCACACCCTCCTCCCTGCACTTGCCGCTCCCTCACTAACCACCTGTCGCCTGTGCTCCCCAGCGCCCCGCCGCCCCGCCGCCCCGCTGCCCCGCTTCCTGTTCCTCCTGGCAGCAGGCGCCAATGGGTTGAGTCCACGGAGAAAAAGTTCACTACGAAACCTTCCCAAATGTAATTTGCCGATTGACAACGAGCAGATTTTTTCATTAATATCTTAAATGATAATAAGGTTATATAATTATTTTATATATGGTTTTGCTCCCTCTCTCACACACAGAATAAATGGTACCTGTTATGGGCCCCAGTTGGGCCCGGCCCATTATATACGGATTATCTCGATAAGAACGATTATTCATTGACCGATTGACCAGATAACGTAATTAAGGCTGCCTACGTGCCGTTAACGGGCTTCCTGAAGCGGGGCCCAGCTATCTCCGGAGAGAAAAATTTCAGCCGTCGGATCACGTGGAGATCCAAGGGACTTGGTGGGGCCCGTGGATTTCGTAATTTGAATTCGTGTTCGTCCTCCTTTTTGCCGGCGAGAGAGAGACGTTGGTTTAACGTTTTCCGACACCCCCCCACCCACTTCTCGGCTTTTTTTTATTTCATTAATGGTCGCTCCTGTCCTTCCTTGATCAGTTCTGGAGTCCGCCTCCGCCTTCCCAACTCATCTCACCACCTGGGATCCCTTGGTCTCTTCGAGCTTCGGAGCGTCGGCTTCCGAAGCTCATTTCTAACGCAGTATCTGGGGGAGGCGGCCCCTTGTGGTCGAGATATTTGCTGGAACCTGTCCTTGTTTCTGACCAGGTGAGTGATCGGTCCTCATTGTTGTTGAAATCATTGGTTCTTCCCGGCTCCGGACGAGGGTGAAGAAAATGGCATCCTCGTTTTTTGCGTTGATGATTGCGACTCTTCTCGTTTTCCCTTGATGAACTGTTCTTTTTGGCGTTGGAGAGTTAGAGAGCTAGGGTTATGGAGCAAGAACGTGGATTATTCCGATCTTGCTCGGGATCCTCCTCGTGTTTGCTTATTCCATGGGAAATTGCTCGAATGGGGAATTTAGTCTCCAATCTGGGGGCGCATTTTGTCTAAGGGACGATGAATCGTCGGGAGATTTATCTGCCTTCGGTTTCCATTTTCTTTGATAAAAGGTTGACATGGCGCGTTGTTCAGATTTATCGCAAGACCGTGGATTGCTCTCATGGTATTCTTTTCTTTTTTCCAAAACGCAGAAAAGTATTCAAGTAAAATCTGGTGACAGTCTTGTTTGCGAGTATGGCTCCTTCATTTTACTGATCTTGTCCCTTGGACTGAGGAAATGGGAGCGGAGAAGGCGGGCTCAAAAACCGGAGGATTCTTTCATCTGTTCGACTGGAATAGAAAGTCACGCAAGAAGCTATTTGCTAATGGAACCATTTCCCCTGGTAAGATCATGCTGTAAACAGATCACTTCTATTTTTCTCGCTTCTTCTCTGAAATATTGTTTCTTCTTGTAGTGGGATCGAAGCAGAGAACGAATGTCAGTGGGAACGTGCCAACAATGCGTCCCCCCAAATTCGTGAGAGCCTCTACCTCTATGTCTTTTGTCCGATTGTGAACAATTTACCTAGAATGCTCACTCACTCGTGCCTTTCAGATTGAAGACGACGACACCGGGGTGGTGTCAAGTGTGAAGGGAAGTGATTACAGTTGTGCCTCTTCAGTTACAGATGAAGAAGGTCATGGAGCTAGGGCACCTGGGGTAGTAGCCAGGCTTATGGGTCTAGATTCATTGCCCGGCGCAGGAGTTTCTGAGAATTTTTCCACCCCATTATTTGATTCACGTTCTCTTCAAGAAAAATGCTATCAAAAGGGAAGTCTGGATACCCATATTGATGAGAATTTCAGCAATGTGAGTGGTAGATCTGAATGCCATTATAGAAGACCAGTGGAGTTGAGGTGTCAAAAGATGCCCAGCAGCCCAATTGAAAGGTTTCAGACAGAGGTGTTGCCGCCAAGATCAGCCAGGTCCTTCCCGATTAATCATTACAAGTTACTATCGCCCATTAAAAACCCTAGGTTTTTATCTGGCAAAGATGCTGCTCACATAATGGAGGCAGCTGCGAAGATTCTTGAACCAGGACCTCCTAACATGAATGCCAAGTCCACAGTTCCTTCTCTTGGGTCATCTTCTCTCACAGTGAGAGTTCATGACTCAAAGGAGAACATCGCAATATGTCAGCGAGCATCAAGGCTTTCAGAATCTTCTAGACGGTCTCCCGAGCTTAATGCCCTCAAGCATCTCAGAGGGCATTCTCTGAGCGAGAGTTGGGATTCTCAAGATGGTGCTACTAGTCTGGGAACATCTACAGAACCAGGGAAAGATGGGTTCACCGGTGCCAAGTGTGGGGCCAAAAGTGTTTCGCTCGCTATTCAAGCTAAGGTAAATGTCAAGAAGAGAGAGTGCTCAAATGCATCAAGTTCGACCTCATCGATTCCCAGGGAACCAGAAGACGCTAGGCAGAACCAGCCATTCAGGAGTCAATTGAGCTCCAGGAATAAGGCCCAGAGAAAGGCTTCACCTGGTCCCCCTGGTGTGCTCAAGCAAAATAACCAGAAACAGAATGGCCTGCCAGCAAAGGAAAAGTCAACATCGAAGTCATTGGTGTCTAACCCGCAGGCTAGGAAAGCTACATCTGGAGATTCTAACTCAGGAAGGAGCAAGAACTTCGGGAAGAATAAGGAAAGCTCCAAGGTTGTTTGCAGAAAGGAAGATTTGACGACAGCAAATCCTGAGAAGGATGCGCCTTCATCAAGAACACGGAAGAAAAGATCAATAGATGGGAATTATCAGTCAGGCAGGAACAGTTTTGCTGATTCTACTTCAGTCGGCCGACGTGAGAAACGTATCCAATCCGCTATCACGATTGATGAACATAAAAAGTGGGTTGAAGACATCAAGGGAAATGACACAGATGTCGTGTCTTTCACATTTACCTCGCCTATGACTAAGCCGGCCCTTGGACCTCAGCCCACTCGTATCCTTGAGAAGAATGACAACATAAGTACGTTTCCAGTAGGCTTGCAAGGAGAACGGGATACCCGAAATGCAGAGGACAGCAAATTAGCCATGTTGGGTCGGAATGTACTCAGTGGCGACGCGTTGAGCATTCTCTTGGAACAAAAGCTGAGGGAACTGACTTCTGGGTTCGTCTCCTCTAACCTGGCTGAAGTGGGTAACATGTCATCTCCCACTCCCCTTTTCCCTGGTTCAGCATCTGCAGAGGAGAACAGCCATGCAGTGACAATGTTTGGTGATCCGAAGTCCACTCCAGATTCTTGCAGAACTAGATTCCATGATGAATCTAATTCTTCCCTCCCAGTCAATTCCTGGCTGTTCAACCCAAGCCCTAATATCCAGGTATAACAACATTTTTCCTTGTGCTTTTTGATTGGATCACATTCTAACCCTCACGGCCAGAATTGGTATTTAGTTATTCGCTCGTTTAATTGTTCACATGTGCGCCATGTTCTGGTCTTTGACAAGTCCATTCTCCGCGTCTGAATTAAGATTCTTGGTCAGATCATTTGCTTATATGAAGAAATAAGACAAGGCGTCCAATGTAGCCAATGTACGTTCTTCTGCGGAGAACAGCATCTGGGTGAATCAATTGATGAGGTCCTCGGACAACCTATAGTGTAGGTTTTGCTGTATGTCCGATGGATCAAGTACCCAACAGTTGCTAGATTGCTGGGGATGAGGGGGAGCACCACGACTGCGCTAGAATCTGTGAGACTGCTTGGTAATAGTGGGGAGACGCCATCAGCACTGTTGGTGTCCTGTGCTCGATCCAAGTGTGGGGCCATCTCCTTCATTATTTTTTCTCTGTTGGCATTGAACTGTCCTATCCATCAACGCTGTTTTTGTGGTAGTAGATTTGTTTGAATGTCGGCCTTGGTTGATGTCCTTCTCTTTCCTTCATCGAAATATTGATGATTTGACGATTGGTTCCCAGGGAGCTGAAAGCGCAGGCTTCAGCAACTGTAATGCCTACAAGGAACCTGAGCGGGAGCATCCGAGTCCCCTCTCCATTCTTGAGGCCTCGTTCTCAAATGAAAGCTACACTTCCTGTGACGTCTCCGATAGTATAAATGGTATCTCAGAAGGCTGTTCAAGTTGATTGGTACCTCTGCTGTGTGCTCTGCTATCTATCGTCTTTTAATATCGGTCTTCCCATTTTTCTATTCTCCAGGAAGCAAGATCCTCTCTTTCTCCGTTGCTACTGGTTCGGGTGGACGGAACCCACCGACGGAAGCTGAACTGGACGTCTGCGATTCGGCCTCCTCACTCAAGGTCGCTGTAAAATCGCCTGTGGAACTGACGATCCCACCGGCGGGCTCCTCGGGGACTTCCCGCCGGAGAGAGGAAGATTACGTAAGATCCATTCTGCGGAACGCGGATGAGGAAGCTCTGAGCTCGTTGACCCATTCCGGCGCCGCGCTGGATCCCCTCCTCTTCGACTGGCTGGAGAACAACCAGGAAGGCTCGAACGGAGACGACGATGAAGACGACCCCAAGATCGGCAGGCTCCGGAGGAAGGCTCTGTTCGACTGCGTCGGCGAATTCCTGGACTCTCGGCGGCGCCGCCACTTCTGCGGTGGGTACCACCGGTGGGCCAGGGGCGTGGCAGCGATGTCCGGGAGGGTTGACCAGCTCGCCGCAGAGGCCCACGAGGAAGTCTCGCGCTGGAAAACCATGGGAGACTGGATGGTGGACGAGTTGGTGGATAAGGACATGGGCAGCAGCCCTTCTGGCAGGTGGGTGGACTTCGAAGCGGAGGCTTTCGAGGTCGGCGTCGAGGTGGAGGAGCGGATCCTCAGTTCCATTGTGGACGATGTTCTCGCTGATTTTTTTATTGTGTAGCTGCTGCTGCTGCTGTCACTGTCTTCTTCTCCGGCGTCGAACGGGGGTGTTTATTTACATTACCGATCATCAGAACGGGGAATCCTCCGGTCTGGGTCACCGCCGGCGAGGTCGCCGGCGGGGAGGCCAGGATCGTCATTTCGCTGGTGAGGCAGGTGAACTGCATGAGGAATCCGGGTGGGCTTTCCGTACGGGAACATGGGGAGATGCGTTGGCGTTGGCGTTTCCCAATGTTTGGTTTAATAGATTTAAGCGGCCAAGGATTCTGTAGGAAACCCAGTAATTTGACGGAGTGTGACGGCGGCTACGCCGCTCCGTTGCATCCCTCGCCGCTGCCCTTAACGGCGCCGTCAACTCAGTTAAATCAACAGATGTTTCGAATCTTCGCCCAAACGGAAGAAGGTCCCCCGAGGGATGTGAAGCATCGCGATAGACTTACCGGAGGGGCTTTCAAATTTCCTTTGGAGGCACGTTCGTGTGACATCAGCCGTCTACGTCGTTCACGGCGAGAGAGAGAGTGAGGGAGTAAATGGAGTGGTACAATCGTTGATTGTGGCATCTTCAAGGGGTAGAATAGGTCATTCTGACAGCGGCATCGCTTTCGCCGTTCTTTCTCCCTCCCTCTTAAGACAGCCCCGAGAACACTCGCCGGCATTATTAGCGTGTCCGCCGGATGCCGCAGTGGCTGTGCGGAGGGAGAGCAGAGAATCCGAGGGTCGGGCATGTTCACCGTGATGGAAGTGAAGCCCCAAGGTGACCAGGCCACGGAGGGCGGCGACGATGGGGGAGCCCTACGGCATTCTCTTCCGAGGTGCTCCGCCGGAGACGTCGACAGCAGTTGCTCTACGCCGTACGCGAGCGCGCCATCCAGCCCCGGCCGCTGCGGCGGCGGCGGCGGCGCCCCCAGCGGCTATTTCCACAGTGCGCCGGCGAGTCCCATGCACTTCGTTCTCTCCTCTTCCCCGTACACCTGCGCCGGCGCGGCCGAGGACCCCCTCAGCGCCGCCGGCGCCGACTGTTTCGCGGCGGGGTCCTTTGAGTTCGAGTTCTCCGCCCGGTTCTCTGGCACGGGGGCTGGGAGTTCGTCGGTGGGGTCGATGATCTCTGCAGATGAGCTGTTCCTCAATGGCCAGATCCGGCCGATGAACCTCTCATCTCACCTTCAGCGGCCTCAGATGCTCTCCCCGCTGCTGGATCTGGAGGCCGAAGAAGATGAGGAAGAGCAGCCTGCCGTCAGAGGACGGGATCTTACTATGCGGAGCGGATCTATGCGCCGGAGGGCTAGATCCATGTCGCCGCTGCGGACTCAGTGGCGCCATGATGACGAAGAAGGGGGGAGGAACACCGCGCGAAGCGGCGCAGGCAAGGGCCAGGATCCGGATCTGGACGCCGACTCAGACGTGAATGCGGCGGCGATGGCGGCCGCCACGCCGGCGTCGGCGTCGTCGTCTCGGTCATCGTCAACCTCGTCGAGTAGGAACTCGAAGAGGTGGGTCTTCCTCAAGGACTTCCTCTACCGCAGTAAGAGTGAAGGGAGAGGGAATACCAAGGACAAGTTCTGGAATGCCCTCTCCTTCTCCCCCTCGAAGGAGAAGAGCTCCTCACTCCGGGACAGGTTCAAGGAGTCCCTCAAGCCCTCCCATCCTAATGCCGCTTCCTCATCGTCTTCCGCCGCCGTAGACGCAGCCGTCCCTCCCGCAGTGGAGTCCCAGAAGGGGAAAGAGAAGATGGCGCCGGCGCTGGCTTCTGCTTCCAAGAAGCCAGCATCGTCGGCATCTTCACGGCCGGTGAACGCCGTAGGGAAGCGGAGGGGATCGTCCCAGTCTGCGCACGAGCGGCACTACACCGCCAACCGGGCGCAGGCCGAGGAGATGAGGAAGAAGACATTCCTACCCTACCGGCAGGGACTACTAGGTTGCCTCTGGTTCAGCTCCAGGAGCTATGGCGCCATGAACGGACTGGCCAGGGCGCTGAACTCCGTGACCTCCAGGTGAAAACCCCAGCGGCCTCTACACCTCACGGTGCAAGTCCAGGACGAGGAGGAACACCTCTGGTATTTTTCCTCTTTCAGATTTTTTCTTTTCCCCTTTCTAGAAAACCCATTCTGTATAGGCTTTTTCTGCACCTTCTCCGGCTCCGTTTACTCCTCTCGGAAGGCCGCCGTCTTATCTGATTAGACGGGCTCTTCTCCCGAGTTCATAGTTCTTCACTGTTCCAGAGAGAAAGATCCTCCTCTCCCTCACCCCTCACCCCTCACCTCACCTCACCTCACGTCTTCGGAGGATTCCCCGGAAACCTGCTTCCTGATGAGAAGAGGGGGGGGGGTCATTTAATCCAGACAGGGGGAAAAAAGAAGAAGAGAAGATTAACAAAAACCCAGAAGCCCTGGTGGCGTGAAGACGATTTTGCGAGCCCAAAGAATAAAAATTGCCGACTTGCAGATCCACAGTTGGCCGTCGAATGTCCTTTCTGGTTCTTAATTACGTTGTCCTAGCTGCATGTGAGAACAACGCGCCGCGCACGTGACGTGCCGGGTTTTTCTGCCGCCGGTGGTGGAGAAGAGGAAGGAAAGGAAGGCCATGGTAGATGGGCGGCGACCCCACCACCGCCCCCACACTCCGGCGGAGTCTCGCCCACGTCGACGGAGCTGTCTTCCTCTCGTGAGCTTCGTCTGAGCCAAATCGGAAGGCCCGCCAGGGTTTGTTTCTTCTGGAGAGGGGCGAGCCGAGACAGGGTATTTATCATGCCGGCGGGGTTGCTGGCGCGTCGCTGTCGAGAGGGCGGGCGCCGCCATTACCAATGGGAGGCCCGGCGCGGCTCCCAGAAGTGACTGATGATGATGGGTCCTTTGCGTAGAACAGAAAAGTCGAGTCTTTCTTTTTTTCTCGCGACATATCTTGTCACCCACCAATCGATCGGCAGCAGGCAGTAACGGGCTCTCGATTCCGACCGAGGCTCACGTTGACTACATTCGATTCTTCCGAGTTCTATCTATCTATCTATCCATCCTTTCTTCTGATCGGATTCAGACTACCGAAAGGGGGCTCGAGTGCCGAGATCTCTACGCAGCTCGTCTGGGTCCCAAGAGGGAGTAAACGCTGTCCAGTGACCGGGATCGATCACGATATCGGGATGGCGATGCGTGCTAATGATCGAGAAAGCTATGGTCATTTACCTGCATTGACTTCCGACCTTTGCAACATCTCTAGCATTTACGGCGGAGATATCACTCGGCCGTTGACTAGTAAGCATGGTGGGGTGAAACGCTCGGCTGAGTTCTTATCCAGCGGTTCTCGCCGGCAGTTCAGAGATCGCCAGTGGCCGTGTCAGCGGCGCGCAGAGGCGTACAGACCCAGTCGACGGGGATGGGGGACTACCCATTCGTCGGAGAGTGGGCAGAATTTCTCCAGACCCAGTAGCCGCCGGGGCATGGGCGGTGGTGGGCCTCTCAGCAACCAGTTCACAGAGGGTGCTCCACATAACTGAGGCCGCACGCGTCGCGGCACGGGCGGCGCACAGGCCGGCACAGAGCCAAGATGGCGCACCGTGTCACGGCGGCATTGCCTCTGATGCCGTGCAGCGCCAAATGGAGGTAAGTCCGAGAAGGATAATCGGGCCACATGGACGGACTGTAAAATAATAAAAGCCCTTTCCGGAGACCGATGCCGGAGGAGTGGGGGGCCACATGGACGAGTCTAAAAGATGGGCACCTGCTGCCCGAGTTCAGAACTTCGAGATCGAGCTCTCTGTTTTGTTTACACCACTGCAGCAGCAGCCCCACGAAACCAAAGATATTATAATCATAAAGGATGTCTATCGTCGGCAGAAAATGGGTCTAAGGGATCCTCATTTTAGCAGAAAAAATTTGCGAGGTCCAACCAGCAAAATCGCGCTGCTCAGGCGACGAACGTCGACAGGATGTTCTTCTTGATGACGAACTCGTCCGCCTTGGAAGGGTTGATGGACTGCAACCAACAAGCTCAGGCTTAGTTCAATCTCATCAAGGAGGGCTCCGTGAGCATCCCTTTTCTGCCATCTTTTAGAGATCAGAACATAAGGAAACTAAGGCAAGGTAAGAAGCCCACCTTCTCCAACATTCTCTGAAGCCGATCAATTTCCTTCTGGGGGTAAGCGGCACCTTTATCGACGTAGCTCTTCGCAGCTTTTAGGTAAACCTTTCCGTACCTGAAAGATCACAGTGAGAGTCCGTGAGGCAAAGTCCGGGCAAAGGGCTAATGAGCCCAGTAAAAGCTCATCTGAGCCCATACCCCCCGGCGGGGGGGGGGGGGGCGCGAATTCTCCTCGGTAGATGACCGAGATGAAACTTTAGTCCATGTAGGATGAGGCGAAGCTGTACAGGATACTAAATATGTCGATGTATTCATCTTCTTCTTCTTAAGGAATTAAACGCCATCTCAACCCCCCATATGTAGTAAAAAGTTTACTGGACGAATCTTTTCCTTTGGTAGTAAAACAAAGACAACAGTAAATATTAACCAAGGTCATTGTTAATTACCATAAGCTATTCTAACTTTTACGATTATGATCCATCTTATTTTCGAAAGGGGTAATGGATTTACCTTGAAGAAGAACCTTCAAGCTTTTCAACTTCCTCTTCTATGCGAGTGAATACTGCCTTCTTTTCTGCTTCGCCGGCGGTTACAATCTCCTTCACCAAACTGTCCAGGCTTGCTAGAACACCAGCCTAGAAGTATCAAAAAGACAATAATTAGAAAACTATAACAGCCAACTTATATGTGCCGGCGTTGTTTCATTATCCAATACTGACTTTAGAAGTGAGTTGCCCTTTTGGGTCTCTGCTGGTGCCACATTTTTCATTGATGAAGTTGACAAAGTCAGCAACTTCTCTATCACCATCATAGTCTTCACCAGCTTTATTGCTCTTAGAGAAAAATTTTAATGTAGGATACCCACTAACTCCATACCTGCAAGGATAATTTAGCATCGAAATTAACTCTTAAAAATTTACATACCAATTAAAAATAATAGAGATATCAAGAAACTGTCAATAGACCTCGTGAAGAACCAAACACATTTTCGGATGAATTAAGGATTAAATCTACTAAGCAAAAAACGTTAAACACTTTCATTTTCTCGATATTGGACCACGATTCATCACTTGAAAAGAACATAAAACGCAGAATGCAGACCATCCTGAAAGAGGACATTTAACAGAGTTGCTTATAAGAATTAATCGGTCAATTTGATATCAGGAACCCAAAACTCGTCAGCGAGAAGCCTTGTTAGAAAAATAATAATAATAATAACCAGTAGTCGTATTATTATTATTATTTCTTTCTATACTTTTATTTTCTTTTGATTGGAGGAAAGCTCGAATTTACTTTTGTTCTCTCCTGTCAAACTACTCATTAGACAGAACATAAATAGGCTTTTCCACCTGGCTAGCACATATTTCAATGAAATTCTGAAAGGAGAGGATATCATTTCGTGCACACAGAAACAGAATTGATCAACACCCATAAACAACTCTCAGAGATTCAGATGTGGAAATGGGAAGCAAAAGAAGAATTCATGGACAATTGTCATTGATATCTGTAACAGATGTCGAGAGAAAAGCATTGGGACAACTCTGTACAGCACGGACGTCCCAATAAAATTCAGAGTTTTGTATGGAGCTAACCAGGGCAATTGCCACCTTTACCATTCAGCACATGCCATCTCACCTTAGCACATGCACTCCAAAAACCATGTATACATGTCATTAATAATCTTAAAACATAAATCGCTGAGATAAATTTTCATTAACCTCATTCTTGATATGTATTACATAATGTACCAAAAATTCAAAGTTTCATCTTTAAGGAAAATGTGTTGGATCTAAAGCATGATTTGAAGAGACTTAATATTAATTTCATCAGTCAAGAACTTAATGGTAAAATACAGACGTGAAGATGGATATATAAGTTACAGCCTAAAAACAAAATAACCTTTGATGGTTCCTGGATAAGTGCAAATAAATATTTTTCATGCAAATAAAAATTCTTTCTAAGGAAACGGAAACTAGAAATTTTTAAAAAATCTTCAAAAATAGAGTTCAGAAAAAAACTTCCAGACACTTGAGATAAACAAGGGTATACTTCAGGAAGTGTATTAGAACTGATTGCTTTTCCTTAGTATTAGATACCATGTCTCAATTATAAGCCTGAACAATATTTACTGTCCTCAAAATCGTCAATTTCATCATCAAATAATCAATTATCTTAATAACACAAATTTCTGTATCTACATCGTATTCAGATGCCAGGAAACCACACTTACTTCTCAGCCAGATCCTTGTATTGGTCGGCATCAATATTAGCAATAACTACATCATCCTCCATTTTGAATGCAGTGGCAACCTTCTCATAAGTCTAGAAAAAAAGAAATAAAATAAACCAAAATTACAGATCCCCAGGAGAACGGTATCACCCAAGGTCCAATGACAGTAGAGATTAATAAAGCTTTACTTACTGGAGCAAGGCTTTTGCAGTGACCGCACCTGCAAGAAGGAAGAAGACAAAGATGAAACTGGAGTCGAAGTTCACAAGGAGAAAGATGAGTTACATTCGACATTCATTCACGTTGCCACAGAAATATAACGATGAATATCAAAATATTGTGACAATAAAACGTGTTAAGTTTACTGAATGGAAAAAGGACGATCCAATGAATCCCAAAAGGAATCGAAACATGATCAGTATGATCTGACAATAAATGAAACAATCAGAGAAAACTTGATGAGGGAAACAAAGAAAGAGAAATGAAACTGACCATGGCGCATAAAACTCGACAAGAACATCTTTCGTCCCATCCAAAACAATCTCATCAAAGCTCTCTGATGTCAGCACGACAACACTTGAAGGAATTGTCGCAATCTTTACATTAGTACCTGTCATAAAAATAGAAAAGGGATTAGACTCCCAGCGACTCAAATCCTTTACCATTTGGTCAGGAATGCGTCAGAATTTACTAAATGCATAGGATTATTAGGCATTGAAATATGGAAGGCATCGTTCTTACAAAAGAGAGAACTCACATGCAGTACAGGTACAAAGGCGGCATGATATCATTTTATATCCTCACGGGAATTTTACAAAACAGAAAAGGAGAGAAACTATTCGGACGGCAATGCATTGTGCATATGAAAGCACAGGGAGTTTGACATGGTCTACATGACTCAAACTTAATCGGGGAACAAACTATGACTCTCGATAACATACTAACCAAGGAAGAAACAAATCAGACATTTTCAGAATAAAGGGATTCATCTGATATGAAGTATCGCCCGAGAAAACTGTTCATGATGTCGTCTAAGATATTACAAATATTGAGAATGCTAATGCCGGAAAGAAAAACGCTTCTGATTTCTCGTACCTACTTTTATGGATTTAAGGCCACGAGGATAGATGGAATAAGTCCTTTTGACAATGCAAAGATGATAAGAAAAATAAGGGAGATGAAAATACACGATAGAGACTAAAATGCTAATTAAGGGTAGCATAAAGCAATAAGAGATTAACATTATGTCACCTCCTTCAGTATTAACAAATTCAGCAAGATCTTCAGCTGTACGTGGGCCTTCATACCTTCACATGAAGTAGAGTACAAAAGTCACAACCCGAAGACCCGAGAGTTAATTTATTTTAAATAGAATAGTAGAATTGAACTGTTTAAGGAGAGAGACAACTTTAAGAAAGTACGCATGCCAATCTACACAACTCATATGAGAAAGTCACTACTTCAGAAAGTACAGATATATTTGTGCAAAAATCGTATCCGTACTTACATTTTTGGCTCCAAGGAACCCTTTGGAAACCACTGGATAGTCGGGTATCCTGTAACCCCATACTTGGTGCACACACTCTTTTGTTCATCACAATCCACCTATCGAAGCCAAAACGAGAAAGACATTGAGGCTCGGCCAAAGTGGAGTGAGGGTGACAAAACTAGAGAAAACGACAAACAACTCTATAAATTTCACCGAAACAAATATCATTACACGTGTCCACCTCCTACCCCAACCCTACTTGTCCACTGTATGCGTCCCCTTGAATCTCGCTCAGCCATCCTCACCTGACTCAGTGAATGCTCAACCAAAATATCAGATTTGGCCCATTCCCATGGGAAGAGGAATTTCCTTTTCTTTTTTAATTCTACCGTCCTACTTTGCGCACTAATTTAAAACAAAAATCTCCATAATGTGGAGGTGTCTTTGGAAGGTATTGAATTCAAAAACGGGCTTGGACAACAAAAATAAAAAATGGGCAAGACTAGCCCAATCTCCTCACATACTGCAAAAACCTAGGCCCCATAATCCCCCCATTCCTCTCCTCCTTTTGTGCAGCTTTCCTTTCACAAAAACTCCGCTTGCCCCCATCTCTCCTCCATTAGCATCCCGCACAGCTTGTTCCAACTTTCTTTAAGACGCAAACAAATCTAGTCAAGCCTGAGAAATAGGCTGGGCCTACCTGCGTGTCACAGGGATTCCACAAGCCCAACATGAGCCCAGCCCACAAACCGCCCTTTTTTCTGCCAACTCAAAAGCAATGAAACATTTTATCAAACTCGTCCTCAGGAAAAACATATTTCCGGCATAGTTGAGGATTTGCAACGTTCGTCTATTTTCGTTCATACTTGAATCACCAATTCTGTCAAATCACCTACGCTATTTTCGTACACGAAAAAAAAGATGTAAAAAATTACAAACGTGCATACATAGAACACAATTTAGCATTTGAATGGGAAACTAGAGATAAAAGGACTGTGAGAGAATGACCAGCGCAGGTGCATCTCACCTTTGCTATCAAGACAGATTTTGCTTTTTTGAAACTAGAACCCAACTTCTCATACTCTGGGGCGAGCTTCTTACAATGCCCACACCTACAGATAAAAGACAAAATTGATAAGATATAAACGCCTGAAATGCTGTCCGTGAAGGGTAACTAGGAAATCTTGGGCGACATTTTCTCTTTTTTCCACCATATTTAAGGACCTACGGCTTCATTTCACCGTTACCGACGACATAGACGATTAATCTCGGATAAAGACACATCAAGCGAAGAAAACGGAAAAAACTAGAAAACTCCCGTATCTAAAGCACAGCCGCAACCAACGGCTTCCCCGGCTCGGGTCATGGGTGATGTTGAATTAACAGAAAACTACTGACTGATCAGCTTTCATCGAACAATAAATGGTTGGGGCACGTCCCCAGCGCCAAAAAGAACGAGGATCACCCTCGCGACTTACTTAGGAAGACTAATCTACCTGATCCGCGATAAAACTCTCAACCCGAAACTACCCAGGGCGAGAAAAGAAGAATTCAGCGACCACAAAGAAAATTAACAAAAGAACAGCCGTGGAATCCCTCACCAGGGGGCGAAGAACTCGACAAGAGCGCCACGATCCTGACCAACCTCCTTCTCGAAGGTCTCCTCCGACAACGCCAAGACATCGTCGTCCGCCAACGCCGGCAAGGCGAAGGCGAGCGCGACGACCGCCACCGCCGCCAACCCGACCCAGATCTGTGGTCTTCCCATTTCGTTGCTCGCTCCCTACTCAACTCCGCCGCCAAACAGACTTCTTCGTGTATGGAAGACGCGATGGCGGAGGCGGACTTCGCCGGTTTTGAGTATACAGACGCGAGTATCAATGACGTGTTTAAGTCAATTAGAGCCGTCCAAACGACGGCCCCAGCTAATCGGACGGCCAACAATGGCCATCTCCCGGCGGCTTCTTGATCTGCTCCTCGGTCCTCTTGTCATACTTATTTCCCCGATATACCCTTATCACGCCCATGTGACACCCCATGTTTGATCGCGGGATCGCGCGATTGGCCCAGCCACGTCTCCTTTATAACACGTGGATCAAATCTGGCCGTACGTTTTGATCCTCGTTCTCCAATTTCGATCCTGCTCCCTCCCGCTTCTTCGTCAGTGATGACCAGTTATTTTGCACTATCTTGGGCCCGCGTATTTAATGGCCATTTTTCTCTCTGTTTTTAATTATAAACCAGATTTATAAAAAAATAATATCAATTTGATGCCAATTAAAATAATAATAATAATAATCTATGTGGGTATAAATAAGACGTTTTTTTTTAGAGCATAAAATTAGGCACGTGAGAAGTTATGCTTCATGTTTGGTAGCTCAATGGACCAAACAATGACTGGTCCACGAGCTTCGACCGTTGACGTAAAACCGGGCCTCTTTGTCTTGGATCGATACTTTGACTAAGTATGGCAATGATGACTTTGACCGTTGAAAAATAATGCATCATACCATCACGACACCGAAGCCATGAAGAGTTGGGTGGTATAAATAAAGTTCTCAATATGTCGTATGGGGCCCACATAAGGGCCCAAAGGAAACATGGTCAGAGCGGCCCAATGGGCTACTGACCCATTGGGCGTTCCCCGCCCCCGGACCAACCTTTTCCATAGACTAGATTTGAGCCTGTCCGGGCATCCAAATTTGAGCCCAAAAGTCTGTGGACTAGATTTGTGAGAATTTGTTTTAACGTGGGGTAACCTATAAAATAGCTGCCGTGGGTGGCAGAGAGTGGGCTTTGATTCAGACTGGGCCGATTTGGGTACACCTGCAGCGGTAAGATATTTAATCCTGCAATTCTAAGGCACAATGATTAGGTAACACTGCAGGGATTTTGGAATATTTTGGCGTCATTATTGGGCCGCGGCATTTTTTTCAGGGGGATATGACGTACACGTGGCAGCTAGGTCTGGGCTCTAACCGCAGGAGCAGAAATCCTCAAAGCCACGCGGTCGAAGATCCACGTGTGTCGCCTCCTTCACGGCCGTTCCCAACAGGTTTGACTTGTCAACGTCCCATTATACGATCCCTCTGTCGCGTTGCACCACCTTCCTCTTCCTCCTCGCCCCTCCACTGCCGGCTGGAGGCACACTGTCGGGAAACCAGAGCTGCTGGAGGTAGGAGGGTCGCCATTGGAGCCATCTCCGTGTTGAGATTCGAGCGCCGCTTCCAGCCATAGAAAGTGGTAGCAAGTCCAGTGATCGGATAGAAGAACAGTGGCTCTTGTGTGCATCATCTCGGCACTGTTGATGTCTACAGTACCAGTTTAGAGTTCTATGAGCGGCAGCATGTGGCTGTGGCGATGGCTGAAGAAATTGTTGTATATTCGGCGGAGCAAGGGAGCAAGGAGGGGGCCAGGCGACGCCACGATGAGGCATCCGTGCCCTTGAAACACACGGAGCTTTGGTTCTTTCAATACGAGCGACCTGGGGGTGATCCAATCACCACAACGAAGGCATATGGGACGAACGGAGGACCTAGTTTGCAGCAGTGAGGTGGGATCGCCCATCGCATGCTTCATGGGAGGTGCCCCCTCCTCTAGAGAGAAAGAGAGAGAGAGAGAAGCCAGCGCGGAGAAATGGAGTGAAGGTCGGACGTCTATGTCGTCAAATTAATTGCGGCAGATGCGTCGTCTTCTGGCCCATCACTTTATTTTATTGCCTGCCTGAAAAGGAAAGTATAAAATAAAGATAACATGGGGTTGAATTATTCAAGCTGGGGACTGGATCCGACACTACTGTCGTATTCTCGCCCCCCCCTCTCTCTCTCTCTCTCTCACTCTCCCTCGGAGAAGAGACCACGGGGAAGGAATAAGAAGCCGACGTAGCTTTCACGCTCCTCGCCATGGCAGTGTCTTTACTCCCGATCTTGCGGCCCCCCACCCCGAGCGAAAATGGATCGTAGTGGGAGGAAGCGGCAGAAGACCGAACGTCCCCCCGCCTCCCATCGTGTTCGCAAATGCCTGCAGGTGCGGCGGCCACTTGCAGTGCCTTCGCCTCCAAGGCACTGCTTCACTCCGTGCCCTTCGTTCACCGTATCAACAAGTTCTTAACTCGCTCCGACGAGACACAGATCGTCGACGGCCGGGATCGGGATGAAGGAAGTGCCCTGTGCGTTGTTTCCGGGAAAACGGATCCCCTCTCTCTAATGTGGGATCCCTCCATTAGATTGCAGATACTTTCGCTTACCTGCAGGATTTTTTGAAAGCTATCCAATGGCGATCTAGCAGGATCGGGTCGGCATCCTCCTAATTTGCTGGTCTGGCTAAAATCCAGAGAGTCTCCTCTCTTCGAAGTGGGGGTCCCCTTGGACTGGTGTGAGAGTCGGCGGATTATCTAACTGGAGCTGGGTTCCCGAGGCCTCTGCAAGTTCTTAGTTAAACTGCCGAAATTGGCAGGCTTATAAGGAAGTTGCACCTCTTGTATCCTCTCAGTTATCGAGGACTTCTCCAACCGATATTGAGATCCAAATGCCGGCTTCGATCTCCGGTAGATCAAACGAGATTACCGTCACACGAATAATCCGAATTCATCGATCGAACAGGGAAAGTGTGGCCATTCTTCCAGCCTGAAACTACTCCCTCACGAAGTGTTTTTCTCATCCCGTCTCTACGACTTGCCAGCAGCCTTCCGGGTCCGCTGTTATGCTCACGGCGGAGAAACCCAAAACGGCGCAAGTGACGGATTCATTTCTACCGCTGTCCATTCTGTAAGCTCGTCAAAGTGCACCAAGGATGTATGTAGAAGCGCTCCTATGCTTTCATGTCCTGGCTGGGGACGTCCTCATTTAAAGAGGGAGAGAGGAAGACTGTTGAAGAATATTGCCCCCGTTCGTGTTTGTTCCCATTACCACCGAGAAATTTACTTCGCTCATGTGAAATGCAAAGAGGACCACATGAAGCAGACGAAGATATACACGATGGAAAATATGGACCGTCTTCTCGTGCGTTTCTGGAGAGGAAGGAAGGTAGGTGGATGGGATCCATGAAGGCAGCGGTGGGAGGGGGGTGCATTAAATGCCGTCGAGCTGGTGTGTGGGGGGCCTCGTGGTCGAATTGAAGCCCGTGAGAGGATCCTTCTCGAGGTTTAGGGGCCAGAAAGCTGGACCCTCCTACGTGGCGACTGCCACCACCGTTCCCCAGTCGCAACGTCGGAGATCACGCCACCCTCCCACTGTGACTCCTATGGCCTTTTATTACTCCCCGGAGGTCCATATATCTCTGGTGATACCCTCAGTACCTCTGCTTGATAGCTACTGAGAGACTGGTGGGGAGCGCACGAACGTGCGAATAAATCTCTCTCCTCTTCCCCCTCCTCACCTTCTCTCTTTACACTTGGGAGTGCCTGGGGGAAGATGGGAAGGGCGCCATGCTGCGAGAAGGAAGGTTTGAAGAAGGGGAGATGGACATCCGAAGAGGACGAGTTACTAGTGAACTACATAAAGGCCCATGGGGAAGGCTCCTGGAGATCACTGCCTAAGAATGCAGGTAGAGACGGAAGGGCAACGAGAATTCGGCTCTGCAAATCTACTTCTTGCTTCCTTCTCGTCTCATTCTCTTTCTGAGCTCGAGACAGATTTGTCGCCATTGTCTTCCCAACGTTTCTACGATGCATGCCCCCAATAATAGTCTGGCTTTACTCTCGAATTCCATCTCTCTGCCCTCGCCTTCCTATTTTCCTCGGTTTAATTCCACTTAAGCTCAAACTGAGCCACGCTGCGCCATGCTTTTGGCCCTCGCGAACATCTCTGGTTATCATGACTTGCCTCCGAGAAGCTCTTCTTGTTCTGTTATTCTTATCTATCGGGAGTCGAACTCTTGCCCATTCGGCATAGGATCGTGGAATATCTCTCTCTAACACCGTCTTTTCTCCTGGAATGAAGGTCTTCTCAGATGCGGAAAGAGCTGCAGGCTGAGGTGGATAAACTACCTCAGATCCGACTTGAAGAGAGGCAACATATCTCCGGAAGAGGAAGAAGCGATCATCAAGCTTCATACTTCTCTCGGGAACAGGTGAAACACATCGTTCTTTCGAGGAGCAAGCCTCCGGTTTTGCCAAGAAATTTGGCTAATTTCCGGATAGGATAATCTCTCGGTTCTCCTACGCGGGTCTCTTGTGTTCTTCCTTGGGAAGCTCTGAGGCCCGACCAGTGACATTGATCTCAAGGAAAACCCTTGCCATTGCCGCATGGGCCCCTTGGGGTACCGAGCACGGCATATTCCTTGACTGGTCATCTGACTGTTCATCGCTGTTCCTTCCTCGAAGTTCGTGGCTCATCGCTACATCGGTCTTTTCCGTCGGCAAAGATTCATAAAAAATGGGCAAAGAAAATTTAATCGCGCACATGTAGTATGAGTTGAAACTGATATGGCAGCATAACTGAGCTCGAAAGTCTTCCATATCTTCATAACTGTGCTCAAAATGTTTACGGTCACAGGGGATTCGGACGTGGAGTTAGAATTTGAAAAGAGGAAGGCTTTCTGCAGAATCGTAGAAATGGCGCGTGGACCGGTGTTAACGAGCTTCTGGTCTGCGTTCTCTTCTTGCAGATGGTCCCTGATAGCTGCCCAGCTCCCCGGCAGGACGGACAACGAGATCAAGAACTACTGGAATTCCCATCTTAGCCGTCGGATTCACCGCCTGAGGAGGCGAGACGGCGACGAAGGGCCGGCTGTGATCGTAGACCTCGGCAAGATTGTGGGCATCCCACTTCGGCAGTGGGCCGGCCGGACGGGCCGATCGGCCATGAAGAAGGAAAACCCCGTCGGAACCGTCGATGAAAGCCGCGGCCAGGGCGGCGCCGATGGGGAAAGCGAGAAGACCACCCAACCACCTTGTGGGCGCCCCGTAGAATCTTACAGCAAGAAAATCAACCCGGAGGCGTTGCCGGAGAGCGAGTTACTGGAGACTGGCCGGGCTCTCTCGACCGAGTTCTGGGAGGCGGCGAGCGAGCTGTTGAGTCCGAGCTGGGAGAGGGGAGATGGAGGGTGGAGCGCCGCGAGCTCATTCATTGAGCAGAGAGAGTGTGGGCCATCGATGAGCTCGTGCACGACGAGCGAGGAGAGGAAGGACGGGCCCATGCCGGCGGTGGGGCAGCAGCCCTACGGGCAGGCGGAGGAGTGCAACAGCACTGCGACGACGGGCGGCGAGTGGCTAGACGTGGAGCTGGAGGCGATAGCCACCAAGCTGTGGGATGAGGCCGGCGAAGCGTGGCCGTGGCGGTGGGAAGACGCCTCAGTAGCCGAGCACCTATCTCAACAGCCGCCCACGGATTGCTACGAGTACGAGCAGGGTGCTCTCGAGAGGTGGCTCCTCTGAAACAAACCCGTCCCCCCCCCCACTCGCCGGTTCTTCTTTACGTCGTCGTTCCTCTCTGACTATGTATTTCCTCCGAACTCTGATTGAATGAGCCACATTCTTTTAACTCTTTCTCCCGCCCTATACAAGACGACAAAGAAACCGAGCCGAGGGAGATTCATACCCCCCTACCCCGCAGCGGGGCGAGAGTCTTAAAAGGACTCGTCCTCCACCGTACTGCCATCAAGAGCATTCACTGAAGGAGTTGGCGCCATCTCGTCGCCAACTGGGGCCATGACTGTCTTCCCCACAGGGAAAGGGGACGGATCGTGGCGAGACAGCGAGAGCCCAGAGAAGGAGAATCTTTAATCGGCTCCCGACATTCCTCCAGCTCGGTGCTATTAGAACTTATCTCCTGGCTTCCCCTTTGTCTGCGACGCAACTGGATGTCTGCTACCGGGACTCTGAGTTCATGATGTCGAGATGCAACAGGTTAGTTGAATATGGCTGGTAATGTGAGGACGGGATCCGAGCAGACTGCTTGCTGAAATAATCAAGATTTAATCCAAGCAGGAGAGGGGGGGAGGAACTGAGTTCTCTCTCTCTTTGACTCACTCACTCTCTCTCTCTGGGGGGGTGGGGGTATTGACAGCTGGCTGACAGCAGGCTGACAGCAGGCTGCTATAAATTAGGTCCGTGCTTTACACAAATGGCATGTGCAAAAGGGTGTCGACATAGAGGGGATGGACCAGAAATAGCCGCGGCCGACTCAACGAACCCATTAAAGGACTCCAGACTACCGACGGTTCGCAAAAGGCCTTCTGGGAGGGCTCCAAGGAAGAGGAGGGATATTCTTTGGATAATGTTATGAGGGGGCGAGATCCGGAGTTATCTGCAGATGGAGAAGCGGGTGGGTCAGCGGAGATCCAGGACCTCAAACTCCAGGTGAAGGTTCATGTACACATGTGAGCAGTGCTCATAGATGGGGTTGCCGTCTGCAGGTTCCTCGTGGGGATGGAATCCGCGCTGTTGGCAATTGCGTATTACAGAGACACCCCCGGGATCTGATAGGTGGAAGATGCCATGGGTTCTGCATTTTTATTCGAAATTCGTAAGGTTCTCTTCATTTGATGCACCAGAAATGAGAAGCGACGCTAACCTTGATGTATCTGTGGGTGCCATGACAATCGCGATGGCTTCTGGTAACATGACCTGTCAAACAAATGCATTATGAACATACATTTTAAAAAATAAATTAAACGGGGAGTGTTATGACAAGAAAAAAAGAAAGCATCAAGTTGGGATCTGTATTTTTTTTATCAACGTCGTGAAGCATGTGAATAATAAAAGATCTGGGTTGAAAAGCTAGCGACAGAAAAGCGTTTTACTGAAGGCTTGGCTTGCTTTTCCCCGGAAAAAGGAACGAAACAGTGGGGATATGAACTCGTGGGAACTTGATTATAGAGAGTAAATTCGACTTCCGGATTCTCCACCGAGTTTGGTAAACAGAATTGGATATCTTCGTTTATTGGAGGAAACTATGGGGAGGTCATGAAGAGGCCAGAAAATCGTGGCCCATGATTTGAAAGCATTCTATGGTTTATGAAAATAATTGTGGACGACAAACGAAAAAGGGTAGGGTAGTTGACCATATGCTAGGAGAAAACAAAATCGAGTCCAGATAGATATACAGAACTTGTAAAAAGCAGGCTGCAAAAGTCAAAATTCTCGTTCGAATAAGTGAGGGAGTCGAATTTGAAGTACGAATCATTTTAGTAATCAAAAGTCAACACTTTATTCGAAATAACAACCGGGGGGAGTCCACCACCTGATACGAGTAATGAGTGTGAAGGTCAACCGATGACATAAAGCAGGTCTGCGTTGGATGTGTCTGCAGGGGAAGATGACAGAGTCAGAATTGAGAAAAGCTCTATTAAAGCTGTATTATCTAGGATGAAGAGAGCGGCATTATCCTAAACAGACAATGTGGTAAATGGTATTCCCCACATCACGCCACTTAATGCGCCGGGAAATAGCCATAGCTTGCATTCATGCACATGCCAGAGCGAAAATATAACAGGCCGGTCAGAAGAAGAAAAAAAATTAAAAAAAATCATTCAGGAGCACAAACTAAAGTGCTCCAAGTGAATCATTCCACGTCAGGCCGTTGAGCAAAGAACTGACTCGTCACTTGAACCAGGATGGCTTGCTTTAGGGAGAGTATTGAAGAAAAGGCACTAACGCCCAAGTTGGTAGAAAAGATAAGCAAGCTCTGAAGAAAAGAACCATCTTCTCACTAGTTTCCAGGAGGAATTCGAACAAAGAGGTTCTCCTATGTAAAATGTGCTCTTAAGCTGCCTTCATGAACGGAAATAAAGGGAGCCGAATAAAGGGAACATTCACTGGAAGGGAATGGAAGTCGAGTATGGTGAAAACAGAACGATTATGTGGTCTACATGACTGCATAAATGGCTGCAGAAATGACAAATCCATACTGCCAAGCTTCCTAAACACCCAATAAATAGGATCGTTGTTTCTAGATTGCCAGTATTGTTTACATGCCTGATGATGAGGGAAATAGAAAATACATTTTTCTCCCTGTGATAACAACTCTCACTTCTTAAACCAGATGCCCGATTCACATGTTGTCAATACTCTTAGGAGTAAATATTTCACGCCCAAGATTATGAGTCAAATTATGCACGATAACTGTGCTAAATGATAACAACAAAAATGCTAGGAAAGTAATGGATAGAAACAAAGGGAAATCATTCCATTTCTTACGTGAATCCATCCGAGTGGGAAAAGAGAGCGTTTGTCCTGGGCATCAAATATTTCTTCCTCATTAGTTGTCTGACACTGAAATTGAAGTTTCATATAAATGGCGAATCAGACATTGATGGCAACTTTGAAATATTCATGCACAACTTAGCAACAAGCACTTCACATCTTTCTTCTCTTAATTAATGTTTCTGAGGTCAGCGGTCAGCTACACAACAGGAAGCACATTTAGCTTTTCCTAATCCCGTCATTTCCATAATCAAAGTGGAGTTTAATGCCAACATTTATCTACGAATAAAATTCATTAGGGAGAAATTGGAAAAAATTGGAGGAATAACACAGGCTACTACTAGGACTACCAGGACACACCGGGTTCGTTAATCTTAACAGGCATTATAGCTCTCACAAACGGCCTACATTAATCGAGTTTATGTTCGCAACAGGAATCTTTAGCAGTAACTCTAGGGGACAAAGAAAAAGTTATTCCAGTTTTGGAGTGGTACTAAACTACCAAGTATCAACTGGTTAAATGATGAAACTTATTTTCAGTAAACCTAATCATCTACGATCGTTCTGAATAGCGACACAGGTTCCGTTTAAAAAATCAGCGGTCATAATCTAGGAATAAGAATAATGAGAAATAAATAATCATGCATCCAACATTTCATATTTCTCCTGGAACAACTTTGTAATTACTAACAGTTGAATTCAGTGTTTATCTAACCACTTGGATACATCTCAGATCAATATTTTTGTAAATAGTATTTGACCCCATTGCCTACTAACAGACTGTGTACAATCCCTACCCACGTGTGCCTGTTTTCTTCCGTAAGATATGTGCATAAAACATGTTCAGAATGAGAACTGAAAGACAAAAAGATCATCTTACCGAGTCAGAAGTTGACTCCTGCTTAGGAATTATCAATGTCGTCACATAGAACTTGCTGTTTCTCTGCAATTATTGGAGATCCAAGGTGAGCATTGGAAGTACCCGATAGGTAAATATTTATTGGTACATACCAGTGAACCTGCAAGAACACCACAAGTTTCCAAATTCCTTTTCGTGTTTTTCTCTGCAATCTTCAAGAACGTCTCCATCATCTGTACAGGCTACGAAATATATTCACACCACAGTCAGCTACTGGCCTTGGTGAAAGTTTATATTAGATAATTAAAGATTTTAGACGAATTGCTAATTGGAGAACAACGCAAGATTCCAATGCACCATAAAAATTGGTGAATTAAAGAGAAAGCTCTAGCAGCTTACAAGGTGCACATTCTGATAAGTATTAGAATCTGAACTCCCCTGCAAAGTTTGGGCTGGTCCTGGCCTTGGATCTGCTACTTTTGAAGGATGTAAAATGGGCAATTCTTGCACTCGGGCTAGAAGTGGAGGAGGAGAGGGTTGCTTGATCAGCTGAACAAAGTCTTCTTCTGGAGCAGGAAGTGACAATCCACCATCAAACAAGGAAAGAACAGAGTCCATGTCAGGGGTAATTCCCCTCAGCCCATCTTTTTCTGACGCATGAGCATCTCCTGTCTGTGGCAGACTGCAAATGCGAAACGACATTAAATTACGCTGATGCTTCTAGACAGTACAATTTTGATTATGAATGCACAGAACGTCGAAAAAACAGTGCATATAGCGTAGGTTCCAATAAACAGTTGATTATGACGAGACCAGAAGAATACAGAACAAAAGTATTATTCAAAGGAACCAGGCTACCTGAATGTCTCAGCTTGTGCTATGTCAACATTGCTGGGATATTGGACCTGGACAAGGAAGAGGGATGAAATTCTATGACAAGCAGACATTACTCTTTAATCATGTTAACTTCAGAAAACTGTATGTAAAATAAATGAAAGGATTAATACCCTTATACCAGTAATTGCTCCACCCCGTTGTCCACGTAGCCCATTCGGACCTAAAATTGAGTGTCTGGATAGTGTTTCCTCCTTTGGATTTGGTAGACTAAAGGACCTACATAATATTACAGTGTGTATGTTACCTTGAATTCAAATATAAACCAGGAAAAATAATTAAGGAAACTCAGTTTCCAGGAAAAATGTTCTCCTCAACAAGAACGGGTAGAACAAACACATCGGCATTCCAAGTTTTATCAAGAATAATCGAGCTCATCTGCTACCAAATAGTTAACCGTAGGTTTACAAGTTTAACCAATCATCCAAAGTAATATTATATTCCAATCAACACTTCCAGTGAAAACCATGTATTGCTGTGTACATAAAAATACACATTCTGTCAGTGGTTGCTAATGGTCAATCCCTTAGTGTCAAGTATTTCATCAGCCTAACCAGCGAGCAGTTGTCCACGCGTTATTTCGGTGGCTTCAAAAGTAAATCATTCCATTGATTTACCCCCATAGATTTCCAACGGGCATTATGTATTCCAGGTTTTGCCTAAAAAATCAGAAAATGCTGCTTAGAGACAAACTATCCTGGATCTCTAACTAAGAAGCCTCCTTTGGCATTCTTAAGCCATAAATCATCGGCAAAGTAAGAAACAAGGACTTGCGATAGTGGACTTGGGCATTTTCTATCAAAGTCCATTATTGACTTCCATTCAGTCATGATGACGAAACATAACAAGTATAGAAGGAAATTAATAATGACCATGGTGTGAAGCTCCGAAGAAATGTACATACATCTTAGGGAACTGCTTCCCCACGTGCAACTGGTCTGATGACTTCGCTTGATTGATTCCATTGTTATATTTCAACAAGGCCTGAGATGAAGTTTTCATCACTGACTGTGATCATGTGAAAACAAATAAGAACAACTTGTAGACAAATTTTTAATTGACCAGATGTATGGGAATAATTCCAGTGGAAAAGAAAGGACAATGTGTATAATGCTTTCTACAATTTTCTCTTCTTCACGTAAACACGAACAATTCTATTTTAGGAAGAAAACCAAGAGCTATGAATCGTACAGACTACAATAGCGAAAACAGTCGCGGGGAGAATGTACCTGTTCACCATGGGGAATAGATGATAACTGCTGCTTTGTTGATGGCCAATCTGCGAAGGATGTAGATTTGTAAAGGTTCTTTCCCCCAAGATCAACCATATGCCCTTTGTTTAGTTCATCAACTTCGCGTTGAACAACAGGCTTCAGTGCCTCCAGTTCATTTATAACATCTAACAATTTCTAGAACAACGTGGAAACTATCAGTATGGACTAGCTTTAGCCTTATAATGCAATGAATCTAACCTACATAATCTGAATGATGTTGCCAACCTTCTTGAAAGCTAACTTCTCCTTTGGAAGCAAGAGATGGTAATCTCGATGCAAGGGTATGGTCTCACACATCAGGCTGCAATAGGAAGTGAATAGTAAAGAAATAGGACAAGCATTCACGGCCCCAAAAACAAGAAAAACGGGACACAGAAAGAAATCTGATTAATCCACTTCCAAAGACAAAAATATACATTAGGCAGTAGACTGAAATTTTCATATATAAATTAGAGCAGCTGTGATTGAAATTTTACCATTACCTGGAAAACCTAAGAAGGATGATATATAGATCAATAAGATTCTTTTCTTCCCGATAGATGCTGGCCTGAAACCAGGCAACGAGTCAAGATCCTAAAAAAATGGTGCTTCACATAAATCAAAATAAAAAAGCACTAAGGTCATTAGTCAAGGAAAAACGATACATAATCCCTGAAAATAAGTTAAATAATTTGGAATATCTGTAAATTCAATCTGGAATAAATAAAAAATGGGTGTGAAATGAAAATTTGCAGATGCCGTTTAAATGAATGAACTATGCTAAAGAAAAGTTTCGGGTAGTTTTAATATGGAATTCAAATAACCACAAGAAAACATGAGCGAGAACTTTCCCCTTTAATTTCAACACGTGAACTGTGATCTGACAAAACTTGATCTGGAATAATTGATGCTAAACACACATCTGAAGGTGTCAACACGCGAACATTGAAGAGGTACTACATCCTCAACGAAAAACACAGAAGTTTCGTAGTCTGGATAACATAAATGGTTATCATAAGCCGAGACAATGAAATCCCTCCAGTTAGTTCATATCATCTGAGAAAAGGGCCTTGGAATGTCTTATACCGGTTTCAGAGGAATCCTAACGGTTGCGATTTCAAGCTCAAAAAATATCACGCTTATCTCACGAGTTAATTTGGAATTCAAGGACAATATCCCATGGTTCTTCAGGCTGTTAGGGACAAGAAAAAGTGGAACTATATAAACCTGGCATCATCATTGTTCCTCACTGATCGCATCAAAGCCGATACATAAGCCGTGTCCACTGATCGCATTATTGCACACTGATAAAAATGACTTCCAAATCTTCAACCTCACGGCGTCCTTTAGGATAAAGATGGCGTGTGAAAAGTTTCTCATTTCTACGTGATCGCCGAAACGCCACTATATTGCCCTTGGGAAACCCTCTCACGCGTTAGAAAGTTTAGCATCGACGAACGTTGTTTTAAGCATTTCATTATCACCATTCGAGAATTATCATGCTCCTCCCTACGAGCATCGACCTTCTCTATCCATATATCAAATAATCCTTATTCCGACAATCCAGATCACAGTTCAGAACCACGTGTCACCTCAAAAAAGAAAGCGAAGAATGGATCGCAGAGGGGCAAGCGTACCTGTTTGATGAGACTATCAGCGATACGATAGTAATAACGGAGCGGGAGGCGGTTGTCGACCTGCACCTTCTTGGCGCAGGAGTTGATGTTGATCGCTCGCACGGAGAGCTTCATGGCTCCTCGGCGGCACCGTTCCACGCACTGCACTCTCCGACTATCTCGTTCCCGAAGAAATCAGTACCGGGATTGCGAGAAACCCCCTTCAAAGGCCACGTTTTCCACTGATTTCTTCGTTCTTCTCCGTCCGGCTCTGCTGCCAGCTCTTCCCCCTTTCTGAGAATTATAGTGGGGGGCTACTTTTATACCACGAAGAAGCGCGACGGGAAAGCCTCTTCGTGTTCGTTACTTTCGGCTAGGCGTCCGACCATGATAAGCGATTGGCAGCCGTTAGATCTGTACAGCCCTGAAGCGAAGTTCCCCATACTTGGATCATAAGCCAACGCGGAGCACGAGCCAACCGTTGGATCAGACAGCGTGGACAGTCCACGTGGCGTAAAAATTACCGTCGATCTTTTCTGATGAAATGGGCTTCGGCCCGAGGGACGGACGTGTGTTCAATTGACGAACCCTGAATGCTGGCGGGGAGACACGTAGCGGATGCCACGTTGCACAATCTTATTGGCTGGAGCGAGAATTCGCCTCGTCCGATTGGTCTCAGTGCGTGTTCTTAATGAAGCCGTTAACAACAACAAAGGTGGGGGCGGAAGAGAGGGAGAGAGAGTCAGAGTGGTCGCTGGTCGGGAGAGGACGTCGAACTTCGCAGGAGGAGGGGGAGGGGGGATCGATTTCTTGTCACCTTTCCTGTTCTTCCGAGCGCAGATTCCGAGCATTCAAGCCTTCTTCTCCAGTCGGGGGTCTACGAGTGCCTAGGAAGGAGGGCGGTGCAAGTTTGGATTTCCCAGATTCTGTCTGGAGCGCTGCCGCCTCCGTGGGATTGATATCCAATGGTGCAACTGAGGGCGACGTTGCTGCTCTTGATCGTCGCCCTCTCCCTTTTTTTCTGTGCCATCGGAGGGTGAGAGGCAGCTCAAACCATCCTCCTCCGTCCAGAGCATCTCTATTGCTGTCATCTGTCTGCCGTGATGTGTTGACCCCCTCGTTGTGGTGTGTTTGTATTTTTTTTGCCATCCTCAGGAAGAGCTATTACGATGTGTTGCAAGTTCCTCGAGGGGCCTCAGAGGATCAGATCAAGAGAGCCTATAGGAAGCTCGCGCTGAAGTACCATCCCGACAAGAACCCCGGCAATGAAGAAGCCAACAAGAGATTCGCAGAGATCAATAATGGTATGGATTGGGTTATTTGGTGAAATGGTTTCGCTGCATATAATTTCCGGGATTTTGGTAGGACTGATGCCCATGGATCATTATTCTGATTTATCGTTATGAAAATATGTAGCCTATGAGGTGCTCTCCGATCGTGAAAAGAGAAACATCTACGACCGGTACGGTGAGGAAGGCCTGAAGCAGCATAGTGCAGGTGGGGGAAGGGGTGGTGGGATGAACATTCAAGATATATTTAACAAGTGAGTGGAATCTCTCTCTCTCTCTCTCGCTCGCTCTACGCATGTCTTTCTATCTTTCTATCTACATATCAATATTTATCTCCTTATCCGTGTGTGTGCATGCATTTGTTCCTGGTCGTGGTGGCACAAATGAGTCATTGTAGTGAGCTTTTTGACTGACTAGCCTTTTCCTCTCTCTAGTGTCGTCCTCTAGGCCAAATGGGTATAGCATCTCAAGTGATGTCCATTGTGTACAAAAGATGGTTCATGCTTACTTGAATCTGAATAAAGTCGTATCAACCCTCACAGGAGCTGGATGGTTCAGTATACGTTTTTGTCATGACATCCATTCGCTTGTCAAGCTGGATTGACAACAATTTCAGTTCACCTAGTCCTGATATTATGGATAGGCGCCATATCCTTTCGGATGAAACGACTAGGAGGTGTCTGGTTGCAATGCGAGGACACAATTAGGTCGCAATTATGTCATTTTTTATGACGTCTGAGTTCTTTTTAGAAACATAAGCTTGCGATAAACTCGTCATTGTTACGATAACTCCCTCATCATCATATCAATGCTGTTATTTCACTCTAGTCCCAATAGTGATTGGATGTAAAAGCTGCTCTATATTTAATTTTCATATGTTCAATTTACAAGACCTGAACCACGTCCAAAAATCACATTTATACTGTTAATTCTTGTGCGTTATCAGTATACCATTTATGATTGATGCAGCCACTATATCAGATCTGTGATACCTCAGATGCATTTTCTACATGGCAACGAAAAATCTCCTCAAAAAATATTTTCACTGCAGCTGCTGAAAGCAATAGTTGAATGATGTCCTTGTATCAATTGTGTTGATTCTTGTTCTTCTGCTTCTGGGTCTTCTACCTTATCTTTTATGACCATAGAACACTGCAGTTTTGGTTGATGTACTGATATGACCGATTGAATTGTAATTATGCAATTAATCATTCCTGTTTCAATCTGTTTAATTTCAATAATAATTTCCATTTTTTTTTCTACATATATTAATACTGAGTGTTAGAAGAAATTTCTATGGGTCTGATAGCTATGCTTAAGCCTTGAGAAAGAGTGTTTTTCCGGTGACCACTTAGCCTCTTGTGCAAATGTGGTTATTGACACTTTTCATAGTTTAGATATGGACAATTTTTATGCTTTGTCCATTTTTCAATTGTGTTCCATAGTCTAGAACGAATGAGACAAACTAAAGGAGCAGTGAAACGGAGAACGAAATAAATGGGTTTTGCAATCTTTATTTCCTTCTCTTCCTCCTACAGTATATTTTTAATTTGATTGTCAATGACGTGTTGTAATAGGTAAGGAAGGGTCACTTTTATGGTATTTTGAAATGTCTATTATATGTGAGAAGAAAAAATAACATTTCGTGGGAGGTTCTTTGGCTTTCCCTTAGCTTCTTTGGTGGTGGAGTACCTGACGAGGAAGAGGACAAAGTTGTAAAAGGTGATGACGTGATTGTAGAATTGGATGCGTCATTAGAAGATTTATACATGGGAGGTTCCTTAAAGGTATGTCACCCAACGTATTAGTTTCCTCTGATCCACACTTTCATGGAAAGAGTTCCTCTTCTACAGTGTTTCCCAAAGGGTACATTTTACTTGTTTCGTAGAGTCAAAATATTTGGAAGTTTTGTAATATTTAATTCTGATGCTGTTTCTTCAGTGACCTGCTCCGCATGTTTCTAGAGTTCACTTACCTCTTCTTTATTTGTTCCGCACTAGATAATCTTTGTGCGTTGGATCAACAGAGGTTCCACAAAGGCTTGGAGCTTGTCACTTTTCTTTTTTTCTTTTTCTTTTTTAATTTTTTACCGCTGTGGGTTGGGTGTGCATGGTTGAATGATTCATAAGATGTCACTAATTTAAGTGGGGGGGTCATCTCCAGTATGTTTCTGCACGTCACATGACCCCTTAGAAGTCTTAACGGAAAAAAAGGAGTCACTTTGTTGCAATCTTGACTAGTTGGAAAAGAACTCTTCATGAATATCCCTTCCAGCTTCCAGGTTAGGTCATCATTTAGGTTGCAAATTTACCTCACCCGGACAAAAGTGTGACCATTAAAGATAATTGTTGAGGACACATTATGGCAAAAATTGAGCATTAGACACGGATGCTGAGATGATCAGTAAAATAAGAAAACAAGTATTTTAGACAAGTTTATCTTTTACTGTGTCAGATGGGTGTACCCTTTTTGAATGTTAAATATATATGATTTAAATCTTTTTTATCTGTATTTCAAGTCTTATGGTCACTATGAAACTATCAGATCCTATTTTTCTATATCAACCCAGATGTTTTGAAAGAAAAATCTGTGTCCTAGCTGTTGAAAATAAGTAGAATTTGACCATTAAAAACACAACCCAAATGGTAGAGATGATGCTTTGTTTTATTTTCAGGTTTGGAGGGAGAAGAATATTTTAAAGCCAGCACCAGGCAAAAGGCAGTGCAACTGTAGAAATGAAGTATATCACCGGCAAATTGCTCCTGGAATGTTTCAGCAGATGACGGAACAGGTACCTTATATTAGATAGAAATTTGAATCTGAGTTCTGGTATCGAGCTTCATATTGTATGGATGCGTGAACAAGCATCTGTCGCATCTGTCAGACTATCGTTTCTGAGATGGCTATGGTTCTTTAGCCTAAGGGAATTTTATAATTTTTTTAGTATGTTTCTCTCTTTAGGTATGTGAGCAGTGTCCCAATGTCAAGTATGAGAGGGAAGGCTACTTCCTCACCGTTGACATTGAGAAGGGCATGCGAGATGGACAGGTACGGCTTTTTGTCATAATTCTTTGTCTGATATCGGATTTGAAACATTGAATGCGTGTATTTCTTCTATAGGAACGAAATATGTTATGTGACTTCATTCGTGTGGTTGTTCAGAGACGTGAAAAAACTGGAATGGGAACAAAATTAGTTATGCTCCAACACCAAAGTATTGTGGGAAGTTGAGTACATTGACAGAGATAAGATGCTTTCTTAGAAAAAGAGATACATCATTGCCTTTATAAGCCAATCTATAAGATTAATGCTTAATCTGGTGAGGAATTCGTGTTCAACTACTTAATAACATGC